CAAACCCAAGCAAACCCAAACCCAAACAAACCCAAACAAACCCAAACCCAAACCCAAACCCAAACCCAAACAAACCCAAACCCAAACCCAAACCCAAACCCAAACCCAAACCCAAACCCAAACCCAAACCCAAACCCAAACCCAAACCCAAACCCAAACCCAAACCCAAACCCAAACCCAAACCCAAACCCAAACCCAAACCCAAACCCAAACCCAAACCCAAACCCAAACCCAAACCCAAACCCAAACCCAAACCCAAACCCAAACCCAAACCCAAACCCAAACCCAAACCCAAACCCAAACCCAAACCCAAACCCAAACCCAAACCCAAACCCAAACCCAAACCCAAACCCAAACCCAAACCCAAACCCAAACCCAAACCCAAACCCAAACCCAAACCCAAACCCAAACCCAAACCCAAACCCAAACCCAAACCCAAACCCAAACCCAAACCCAAACCCAAACCCAAACCCAAACCCAAACCCAAACCCAAACCCAAACCCAAACCCAAACCCAAACCCAAACCCAAACCCAAACCCAAACCCAAACCCAAACCCAAACCCAAACCCAAACCCAAACCCAAACCCAAACCCAAACCCAAACCCAAACCCAAACCCAAACCCAAACCCAAACCCAAACCCAAACCCAAACCCAAACCCAAACCCAAACCCAAACCCAAACCCAAACCCAAACCCAAACCCAAACCCAAACCCAAACCCAAACCCAAACCCAAACCCAAACCCAAACCCAAACCCAAACCCAAACCCAAACCCAAACCCAAACCCAAACCCAAACCCAAACCCAAACCCAAACCCAAACCCAAACCCAAACCCAAACCCAAACCCAAACCCAAACCCAAACCCAAACCCAAACCCAAACCCAAACCCAAACCCAAACCCAAACCCAAACCCAAACCCAAACCCAAACCCAAACCCAAACCCAAACCCAAACCCAAACCCAAACCCAAACCCAAACCCAAACCCAAACCCAAACCCAAACCCAAACCCAAACCCAAACCCAAACCCAAACCCAAACCCAAACCCAAACCCAAACCCAAACCCAAACCCAAACCCAAACCCAAACCCAAACCCAAACCCAAACCCAAACCCAAACCCAAACCCAAACCCAAACCCAAACCCAAACCCAAACCCAAGCAAACCCAAACCCAAACCCAAACCCAAACCCAAACCCAAACCCAAACCCAAACCCAAACCCAAACCCAAACCCAAACCCAAACCCAAACCCAAACCCAAACCCAAACCCAAACCCAAACCCAAACCCAAACCCAAACCCAAACCCAAACCCAAACCCAAACCCAAACCCAAACCCAAACCCAAACCCAAACCCAAACCCAAACCCAAACCCAAACCCAAACCCAAACCCAAACCCAAACCCAAACCCAAACCCAAACCCAAACCCAAACCCAAACCCAAACCCAAACCCAAACCCAAACCCAAACCCAAACCCAAACCCAAACCCAAACCCAAACCCAAACCCAAACCCAAACCCAAACCCAAACCCAAACCCAAACCCAAACCCAAAACCCAAACAAAAACCCAAACAAAAACCCAAACAAAAACCCAAACAAAAACCCAAACAAAAACCCAAACAAAAACCCAAACAAAAACCCAAACAAAAACCCAAACAAAAACCCAAACAAAAACCCAAACAAAAACCCAAACAAAAACCCAAACAAAAACCCAAACAAAAACCCAAACCCAAAACCCTTCAAAAAGAAGTAAACTAGGCAAAACAAAGGCAATACCGTAAATATTAATAATATTTGCATGATGGTATTAGAGGTGATTTTACCGTTGTTGATTTCGGGTTGTTGTGATGAATAACGTTTGTATTTGGTTTGGATGTTTCAGATTGTTGCTAATTGGACGTTATCGGATTGGAGAATAGTCTTTGCAAAACGTTTTGAAGAGCAGTAAGGGATCTGAGGGTCACAAAGGATAAGGGGAAACAAATTTTTTGTTTTCATATTTACGTAAAGGGAGGGCAATTTTACAGTAGCGAAAACACAAGTAACATACAATTCGTTCGATAGGACAGGTCAAAAGAAAGTTCTTTATTCAACACTCAAATGAACAGTCCCACAACAATTAACATGTTCAAACGAATCAACCAAAATAATTAATAGAAGAAATAACTTCGTACAACCTTTTCTCAAGAAATTTGAGAAGAGTGGTTGTATTGTTCAGACATTTTGTTTCACTTGCTTCATAGCTATGATGACTGCACAACTACAGGTAAGCTTCATTCTCTTAAGAAGGAGAGAACAGGATCAATTCTCATCTCTTTGGAATTTCAAGGTGTTGATGTCAATGATTTCTCAAGTACATGCCTCCAATTAACCGACTATTAACTAGGGCAACAACGCCCATCATCAAAAAAACAACACACCACTACTCTCTATAACAAGGTTTTTGTGTATCTATTCCTTGTGTGATGGTAGTCCTTTTTAAATTTTATTGTGAACTCTGCAACATATCTCTCTCTCGAACTCTTGTAATATTAACTGATACTGTTGCTTCAGTGCACTATTGTTGTTGTTGTAATAGTAATATATTCTATCGGATCCGAATCAGTCCAATTTCTAGTAACAATCGTGTACAGATATATCTGTCCCCGCAGACCAACAATCTTCATCATTATCTTTCAAATATTTTAAACAAGTTCCAAAACAAACTTTCAAAATTATATAAATAACAATGCCTACATGTTTTCTCGACTGTATTTTGACTTGGTTTTAGTTTATTGCGGATGCATGGTTAGGTGTATCGTTTGACAACGCTTCTGTTTTCTGGCGAAATCCTTAAAAAACCAATCGAAATCAAAGTTGAACGCGCCCCATCTCAAAAAATGAGACAAAAGATGATCATCCTCGTTGCGTCAGTGATTTCCGTTTGCCTTATTATTTTTATGGTTTCAGTTGAAAGGAAAACAAACCATACACCACAAACAAAAGAAAATACAATTCTTAACAAATATTCAAACTCCATTCCGAAAATTATTCATCAAGTGTATTTTATTGGAAGACCTCACAATGAAAGCGATCTTCCTAAAGGACTCAAAAATGCTATGAATACTTTTAAATATAATAATCCTCATTATGTTCATCGGTATTTTGATGACGGGAATGCAATGAAATTTTTGGTCGATCATTTTGGAGCCGATTCAGATGAAGTCTATGCATTTCGGAATTTGCGTCCAAGAGCTTTTAAGAGCGACTTTTTAAGATGTGCAATTCTTTGGATCCATGGAGGCTTTTATGTTGACTCCGACATGTTGTTATTGTCCCCTTTTGAAAAGTGGATACAAAAGAATGCAACATTTGTGATTCCCGTTGAGATGGACAAACCATTCGGGTTCAGTAATGGTCTGATTGGAAGCATTCCTCGACATCCAATGCTGAGAATTGCCATGGACATGATCATTTATAATGTAAAAAACAAGTATTACCCAGATGTGCCTCGACAGCTCGAACAGAAAAATTCCTTTCTTTCTGTTCTTGCGGTTTCAGGACCCGTTCTCATGGGAAAGGTGTACAATAGATTTATGGGAGAGGCAGATGAGGTTCCTCACAATTTAAATCTTGCGTCAACAAAGGGAATTCAAATACTTGGATTTTGCAAAATCCCTCCAAAAGATGAAGATGAATGGTACACAACTGTGCCTTTTCCTGAAAAATCATCTGTATGCATGGGAGAAAAAGTTATTCAAACAAGATATCCAGGATTTAGGTCTGAACAAGCAAGCACTGGAGAAGAACATTATTCCACTTTGTACGATCAAAGGAAGGTCTTTATTTAAGGGTGAAATACCTTTCGGTTTGAAAGCAAAACCTCGACCAATTTATGGGAACAATGAACACTGTCATCTTTTTAGCTCTCGTTTTTCAGTTGTAGTTGAGAGTATTGACATCATCAGCTGTTCACTCGCCGTGTTGACACTCTTATTGTTGAGATTGGCTCTTTCTTTCATCATAATCATCCTCTTCTTCATTTTCGTAGTAGTCATCATCACTTTCAGAATGTTGTGGTGAATGTTTCTCTTCATCTGTGTAAATCACATTCTCATCCGTCAATAAAATTTCATCTGGATTTTCCTCTTGCTTCAAAACTGATGTCACAAGTGTTTCTTGTGGATTACTGATACCTGGTGAGGTTAGTGTGGTCGTATGAGAAGTCACAGTTTGTGCTTGTGTTGTATCTTGTTGAATATCTACAAGTTCGATAGACTCTTTTCTGAGTGAAATGGAGTGGCTTGAATGATGAGTGGTGATAATTCCAGCTCGTTTCATTACATTCATTTCAGTTGCTCTCTTGTCGAAATATACTTTAAACGTTTTTGTGGTGATTAAGCGACTGAATGTATCGTGTAAATTGAGGAGAGCTGTTTCTCGGAGCGATTCTAATATTTCACACAAGGCAAGCGCATTTTTGTGATTGGAATGCATGAAAGCGTGTCCACCTTTGAAAATTAAATATCTCTTGTTGGCGGCCGAAGATATGGATGAAGCATCATCGTTTTTTTCATAATCAATAGTCTCAATGAAGTGAATAATTTTGGTTTTCAATTCACTATCAATAGAAATTTCTAAACATCCAGATGAGGCAATAAATGAGTTATACAGATCACTAATGGCCTTATTCATTGCGGCTGAATCTTGTTCATACTTTTTTGCTTTCATTTGTTCTAAAATACGTGTCACTTTTTCATAGAACAATAAATTTTCTAATGAAAACTCAGAACAGCAAAACTGAATTGAAATCAATTTCACGAAATAATTATTCCAAGAATCAGAATCACAATGCAAACATTATATAGTAATAAATTTGGTAAAGTTCATTCATCCTTCAAAAAACTTACTCTATAAATCAAGCTTCTTCCATCTCCTGTGACATCTGCAATAGTGTCCATTAACAATTTCGTAGAGGCATCTCTAGTTCTAGCGAGATCTGATGGAAAAAATAACTTTTTGGTGTTGGCTTTCTTTCTTTCTGCAACCAATTGCACAATCACAATAAATCCACATGTCAATAACACATAACTCATTTCAAACAACAGATATAAAGTACCATGGACAGAGAGCAATGTAATTTTAGGTACAACTCTCCAATTTGGAATTTGAATCAAACCAACACCAAATGTTGAAAACCCAAGAATCAATGCAATAATAGTACTTGTCATAAATTCCAATCTGTAGGCTAAAGGATCGTCATAGCTACTGAAATACCTAGTAATTCCACTTGTTGGACTGATAAAGGTTTTAGTACTTGCTTGAACTTGCTTCATATATTGTGATTGTGCAGAATTTTTATCTGAAGTCCGTTCAATTTTTAGACTTCTCTTGAAAAACTCTAATATGGGGTTAAAAATCCACTTTCTATTGATTGCCAAATCAATAAATATAGTACAAAAACCTGGTAAAATAAATCCAACAACGAGAGAAACCATTTTCAAATAGACAATGGCTGTGGAGAAAATATTCTTAATATCATCAGATACGGTACTTCTATCATTTAAAATCCACACAAACACTGGAGTGGGAATGTTAAAAAGAATAATTAGAATTACCATAACAGCCCCAAAAAATCGAACTGACGCCAATTTTGACAAGGCATATAACTGGTCCAAGCGTTTCTTAAAATGACGCACTTTTTTTTCGTCATTAAATCTCACATCCTCCAATCCATCCACAATCTTCACAACCCTGTATAAATTTCTCACAAATAAATATCGACACATGGATATCAAATACAGGACTGCCAATGTGATGTAAAAAGAATATTCGATCCCATCATAATTGAAAAAATTGAAATCACCAATGCATCCAAGAATGCTGAAGATTAAACACGCTACGACGCTAAGCCCTGAAATGAGTATTCTGCTCTTAATTGGTTGTTTGTTCTTATATAAGAGCAAAAATCCAGCAACCACCATGGAATACAAGAAAATGCACACATGTCGAATCACTCGCCAATAATTATAAATTTCCATTGGAGACATGCTATAGAGGCTAATATAATAATCACAATTCTTGTCATAGTAATCAATAGAAAAGTCCACTTCATGTACTAAATAAAAAACTTCAGGATTTTGGCTCGTAATGGATGATGCTAAAAACTTGGCTTGCTCTGACTGAGAGGTTGTGTTTGCAAAGTTTGCAGAGTTGTGACCAATAAAATAGACCACATATTTCAATGAAGAGGAGACATCCTCATCATCATTATTCTGTCGTTCTGTTGTATTGGCTGACTTGCTCAATATTCTATTCCATCTCTTCTCAAATGTAGTGTAACATCCTCCAGTTTGAATAAATGAATATGAATAACTGCAAAAACTCTGTGCCTTTTTTGTAGTGTTTCTATAAGAAACAAGTCTAGTCCTTTTGAAAAGTGGTAACAACGCAACATCATCTCCATCATTACAAATTGCATCAGGATAAGTCACATTGGTATTATTCGATAAGTAATTGGGTATAATATTTTCTGTAATGATCGTGCCTGTCACACCTTTCAAATACGCTTGTTGAGTCAAATTATTCCTTGAAATATAGAGAGTTGGAAGTGCATCCATGTAGGTAGCATGTAAAGTAGTGAGAGGTTGATTCAAAAAATCAATCATCTTAATACTCGACTTGTTATCTAAATCTTGATTAAAAAAGTATTGATACAGATTTCCCAACTCATCCAGTTCTTTTTTCAAAAACTTTTTCAATTCTGGACTTGTCAAATTCTTGGCAAATCCAAAAAGTTTGGGATAGATATAAATGTTTGATGGAGTTTCACCAATAACAAGTCTCATTCGAATAATTGGTCCTTTTAAGTAATTATCACTGTTATTATTGAGAGGCTTATAGTCTGAAAAGGATGGTTCTTCCAAAAATTTCCACTGAAGAATGGCTCGTCCTTGTCCCATTTGTGGGAATACTCGACAATGTGTAAATTTCTCATCCAGCGTATAAAAAGTACTATTATCGGTATAAATCTTATTATTTTCTCGTGTGGTATTCACAGAATTGAACATTCCATTTAAGCCACTTCGGATTGGATCGGGCAGAATTGAGTGTAGCCATATATTGGATATCCATGCTGTCAACGAAGAAGAAAAGGAGGAAGGTGAATGATTTGCATTTGAATGAGGAGAATATAAATTTAGAAGTGGGAGGATGGTTATAGAGATGGCAAGTATCATGAGTAAAATTGAAGAGGATATGATGATGAGTAATCCTAAGATGCAAGAAAGAGAAGAGTTTTTACAAAAATTGAGCTCATCATGGAATGTCGTTGTAGTAGAACTTATGGGTGTTGCTGATAGGGAATGTGTTCGGAAAGAGGTATTCGATTTGGAGTTGGGCTCATTCATCTCTGTAACGGAAATGTGTGTGGATTTGCATATTGTTTCAAAGTTATTAGTTTCAACGGTACTACTATTAGTTGAGCAATTAGGCTTATTGAAATTGCCAGCAGTGTTCCGAATGATGATGCCGTCTTCTTGCTGAAAGGTGGGGAACTGGCTAGTATCGAGAGGTGATGAATGAGTATTGCGGAACGATGGTGTTGAACACCAACAACCAGCGTGATTATTGTTATTAGGTATTAATAACAGAAGTGTTTTTTCATTGCTCGCTGGGTCTTGTTTCGTGTCGTGGTCATTGCGATGTTGGACCGACAACGAGGACGGTGCTGGTGTGGTTGGGAGTGATGCATCCGTCGACGCCGTGGTGTGCTTTGACATTTTTTCAGTCGTACAAATAAATTGATCTGAAGGGTGATGAATTCGAAGTGTTTGAGTTCCATCTAAAGAGGTTTTGAGTATGAAAGGATATTTGAATGTGAAATTCATCCTTAAACAATTTAAACTGAATTTTGAGTCGAAAATGGTAAGAGTTTCGTGATCAATTACTTTTGTCACTGCCACAGCACTCAAGCCTTAACGTTAAGGACACGTCTCCGTATTAATTGTGATTGCAATTTCGAGTATTGAACAAAAACACGCTTTTTTCCTTTTTAAAGGACATGGATCATCATTACTTGTAAACAGTTGAAAACACACATGTGTGATAAAACTAGAGTATACACTCAGCAAGTGTGAAGTTCTTTCAATATCATATTTTGTATGCATTTTGTGTTGGACCTTGTATTTCTTTTGAATGCATTCTAACCAATTTTATCATTCCCATATAAATTCAATTTCCAAAAACTTTCACCTTTTGATATTTCCCAACAAAATCTCTCAGCACACACACAAACCTCATGCACATCTTCAATAAAACAGCCACAACCATGGTATTTAAATCCCTCTCTCAGTTCTATCACTCTCCCAACACTGTGAGATCATCCAACAACATTGTAACCTCTGTGTTGGGACGCCTTCTCTTTGATCAATCTTACAAACGAGGAGCAGCATTCTATTCAGTCAGCAATGGTGGTGTTTTAAGAAATACAACTACCAACACCACCAGCGACAATACTGATGCTTCCTCTGCTTCTTCTTCAAACATCTCTCATCTTCATCATAAAAAGAAGAAACATACGGTTCATCATCGTCATGGCGCTGAACATCATAAAGACATTCCTGTTGAGGAGCACGTTCCACTGAGTAAAGCTGCTGAACAACAACAACAACCAAAATCAGCAAGCCATGAGGATGTTACAAGTGGTGCTCCCAGCGGTTTTTCAACTTCATACTTCTCCAAGCAATACGATGACTCGACTGAGGACGATATCAATGCCGAGAAGAGCACTGAGGCATTGCCATGGGATAGAGAAAGAGAGAGTAAGATATTGGGAAAGAAAGCAAATGAAATTGATGAAATTAAATGGAACGAAGCAGAGGATAAACCTCACTCAAATATCTACAAGAAGGCTGAAGAAGTGTTTGTTCTCAAAAAGGAAATTCATATTTTAGAAAATAGTGTGAATAGAGATGCATCAGAGAAAGGCCTGAATGACGACAGACAACAACAAAACGAACCAGGTCGTACCTCTTTCTAAAAATTCTTATTCACATATTCTTGGAAATACCTTCTTTCTTGGTGTGAGACCTTCTTGTGTATTTCTTCTGTTGTCGTCAGTACTATTATTATTGTTTTGAATCAGAGAACTCGAACAGTGACGATTGGGTTGAGTCCATGGCAGCATTAATGAGAGGTTTGAGTTTTGTGGTTCGAATATAGGTGCAACCATCATAAATGTACAGATAACTCTAATTGTAAATTAATAAATCAATGTGACACATTTTTTTGATTTCTTGGGGATCTTTCGTGTGCACACCTTTTGTGGAAATTCAAAATCCTGGGGCATGACAAAAAAGTATCAACCTCAATATGTTGAGAATAATACATCATTTGGGATTATATTCCAAGTAAATGTGAATATTCGTGTTGATCATTTCGATCACAACACTCAGCATTGACATTAAATATATCAATATCGCTTGTTCTCCTTAGAAAGATGATGACCACTCTGAGCGTCTGTAGTCGTATTACTTCTCTTGTGTGGCGAATAGTATTCATCGTCCAAATTAATATTCATATTATTCACCACTGTTTGCCTTAATATATCTTGTTGAGTGATGACCTCATCTCCATCAACGTAAGTTTTTGCCACTCCTTCTCCGAGAGCCTTCCAAATACTTCTGAAGGCTGTTTGATTACGAGCTCGATGTTGTAGTGGAGTGTTGTTTTGCATTCCAGCATCTGAAGCGCTATTATGGCGACCCAATTCAGGCAAGTAATAAGAAGAGCCAAAACGTTTGAACAAGCTCGTGGAAGAGTTTCCTAAAAAATTATCGTCATCTAGACCTGCACTTCCAACAGATGCAATACCGTTTGCCAAGTCGTCATCTCGACCAATTAATTGATGACTCAACATATTGGAGGTCTCTAAATTCATGACTCTTCTCACTTGTTCGTTACTGAAAATGGTGTTATTAGAGTCTAAGAAGAATCTTATATCCCAATCTTCAAAATAGGAACAATCTCTTCTGAAATTTGTGCACCCTAACCAACTTCGTATGGTATACCATACCACTTTGTACATGACCAAATAAAAATACAGAGAATAGAGAAAAAGAGGAACATAGGAAATTAAAATTCGAATGGGAATTAATAGATTCAGTCGAATCGAATAGCACACTGCAATAAAGATGGTGCTGAATATGACCAGCACAAGCATGATGACTTCAATTTTGGTATCTTTGTAAGCTCTACGAATATTAATGGTGAGAATGGAAATTACTAAGAGTAAAATGACATAAAATCCTGCGAGTGCAACCAAAATTGCAAATCCTCCTGTACTAAATCTGCAAGATGAATCTGAGCCTGCAAAGTTATTGTGATCGAGTACAGTTGAAACAATACAACAAATCACTACTGGCACCATCAAAGTGAGAAACCATAAAAAGGTTGGAATTTTTCGCTTGATATTGTACTTGGCCTGTTGACATCATTGTTTGGCCAAACGATAATAAATTGTTTTTGTGACATTGAGAATTAATTATAATAGCCAATGATACAATAGTATAAAATCATTCCCATAATGGAAATATTATTATTGGTCCAATCATAAATTGAAGCATTAAATGTTTGTGTAGTATCATAACGTCATCATCATTCGTTTAACAAGCACCAATATTGTATAATTATTCCGGTTAAAAGTTGGATATTTCAGAGAAAATAAGTAAAAATCCATGTTTGAATTCAACACTCATCTCAAATTCCTAAAAAACGTTGAACAACTCACCATAATATTAAATAAGATGAATATCGTGAGTAACCTCACAATGATACAGCAGATCCATCCCAATAAAGACAACAATAGCAGCCAAATATTCACCAAAACGCACAAATATGGATGATTCGTGATCATGTTGTTCGTATAGGCATACGATATATAGGCAATTGTTCCAAACAAGACACTTGTTGCCATCATTTTCGGTTGTTTACTTCTCACAACTCGAAATCGATGATTCAATAATACAGAGAAAGCAAAGAAAATATTCACCACACAAACCAATAAACCAAAAGAGAAGAAAGTAATATCGTAGGGAGACATGGGTTGCACAGTTAAATTGAAAACATTGACAGGAAAATTGCTACCATTCGTGACAACGGAGTCTAAAATGTGATTGTTGTTGTTGTTATCTAGAAGGAGTTGTTGTTGTCGTTGGTAATTATAACTTGAAATCACACTGTCAGTTTTGGATATTTCAAAAAGAGAGAAGGAATCACTGTACATTATATTATTATTATGAAAGAGAATATTGAAGTCCACAAATATTGAGAAGATTTTTGTTAGAAGTGTCATTCTGTGATGAAAGTAGTACGTAGGTGATCAATTTTTGATTAGATTTATCGTGGTGATGACATGTTGCACTTCGATTTTTTATGAAATTGGATACTCTTTTAAAAAATTGAGTAGAGACAGCTTGGAAACGCTTTGTTGAGAATCTTTCTTGCCTCCAATCTTTGTCTCTATTTCATCATCAACCCGATACCGTTCAACCCATCATCAACACAACAGACCTACATGTTTATTGTTGGACAAGATTGTTTATTTTAAATCATCAAAACGCACACTGCAAATATCACTTTCAACTCATCATCACCAATTTAATTGTTTAATATTTATTTTTCGCTCGCAATCATTATCACCATTATCCAACCTCCTCCTCATCATTATCATCGACTCCAACCAACACACCAATGTCAAAAAACAATAATAACAGCCCCAATTTTGGCTCGGGAGGCACCGGTGTACATCAGCATCACAATAACAACATCAACGGTGTTGAAAACATTCAATTCAGTGAACAGGTGGACAAGGCTCTAGAGGAAGTACTCCCACACAAGGATCCCTTCGATACAAGTCTTTTTGATCCCATTGTGTATATCAATACAAATTTTCCAAACGAACAAGCATTGAACGAAAAACTTGAATCCTATATCATCAAAGTGAAAAAGAAGATTCAACGTGTGGATGAAGATATTTTAGCTGCTGTTCGTAAACAAAGCTCTGCCGGTGTTCAAGCAAGAAAAGATTTGGAGGAAGCTCGAGAGACCATTCAAAGTCTATTCAAAAAGATTCATGAAATTAAATCAAAGGCAGAACAATCCGAACAAATGGTACAAAATATCACAAAAGATATCAAATCACTCGATTATGGAAAAAGAAATCTCACGGTAACAATCACAACTCTCAAAAGACTTCACATGTTGGTGTCGGCGGTGGATAAACTCACTCTCTATACCCAAAAGAAACAGTACAAACAAGTGGCCGAGCTTATGGAAGCTGTTAATGAATTACTTCAAAGCTTTGAAAAGTATAGAAACAGCATTCCTAAAGTTCAAAACTTGTTTACTCGTTTTGAAAGTGTGAAAAAAACACTTAGGGATCAACTTTTCCAAGATTTTAAAAGTTTGGATGCACACAAGAATTCTGGACGTGAAAATGTACAACAATTACTCTCAGAGGCGTGTTTAGCGGTTGACTCTCTTGGAGATGCAGTGAGAACTGAACTCATTTCACAATTTGTTAAATCGAGGGCTCTCCATGTTTATGACATGACTTTCAGAGAAGGCAAGGAGGAAAGTAAATTGGAAAGAATTGCCGATCGTTACAAGTGGTTACTCAAAGTGTTAAAAACCTACCAAGAACAATTTGGAGATATTTTTCCTGATTACTGGTGCGTTCCACAGGAAATTACTATTGAATTCAGTTTAATGACAAGAGAGGCCATTGTTAGAATGCTTCAAAACGGCAAAGACCTCTCTGGTAAAACCCTATACTCGGTTATTCTTTCAACGATCAAGTTTGAACGTGATATGCAAGAACGATTCTATGATCCAGATGAAGCAGAAATTCTTGTCGACATCCAACAACAAAAGAAGATGTTAGAACAAGAAGAAAAGGCATTGAAAGAGCAATCCATGAAAGTTGAAAAGGGAAGCCCAGAGTCCGATGAAATCCTTAAAAAACAAATCAAAATTACTCTCAAACGTCGAGAACTTGAAAAACAAGAGCAAGAATTTACGAAAACTTCTAGTTTAGATTCTCTACTGAAGGGAGGTGCAGAGGGAGCAATTGCAGCAGAAAAACAAAAGAAGAAACCAAAATTCAAGTTTAATTTAATTGGTTTTATTAGTAGCTGTTTTGAGGAATACATGAATGTCTACATTGAATATGAAGAAGAATCTATGCGAGAAACACTTGCTAAAATCATTCAAAAAGAGACTTGGGACATGAATAGCGAATATAGCAGTAGTCAAGATCTCTTCATGTACATTGTAGAATCTATGAAATCCTGTAGTGCACTTTCCAAGAAGAGAACTCTATTTGAATTGGTAGAAAAAGTCTTTAAGAAATATCTCAACAATTATGCCGACATTCTGATGAACAAACTACCCAAGATACAATCCATTGCACAACCAACTACGGCCGCTACAACTGGAACATCGGCAACTTCTGGCGCCGCGTCACAAGGTACCACTACTTCATTAATGAGTCGTCTGGGTATGGGAAATATCTTGAACGCTAATGAAATAATTACAACGGATAAGAAGGCTAAGCTCACCGAGAAGGAGGAGATGTTTGTTTTCTATATTATTAATAGTGCTGATTACTGTCAGCAAAATATTGAAATGGTTGAAGAAGAGTTGAGAGAAACTCTTCAAGAACCATACTGCGACCAAGTGGATTTGTCAGATGAGCAAGGTAAATTTTACCTTGTTCTCAAGAGTGGTGTTGAGGTACTTGTAAATAACCTTATGAATGTTATGGAGAAACAATTTAATGAAATGATGTCCATTTCATGGGCTCATGTGGACACTGTAGGAGATCAATCCAATCACATTTCTGTGATTATGCAAACTCTCAAAGATGCCATCCCATTCTTGGCAAGATTCCTTCCAACCACACATTTCAAATTCTTTTGTGACAACTTTATTCTATCCTTCATGTCCACATTGACATCATGTATTTACAAGTGTAAAAAATTCTCGCCAATGGGAGCCCAACAAATGCTGTACGATGTTAGTTGCCTGACCAAGTTTTGCTTGAGAGAATTGATCATTATAGGAGATACGAATAGATTCGATAAGGATGATGTTGCTAGTTTTTCAAAGAAGGTTGATGTTAAGGCTCAAAAAATTGAATGTATTTTACGTACCATAGTGCAACCTAATGATTTTATGGTAGGAACTTATTTGCAATATGCAGGATCTGATCACAGTAGTGCTGAACTCACAAAGATTTTAGAGTTGAAAGAGTTACAGAAGAATGAAAAGCAACAAATACTCGAAAGTTATCAGAAGGAGGTCAAGAAACGACAACAAGGATCACAAGAACAGAATAACACATCCAACATTAGCAGTAATAGTAGTACGGCTGCAACACCCTCTTCAACAACACTCGGAAATGCTACAAAAAAGATGGAGCAAGTGGTCTCATCAAGCATGAGCTTTATCAAGAAATTCAACCTGAACAATTAAATTAATTGTTTGGTTTTGTCTTTTGAGAGTGTTCGATTGATGAGAATTTTCAGCTTAAAAAAATCATGTCCACCGATTGGATCCCTATCAGTCAAGACCAACGATTGAAGAAAAAGATCATTACAGCTGGTTCATCCGATGAGCAACCACCCATTGGATCAAAGGTTTCAGTTCATTACACTGGGTAGGTGGCTGTGATTTCACATTTTAGACAACAACTGAAATACTCATGTTATTCGTTTTGACTCTTTTCAGAACATTGACCAGTGGCAAAAAGTTTGATTCTTCTCTTGATAGAGGCCAACCATTCGTTTTTACATTGGGTAAAGGAGGTTTGTTTCCTTTTGTTGAAATTTATTGAATTCAATTTGGATGGTAACATCAACATGGGTGTTCATTGTTCATTATAATATTCGGATTCATCTCCTAATTAAACCCTTGAACCATAATAATATTATTAACATTTGGCCAATGAAATACTTTCCACCATCACAACCAACAAATACACAACACTCTGATCCATTCCCACCAGAGGTCATTCGTGGATGGGATTTGGGAGTCAAATCCATGAAGAAGGGAGAGAAATCGTACTTTGAAATCCCTTCCGATTATGCCTACGGAAACAATGCCATTCCAGGCCTCATTCCAGCCAATTCAACTCTCATGTTTGAAATTGAGTTATTATCATGGAAGTAATTGATTTACAAAACTCAATAATAGTATCAATATCAATTTTGCTCAACGACAAATATATAAATAAAAACAGAATTGATATTATGAAAATACTTAAACCAAGATCTTGCACATATTCCAATTATTAGTAATTCATCAATCATTGAAGACGGCTTTAAATCGGATTTGGGCATATTTGATAACAAAAAAATGTTTAAATTCATCGTACAAAGAGGCTTGCCTATTCGAACAACCCTTTCTTCCTTCAATCATTACGCACCGTCATTGTCCTGCGTAGTAGTGAATCATCATGGCTCTTCATCAAAAAGTCTCCGTTTCTATTCCACCGCCTCCTCTACCAGCGATGATCAGCAACTCAAAACACAACAAACAGCCACACCATCGGAATCATCACCAACCACAACAACACCCGACAGCACAAACACTAATGTAATGGAGGCCACGACAACAACAGCTGCTGAGCCATACGAAACAAAAACTGCAAGATACACGCTAGGTTCTGGAAAATCATACAACGGCATTCCAGTTCATACTCCACCTACTCATTTTTCTAAAAGGACTGGCTTCTTCAGTACATTATTCAGATATACCCTATACTTTTTCTTGTTCTTTTGGATTTTCAGTGGATATCCAATTCACACAGTCTCAAGCTTTATATATCGATTAATGCACGGAGAACCACAAGAAGAAAAAGACGATCAATAATTTCAGACAAAATTTTAAATGAAAAATGGCAAAATGTTTTTATAAATTGAAAAATTGTCTTTGGATAAAAACTCATCCTATTCATTAGGGTTATGTTTTGGATAATGTTTGGATCAAAATTCTTGTCACGTATTTTGTCACTCAAAAGCCATATTGACAGTTTCTCTGAAAGGCTCATGTCGCAAAATTTGTTTTCTTCATTAAAATTCATTCTTCTCTTCAAGGGATCTCTTAAAATTCTCGTTATTAAAATTGTAAACCTCCATAACAATGTGAAACTATCCATCAAAATGAGACTCACTGTCCGAAACACTTCTCGAAAATAAAGCCACCCATGTGCAGAGTGAACAGGCACAACAAATGGATCCAAAAACTGCTAAGAACACTCCAAACATGTAATATCTTTCATACAATTCAGAGGATGGTTCAATAATGGAGACCTATCACGAATGAAGGATTTGTCCAATCATAAAGTGTAAAGTTATTATTAATTTTGTGGTATTATGTCAAAAGCTATTCAATGCTTGAACTTGACCTACCTTTGTTTCGTTCTTATTGGAATAACATAATACTGTGTCATTCACTCTCAAAGAACGAAATGGTTCAATGGTAATATCATACGCTGGAGTGGTCATTAAGCTTTTATATTTTCCTGTTGTATCTGTCATTGCATGATTCGTACTTTTCTCATCAGCAAATATAATAGAAGTTGCCTCATTCTTGTCATCACGATTCATTTCCAAAGTTGGAACTCTTTTGTTGTTGATAATAAATTTGTCACTAATTAATTGATCATTTACAGGTTGCTGAATCTCGTGTGAAACTTGGTCATTCATCATCCAAGGATTTATACTCTTAATCCCACTACTGCCACTGTGTGTTTGATTAAATCCAACCCGAAAATAACAAACTCTTGTATACTTGATCACAAAACAATTCTGCCAAATTGCTTCAATCACGCACCCACCAGGAATTAACACAGTAATTGCATTTTCATCAACAATCGAAGTGGGTCCATCACGAATATAACCAAAATATAATCCACACAATACCAGCATGGGTATTCCGATAGAAGCAAAGAAAATCATTCCAGCAAAACAAAAGATCACCTTGTTTCTAAATTCCCGTTTCGTTTGAACTGTGCGTTGATAAGAGGTATTCGGAAAGAGTAGTGTAAACGAGTGTTGTTGTTGTTGTGAGCGATTTGTTTCTTCATCATCCTCAGAATCATCATCATTCCGATCCTCATGCAGTGTTCTAAAATTATTATTATTATTATTTTGATGATGATGGTGTGGATCGGAATTATTATTATTATTTGATGATGAGCTTTCTCTTATACGAACACTAAATCTCACTCTCCGGGGACCTGCACCTCCTCCAGAACCATTGTTGTTCGTATGAGTATTATTTTCATCATCATCATCAGCATGACTAGTCCTCGTGGTCGACCTCGTTGCGTTGAGGATCACAGAATTTGCCAATTCGGACGGATTAAAAACACCACTCCCAAAAAACATTTTTTATGCTTTGATTTCTTATTGAAACTTGACAAACTTGAGAACGGTCACGGATATTACATGGGTCTTGTGCAAAATATAATCAAGACTAACCAAAGATGAAGGGCCCAACAAGGTAGCAAGAAGAAAATTTAAGTGCAAACGTTTGCTTGATAATATCCAGATGTGTCCCACTGAAATATTAAAAACACGTGCAGCAGACCTAGCTCACATTCATTTCCGAGTTGGAAACAAAAAATGTCTTCGTTTTCTTCTTCCACCACTTCTCATCATCGTCATCAGCAGCAACCACCACCAACAAATTCTCACTTGTCCATGTTTCGGAGGCAACATGCAAGGGAATTTTATCAAGATGTGTCGAGCAATACGAGTGATGGCATGGTGAGTCCTATGAGTCATTCATCGGATTTGGACGAAGAGGGAGGAATATCGGATCAGCATTCAGTTTCCGATGTTGTTTTGAATCACCATCATCACAGGCATTATGAAGATGATTTGGAAGAGGATGATGATGATGATGAGGAATATCATGATGGACTGGATGAAAATGACCAAGTTGATTCCTCTTCATCTCCCATTGTAAATAATAATAATCATCATATTAATACCTCGATGAGTCGAATATCAAGCAAAACCGACGACGACGATGAAATTGATGTAGATCCAGAAAAATTCATGAGGGATCAAAAATCAACTCGAATACTGCAAGACAATGATTCACTGACGATTTCTTCTACGAATGATGATACAGAGACAGCACCACCATCAAAAAGGAAAACATCTTCTGCAGTTGTTGTGGACGATACTGTGTTGGGAACGACCACTCCCTTCTTCCAAGAACATATTTATTACGACGAAGACGAGAAGGAGCCCATTGAAAAAGTTTCAAAATGTTGTTCATGCATTTGTGAATCGTTGCCACGAGGAATGCGCTCAAGAATGGAATATTGTGGAAAGAAATTATGTGCTCCAAGAATTTTGGTGAGCTTTTCAATGCTTGTTTTTTCTCTCAGTGTTTCAATCATGCTTTTATTGAGCTGTGGAGTTTTTATTGGAATGAAATTAATTGACTATCCTAAAATGCAGTTGGACCCCAACTCTATATCATTCATTCACAGAAATTGCTGCATGTTAGAACGTGTTTTTGAAGATTTTTCACAAAAAGAAATCATTCACTACGAAATGACAGTGAAATTTCCAGTGTTGGGCTTTGAAAATATGTCATCAGAGGAATCTGCCCAGCGGGGTTATAATTTAAAATGTGAATTAAATTCACATTCTGTACTGCGAGTCATGGAACATGTTCGTTATTCAGGACCGAGAATTGCTTTGTTTTATAACCATTCAATCGTAGATTGTTTTACGAACCGAAAGGAAACAGAAATGACCTTATTGGAACCATACAGTGCCATGTATCAAGTATTTCAAACAGTTGGTATTTATTGTGGTGTCATGGCATTGAGTATGTTTTGCATTGGTTTTTGCGGTTTCGTGACATGTTGTTTCGTGTTGCGAAAGAAACGAAGGAAAAAGAGTAATCCATCCACTTTTCGACAATGTTGCTGTTTCTGTCAAAAATAAATAGACAAACCACCGCGTACAATGTTTTCAAATTTTGGTGCTTTCGTGTACGACCTCCCAACGCATTACGTTGCGGGCATTTCATGTGAAAAAACCTAAAGATCTTCTGCTAAACTGCCCGCAAGATTGTTGAGAGGCGAGCTATGAATAGTCCATTGGTCAGCAAACCCCCTTGTTTCTAAGAACGTCAAATGGCACTATCAAATCTATTGTAATCTATTTGGTTCTCAATTACTATTTGAGCGAAATAAAGGTTGTGGGAAATGGAGATTAGTTATGCAGCCAACACTACATCCAAGTCATTCTTCTCAACTCTCAATCGAATTGGTTTCATGAATCCAATAAATATCAACTGTCGATAATACCAATTCCACAACCATTGCTTGAGCTGATAAAGAGCCAAAATTGTCTCGAAATGAATTTGTTCTGCTGCAATAACAGATTTTTCTTTCAAGTACTTCCAAAGTGAAATAATTCTTGTTGTGGAGTTGTGGTGGCGTGAGGACATTTCACAATGTCGATGAATACCTTTGGAGGCCACTCTCGCATAAATGACATATCTATTTACAGGGACCCCAAGCGACTGATTGACATATCTCAGTAAATTGTTTGTCCTCATAATTAATAACATTTCTGAAGGCATGTTGCGAATCATTTGTTGAAATCTTTCCATTCTGTGCTCAATGATTCCCTTAATAAAACTTTCAAACTCCTTCTTGGTGCCGTGATTAAACAACCCAACATCGCTCGTATCGTCATAACCTCTCATCAGAATGATGGAGGCATAAAGTTGGTAGTCCTCAATTCCAAGATCCTGACAATACTTCTTCACAAAAACATTATCCTTCAACACCAGTGCACGCCAAAATCTTCCAAAATTAACACTAAAATCATGGGATAACTTCTGATAAAGTCCATGATCGATAAGAACAACCTGCACTCTATTCTTGTAGTTTGGATGTGCACGAACGAGAATGTTTCCAGGATGTGGGTCTGTGTGAAGGAAAGAATGCAAGAATATCATTTTCGCAAATGCATTAAATGTGATGGAAGCAGCCTCTACGATTCCATTCTCCCCAAAACGTTGCCTTAGTTTATCAGTGTCACTAATTTTCACACCATCAATAAATTCCATGGTGAGAAGCCGTTTTGAAGAAAGAGACGAAATTACTCTTGGGATGTAAAGTTGTCTTTTCATTCCTTCTTCCTCTTGAGCAAACAATGAAGTAATTTTTTCAGCATTACTCTTCTCAATTCTAAAGTCCAATTCTTGATTTAATGTCTCATCCAACAAGGAACCCATCCATGAAATGTTGTAGTGAGGGAAAAAAAATTGAATAATGGACAAGGCGACTCCTTTTGCAATCATGTCACCTTTGTAATAATATCGTATCGATGGATATTGTACTTTGACGGCAACTTCAGTACCATCTAAATCTGTTCCCTTCAACGAAGGAATGGAACCTTTCCTTAATTTGGCTTTGTGTACTTGAGCCAAACTAGCCGCTGCAATTGGATGTGCTTCGAATCTCTCAAAAATTGCTTCAAATGTCTGACTCTTGGTCAATAAATGTTCTTCTTCAAACATTGATTTGATTTCCTCCAAAGTTGCCTCACTAGGAACCTTATCCTGTAATACTTGAAGAGTGGTTGTCCAAGCATCCGGTAGAAAATTCGTCATTGAGCTCATGTACTGACCAATTTTCACAAAAATTCCTCCCAACTCAGTAAAGAGGGATAAAAACTTTTCTGCATTTCTCTTATGAATTTGGTCAATGATGGACTTGTTTTTGGCGTGTGATTCCATTGAGGTTGTAGTTGTAACCGAGGCGTCTGTGTGGACATTGTTTGTTTCATCATTCTCTCTTGTTTTTGAAAAAAGTTGATGTCGTTCCTCGCGTGCCACTTGCTCCCTCCATTCCTCGGAGTCATAGTGTGTATAGTAGTCCCATAAACACGATATTCCTACACTTGCAACACGTGAGAATCGATACGTTCCTTCCAATAGTTGAACTAATATAGCCAAATAATGAAATAGCATAAACTCCAATTTTTGAAAGATTGAAACATCCGCATGAAATAGTATCTCTGAAATATTCAGTTGAGAGTAATGCAATAAAAAGTTTCGAATTCTAGGTAAATGTGGCCTCACGTAAGGATATATTGCCTTGTAAATGTCTGACTTCATCTTTAGAAGGATAATGATTGAAAGGATTGAAATCAAGGCCTTAATCCAAAATCTTGAATTTTTCTTGTTGTCGTCAAGGTTGAGCTGATCATGCATCAATGTATTTTTGTACATTCTTTTCATTTCGGAATTGAAAACATCCTTATTATAGGTAGAGTTGGGTGGGTGATTATTCCGAGCGACATCCTGATCACTTCTCTCAGAATCTCCAGCGTCAAAATCATTCCTTGTCGAAAAATTCCGCATTTGGATACTTCTCACTACACTACATTGCTTATGATTCAATACACTGGACGAGCATAGAGTCAATCGATTGGAAATATAAGTACTCTTACTTAATGGCAAGGTGTAACTTCCTTCTTCCATCATCATACAATCCCGAAACAAAGGAGTGAAAGAAGGACAAGAGCTCCTCTTCTGATGGAACAGAAAGTAATGGTGTTGTAGTTGTTCCTGTAACAGCAAGGAACAACTTGTCCAACGTTGTTGTTTCATTTTTCAGTTCATGATGAACGAAATCGTTGTGCTGTCTTCTCTCCACTTGAGGATCTGCGCCATTTTCACACCACTTCAAGTACAGAGTTTCATGTGTGAGTGGATGTGAGTTTTTACTTGAAATTACTCACACACGGATGTGAGTTTGACGCTTACAACATTCAGCGAACTCAAGTAAAGCATCTTTCAACGTTTTCGTTAGCAAGAATGATGAGTGGATGGGAATTTTGTTGTGATGTGTGTTCGATCGAAAAATCTACTATTGCTGAAGCAGACTTTTCAACAACAGATGGCACTTTGTTTCGTAGGTGTTACCCACTCTGTCTTAGGGATTGTGTGATGATCTTCTCTCTCTAGTATACACCCGAAAAGCCTACCAATATTTTCCTTCACCACAATCTGACCACTAGCTTACAATAGAGAATCTTTTCGTGTTCTTTTAAATGGTAATTGCCTTTTCTTTCTATTTTCTTAATTGGAACAATAGATAACACGGAATGCTGTATCTCAGCTTAGAATTAACAATTGTGACTCGTGCGCGTAATAGGTTTCAACACACACAACGGTGCAATCAACCTCTTGCAAGCAAACCAACGGAAGATTCCGCACTTCATTCAGGCATTCACACGCACTCCACCAAAAGCCTATTTCCTCTGTGATCACATAAAATCTCGCAACATCATCGCTAACATTAAGACGTTTTAAGACACTCCCTCTACAAGCAGCCTTGCCTTCTTCAAAAGCACGTTCCGCCAACAACAAAAAAATTCACATAACACAAGCTTAAAGCATTGCATGAATCAAAGCATAGCGTCGAAGACCCAATAATACTATAATCATTATTATTAATCACAACACACAACAATCATCACTAACTCCATTCTCTTAGCGCTATCGATTCATCTTTGTTCTTCGTCTCGAAACAATCACACTTTCACTGCGATCAACTCACACCTCTATTAATACTTCTAACTTTCTGTGTAAAATGAATCCCATTCAAGCAACTCCACTAACATCATCATCTTCCAAGTCTCCACAGCAGCACGAAAAGTCGCCTCAAGGAGCCAACACTAATAATCATTCCATTCCTCATCCACAACTATTTAACATTGCGACCAATTCATATATGTCAAGTACTAACGGTCAGGCGACTGATTCCATGTTTGTCTCTTCTCCACCTCCATCTTGCTCATCCTCATCCTCTCAAGCACCACCTGGTTTTACGTTTGTCGATATGACAAGAGATGTTGCCTTCAAGATTAAATACGAAGGACATAAATGCCTTAAAGTTAACAAGCAATTCAGAAATAATGAAACCTTCCAGAACAACTTTTTCATTTTCAAGAGTGGAAATGAGCAAACACCAAATGGTGAATCCATGATGTCGATGGATGGAAACGGTGCTGACATGATGATTACTGACAATAGTCAAGATGCCACAACACCATCAGGAAACTACCAGAATCAGTTTTTCGAATCGGTTATGCCAATGAAACCCATTGATTTCACGCAATCCAATCCTTCCAATCATCACAGTGGCATATCTTCTCCAACAAGGCATTCAGGACCTTCACAACGACGAAGAGCCTCCGTGTGTAGCATGGAACATTTGGGCACTTCGACACCAATCGTCACTCCAACCACGTCGACTGCATCAAATTGCTTCTTTCATTTCCAAACGACTCCAACCCATCCTCATCAAGGAAAGAGCCTTGATAGCGTTCCACACACAGATACGAGCAACAATAATCATTACTCTCCAACTGGAAAAGGTTCAAAAGGAAACAATGGAAGAGTGACGGCAAGGAGAAGAAAATCAACCATTGCCTTTGTTGATATTTCATCATCTTCAAGTGTAGTTGAAGGTGAAAAGAGTACACTAACAACCTCCTCGCAACCAAGTTCACATAAAGCACCAACTCTCTTGAACGAGGTCGAACAGTTAGACATTAATCAGGCCGTGCAATCGAAAAAGAAAAAGAAGAGAAGAAATAGTAAGAGTACAGCAGTAGATGAAACTTCTCAAACTACAGCCACAGAAGGAGCTACCGGTAGTCACTCATCCAATTCTCAAAGTGCAGAAAATAATGGCAAGAAGAAGAGAAAGAGAGGGTCATCAGGAAATTCCAAGAAGAGAAATTCGAAAAAGAATCACTCTCCAGAGTTGGATGGCAACATACCACATGCTGCTACTGCTACCACTACTACAGATGCATCTTTTGTGGGCGGTATTAGTGGAGAGGACAGCAATGGCGTCTCTGGTGCAATGACGTCGGATTCCTCTCCTCATGCCTTACCAGCTGCTACTGCCTTGTTGACTCCAACCGACATGAACAGCTTCAATCAATTGTTGATTTATGCTGCCTTAAATCAATATTTGCAGCAACAACCTGAGGTCGGACATGAATTAATCAAACATTTGGCAGTGTTGAATTGTCAACCTTCTCAAGCACTTGCCAATCAAGATATGGCTATTCCTTCTTCTTCTTCTTCTGCTAACAACAACAACAACAGTTCATCCTATGAATGTGATTTGAACTTTGATGAGATTGATCAGTTGTTAGATGGTTTTCCACAGCTTACCGATTCATATGGAGTAAATAATTCTTCAAGCAGCAACGGCACAACCCAAACGACTACCAATAACGGTGGAGGTTTAGTGACAACCAGTGCGAACGATCCCCTTAGCAATACTACAGGCTCTAACATGTCTATTGATCCTGAAGCTTCCCTTCAGGCATCAAATAATCAAGGTGATAATCATTCAGTCCTCATGATGGTGCAAGACAGCCTTACATTGAACCAGCAAGGTGAAGCATCATCATCGATTCAAGAGTCATCGACCCATGGGGTTACTACTTCAGGTTCTGACGACTTTAATGTTTTGGACACATCACAGCAACCACAAAGCGCTACAAGTCCACTGGGAGGAGAATTTCTACTGGATTCCAACTTTGAATGGAATTGCATGTCAGAAAGTCACCTCGAACAAGGTTCAGGAATGAGTAGTAGAGGAGAATTTACCGATTCTTTCGGTGTTGACAGTAGTGGTTCACATTCAGGTGTTGTACATCATTCAGAAGGAGTTTGTACAAATCCACAAAACACAGCCTCAATGTTAGATGACGCTTTCGAGAATATGTTGTTGTCTCCTTGTTCGGATATCTCCTCCTCTGGACAACTACCTCTCAAAGACGACTCTCTCCAAAATTCTTTTTATCCCTTTCAGAATCAACCAAACTCACCAATCTTTGCGTCATCAAGTTCGGCTCATCAACGCAATAAGCAAGAACAATCTCCAGATGTAGCGAGAAGAGCAGAGTATTCTGGTATTTTCAAAGAACATATTGACCAGTAATCTCATATATAAATTGTTGGTGTGTTTCGTTTTTCAACAGGTGGTGAATAAGTAGTGTCTAAAGCCCGTCATTCAAACTCGAAACTTTTGCAAATTGTTGACTTCCAACAAACGTTAAATAGGGAGGACAAACGAACTCATTGTTGGAAATGAACATTTTGCCATCTTTCCAATACCCTTGCTTCACAAAACCAGCAACAACTCTGCAGTAGAATAAATGATGGTTGGGACAAATTCTCTCCAACTCTTTTTCAACAACACAACACATGTGAGCACAGCATTCCAAAAAGCAGTAAAAAGAACCATGGTTTTCAATGTTGTACGTAATGAGAGAGAGTGGCTTTCGTTGTGAATGATTTTCCTCATCAGATGCGTCCTCTTCACAATTCACAAATTTGGCAAATTTGTCAACAGCTCTGCCACTACATCCACCCACAGCAAGCACTGTGTTTTCAAGCTCAATTGTTGGAACATTGAGAGCAAATTTCATACTAGGTAGGACCAAAGACGCTGAATGTCTTGCAGTGTTCATGGAGCAAACAAAATGACCACTGTTATCGACTGGAGTCAGCCAAGTGATAGTCATGATATTTCGTTGATTGTTGAACGAACTGGTTAAAAGACAAACAGGGTTGGTGTACAGAAGTCTTGACAGCAAGTTGGCAGGAGTAATGGAAATAAACTTATTTTTCTCTGGGTTTCCAATAGTTACATGATGAATTAAATAATCGTTATGCTCGTTAAGAATGTCACACGCAAGAATTATTTGTGTCTCTTCTCCATTCATTACGTTTCGCAACACTAGAAGGTATGAACCAATGATTGCCATTATGAAACTTCCATCTTTTGTTACTGTGAATATACTCAACTTGTATTCGTTTTCATGGGATTGAATTTTTTCCATTAGGCATTTTTGAATGCCATTCATGCATTGCATTAACTTTCTATTGTTGTTATCATAGAAAATAAAGTTTTCATGATTTGTGAAATGTAATAAAGCTACATCTGCAAGATCCAATTCGTAAATATTCTCAATTCGATGATGGGACTTATCAAATGAGATGACATGTGCAAGCTTGTTTTTGAAATGAGTTAAAATTAAATTATTCACAGCATGTATGGATGATATAGGAGTATCTTGAATTTGTTGCATATGGTTTTCATCAATAGCAATGCTTTTTTCAAGTTGAAAAGAGTTGGTAATGCCGATATCAGTTTTTTTTAAATCAAAAAACAGCAGCGACTGTCTTGATGTTAAAATGCACAACAAGTTTGATCCGTCATGCCGGCTTTGAATTGAAAAATCGATAACAATTTCTGACGAAGAAATTTCTGGAAGTGGCAGGCAAGCTAAATGTTTCTCTAAATTTTTTTCATGCCATATCCATACATGATTATCCGTAGTAATTGCCACCAAATATTTTTCAACACCTTTCTTTTTGATGGTCGTTGTAATTGTGAACACATCTAATCCAACTATTGATTTGGTGGGGAGTAAGGTAGTGTCAGGAACTATTTCTATGCTTGTGTTTCCTATTAAAAAATCACTACAATTACTATCAATTGTGTTTAAAATTGATTTTGAATGATCATAATTCAAAGTCATTCTAAATGTCTGAATAGATTTTTTAAATTTTGAAATCACTATTAAAGTAAATGAGTGAATTGTCATCATAATGGATGAGCAAGTGCTTTCCTCTGATGAATTCTGTGCATGAGTGAACGAATTGTTCATTTGTTTCTTTTTGTGGTGTCGGGATGAAATATTTTCAAGCACCATCATACCATCGATTGATGACAACCCTTTCAACAGTTCAGTGAATTTGAATATTTTCACCTTATTATTATCAATCGGAAGATCTGTACGGTGTTTAATAGTCAAAAACAACTTGAGGGACCCATCTCCGTACCCGATAAAAGTGAAAAGCAATTTTCTCAACCTATTCTTTGAAATTTGACTTTTTTGTTCTCCTTCCAAAACCTCGTTATGCTGTTCGTCATTTGGCACGAACATCTTGGTTGAATCGGGCAAAGAAACTGAATTATCTAAACTTGCTCCGAAAGGTCTATACACGATCACACTCGAAGGAATGACCTTTCTCATTTTTTATTGAATTTCTTTTCTCAACTTTCAAACCTTTTCAATGAGATACTATAGTTTCGAGAGCCATAAAAATTCAAAGACCTAATTGCGTTGGAAGATGAATCAGGCTAGCTCCATACCAAGTGATTTCCTGGCACTTCAACATCATGGACTAAAGAATGCATGCATTACCAAAAGTAAATCCACATGTCCTTTTCTCACCACTTTCCTTGGTGTGCTACCCATCATCATCAATAATTAAATGAACGAGGTTCTACCAAACATGGACTGCTGAATGAAAAGATTGTTATTGCTGTGGTGTCTCTTTGATCATGATTACAAACTTAAAAAAAACCCAAGCAAACATTGTTCTCTGGAAGAATAACACATTCTCCTGATATTCCTTCGTCCTTTTAGGACTCGTAAATACTCCTTCTGACCTCTCTTCTCTTCCCAATTAGCATTATTACTTTGACATCATGTTTTTCAGAAAGAACCGATCCAACACCAACGTACAATCCTCTTCCAACGTTCCGAGCACGTCCTCCATAGCAAGAGATCGAATCATCTCTTCATCAACACCTACTCTCAACAGTACAACAACAACGACATCAACCACCACTGCTCAACTCAATACACAACCCAATGCACAACCCAGTACAATATCTCAAACATCCTCACCCATAAGTGTTGGTGCAAGACCAAGTATGGATATATTATTAATGGGCAGTCATTCGCACATGCACCAGAAATCACAAGATCAGGGTGAAGATTCCTCAAGGTCGACCATGTCCTCTGTCTCTTCCTCACGAAATAGAAACTCTCTCCGTCTATCGATTGGAAACTTCTTTAAGGACAAACTTTGCAAGATACGAAACTCTCTGAATCGAAATACGAACCTTAATTTTGACGACATTGAGGCAGCAGTGGCTTCAGAGCAGCAGCGCTACTCGCCCTCTTCTTCAGCGCCACCAGGTTATGGAAGATGTTCCATAGACACGAGTAGAACCAACACTGCCAGTAGTGGTAGACACTCCAAGAAAGAGAGAGGACGAAGTAGAGCCATTTCCGACGTAACACATCCAAAAAAGAGACCAGTGTCTGTCACATTTCAACAACTTCAAAGTGGTGGTGGCTATGCCAATCCTTACAGTCAGTCTATTCTCACTTCAACTTCCTCGTCATGGTCATCAGATGTTTTTCCATCTCCAAGACATTTCTTCAAATCCTCTCTCTTCTCCAATAATAAGGAACAGGAATCGAAGGACATTAAAGTTCTCGTGTTGGGTGCCACAGCTGTTGGAAAGAGTGCACTTTGTAGTCAATACTTGAAAGGAATATTTCCATCTCAACATGTTGCCACAGTGGAAGATCAATTCAAAAAGGTCGTTGATATAGACGGTGAAACGACAAGTATTCATATTTTGGATACATGGGGAGATGTTCTCTTACAGAATGAATCATCATCTGCTGCTCAACAACAACCACAGGATCAATCGAACAGTTCGTCCTCCTCTCAAACAATGCCACCATCACAGTTGGAGCAGCTTTCGAGGCCTTCAAGAGCAATTACCTCAATCATTGATCAAGTTGGAGAACCAAGTGGTCAGTTCAATAATACCTCATATAGTACCTCAGCATCGAGTAACAGTACCACAATTTCCATGTCAACTTCTTCCATGGCAGAATCTTGTACTTTGACTGATGCTAGCAATGTAAGCAGCAGTAAGAACTCGTCACCAACTTCTCGAAGAAATAGTTCTGCACATTTAGAGATGGAACTTAAAAAGTCGATCATTAACCAAATTTCCTCTCATTCCTCCTCCAGTGGATCCTCGAATAGCCATGGATCATTCTTTTCATCCAATGTTGTCATTATTCTCATGTACTCCATTTCAGATTATTCCTCTTTTGAGAAGGTTTTACAAATTTATGAAAATCTTCAACTTTTGGCCGTCGAGTCACACCTGAAAAATTACAATGAAGAGCTTGCCAATAATTCTAAAAAGAAGGGCTCTCTCACCAAACGTTCCCCACGATGTAAATATTATTCCTTCCAACCCACGATCTTACTGGTGGGTACTAAACGAGATCAAGATCCATCCATTGCAAGAAGTAACCTGATACAGCAGCTTTCAACACCAACTACCTCAACAACGCCTCAACAACAAGAAGAGCGACGACCCTCCATGGTGCAACAACCTAGCAGCTCTGCTGACATGTATGGCTTCTATTACGGGTTTGGATTAAGCAATAGCTTGGAAGACAAGAGTCAACTCATACATTCACTTCCAGCAAGAATTCCAATCACCAAGAGCAATAAGCGACGTCCTTCCATCTACTCTCAATACGAATATGCCATGTGCGGATGCACAGAGACAGAACGACAAGTCACATTCGAAGAGGGAGAGCAACTCGCAGCAACCATTGGAGAGAATTGCTACTTTATGGAAATCTCCAATCAAAATCCATTAGAAGTCGAACAAGTGTTTTTGCAAGCCGTTCGGAAAGTGAGAGAACGCATAACTCAACTCTCCAACTCTGAGTTTGCGAGAGCCGCTCGAGCACAGCCCATCTCCCACAGAATGCCATTATCGGAATGTGTTTCCGTGTATTCCTCGAGATCATCAACGGCAGCAACTCCATGTGATGAAGACACTTGGAATGTTCTCAATGCGGCTCAACAACAGCCATCAGTGAATCATCCTCGTGTTCGAAAAGAAGTGCCTCGTCTCCTCTCACCAATCTCGGAGATGAAAGACGAAAAGCAAAGAAGACGAAGAAAAGACATAAAAGTGTTGGAAAATTGTGCTGCATTAACGGATGACTTAATAAATTACATGTAAATAAAGTCATCCCATGAATACGAGTGATGGAGAATCAATGAATTTCAATGTGGTAATATTGTTTGTAATGAAGGCTCAATAATGTGTATGTTTGTAACTTACATTTATTGGTCGCGAAAAACCTAGAAGTTTTATACTCGGGATGAATGGTTGAATAATCTATATAACTTGTGGTCGTTAAATTCATGGAATGATGGAAATTTGGGTGGGAATGGTGTTGAGAACTGAGCTTCCTTCAATCATCATCAGAATCCATTAAATAATAAAAGAATGGCCTGATATTGTTGAGAAGAAAAATCCGAAATATTTAAAACAAATTATTTCCAATAATCATAATGATGACAATATTATTACGTCAATTATTCTTCATCAAAATCAGTACTAATATCATACTGCCCTCCTCCTCCGCGAGTCTTTCTTTCTGCCAATAGTCTCACCTTCTTGGTTACTTCATCCGAAACAATTTGATCCGAGACAAGAGTGGAACCTCCAATAGCAGCACCGCTTGCTGCATGCCCCCTACGAGGTGAAAATAATGTCAAATACGTTACGAAAATGATAGAGGCTACAAAAAAAGGCCGTCTTCCAGTGACTCGACTCTTCGGAAAGATGAAATTAAATGCGGATTGAATGAAGGACATTTTTTTTCAATTCAAAAAAAAATATTTCCCATCATTTCCATTCCTTTCAATCAAAATGAAATGCGTTTCTGTTTCCATCAAACGCATTTAAGGTCAATGAGTGAAATGACACATAATAAATAATCATGATTTATGTTTGTGAATTGGGGTATCCACAATGCTTCTTATAAAGTTCACATGTTCCTCAAGGATAGTAGTAGTAGTATTGACCTAACAAGTTCTTTCTTCCAGTTTACTATTCCACTGTAAAAAATGTCGAACTCACAAACTCCCTCCTCTCCCTTCTTGCACACCGCCACCTCTCTGCAACAACTCATCCTCCATCAAGATGTCCTCTCTCGAATACTCTCCTTTGGGCTCTCTACTCTCGACATTTATTCACTCAAATTTACATGTGGGGATTTATTTCAATTATTGGGAGGTGATCCTTCTCTTCTCCATGCAGATTCATTGAGAGAAATATTGAAAAATCTTCATTTGCCTCGAATAGTGATGCAAATCGCAATGTACGGAAATGATGAACAAATGGAATTGGCAGTTTCTGAAATTCAACGATTATTTCAACAAAAGAGTCGAATTATTTCAAACACACAAATTGAAATTGAAGTGGAATGGCCCACGCATACACTGGAAGAGTATGAAAAAGATCCACAACATTCTTTGAAAAGTGACAGAAATTATCTGGAAAGAGTAAGATTTTTGAAATTATTGAAATATTTCGACACAAGTGTAGTCCAAACAATATCAAATGTACAAAATCCTTCTTCACAACTGAATTCTCCATCCAACCCAATCAATCCCTCAATTGAAGAAACATATTCAGAGATGGAAAAAACCATTTTACAGGAATTTTTCGATGTGAAATTTCTCGAGAAGGAGGACGATCAACACCATAACAATCGAATTTCACCTCCTGCAAGTTATTATTTTGCACACTTCGAGTCACAACTCAGGATTCATTCCTCCAAAATCAACAGACGTATCGTTAATAGTAGTAGTGAAAAGTATGAAACAACAATCACTCTCGAAAACCATTTATTGAATTGGAGAAATAGAAACTCGCTCAATGACGATCTTGTGAAAAAGAAATCACTCAATGCATGTCAAATATTTGACAAATTCATTCTCCATTTACAATTTATACCTTTTTTAACTGACCGTATTCCTCCCCTGCATGATCTCTATATTCATCCAAATGCTCAATCTTCGATCAATCTTCCAAACTTATTTGGTGAAAATCATGTCAACGATTTCCATGGAAAGAAAAAGTATGAATTCAATTATCGATACATGTATGGAAGAGATGTCTTCACCGTGACACGTTTAGTGAAGCATGTCATGTATTACATTTTTAAAGAGTATCTTGTTTTGAAAATGGAACGTGATGCAGTGATTGATTTGAAACAAGTGTATGAGAAAGAAGAGTTACAACATATCCAAACGTTATTGAAAGCATCGTCGAATGATGAAAAGAATCCATCGATTGATACAAATATCTCGAATTCATCCAATTATCTCCTTTGTCACTATTTCACCATTGAGAATAATGTCATTAAGGCATTTCGAAAAAGTGTTCTTAATGGAAATGTTTCTTCCTTACCCATTCCTCCTAAAAAAGCACCAATTGCTTCCATTCTATCGAACTCAAAGACACGCCAACCCATTGAACAATCCGAAAGGATTTCCTTTTTTAAAAATTGGTTGACTCTTCTCTCATTGGAAAGCATGACCGATCGAATGCGTGTATTGGTGGCCATTCAATTTGTGAAAGTTGCCTTCGAGTCAGACATGAAGAGTTTATCTTCTCCAGAGGCGCTTCGAAACTTGGCCAATGCTCTCAAAACAGACATTTCAGACCCAATTTCATATGGAATCCAAACCAAAAGTAGAAATATTTCAATTTGATTTCCAACTTGTGCGAAAATTGAAAGAACCATTATAGAAATGAAATTGAATTACATGACAATTCCATCCTTTCCAAAAATCAATTTAGAACTTATTGAACTCTTCACTCCAAAAGAGCGCTGTGTTCATCGTCTTACAAATTCGGTGTGGTCAACCTTTGACAGGTTTATGTTTGAAAAGGTTTATTCGAACCAATTTCTATGCTGTTTTAGTGCCATGTGGATATTCGGTTGTTGTTTATTGACAGCTCCCTGTGGAAGTTACAAATGTGGATACGAGATGCTTCCTATTTTTTCTGTTGGACAAACTGAGGATGACTTGTGGGATGATGAGAGCAGTGACGCCTCGTGTTGTTTCAAAAGTGGCAGTAGCTGCTGTTGCTGTTGCGTTTGTGGTGACTCTCTGTGTATTCCAAATTTTGTTCATCGATGGTTGCCTAGTTTAGATTATTCACAATTGTTACCATTGATGTTTTGTGCGGAAGGTGAATCGCCTTATGATGATGTTTAAATATGCTCATTTTCACGTCCAATATTATAGAAATTAAAACTTAGCAATCTAAAGAGTAAAAATTTGTTAAATAGAAATACGACAATGAATTTGTGTTGGTTCATCCTCTAATGTTCTTCTCCACTTGCAGGCAATATTTCCCATCGAAGTGTTTTGTAATGGTCTGGAATGTCACATCCATCATATTCGAAATTCATTCTCACGAGATACAATTCATTCAACTCGTTAATATTTTTGCACACCTTGTTGAAACGTCCATATTTTGCAGCTTGAACGATTACAGGATCCATAGTTGTGTCATCATTCGTGATGGCTTCACCAAATTGATATTGATATCGATCCAACGCAGAAGCATCCACACAAACTGCTCTCAAAAACTGTGTTCTAGTGTAGGTTGGAAATAATTCAAAATCAGAAGATTGAGGTGCCATCTGTCGTGCCTCTTCACAAATTTCTTCAATTTCTTCCAAAGAAAAGCGCGTTCCAGCAACTTGTTGAACTGCCTGCCGAATCAATTCCTTGTCGGTTTTCAATTTTGGCGAAGATGCAAATCATAGCATGTGACCTGAATGTTGAATGACCTTTTCCACTACCTCTCGATCACTTCTCAACCTTTTTGAAGCATACACAAATGAGGAAGGATTACTGCTCAGAATGCTCATGACAAATTCCTTATTATTCCTTAAATTTGGACTTGCCAATGAAAAATGAGCAAGTGTTTCATTTGCGAGTACTTGTCTCACAATTTCTTCATCGTCGAGAAAATGACGTGCCATTTCAGCATTCGAAAGACAACTTCCATTCGCTTTTACAGCTGTGAGAATAACTTCACGATCGTACAGATACGAAGGTGGTACAAACAGAAGAGCCTTTGGATTGAAGGACATGGCTTTGAGAATGAGAGCTTTTTCAAGAACTTGTAAAGAGTCTTCAACGACATGCAGATCATTGCTGAGATATTTTGTGATTGCATTTGGTGTTGTTCTCATGGTTGCTGCACTGCTGTGGAAATAATATTTCAAAAAAGCACTTGGATACAATTTCAGTAATAGAGAAAGAATTTCATCATCCTTCTCATTCAATGTTTCACTTTGTGATTTCTTCATCAACAAAGAAAAGTAATCATTCAAATTTGGTGGCTCAAACAAAGAGAGAGCTTGAAGGATCATCTCTTGACCAGTCCTCAACTCTCGAGAAGCATATTTAAAAGCATTCGCTCCGTGTGGACCTTTCATGGCTTCCAATACGACATGACGATGGTGTCGATACTTGTGAAAGGAGGCCTTCATGGGCTCTCCTTCTTCGTTTCTTTTCACATAGAGAAATGGGATATTATTTTGTATTAAAGGTTGAATGTTCTTCACCCTCTCTATTCTCCATTTCATCATCGAACAAGTCATGATTGAGTGTCATGTTGGACCATAATGGAGAGATCATCATGTATTGCACACACTCTCCATTGGAAGCAAGAGATTGTAAAATAATTTCTCGATCTTGTTGTAATTCTTCAGAGGCCATCATCCACAACATGCCCTCTCTTTTCACAGCTTCCAACATGAATGTTCGATCCTTCTTGAATGCATCAGGAAGTGAAAGAAAGGCCTCAAAGAGTCCTTCTTGAGACTTCAAACATTCGCTCCAAAACTCTCGATCCTAAAGTACATATGAAGGTAAAGGACCTTTTACAAGAATATCTGCTCTCCTGTGTGCCTTTTCGATCAAGAGTTTGCGACTCGTCCACATGCAGTCTGGCAAACCAATAAGGAGGTTGGGTTGTAAATGAACTAATTGTGAGCACACTTGAAAATCATGAATGAATTCGAGAGGAAGTGAAAGCCATGGAAGATCCAGGTAGGAAAGGCCTATTCGATCAAGTTCTTGTTGTTGCTGATGAAAGGTTTGGATTTGATGAAGAAATTTCTCTCGAGCTCGGAACCATTTGGTGAACCCGAGTGATTGATTTTGATACTTTTTGGTCAATAATAATTGTGTTGGTGTAGAAATGGAATGAAAGAGATCGTCATGATGAGCCATAAATTGCGAGTGTGGAATTGTGAAATTAATTAACGTCACAACAACAACAGGAGAGCAAATTCCTTCTTCATTTTCGCACATTTTTTTCAAATATAGATCCCCAACACGAAGTGGGATCTTGGGCTCACATATGTGGATAGCATTAATTGACTCTTGCAATAATGTCAATACCTTTGTACTGAGGCAATTCAAGATTAAATTCTTTTTGAAGAGATGGTGGGACAAATCTTCCACCAACATAATGAACGCCCTTAAAATGTTGAGCACACAATTTTGGAGCTGTCAATGAAATTAAAACGTCACAATAGAGGCCTCCATTATAAAGATTTTCCTCAATATTAGTATTATTGACGTCCCATCCTGATGGAATATCAATGCAAATCATTGGCACCCGTTGTTGTTTGGCTTTCTCATTTAATATCTCAATGATATGTTTATAGGGTTCCCTTATTCCACTTTTGTCAGAAAATGAAAAACCAAAAATTCCATCAAGTATAAATTTGAAATTCTCAAAAGTATTGTTGTGTTGTTCTAATAATTCATCGATTGATTTAAAAACTGGAATTTCTAATTGTTTACATTGTGTTAATAATCTAATATATAATTCATTGGTTGTTTCTTTGGGATATAAAATTACAGGGGAGTATCCAAAATGTTTCAAATGTCGTGCAGCTACTAGCCCATCACCTCCATTATTTCCTGGGCCACACACAACTTGTTATGAGCGTTTCGGTGAAATTGAAAATGTTTCATAAAGGTGCAAAATGTTACAACATATTTGTAGATTCATGACATTAGTGCCACATGAATGAATACATGTACGTACTCAAACAAGAAATGTTGGTCCTATCACGAGGAGGAGCATGATCAAAACATGCATGAGCGACAGACATTCCTGTTATCATTAAGCCAATGTTATTTGTTTGTAACAGTAAAATCCAATATGTTATTAATTACGAAAATCAGGATGATCAAGTCTCTACTTGCCTGCCATTTCCATCAACTGGTCAATTGAAAATCCATGTACATTCTTATCCATGAGCAGTTGATCAATTTTAATTGCCTCATCCGATGATAGAAATTGTTTCTTGGACGACATTTCAATAATACTGGAAGTATTTAAATGACTCGTTGTTGATGTTGGATGGATCGTATCCGTAAACTCAACTCCACAAGATGAAGAATATTGCCTCAATTCAAATGATTTTAATGATGACGATGATAGGATGGAGAAGCAAAATAATTTTTCCAAATTCAAACGTAATAAATAATAATTAGCAGCAGTCGTTGTGGTAGTATTAAATAACGTTGATTTAGTGGTGGTTTCTGTTGCTCCGAATACCGTTAAACGTTCCCGATCAATGACAAAATTTGAATCGAGGAGAGTATCCTTCGTTTTTCGGAATAAGCCAACAATTTTTTTCATTTATTCTCATTTCCTTAAAAAGATTTCTAATTGAAACGATTCATCTTGGATACTATATATTAATACATCATCCTACTTGCTGGCACATGAAGGTAATAAATTTCAAATACAGCAATTCAATTAAGTCTCCAAGAAGCAACCCCTTAAATGTGAAAGAATCCTCAAGATAAAATTTCATCACAACTGTCGAACTCTCAAAAAAATCTTCCTCGCCGCGCCTTCTAATCTCATCTCTCTCGCTTTTTCTTCTTCATCACCACCAGAGAGCAACAATCTTCTTCTTCGTCATGAGTATCCTTCTCGCTCACACCTCTTCCAACAATGGATCCACCACTCGTGAACGCTCTCTCTCTTCTCTCTCACAAAATTCCTCCTCACTAAATTATGGATCCATCGAAAGCAGTCAGGATGATGCAGCCACAATCTTTTCGAAACATGTTCATTACAATGATGATGATGAAAATAAGAAGGAAATTATTTCACATCATTTGGATACTCCTATTAATCATTACGCGGTTCAGAGTTTGATCGATGACACTCGACAAAGACAACAACAAGTGGATGATGATGACGGAATGAATCGGAGATCGAGTGTGAATAATAACGAATATTATTATGTTTATCATTCAAAAGATTCTAAAAATGGAATGAAATCAAAGAATGCACTTGTGAGAGTATTGTCCTTCTGTTATACCTTGACTTCAAATATTGGAATTGTTTTGACATTTGGCAGCTTGTTAAGATTTCCCTATATTTCACACAAATATCATGGAGGTGCCTTTATCATTCCATATTTTCTCTTATTATCAATTATTGGAATACCATTAATTATTCTCGATTACTCACTTGGATACATCTCTGGAAAGAGTTTTCTCTTTTCACTGGCAAGATGGAATCGACGATCGAGTGGAATTGGAATGGCTTCATGCATTCTTGGAAGTGCGATTATTTCATCGTATTATTCAGTGATTACTTCATGGCTTGGAGTTTATTTTGGAAATATATTTACAGGTGAGTATACTCAAGAATATTCATTTGTGTAAAGAAAATAATTTATTTTGTCATATTCTTACTTTCAAATTTATATATTGAAATTTAAAAACAATAATCATAATAATTTCGAATTTATTTATGTATCACCTTTACATTTCATCATGACACTTGTCACACAGATCCCATGCCTTGGTCTGGAACTCCAGAACATTTTTTCAAAACACAAATCCTGAAAATTAGTACCAATTCGTACGATATTAGTGGATTTCTGTCGTGGCCTGTATTGGTCGCTCTCGCTGCCTTTTGGTTCCTCAGTTATTGGTTTCTATTTTTGGAAAGTGTGAGTAAGGTCGTGCGGTGGTTTGCCTCACTCTTTAGTTCTATTTATGTGCTCATGTTGTTGGTGATTTTCATTCGAGTGCTCTTTGAGGTGGGATCTGGAATTGGAATTTTACAATTTTTAAAACCTGATTGGATGTTGTAAGTTTTTTTGTTGATTGATTCGCAATAATGTGATGCGACGAATGAATACATGCACGTTAAAAAATTGTTGTTGACTTTTTGGCACATGGATTTAAATATGTGAATGAATGGACGGAACATTTGTGTGTTTGTGTCTGTCACTATATGAAATCGTTCAAAATGAAAAAGATTGACAAAGGGAGATTTATGGTTAGGTGCATTTGGTCAAATATGTTTTACCTAGTAAGTTTCATATATGGATGTTGCAATTTCAAAGATTCACACCATCATCACAATAACCTTATACGAATCATCTATTTATTCTATTTTCACAATAATCTTACATGTTATGAATTCATGTCAATCAATATGAATCAATTTCACTCTCACAAATCTCTCCTTAGTGGCATTTCGAATGGCTATCTCACCATGTATTCCTCTCAATTCAAGAATGGAAACAAAGACCTTGTCTTTAACTCTTTCATGATACTCTTTGCAGGAATTCTCGTTTCAGTTATTAGCGGAATTTCTTACTATTCTGTTTTAGGATATTTAGCTGTCACAAGCAAAACTCCAGATGAAATTAATTCTCATTTTCATGCTGGTATTGGGTCTCCAATTTTTGTCATGATTGAAGCTGCTACCACTCTATTTCCAATTCCTCACATGTTCACAGTGGTTTTAATATTTTCATTGATTTTTGTAGGATTTAATAGTACTCTCTATTTTTCAGAAGCATTTATGAATTGTGTGCAAAATTTGATACCACGAAGAAACACTCGAAGATTTGTCATTGCATCGGTAGTGTGCGCCGTTTCATTTTGTTTTGGAATTCCATACACGTTATCGAATGGTTATTATATTTTGGAAATTGTGGATCATTATGTTGGAAATTATGGAATGGGATTAATTGCCTTAATGGAATGCATTGTGATTGGATATTTTTCATCGAATCCAGAAGGAGGAACCATCAAAAAGTCACCTTTCATGGCAAACCAAATGAGTGGAAACAATTTGAATAGTCTTCAAACCTACGATTCAAAATCTCCATTTACTCTTTTCAAATTTATTCGAAAACGATGTTCCAAATTCTCACAACATAAATCTTGGAAAAATTTTAAGGGAATTATTTGCTTTTCGGTGGATTCTTTCAGAGAGAGAATTGAAAGAGACACAAAAATTGGTCCCTTTCTCGTGTGGAGTATAATTGTGAAATATTTAACACCATTGATTTTATTTGTACTTTTAATTTGGAATTTAGTGATAGAATCCATTCATCCATTTTCATCTTTTAATGATCAATCCAAGTATGATGTCTTGTCACTTGTCTTGGGATGGTTGTTAGTTGTGGCCTGTCTTGTAATTTTTTTGATTTTTGCCGTTTGGCCTTCCGTGGAAGAAAATGAAGAAGTTGGTGGAGATGACATGAAAGAATTTGTGAGTTCCTTTTCCAAAGAAGATTTAAAACAACCTTTGAATATTAACAGTAGTGGAGAAGATTCAATGGAAGTATTGGCTGCTGCAGCCATTGAAGAAGATCAAGTCTAGACGACATCAACATATCATGTGCAGGAATAATAAATTTGAATCATGACAAGTCAAAGGCAAATGACCGTATAGAAAGCAAATATCACATGTAATTCTACTAAAATCTCCCATTCACTTGTTTGACTCTTCTGAATTCACAGAATCTCCATATTGAATGAATTTACTTTTTTTGAATTTCCATTTCAAGTAATTTCCTAAATCTAAAAAATATCCAGTCATTGAAACTTTAAAGAACCAAAACGACAACCTTCCTCACATGTGAAAATTGCTTTTTCACAGAGAGAGAAGAGTCGCTTCTTTGTCTCAAATTGCAACATTCATAAAATCCTCAAAAAAATTAAAAACACTTTTGAAAACCAACCCTCCAACAACAACAACAATGGACGGACTTTCCTACCTTGAAAATGATCACGTCTGGATTCGTGATCGATTCTCTCAATTCCGTAACGAAACCAATTGGTCCCTTCGTAAAGACATTATTAAGGACATTATCACCTTTGTGTGTCAACACACATCTGCTGAAGAACGATATTTGTACGAGTTGATTGTAAAAAAGTTTGATAATGGTAAATTCCTCTACGACAAGGAATATGTGGATAATCAAGTTGCCAAAGAAATTATGCAATTCTTGTTGGACAATCTTGATGTCTTGACCACTGGCAACTTTACTTATCGTGACTCCTATTTCCAAGAATGTGAAAAACTCTTCTCCTCTCTCGAAGATCACATGAAAGAAGAAGAGAATATCATTTTCCCCAAATTGAGAGAACAACTCTCTTCCAATGAACTCTCTCAATTGTATCGTGATTTGGAATGGGCCAAAAAGAATGCACCAACCATGCCACATCCACGAGCTCCAGTGACTGGCGCTAAATTGTTGCATCCAGTCACAGGATTGGTGGATACAGTTACGGAACAAATTACTGGAACCAGTCGTAATCAATAAGCTATAAAACGTGTAGAGTGTGGCAAACGATGATGTGAAAAGGTTACTTGACCTCTCGCAGTGTTCTCTCTTCCTACGATTTGTTTCTGTGAAACCATTGTCGATCGATAATAAACGGTAGTGATTTTTCAACTCTTGTGATTCATAAATCAGACTCTCTTTCTTTGAAAGGTTTCCGTGTGAATTTTAACGGGTGTTGGAGGAGAGAATGATCAAAGACAATGCATCATAGAACAAGTGGACTTGATTTAGTGGCAAATACTTTACTGTAGTCGCAGTGATGAAATAGTGTGACCATTGCTCTCAATTTTGTTTGTACAGCCCTATCAATTCTTTCAATAGAACCTAGTTCCATGGTGGAAAAGATCAAGTTAGAAATAATCCTTATTCTTCTTCTTGGTTCGAATGTCATACTCTTCATCTTCACTCTGTTCATCATCCTTTGACATTTCCACATGTCCGAAATGTTGCTCTCCAACCAAATGTCTTGGAATTGCTCTCCACTTTTTATATTGCCATGCTAAACAGCCAATAAGAGGTAAAATCACAAAAAGAATCAAACAGCTGGCTGGTAATAGAGTTGCAACTGCAACAATCGAAGAGGTTGTCAAGAATGAGGAAATATCCTTATAGTAGTAAAATAAATCTCTCTTTCCAAAACCAACAAACCAAGCTGGATATTCAGAATTTGTGTAACATTGTTTTTCAGTATTCACATATACGAGTTCGTTGTCGAACATGCCATTCAAGTCTCCTTTCTTGAGTTCAATCCAATTAGCAGTTGTATTCAATTTGTAGAATTTTGGGAATGTATCTAATGTGACATTGGTGAATGTTTCATCATGGAATGAATATTTCACAATAGCATGACAATATCTAACGTCATAGGTTTGACTATTTTGTGTAATTGATCTCTCCATAATACAATTTTCAACATTATTTGTGACGTTACATGTTGTTAATTCTGTGAGTAATGGCTTTTCAATACTTTTCTGAGAGGCCCGAATGAAATCCCAATATAATTTTGCAAAATAGGCTCCAATACCCAAGCATGAAATAGACAGAACGGTTGAGACGATCAATACAATGAAAGTGATCATCATTCTCCTTTTGCTGGTTATTAATTTTGCCATTTTGTTTTCGTAAAAGTTTTGATAAAAGTGTTTAAAAGAATAAATTAATAATGATGATGAGAGTACTACTAGTTGGATAAAATTCAAAGACTAATGATGATCGGATAATCCGTTGATGATCTTCAATAATAATGGATTTGATTGATAATAATAAATAGAAAATTCAAATTGAAAAAATAGGAATAGGGAATTAGCTTGATGAAGAATTCAGTGATGATAATGACGATAATGAGCCTTTAATCCACAGCACACGCACGCAAACTCTTAAACAACGTTCTGTAGCTACACACGTCAAATCGGAATGGTGCAATTCAATGCAAAGATATCCAAGCCGTTACGGAATTTTTTAATTGGTGTTGTGGATTCGAGCAACTGTCAATCATCATCGTTGGTTCGTCTCGGAACGTGTTGGTTTGCTGCCCTTATTACATTGTTTCCATCTGCCATGGAATCTCATGAAAAGGATGGTTGTTCGAATATTGTATAAGATTCAACTTCTGAATGAGAATACATGTATAGACACTCTCTTTAAAAAGTTAAAAAGATAATTCAAATACGGGTAAAAGGGGAACGGTTCCTTCTTTGATCTGAATGAAAGATCATTCAAATTTCTGGAGATTTTCCTCCTGTTTTTGAAGAATAACATCCCGAATTTGGACGTATTGATTGGAGTTACTTATTTTGAAAGTATTTCTTCATTAGTTCCATCGCTCTCCCCACCTTCTATGCATGAACACAGAAGTCTGAGACTCTGCGTGTTCATGAGATTCGTTACAACAGGATAATACAGGAGCACTGATGAACAATTTTCGCACATTGAATCTGTACAGTAACGTTTGACCAATGTACATTTTCAACCTCCTCAGAGATGGGCGTTCTAAGAAAAGCAAACTCCTTATGTTCGTCCTATTTGGGAGGGAATGCATCACTGAGAACCAAGGAGAAAATGTTATATATGTATTAATCCGAATATTGAGAGATTTGACTTGCTCCCTGATGGACACATTAGGCAAGCACGTTGTCGCTTACGACTAAAGCACTGCAGCAACACTACTATCGTGTGGAGATAATACCTTTTTCAACTGTGATTGTTGCATGATTCATTCATTAATGGTAGAGATTCAACTTCTTTTAAAAACGTACCTGATTGATTCTGAAACCAACAATGGAAGAGAGATGTTTCTGAATTTATGAAACTGCATTCTGTTTTCCACACACATGTTCACGATTACCATATTATGACCTTTCATGATGCTTTAATATTCCAACCACAAAACCACTCACTCTTAATATGTATTGTGATTTACAGTTTTCTCTCGTGAACCCAAAACGAACGCACAAACCCACAAGTCACCAGCTCACTTTTAAAGTGTTGTTCACTTTCCCTTTTTAATTTCGTAATCGATCAATTCTCTAGATAAAAGAGTTGCACTCCAGGTTTCCAAACCCACCACCTCAACTGCGCACGGAAAATGGCTTGATCAAGATTCGGCTTCAAAAGAGAGTTCGTTTTTATCATCATTGACGCATGACACCTTCAAGTTGAATAGGAAAAATACCGTTTGGCTTCTTCCTTCCATTTCCATATTTTAGGCATCTGAGATAGGTGCTTCAGTTCTTGTTTGCGGAAATTCCCTGCAAACTAATTTGAATGCCATGAATTCACATTTACGGTCGACAGGGTACTGCGACGACCTTATAAACTCTGCGACTGTTCAGCATCCAACAATAACAACAGAAAAAAACATCACACACAACCATTCATTGTCCAATACCACTCAAATCGCTGATTATTTCATGTCCTCTTCAATGACTCTCTCACCACCTCATATGCATCTTTCAACCTCTGGAAATGGTCATTGTCCGCAATCCTCGTTCTGCTACTATCCATCTCATCACCAGCAGCAGTATCCAACAATGTTCGAACATAATAATACTCACATGACGATGATGACCATGATGGATGTCACTCATTCACCATCGTCAACACCATTGAATTGTTCCCCAATCCATAATAGCACTTCCACTGCTCATTCTCTTCCAATGTTGCAACAAATCAGTTTGAATGACATTTCTATTGGAGCACCAACCTTCTTGAAATTAGACATTCAAGATATCATGCAAGCTTGGCGAGAATTGTATGGTGAAGAAGATGATGATGAACAGAGACTCCCTTCAGAGATCAGTAATTATGGCTTCAACAACATGATGACTGATCAAGCTCACCAATAACAAATAATCACTTCAAGAGAATTGAAACATTGCCAACTCTCTCTTTGTCATACCGTGAAACAACAAACCACACACAGAAGGCATGTAATGTCCAATCACAGAATATCAGAATGTTTAACAGCAGAATTGCATTCACACGTGTTTGGTACCATTGCTTTGTGGTTGCCTCTTGAAAATGCTTTCGCGCTTAACACAAATTGCGCACAAAAATCACATGAAATTGATTGGACCTTTCGCACGTGATACTTGATACAGCAATGCTACGAAAAGATCAAATAAAGTTACAAAGTTCGAAATTGATCATGTCTTTCCAAACAAAAACCAACAATTATTTTGACCATTACCTGAATCGATTCCCCTCTGTAATAATACTGTACTGCAGTATTATTACAGAGGGGAATCTCTGGTTTAACATCTCTCTTCACAGAGAGACCCTGTACAGGAAACATGAAGAACACGCGTTTTGCTAAACCAACAATAACCTACTGAGTCAGAGTACAGATTCAATAATGCATTCAACAGGAAAACCAAACAAAAAAATGTCGGAAGCATCCAATCCTTACAAACAAGCGGCCAAAGCCATCAAAGCAAAGGGACTTTTGAAACTCAAGTTTTATTGCCAAATGTGCCAAAAGCAATGTCGGGATGCTGCTGGATTTAAGGCTCATACCTTGAGTGAGTCTCATCATCGGCAAATGCAAGTGTTCCGAGCGAATCCAGCCCGATTTATTAATCAATTTAGCGAGGAATTTAAAAAAGGATTTTTGGATATTTTGAGAACGAGGCATGCCAAGAAGAAGGTACCAGCATTGAAGGTGTATAATGAGTATATTAATGATAGGCATCATGTACATATGAATTCAACACGTTGGACCACACTCAGTTCGTTTGTAAAATATTTGGGAAAAATCGGAGTTTGTTATGTGGAGTATGATGAAGAGAAGGATTCGTGGCTCATTCAATATTTGGGAGAAACAAATACTTATAATCCGAGTGGTGCCTCATCATCGAATACTGAAAATGATGAAGTGTTGGATGAGAGGAGAAAATTTGATTTGTATGAGAGACAATTTCAAGCATTGAAAGAGCTTGAAGAGCAAGCAGATCAAATCATTAAAGAAGAAAGTGGAAATGAGTCAAAGACATCTTCATCATCATCTGACACAAAACAAAACAAAAAACCTTCATTTTCTGGATTTACTCTCACGAATAAGAGGAGCTTGTCACAAACCACTTCCGATAAGAATTCTGAAAATTCAACAACCTTGTCAAATGATGCCAATCATAATTCCAAAAAAACGGACAGCAATGCAACACAAAAGAATCTTCCAGTTGATCAGGATGAATCGATAGAACAAAACGAATCGGAGGCGATTGCTCTTGACAGCAATCTAATTCAACAAACGATAGAACCAGCCACAAAGAAAAAAAAGATTCGAAAAGATGCCGATGAAGATGACTCTGGCCTTTCAAGTGGCTGGCTTAAAACAGGAATAGTAGTGAAAATTATTGACGAAACTTCGGAATTCTATAACAAGAAAGGGCTCGTGATTAAAACTCTAAAGAAAAAGAGGCAAGCTCAGGTAGAATTACTGGATAATCCTGGACAAATTATTGAGGTTTATCAAGACAATTTACAAACTGTGATACCTAAAATTGGAGGCAAGGTCACCATTCTTAAACATGAAACAATGAGAGGAAAATCTGGTACTCTGTTATCTGTAGATTTCGATAAGGGATGTGCCACTGTACAAGTGGATGGCGTTTTGGGAGAGAATCAACTCGTGCTCAATTATGATGAATTTTCGAAGTTATTTTGAGTCGAGTAAATGATATTGTATGTGCAGATCCTTGCATCGCGTCATCATTGACAACCATCGGTTGACCATGAGTGCATCATTCTCGTGATCCTTACCTTTCGTGCTTGACAAGGAATTGCACATTTGAACGAGTTTGAATGGACATGCCTTAGTTGAGCTGTTGAACTCCTGAGGATGCATTACCCAACAAGAATGGCTTGAACTCGTAGGAGAGATCCCGTCATAATTGCAACAAACCCAACAAACGGAGAATTGACAAAATATTATCAACATGCAAAAAAATTCCCTGAATCACGTGATTCATTCATCTTCATCAGTAGTGTTTCGCCATTATCATCATGATCACTTCTCAAATCAAGGACAAAATCATTTTGTATGGCAATCACATCAGCCAACCTTCACGATCCGTCATGTGGTTCATGATGTTAAATAACATTCCTTTTGAATTTAAATTAGTGAGATTGGAAAAGTTGGATCATCGTGGAGAGGAGTACAAGAAGATCAATCCGATGCAACAAATTCCTTCATTGACCATCATTCCTGATACAAGTTCTTCCGAATCTGTTTCAACTAAATCGTCCTCTTGTCATGAAGAACATATTTTCGAAAGTCAGGCCATTTTGTTGCACTTGTTTCATCGATATCGAAAAAGTTGTAAAATTCCTGCTCATTGGTATCCAGATCCTCATGCACACTTGACAGAGCATACTAGAGTGAACATGTATTTGAATTATCACAATTCACAATTGAGACCTGCAGTGGGTGGATATGTTTTTGCTGCTGCTATTGGACCCACTGCATTTGGAATGAAACGAGATGAATCCAATATTCGATCCTTGGAAAAGAAGACACATCTTGTGTTGAAACAATTGGATACTTTTTGGATGAATGGAGCTGCTATCTTGGGAAATGCTCCTTCTTCAGGACAATCTCTCTATTTGTGTGGACAAGCTAAAATTTCAATTGCTGATCTGTTGTGTTATAATGAGCTCATGCAGTTGACACTTCTGACAGACGCTTCAACATTGTGGGAATCAGAAATTTACAAGCCTTATTCAAATGTTTGCAAATGGCTTCAACTCATGTCCAAAACTCCAGAGCATGACAAGGTCTTTAAATTTCTGAATATTCTGAAAGAAAAAGTCATTCAGCGAACGTACATCCAAACTTTAAATGTTGTGAGTGAAAATGGTGACACTTCTTTTCTTGCAACATGGATTGGAATACATATGTGAATGGTACCAATTTCAAGTACGCTTCATATTTAATACAATTAGTGATTACAATGATTCTCTGTCGACATCTTCTTGTTCAGATGACAACATCCCAGACTCTGAATCTTCGGAGTAGCTACCACCATTAATAGTCGAAGGTATCCTTTTCCTTGAATAAATGGTCTGCTTGCACATCTTTCCCATCACATATTCTTTCTTTTGGAATGGTGAACCATCGACATAAAACTCTGTCTTTGCTCCATGCAATTTACCTTCAAAGTAGGTAGCCTCAGTGGTCAGATGATGTTCTTTCTTGTTGAAAACCCCATCCTTACATGCATAGGATCGAGAAATACCATGCAATTTTCCCTCTTTAAAGTGGCTCCATTCCATAATTTGTTCGTCCAATCCAAAATATAAAATCTTGAGGCCATCGTATTTACCATTCTTATAATAACATTCAACATCTTTAACAATCGCTTTTTTTCCATCATTGTCATATAGAACTTTGTATTCAATTAATTTACCATCAAGCTTGTCATTTTTGTAGGAGCATGACCTTTCAATGGCATCTTTTCGATGTGAGAAATATTTTACAAACGATCCTTCTTTTTTTTCCACAAGCAAAGTGTCCCACTTGCATGATCTCTCCTGATTTAAAGTAATCAATCGCCTCTCCATGTTTTTTTCCATCTTTGTAAGAGAGCTGTGATTTGATGTGACCTTTACATATTTCTTTCAAATCATCATTGACAACCTGTGGAGTGTCTGGTTTTGAAATGTATTCTTGTATTTTTTCAGAAAGATTTAAAACACGATTATCGGTGTGTATCACAAGCATGGGGCCTTGTTTGTATCCAAGCAGGTATTGTACAATGGAGAGTTGAGTTTTTTTGCTCGATGTCACCAGGTTGTTGTGAAAAAGGTTCAATCGTTTTGTGTGTTGAGAAGTAAAATAATTACTTTTTTGGAAATTGTACCAATCTTTGCATACTTGTCTAAAAAGATGTTACATTCGTTTCAATAATAATTTCATACACATATTTGAGAATAAGCATGTGAAATGTTGTGAATGAATGTTTTGATTGAACAATAGAATTGAAATTGTCAAAAAAGTAAATCATCATAATTTACATTTTCAATAATAGTAATAATAATCGTTGTGCTTCTCGATCCAACACGTACCTACAAATATTTAAATCTTTTCCCCTTAAGAATGGAAACATGCTGTCCATAAATGCAATCAACAAGTAGAAGGGAACCATTCTTATTTTCTTCTTGAAGGTCCCAAAATAAGAATCATCCTCTTCTTCCGAAATGCAATCGCTTAATCGATCAAGTGTTCTCTTTCCTTCTGTTGCCTCTGCTTGATCGTTATTTGAATTCTCAGGACTCGGATTTTCCCTTCCAGATTGAACATCATCAAGAAGGGACATTTTTTTGGGTTTGCAATATGCAACATAATTTTTTGCATCTAGACAAAAAATCATTTCTTTCCTCATCCCCACCGATCGATGATGATCATACCAAGGCTAGAACAGCTAGATTCTTCTCCTAAAATTATTGATTGATTGATTAATTATTGAACAATTTTTTGATTCCTCTCGACGAACGAGGAACGTTTTTCAACTAAAAATTAATAATTTTTTTGGTTCATGATCGGAATGACCTCCATGCCACCACCATCATCAAGCAAGAAGAAGAAATCATCATCATCACCAACAAAATCAACACCTTCATCTATACTCTCTGGATACAGTCCACTTCATCGGGAAGGATATTTAGCCTTTGTTCATTTCTTTTTCAACACCTTATCCAACTTGGAAAAACAAGGACGATTTGAACATCGGGATTTATTGATCTCAAGATTCCTCTCAAGGCTGAGTGTGGAGGAATTACGGAATTTGATTGATTTCTATGGATTGGTGAATCCAACCATTGCTACACTCGTACAAACTCATAAACGAAAATATGAACCAGAAGAAGAGGCTTCTCCTTATAATGTATCGAAAGAAAGAGAACGATTAAGACAACTCGTATTGTCGCAACCTTTTGTAACAAAGTTTGCAAGGGATGATGGGATTGAAATGAAGGAAAAGCTCCATGCCTTCAATGATGTGCATCCGGAGGATGATAAAGAGGAACAAAAATTGGAAATTTGGGAGCAGGGGAATGAGGAAGAAGCAAAGAAAAGGAAACAATGTTAATTCATTGAATTCTTTCTCTCGTGATGATGGACCTTTCCGAGAATGTTGTTGTGAACTAGAAATTGATGAAGACAATACTTGCCAAATCACAAACCACACAAGGATGACAAAAACAGACTAAAATTTGACTGAACCTAAGGATGACAAAATCTAATGATTCTCTGGTCAACTTGAATTTGCTTTTAACTAAACTAGCAATAATTACGCACTTCTTCCACAAAAATTGTGCACGGAGGAAATTCTCACAATGGCAATGACATCTTCAGATCGTTATTTGGATTTTCACAAATCTTGATGTGTTGAGGCAACAACAAAATACTTGATTAAAGATCTCTCTTCAAAGTTTATTCACAGACTCAGTTGCAATCCGCTGAGACATAATCGGTTCCTGATATTGATCATTCAGTTAGACTGATTTAATTACTCTTTTGAACCTTGTTCAACTTCTTCAACAAGTTCTTTGGGAGCTTGACAGCAACCTTTCTGCATCTTCTGGTTCTTCTAGCTCTTCTGCTTCTTCTACATCTCTTTTGGATCTTCAACTTTCTAAGGAGCTTGCGGACTTTCTTTGGAACGTGCTTCTTTGGGTTGAATCTCTTTCCGAGCTTCTTCTTGAGCCTCAACAACTTCTTGACAATCTTGTTGAGCTTCTTAGCAGCCTTCTTCTTCAAAACAACCTTTCTTCTAGCAGCTCTTTTCTTGGCAGCCTTCTTGGCCTTCTTTGCAGCCTTCTTTGCCTTCTTGGCTTGCTTCTTTGCCTTCTTAACAGCCTTCTTGGCCTTCTTCAACTTCTTTTGGAGCTTCTTGAGTTGTTTCTTGAGTTGCTTCTTGGTAGCCTTCTTAGCAGCCTTCTTGGTAGCCTTTCTGGTAGATCTTCTTGCTCTTCCGCACTTTCTTGGTGCTCTTCTTCTTCTAAGAGCGACTCTTCTCTTGGCAGCTCTCTTAGCCTTTCTGGCAGCCTTCTTGGCCTTCTTGACTTGCTTCTTTGCCTTCTTAACAGCCTTCTTGGCAGCCTTCTTGACCTTCTTCAACTTCTTTTGGAGTTTCTTGGTGGCCTTCTTCACTGCCTTTTTGGTAGCTCTTCTAACAAATCGACGACATCTCTTAGCCAATGAACTTCTCTTGGACAAACGACGAGCACGTCTTCTCAATGCAGCTCTTCTTTTCAAAGCAGCTCTTCTTCTCAAAGCTCTTCTTCTCTTTGCCAATCGACGAGCTCTCTTCAAGGCCTTTCTTGCAGCACGTCTAGCACGACGACGAGCCAACTTTCTGGCCTTTCTTGCTTTCTTGGAAGCACGTTTGACACAACGTCTAGCAGCACGTCTAATCTTCTTGGCTTGTCTGCGAGCTCTCTTCAAAGCACGTCGGATGGCTCTTCTTGCACGCTTGGACTTGACACGACGAATGCGACGAGCCAACTTTCTGGATCTCTTCAAAGCTTTCTTCACAGCACGTCTGTTACGACGACATCTCTTCAACAAACGTCTAATCACTGCTCTACGTTTACTTGGAACTCTTCTCAAGAGTTTTCTGTGTCTTCGGATACAAGTGGCACGACGATTTCGTTTCACTTTCAAACCGAAGCATAAAGTGGAGGCAGCCAAGGTGTCTGCGCTGGCTGCTTGTGTTGTTGTAGTGGCAACGAACATGACCATGCAGAAAAGCATAGCAAGTGCCAACAAGATGAATTTGTTCATGTTGGTGGATTTTTTTTTGATGACTCTGTGAAGTTTGACGTGTGTGAATATTTGGTTTTAATAGGGCCAACTGCTCGTTGAAATCAGTGAGAGACACGCTCGACGAGCACGCGATGAACAAAAGAAAACTATCCGTCACTCTCGCGCGGTGATGCCTCTATTTGTTCGTCGTGTCACTGGTCACACGTCAAGTAAGTATGAACCTGATAGAAAGATTTGGTGCGGAAGTCGACAGAAGAAGAATCTCTTCTCTCTCTGACCGGGTCAGTCAGCTCTGCCAATTTTTACTTAAGTAAAATTGATCGAACCCTCATAGAGAATGTATGAACTTTAAAGCCTGGTCCATTCAATCGGAAACTTTCAGTTGTTCAATACTCCAACTTGGATATGAATGATTACACAAGAGTTTAGATTCAATGACTGGATGAGTTTCTTATGCAGGCAGAACAATGTAAAAGTTCACTTTCAAGCTGTGGATGTATTCCAACCTCAAGTCATCATCCACACCTGTCAGCCGAATCGATTCGAATAAAGAAAAGTAGAAAGCAAAAAAAAGTCGATTTTTTTCGACTCACTTGAAAGGTTAAACAATGCGAGTGACCTGGGTCACCTTTAGCCGAAATTCTCGAATGTCAGACTCAACAACAACAACAACTCAAGGATATACGGTTAAGGATGGGACCAATATTATTCTCAACGAATGATCTCATAATTTTACATGATGCATTTTACAAGTTCCACTTTGTCAAATTAGCACGAATAAAATGTCTGAGAAGAGGAGTATGAATGGTATATATATAGATGAATGATCTTTGAATGGTATAAATGATGAATGCTCGTAAAAATCGAAACATTGCTTCAAATGGCTCAACCAAGAGTTTCAAAAAAATTAATGATGAACAATTCACGTGATGAAATTGTGGTGAGGATTACACAACTATTGTGTGTGGTTCTTTCAATCATTTCCTCAAGATTTTGAAAATTCTTCCAAAGATTGGAAAAAGGACTGAAATTCTTCAGCTGACAAGTTTCTCTCTTTTAACGAAAATCAATCCTTTGTCATCGTTTTAGGCTCTAGTGGAAAGGAGGGTTTGATGGGGCCCTCGTGGAAAGAAACGCTTCAAGAATAATTGTGGGGACACTTTTGAAACAAAGCATGTCCTCCAACAACAAGTTGAATTTGATTATTCAAGATCTTGTCACCACTATTGGAGATTCATTCAACAAGACTTTATTATTTCTTCTTATTCATTTGAAGTCAACACTTCTTCAACATGAAAATGGTAGCCAAATCTTGTGGATGATCTTTCAAATAGGCTTGAAAGAGTTCTTTCGCACTTTCATAATCCTTTGCAAGATATTTCTCACAAGCTGCATTGTATTGAGTCCATCGTTCTTTTCTCTGCTGCTGTTCCAATTCATACATCCATTCTAAAAGATTGTGTGAGATCCAACAGGATTGAATATTTAACACTTACCATCCATGTCGTATTGATTACTATCACCCACTTGATAAATTTCAGTTTTTTCTAATGATTTCCTTTTAAGGAATGGAACATATTCTCCGTCGTCAAGCAGCTTCTTGTGACCGATAAATCTTAACATTCGTGAATGCTTGATTTTTTCTCCAACACATTTGGTGGTCACAAATGGAACATTCAATTTGTGAGCATGTTGGATTAACTTTTCCATGTTTGCCTTGTGACTTCCAAATACTGAGAAACTCTTTCATTGAATGGTTCCAACATTTCCACTCACACATTCTTGACTCACAGAAGCAACAATGAAATTCAAATACAAATTTTCATATTTCATCCATTTTGTGGAAAGAAGGTTTTGAAGTTTTTCCAAAATAACTGCTGAAAAGGTGATGCATTTTTCTTCATGATTGGAAACGTTACTTGTCAAATTCCAAGAAACAGTGATTGAATTTCCTCCGAAATTTTCCAAATGGCTCGAAGATTGAGAACTTGTTTTGTGCACAATGTCAAAAAAGTCATGCAACAATGAAGTGACATCTGACAGAGATTCAAGAGTGTCCAAAGCTCGATCCAATCCATTAATGTGAAATGCCGAAGAAGTGAACGACCGTTTCTCAAGTGACAACTTGAACATGGATTGAATACTTCCAACTCCTGAAGATCGTCGTCGACCTCGTTCCAACACACCCGAAGAAGATGACGACGACTGTTTGGCCTCAGAGAGGAAACTTTGCTTTGTGACTATTTTGGAAGAACTTGAATGTTTCAAATCAGTGCAGGATTGTGAATGATCTAATTGAGCAAGTAAATGTGGTGGAATAAAGCAACGATATTGTCTCATCTTATTCACCATGTATTTAAAGTGTTGTTGTAATAAAAACACTTCAGAAAGTGAAGAAGTTGCAATATCGATGGAATCCAAATCCATATTGGAAACGGATTCAAAAAGTGAAACTAAATTAAGAATGGGTTTGATCATTTTCATGGAAAACCAAACACCTAAGACAATGCCACCACCAACAATAATCAAACTTGAAAATAGCGCGACAATGACAGCAATAATCATATTTTGCAAGTAGTGCCATTGAGGAACTGAATACACAAACAACAAGTCAATTCCTTCTGCATTACAGTATCGATAAATATTGAAATATGTGGTGCCATAGTTGAGAAGAGTGTAATTTCCACATCCAAGAGTTTGGAGTTGGTTATTGAAATGAGAGTAGACCAAACGGCCAACATCATTCACTTGAGGATTGTCAAATGACAAGGCAGTTTTTCTAATTTCATTTCCTTGACTATCCCAAGAGGTCACTGGAATGGAAGGAAAACTCGCTTTTTGTTTGAGAGGTTGTTGAAATGATTGAATTTTTCATTCAATTACAACATCATCAACAAAAATAAAGCTTCTACTTACAAGCAATAATATAATCAGTTTGCAACTCAATGACAAATACAAAGGATCCTGGAATCACCTCAATGACCTCCTTTAAATAACGAGAGATTGAGGAGACACTAATGTCAATTCCCAAATACCAATCATAGGTGAAACCACCATTGACAGCTGACACCTTTGAAGTGGGTTTGGAATTAATCAAACTAATAAAAGTCACAGATGGTAAAGTAACATCTGTGTAAGAAAGAGTATAATGGGGTTGATTTGGATATTTCTGAGCCACATCCATAATTGGTCCTAAATCAAATTGAGGAAGAATGACATCTGGATAAGGCGAATTAGTGACACATGATTCCAATGCAAGTGTTTGATTACAATAAGAAAAGTATTGACCTGTAGTTTCAAATAGATAATCATGGGAGTACCATTGTAAACAAACATTCCAATATTTCCCTGTTTGGTATCTCCAAAATAAACTGTCACCAACACGTCACCTAAAAAATCATGGGTTGACTTGAACAATTTGTAACTAATTAAATCATTTGTGGCAAGATCGGAATAGTTAAAGGTATGCCATAAAATATTCTTTGTCGTCTGAGAAGTGACCACGACTTTTGTAATTGTCTCATCGAAGCTCGTTCCAGGACCATTTAATTCTAGACCTTTCAATGCATTTGAAACGTGTTATTTAAATTGAATAGGCTTTCATAAATTAAAACATTCCTTTAAGCTTGGGATGTTTCAAAGGTATTGGGTGGTTTCAAAGATTCAGGGGCGTTTCAAAGATTTTGGCGCGTTTCAAAGAATCCGAAACATTCCAAATCAGCTTCTTTTCAACTTAGCTTGGGAGTTTCAAATAAAATTTTGAATTGAAAAAAATGTCTCTCGATATCAGCAAAGAAGACGCTGTGAGATTGAGGGAAATCGAGGTCAAAAAATTGGTGGCCAATGAATGGAAGGTATTGCATGAAGAGCTGCCAATTATTCAGAAATCAAAAGGTAGAAAGGATATCAAGGATATTCCTACAATGAATAGAATTAAAGAAATAGTCCGCCAAAGAATTGGATATGTTGCTACATTCATCTTCTTACATACTGTTGGTACTATCTGTGGATGGTTAGAAGGTCCTTATCGTAATGTGGGCTCACCACCATCATCATCAGCACAATCAACAACACCACCACAACAAACTCATTTCAACTTTAACCATGAATTTCAACCCCAATGAGGTGGTGAACTTGTCAATCTCCATCATTGAGGATTGATTTCATACAAATGCATCCCGGGATACATAACGAGAGAGATGATTTTATCCATGTTCAGAAGGATTCACCCTAAAGGGAAGTCACACAATGGTTCAATAGGATAAAGAGATCCTTTTGGATAATCTCTCTTTTACAATGAATCCATTGATGCCTGCCAATTGATTTGATCAGTTCTAGGTCACATCAAAGTGAATGATTTGTCTGTCGTATCAAAAGATTGAAAGAATGATCGTTTAACAAACAAACAGGAAATTACAGAGTTATTTGGCCAGAAAGGATGGTCAGGAATTCTGGAACCATTTTCAACACCCATCATATCTGCATTTCCATTTGTTCATCAAGTGTGTTTCAGATGAGAGTCGTAGAGCTCCGACAACATGACCTGTCACCTGTTGTTCGAGATGGATCTTCCTTCTGGTCATGTTGAATGACTTCTCAATAAATGTGTTGGAAGAAGGTTAAAAGGTGATGGTTCTGCAAACTGGAAGTCTGGAACCACACAAATGGCATTTGGTTTGTCCATAGATAGGGTATGTAGATAAAAGTAAGAAACATGAATTGCAGTTTGTGACAATGATTATCTTTTTTTTGCCAAATTTGAAATATTTCACAAAGGTGAAGTTCGCAAGTCGGTTCGATTGTGATTAATTTGGCTAATCTCTCTTGTCCAGATGGCAATTTCAGATGCAATTTAAAATTCGCCATTATTGACATTATCTTTGTTCTTTCATTCTTTCATTTTGAGTCCAAAGACCCAACAAAATATTTTTCAAATAAATACATAATTGGAAGGTAATTGTTTACAATGCATCTCATAATTCCCCTCCTAAAGAGCTCGATAGAGAGATTTATCCAAATTATTCATTTTTGGAAACTCATATTGACCATAGACGAGGTGATATTGTTTCTCTTTCCTCTTTCTCATTAACAAAGTGTTTTCAAAAACAATAAAAACAAACGCCACCACGAACTAGAATCACCACTGAGGCAAAAGGATGATCGTCACCTGGAAACCACCGCTCTCCCCACATCACCTTGTCAGCATCTCTTACCTTGATGCAACATGTAATTGTTGCTTTCATCTTTCTCATGGTGGTATTGTCAATCGATTCCAACACATGGACTATTCATGCCCTTCAAATGTCAACCACCACAACCACAACCACAACTACCACTACTGAAACCTCCTTGTATGCTTCGTTTCAATCAGTGCAATTTCCAATTCTCAACACAAACATGTTCAAACCTCTCCAAGTGAAGAATTACATCTATCTTCCTCCTGTTGATTCTCCAGTGATTGATTTTTGTCAAACGGTGGAACAACAAAATTCAACTCTCAAATTAATGGTCTCTACAAAAAGTCAATTCTTGTTTCCAACTTGGAATATGAGAATGTTGGATTGTATGGATTATTTTTGTTTGAATCCTTTGAATACTGCTAACATGACGGCACGATTGTACAGTAGTGAAATATTTCGAACAGAGGTAAGTGTGTGACAATAATAATAATTCCATTTTGAGAGTTGACCATGACACTGGACCTTGTTCATTGGAACCTGACAATTTCAAAACATTTTAATTGCAACATCTAACAGTTTGCTTTCATTTTCAATCATTGTTTTTTGTGTGATTCTTCAAGTGCCATTCAATTCCGTCAAACCATTTCTGTCACTAATCACACATGTCCAAACTTTCCAACCACATTGAGCAATGTCGTGAACATGATGACCTCTCACTGTCTCAACTCCATCGGCATTTCCCAAGGAGCCTCCAACTTAACTCTCAACAATGACACTCCCTACTCCAAAGATGGTAAAGGCATTCATTTCGGTATTATGGATGCCAGATATTACGAACCTTCTCCACCAAGCATTTATTCTCTCACTTTCTCCAAAGTCATTCCAAAAGATCCATCCAAAGACACTCTCTCCTATTTTATGAATTTATATTTTCCTCTCACCAACAAGTCACTTTTCGATGCGAGTTCGTTGCCCATGTTTTGTCATTGTGGCAACACGAATGATTATGCGTATCGATGTTACGATGTGAATCATGCATTTCTTGCTCCTTACAAGTATTTTGCTACATGTATTATATTTCTTGTAGTCACCATGGTGACAAGTGTTTTGTTTGTGTTGGGAGTGATCCTTCCTCGATGTTCCTATTGTTATGGTGTCTTGTCGAAAAATCGAAGATTTAACAAAGATGAAGCTTTCTTTTTTGGAAGTACTACAACAGGACCTCGACAATACTTGAGAGCCATCTTCTTACTCACATTGGGCGATATTAAGGCACATAGTATCTTTTGGAATTCCATCTTGTTGGTTTTTTCGTACTTGACACAAATTTTCTCTCTCACACGAAACTTTTCAATGCCTATTTTGAAGTTTGTCATTGATGACGTTGGAGGAACTTTGAGAGCGTTCGTATTCATCAGTCTCGGACTCTGTTTTTGTTGCATGGTCATTCACTGGAGTCATACCTTGGATTTGATTAATAAGGGAAAGTCGAAGGGACTTCTTTCGTGGTGGAATACTGCCATCACCATCTTCTTTTATGTCTTTTTCCTTTGCTTTGTGATTGCTGGTATTATTTCATTGGTGGTCACTGGGCAGACCTCCATCTTTTTCCAAGTTCTCTCCATTTTCTACTTTTCTTTGAGTATTCTCTTTTGTGTGGCTTTTTCCATTGCAGGAATTACCATTTTAGTCAAAATGAGAAAAACTCGGAGTGGTGGTGGAAGTGCCAGTAGTGTCCTCAGTGTAAAATTGACCAAATCCATGATGATTTTGAATGTTTCCAATTTCCTTCTCGCCATCATTGCTGCCCTTAGCTTTGCCACTTATTATCAAGGATGGGACGTTTTCACAGTCGAATTGGGTTTACTGAGATCGACCTCCTACGATGTCTTGTTACTCTTTGCTTCGAATTGTATCAATTATATTCTGTATTCGAGTGTGGAGAGTGAAGGAATTTACGGAAAGAGAGTGAGTGAGGGAATTCATCGATTCATAAATTGTGAATGTTTGGGTGGAGAGGGTGGAAGAAAACAACAACAACATTACAATCCATCCACTTCTACTGCTAATCATTCGACAGAACTATTCAAAGACAAGCAAGTGGAACGAGTGAAATCCCACTCACAACCCTCTTCACCTCAAAACTCATCTCCATCTTCGGGTATGGGTTTAATCATCGAACAGAATATCCAGAATTCTGATATGATGATGATTTCCTCTCCATCTTCTCCAAGTGTGTAGATCGATTTCTCATCACAATGTAACATTAATAAAATATGAACATTTCAATAAACGCAATGAATCTGAGGAAGGAATTGATTAATACGGAGATCAAAATGATGTTGAAGAATTGGATATGATCGATAAATAACATTTTGAAGAAAAATTTTCATTTAAAATTGATTGAAAAAAAAATGTTGAAAGGCTTTTCCTCCTGCTCGTCCTGTGGTCCGAATTCGTTCAACTTGTTGTGGAACATTTGGAGTCGTTCTTTTTCTTTGATGATGAAGGTAACAGCCGCTCCAAGGATCACACAAGCGTACGGAATATGGAACGGAATTCATTCTAACTCACGAAATACATCGACAAATTTTTTGATGTTGAGGATTCCGCAAAGCCTTTTTGTACTCTCTAATTCGTCATCATCATCATCCTCATGCTACCATACATTCCATGGAAATAGAAAGAGTGTTGAAATCAGTGATATATCTTCTTCTCAAGGTACCCATCAAGAACAACAACAACTGATAAAGAATATTTCGGAACAAATGAAGGATGTTTTGCAAAGTGCTCAATCGAGAAGTGTCTCTATTTGGCCAAACTATACCAAAGAAATCAATACTATTTTTTCACATTTCGAAAAGTTTGAATTTTCGGAAGCATTGCAACATTTATCAAATTTAAACGAAGTGGTATTTCAACAAGATAGGAATTTCTTTTCAGAAGAAATGCAGGCTATTAGAATGGTTTATCAATATATTGCATTTTTGGACCAAATATATACCAAGAAGGATGGCGAGCATAATTTACCTCTTTTAAACGATTTTTTGGATCCCAGATGCTTTGAGTTTGATTATTTCAAATATGAAGTTGCTGTTGAAAACATTCAAAAATACATTACAGAGCACGTGGAAAAGATCAATGAGGGCAAAACACCAGAGTATGTCACGCTAAAGCGAAAACTTGCACGGGTTAAATTTTATCAGAATTGTCTCCTCAGTGCCATCAATGATGTTAAGGAGGCATTGGCTGTTGCTCGAGTGATTTTTGGAAAAACTTCTGTTGAGGCATGCTATTGTTATTCTGATTTGGCAACGCTTTATGTTGCAGCTGATAATCTCTCAGCAAGTGAAAAATGTGCCAAGATTGTCATTTCCCTTCTTCCTCAAAAGCCAAACAAAACACCTTATATGGAAGAGAAAATTGCAATGGCCATGGTTGCGCTCAGTGAATCAATCAGAGAAAACAATACTGAAGAATGCATCAAACTCGGCACTACTGCCATCAAAATTATTGAAAATATTTATGGAAGAAGGAACAAGAACTGGATTGATTGCGTCTATTCGCTCATTAGTAACTATGATGGAGTCGCTGCAAATACCAAAGAAAAAGACGAGGCACTTAGCGAGGAATATACTCAAAAAGCGGAAACGCTTTTCAATTTGGTTGGAGAAATGCTGACCAAGAATGCCTTCACAAATACCTTACTCTTACCTCTCAGACAAAGCACCACTGATGAAGACAGTTATGATGAGGATTTGTTATTGAGATTGTACATGAGAAGAAAATATCCATTACCACTTGCCATTCATGCTCTTTTTGGTGCTGCTCGAATTGTGTTATCTGGAGAGTCACCAGAAAGATCTGTTGAACTTTATGAAAAAGCTCTCACCTACTTTTCAAAAGAGTATGCGGATGATGAATTTCTTATCGAAAGAGAATTTGCGTGCTCCCAACTTGCTTGCATTTATGCTCTGTTAGGTCAATCTGCTAAAGGAAGGACTCTGTTAAAAGATTGTATGAATCGAATTGCAAATTCCGTAGGCACTAGTAACAAATTCTATTCTGACATTTCCACCTATGAGAGTTTGGTGAGCGAGTCACCAAATCCAGCTGCCGCCGGTTTGAATATACCTGGTCTCATGGACACAGATATTAGTGGCAAGTCTCCAGAGGAAATGAAACAAGAGCTTGAACGTTTTGGTTTAGATGTGGACTCTATTACCAGTATGATGGAAAATGCAATGAAATCAGGTGGACCTAATATGGATGAGAAGGAGCTCTTAAAAATCATGGCTGGAGCTATGGCAAAATCTCACAGTGACAAGAAGAGCAAAGCGACTGCTGCTACTACAGAGACGCCTCAAACAACCTCTCCAACAAAACCAAGCGGTAAGAAAAAGTAAAACAAGCACAACAGAGAGTCTATGAATATCTCGGTGATGGAATCATAACTTTGTGTCTCACATGAGACTACTCGTTTAAAATCCTATCCTCTTTTGAGAATACAAGCTTGCATTCTAAATATTCAATTCTGTTGCAATTTTGAATTATTTCTTTTTTTTACAAGCATCTTCCAACATGTCAAGCACATTCCCACTAATGTGTTTCATTCTCTCAAGTCAGAGTTTGTTTCCTTTTGCCATACACTCTCTCCAAGCATCAATTCATGTAAATACATTTGATGTCAAATTAAATTTATTAACGTTGTATGATGAATATATATTGTCTCATTTCTTTCCTTTTAAGAATTTCGTTCAATGGCGAATCCTGTCCTTTTCATCCAAAAGTTTCATCTCCCAAAAAAAAACTATTCATCTCTTCTCGACGTCGTGCTTTCCATTTGTTTGGTTTCATCGTTGTGGAGGTTTATTACTGAAATTTGTTATCGGCCAACAAGGGTAGCATAGAACTCGTTCTGAACAATCAAATTTCAATTCAACTGAATATTCATCATCAGTGAATTTTGTGTTCTTATTCTTCTTGTTGTTCAATAATTAGTCTTTGATCAAACAACAACAACAATAATTTTCGGAAAAGAATGGCCTTTGCTTGCTGGAAGACTCTGAAGAGGCACTTTATAACGGTGATTATTTTGTTTATCACCTTTTTGTTACTCTGTTTTGAATTTGTTAGTATTCATTCGTTTGTTATTGTTTGTCAATTAATTTCGGCATTGGTGATGATCATGAATATATGATTTGATGATGATTTCTTTGAATGATATGAATGGCTTTATGTTTGGTGGATCTTGATGGTTGTATTGTGGTGAATGATGTGTTGTGATTGTTGGACGATATGATGATGAACTATGTACTCTCTCAAATAATTATTATTATTGTAATTTGCAATAATTATTTTGGAATCAAATATTCATCATGATGGATGATACATTTCAACAACAACATCACGGGTTGACGATCGTCATGTTCACAACAACCACAATAATTTCTGCAACTTCCTTGATTTTCATCTTCTATCTCGGTTTTTACTATTATCATTATATTATTGCACTATCATTACAGGCTGTACCATTTATATTTAGAGGAATGTTTTGCCCAACCAACACAACAGAAGAAGTGTGTACAAATGGAATGTTTTATCTTCACATGTGTCCATGTAAGTATGGGATGAATGTTTTGGCTCTCTAAATATTATTGTATCACGAAAAATATGAATGCATACATTTTCATGTCACGTGATGGTGACCAAACAAATTGTGACCTCGGTCACAATGCACCTCTCACACTTGTTTCAATTTTGAACTTTGATGGACCTCATCTAGTCTTTATTGTGTCCTCACTGACATTGCTGGCACTCATCATTGGTCTCTGCCAAAAGGTTGTTGGTATTATTCTTGATATCATTGCAGCCTTTTTACACGTTGGTGTCCTTGTATATTACATTTTATTTGTTATTAAGGGTTCACAGTATACCGTCGCCATGGCTGGAAGCAGTAGTCTCATCCTCCAAATTGTTCCTTGTGTTTCCTTAGCTTTGTGCACCATTGCATGCTTTGTTTGTATGTTTGATTGTTGCAGACATGTGTATGCAACTCGCTTCAGTGGAAGTGGATCCAAGGGTGTCAGCGGTACTGGCGATTCCTCAACAGATTATGTTCCTTTGCAAGGCTCAAAGCACATTGATTCTGATAGTGACGATTCTGATTAATAGACTATGTGTAATTGTAAATTGAAATTTTGCTCAAAATGATTGACTGCCAATCCACCATTTCAATCTTCCAATTATTTAACAATGAATGACAATAATTATTATTTTGAAATGTTTTATTTATTCCTTAGTAGTATCGAATGTGTGTGAGCAACTGAACTCGTTTCAAATGCATTCCTTCCAATTATTGATTGCTTACAACTTGAAATTCAAGAATCGTCTAAGTTTCTTCTTATCTCCTCTACATGTCACAAAGACAGTCTTTCCCAATTTGTTAATTCTCTTTCTGTTCTTAGCCCAAGCATGGTGGCGCTTACCAGCTTGATGTCTTTTTATCTTACCAGAACCTGTAATTGTAAAACGTTTCTTGGCAGAGGATTTGGTCTTTAACTTCTTCACTCCTGTTACGAGCTTGTTATGACGAACAATTCTCCTGAAACGAATATTAGATTGATTGAAGATGGAAGGCCCAAATGAGAGAGTTCCATTCAGGAATGATGATGTTTGTTTTAGAGCAACATAAGGATTAGAGGCAATTTCGTTCATCATGAGAGTATCGCTATAACTCTTCAAAAGGCTTGTTGCAGCACTTCTCTTGGTGAAAGAGGCTGTTTCCGAAATAATGTTCAAAACCGAGAAATTGTTGTATATTATATCCAAAAGGTGTGTTGCCGTACGTATGAATAAAAGGAGAACAAGAATATTACATCAATTTTATCCAAATATCCACACACGTATTTCAAAATAAAGGATTCATCATCATCATGGTAAAATATTTTCATCATCCGAAAATTGAAATTCATCATCCAACCATTCCGTATCCAATATTTTCAAATGAATTGATATTTGTTGTTGTTTTATAATTCCCAATAATAACATGTTCATTAGACACCAGAGGAGATTCAAGACTATCAAAAAAAACCAAAATAAAAACACCTACACCTCACCAATGACTGCGAAAAAAGGGCTCCAAAAAAGCGTTGCATATTTTTTGCAAAAGTTTTTTCGATAGAATGACATTTCTTCAAGCACCACCACAGTGATGATTATGTTTTATTTTTCGCTTATTGGAATTCATGATCAAGTGTTGTCCATTCTGTTTTCCCACACATCACATAAGGTTTGTTTTTTTTTTACAATGAGACTCCTCAATTACCTTATTTAACAACTTCCTCATTTCGAGATTAGTATCCACACAAGGTTCAGGGATATGGTTGCAGGAGTTCTTCTGATTTGATTTCTTTTTCAAAAAATCGTTTTCATGTTTCATAAAAAAAAAATCGTTTTAAGGTTTTCATGTTTCATAAAAATAGTCTCCACTTCTTTAGCCTCCTTCATCCAAGAACACAAGTTATCGCAGTAAGGACCAATTTAGAGGGCCATCGTTACGTTTATTCTACCACATGCTCGTAGAGTACTTAAAACATCTAAGCATCAATCTACCAACTCATATACCCCTTCCAGGTGCAATTCTGGTGTTATCTACTTGTAGTGCCATGAATAAACTCATATATACTACTACTAGGTTACTAAAACGACAATTAAGGAAACAACATTGGTCTTTCCCCGTACAACCTTCATGAATCCACCATCCGGAAACACTCTCTTATAGTGATGACCCTTTGAAACAAATTCGACAGCTAAGGGACAACACTTCAAAAGCAACATGTCACAGAAATGCTAAGATTAACTTGGCTTTCCATATACGTGTTCACATAATACCATAGAAACGCAAGACAGCAAGAAGGATGAAAGCATAGATGAAGAATTCATGATGTGAAGCGCAAAGAAGTCCCTGTTTGCTTGATAAATCCATGAAAATTACAATAACATGATGAATTAAATTAATGAAAATTAATATATTTAGTTTCGAGAACTGAGGCCCATGTCTCATGTTTCGTTTATTCCAATTTTGTTGTTTTGTCATCTTCCCTGAGAGAACAGATTGAGCAAAAGATGTTTATGACTGATTGTCATCATCTTTTTGTCTCCTCTCAGATGGGGCCAATTGATTATCACTATTTGGCTTTGAATCATTTTCACACAAGTTCGCCATTTCGCATCAAATTCGATCGGTGTTTGGATGTGAGAGAGCTGTAAATGATTCTAATGTATTTTTGGTTGCTGTTGTAAATCTCTAGTACTGAGTGTCTTCGAAGTAAGAAATACAAGTTTTTTGAAGACGTACGTCCAATATTATCTATTCATCATCATGACCGTCTTCAATACAACAATCATCATCATGACAATCATCCAGTACATGGGTTTCACATGAGTTGCATGTTGAGCTCTGACAGGGCTTGTTTTTGGTTGCATGCCACCTGTCACGACCATACTGAAAGCTTGTTTGCCCTTATTGGTGGATTTGGCAGAAACAGTAATATTCACAAAGCTTCCAATTGGAATAGACGTGATAGTAACACTCTCAACAGTATTCACTGAATCGTAACCAGAGTTATTGGTCAACTCTCCATTACCATAAAAAGTATTCACCTTATTCGAAGTTGAATTTCGGACAGTGACCATAAGATCCAAATCATTAATCAATTTTTTCACGGAATCTTTCTCAGTTGGGCTTGATGGTAAATCATACCAAGCAATGGTTACTTTGACAGTTGTTGTCGTACTTTCTGTTTGAAATTGGAAATTCACAGAATCTAAAACATCCAAATACATTCGATTCACAATTCTCAAATTTCCAATTCGACTCACAGAAAATGGATCTTCATCAATCTTTAACACATTTTGCAAATTCACTCTTCCAAATCCAAAGAAATTATTTGGAATTGGCAATTGACTGAGAGGTTTTCCTAAATTGGCAGCACTTCCAATCATTTGTTCTCCCGAGTGAATAATCATGGCCTTCACAAGAGTTCCCGACAAGGTCGATCCACTTTGTGTTTTGTTTCCAATTTCAAGTTCTTTCAACTTTTGTTGGTTATTCTTATTGAAATAGTGTCGAATCAAACCGGCAGATCCAGCAGCAGCAGGACACGACATGGAAGTTCCGGACATGGTAATCAGTGAACATCCACTGTTGGCTTTTGAAGATGGAATTCCCTCTCCGGGAGTGACAATGTCTGGCTTAATTCTTCCATCGACCGTGGGGCCTATCATCATTCAAAGAGGTTTGTGTGAAAAGCACAAGTGTTCAGTCAACATCACATAACAATGTATCCAACAAGGATCAATAAGAAAATACACCTACTCACCTCTACTTGAAAATGAAGACATGCTCTCCTTATTGTACATACTTCCCACAGCAATGCCATTCTTTGAAGGTGCTAGACCACCAATAGTTCCTAATAAGGCAATACTTGCAGCATTTCCAGCACTACTAAATAAGGTCACTTGATCATTCTGTGTTGCCAAATAACTATCCAAAGCGTATCCATAATATCCATACGTATTACAGTATTCACAACATCTTCTGCCGTCGTTTGCCAAGCATTCACTGTCGGAAATTGGAACTTTGGCACCATTCGCTAGTGTTTGTTGACAGATACAGTCAAAGGTACATGAGTATTTGGAGGAACAACCCCATGAATTGGAGGAGATGCACGAGTTGGCACGTTGGAATGCATTTTGAAGATAGGTCGAAACACTGTTAAAGGAAATTCCTCCTCCCGATTTGTTTCCATCGACCACATAGAGTTTGGCTCCAATGGCAACACCCATTTCAGTGTTGACAGATGGATTTGAAGTGAGATTGAAAGGAATACCTGCCAAAGTACCAGCGACCTTTTTTGTATCATATATATATTCAAGAACATTCACAAATGATTCATTTAAAGTCATTGGAAAGGAGAATGAACCAATCCATTCATCCATTAAACAACCATTTCGACTAAATACTTCTGTTGCTACTATTAATATTACTTACATGAGTTCCATGTCCCTGATTATCCTCATAATCACCCAAACCATTCTGAGTGTCAATATAGACAATTTTTCGATTGTTTAAATTCACTTTGGTGTACGATTCATTAAATCCAGAAAAGAAACAATGAGTAGGATCTATACCTGTATCGGTGTAGGAAAGCACTTCACCTTCTCCTGTAATTCCATAATTCCAGAAATAGGCATGATTATTTCCACCTCCATTTTGAACCATTTTGTTGATTTCTAAATTGTCCAAACCAATTCGAATACTTCTTGTAATGTAATTAACGGAAGGATCATCAAGTAAATGATCCAACAATTGAGAACCCATTTGATTCGAAATGGAATTCCACAATCCAGATAATTCTGGAATGGACTGAAAGAAGTTTTGTAAATCCTCTCGTCTCGCCAATTGAAGAACACTTGGATGTGAGAATTGTTCTCGTTCGAGACGATCCCATACCTGCTCATCAAAATTCAACAATGAAATGTGTAAATGTCCATCTGGATTCAATTCAAACTTTAAATCAAAGAATTCCGTCAATTTGTTTTCAAGCCATGATTTGAATTCATGAATATTTGGATTCGAGTGATCCTCTTGAGAGTGTTGACTCAACAACGTCCACCACTCGTTTGGAATTTCGTTTCTGAAACGAAAAGTCTCTGCAAGATTAAGACTTTTCATTCTCGAAAAGATGGATTCCACATGAGGAGGAGACAAGGCAAGTAATTCACGAGAGAGGATTTGATGCATGCCTTGATGAAACCATTCTCTCAAATTAGCCACTCGATTCACCTTTTCTAACAAATGATTTACCTTGTTCTCGTCGTTATTGTTCTCGTCGTCAAACAAAATTTTTAACTCTCCATGCAATTTCAAAGATTCCAATGTCAATTGTGGAAAACTGACTTTATACTCTTTTGGAACTTGTTTAATCCATTCGACATGTTGTTGAATGAAGGGATGATTCGAGAGATGAGTACGAATGAATTGTGGAGAGAGACGAGTGGTGAAGAGTTGACTCTCTGTGGAGGAGAATTGAAAATGTTGTTTGTAAGATTTGACTTTCATCAATGATGCAAGAGTTTCAAGAACTGAGCTTGTCAACAAGACATGATTCTTCAGTTTCACATGAACCATGAGTCGACGTTGGTTGTCAGCAGTGGTGTCGGTACCTGAAGCGAGAAGAATGTTGTCATGGACACTGTCACTTGTCAATTGAGAAGCGAACAGTCGTTGATGATCTGTTAAGAGGATTAACAAAGTGATGACTAAAAGAAAGATGAATGCACGAAGTGCTGAATGTGAAGGAAATGCATGTGTCATTTTTTTCGACCATGACCTTCCACAGGTGACATGACTTTTTCCTTTTTTATTGTTGTTCCAAGAAAGGCAAGTCCAGTCAGCATTCTTCAAATTTATTCTGCACCACTCACATGTATGATGATGATACGGCCGTATTTAAACATGCATTTTCTTACGTCGACTGAATTGGTTGGTCAAAGATCATATATCTTTATTACTAACGCTCAATCTGTGCATGTCAGTTGCCCCATAAATATTCGGACAGATGAATGTGTGGCAATTTTGTGTTTTGGATTCTATGTTAATTGAAATTATTAAAATAATGAAGCTGGAAGCTGATATTGTGAAAAGCGTGGCCTCCGGTATTGTTGTTGAAAACATTTGGGATTGAACGTTTTCCTCAAACTTGTTCAATTAATGAATTGGGTTATAATAAAGGATGTCATTGAGCAAAAGTTTTTTTTACCACCACTAGTGGGTAATAGGGTCAGGGATGCGATTTCAGGTGTCTGAAATGCATAATGATGGTTATTGTCATTCCTCTCTCTTTAATTCTTAAGGTTGATTTATGTTTGATGGTAATTACTATTCGTTTGCATGTGCAAGATATTGGTCGTAATGGTTAAAACTTGTATGAGGGACCAAGAATATATTAATCAATCCAAATAAATGTTTGTACAAACAATATTCGAATAATGATATTATGGAATTCGATAAATTCATTATTGTAATAGGTGCAATATGAAAAATCCACGATGGTGATGAGTGGTAGTGTATTAGAGACATTGTCCACTGTTTGCTTGTGAATTCTTTAGTAAGAACAATTATTGAGGTCTTACTCTGAAGGCAGCAATTCAGGCATTCAATCTCCAACATTGAGTAATAGCAAATCCACAAAGACACATGCATCTATTGCATTAACATCGGAAGCAGCATGCCAAAGTACTTGATCATGTTCTGCAGTTGTGATAATTTCTTAGACGTCGTTTCCAGTCTTATTGTTCGTTGCTTCGACGTAAACTCAGTAAAATTCCAATCTTATTGTTCGTTGGACTTTTAACTAATGATTGTGTGTGAAGTTAAAAAATTAATTCCTTGAGCTTGGTACTGCATGAAAGGATACGATAGAAATGTCGGAAAATACTCTCTCATGGGCTGTCATATTCTCTTCTTCTCTACTTTTAAGGTATGGAATAATTTCTTGTCTCATTAAATGAAAATGATCGTAAATTGATCGATACATGAGATATTGCTTGTATGTGGCTTCTGTTGTGGATGGAATAAATATCAATTGATCTTGCGATGGTTTTTGAGGCGATTTCTTTTCTTGACGTTGCTGCTGAGAGATCAAGGGTTTGGCCCTTCGTGGTGCAACAACAAACGAGTAATATTTCCATTTGGGATGATGATAAATTTCTCCAAAATAATTTCCATGTTGTCGATACAAAATAACGTATCCATTCGAACAGCAAATGCCAAACAATTTGTAGGATCGATTTACAGAACTCGAGATGGGGTTGAGTGAGCATGGTTTTTGTGTGTCAATAAATAATTCACCATGAGTGTTGCATCCAGCTCTGTGAATTCTGAAATCTGAAGAAATAAATACTGTAAAATTGTCCCCACAACTAAGAGAGACAATGTCCTTTTGGGAGAGAACTTTGTGAAAGGTGATTTTCTCGTGAAAGCCGCCATTCATGAGTTGACCAAAGGTGTTATTTCCACAAGCGTACAAATCTCCATCTACTCTCGCATTGATTACATTTGTTGTTATTTTTGTTATAATTACATTCATTCGAATTAATTATTTTCGTAAATGTTCACATGATTTTGAAAAAATTGAATCGTCATTCCAAGAGTTAATAATAATCTGTTGATATCATATTTGAGCTATCTTTAGAAAAAAACTCACTTTCTAAATAAACAATTGTAAAGTTAGCTCCACATTTTACCATTCGAATTGGTTGTCCTTGAAACTTTACATTTGGTTTTTGGAAAGTATTGGTTGAGGTTACATTGGTATGTCCTAACTGATAAAATTTGTTCAATCCGCTGGTGTAAAGCTCGTGACTATCTGTCACAATGACGGTGTGATTAGCTCCACACGCAACCATTCTCACTCCGTTATATGATGGAAATAATGCAGAAGGAAGAAAATAAAGAGATTTAAATGATCTTCGTTCCTCTCCATTTCCAAATTGACCATATGCATTGATTCCTGAAAAGTATATTTTGTTGGATTCTGCAATAAATGGACGTGTTACAAGTGAATGAAATCGCAACATGTTCCTTGTGCCACAAGAGAGTCATACATTGAAATCATTCAAAAGCTTACGCACCTGTCACAATAATGAAAAATGTTGAAGTGGGATGAGCATCCATAAATTTGACTCGTTCCTTAATTGTTAAATTCCAATCCACAATGGGTGAGAATTGATTCACAAGAGGTGATCCTGATACTGACAATTCTCCTCCGCTCCAGTAAAACAGTTGTTTTGTTATATTTTCCTTTTTTTCATCATTATTCCATGCTGTGGAAGATCGTTGGCCACCACTGTGCTCTAATGATGATCTGCTTTTAATAACAGAATAACCATCTGAAACAATGACAGCCATTGATCGACAACAATAAATATCTTGAATATGAAAAGAGATTGGAATTCTAACAAAACCTGTTTGATTTTCATGATGCTGAGATCCTAAACCTAAAACACCATAAATATTAGATCCTGTTCCATATAAAACATTTTCATCCGTCAAAACAAAGGTAAAATTTGGTCCGCATGCAACTTTGACAATATTTTCATTTGAAAACAAGGTTGCTTCTTGAAGGGAAGTAAATTTTGATGCTCCAATTCCGAATTGATCTAATTTTAAATTTCAAATGGATTCATGGAATTATAATATGTTCATTCGAAATTATTCAAATGAATCACCTTCATGATGACTCAATCACAACCACCTACATTCCGAATTCGATCCAGCCACTAAAAAGTTTGGCTTTCTTTCTCCCGATGAAGGATGTTGTCCCATTTTTTTTGTAAACTCCTTCAACTTGAATAATATTCCTTACAATAATTCTCGATTTTACAGCACTACTTGGAATTATTATTGAAAAAGATGAAAATTGTAAAAATTTCTTGTTTCAAAAATTATTCCAAATTCCGAAAGACATGCAATTTTCACCAAAAATGATCATTGGTTTTACATGAACACCTCGTGAGGATTAGAACTTGTTATTTTTTCTTCAAGATGAAATCATCACCATCAAAATTCATTGTTAAGATTTCCTCCAAATCGATCTGTGAACACAGAAATTACCTCCTTAATTGAAGGATGACTCAATCATGGACATTGGAGTGGATGAGGAGGATGACATTGTTTGACGCGCATTTGGAGGAATCGATTTCACACAATTTAATCTTTAAAGTGAAGTTCGAGGAACCTCAACACATGTCACCAAACCCTATCATGTCCTTAACGAGCAAATCCTGAAGAAGCTCCACTACCACCACCTCCATAATGATGATGATGAGAAGTGTGATGATGATGGTGATGATGATGCCTTGAACCTTTTCCTAAACCTCCTCCTCCTCCTCCTCCTGCTCGTCCACACTCGGCCGTCCAACATGCATCCAATGCTGGAATTCTGTTTCTCAAAATTCTCAACACAATGGCAACCACAATTAAAATAATAAACAAAGGAACCAATGTACAGACCAAAGCAATCGTCAAAATGGTGGAGGACGTTCCAGGTGGAGCACAACCTGCAACTTGTTCGCCTGTTTGGTTCGATTGTTTTGGTATTTTTTTGTGCGCTAATTCAAGAACTAGCTTTTTTGAGAGGATAATCCACTGTTGACAAAAGAAGAGACTCTGGTTGACCTTGCCTTCTAGAATCACTACTCTCATTGCTTCAAGTCAAATCCCAAGGATTCTGCCAGTGAAAACAAACTTTCTTGGGTCACGTTCAACAAGTCCTGAATTCTCATCCTTTGAGTTCTGCTGAATCTTTCCATGAAGGAAAAAGTGATGTTTCGAATGAGGACTCCCTTACCACTACTACTACTACCATTCCCACTACAACTACCACCATCATTACTCCCCGATGAATCAATTGCATTGAAACACTTCTCACAAAGATAACACTGATCACAAGTCTGGTAAACATGTAGGGTACCCTTAATTCGAGTATTGCCTTCACTGCACGAAAAAACATAGCAAGTGGGCCGGATCGATAATGGTACTGTTGCTACTGAGCAATCATTTCAAGAACACATGTATGATTTTCGATCTCACGTGAGATTCAGGAGCTCCGAACCTTCTTTGACAAAGCAACGTTATTTTGCTGATCAGGCAGGCTCCAACACGAATCACACAATATGGCATGAGTACGAGAATTTGCTTTTTGTTCTTTCTCTAATTTATCATAGAATGGATCGAGTAGTCAAGTTGTTTGAGACTCCAAGTTTTGCTCTTTTGATCTTATGACTCAAAAGTAGCTTTTCAAAGAAAAGGAATATGATAATACCAATACCAATAAAAGCCATACATCCTGGTTCTTATCATCAGAATTAGGGAATTCTTCTTCTCCTTCTGGGTACGAGAATCGAAAGTATTGCTTGTTGAATAAGTATTCGGCTCATGAAATATCTGAAACAAGATTTCTAATTTTGCACTCGAATATGTTTCTTTGAAGTTTCGCAGTTCAAATAAACTTGGAGTGCAGAATCATTTATCTACCTAGAAGTGTGTCGCACTAGATCAAAACCAGAGGGACACTTGTGCTCCATTAAATTCTGTCTCAAAAATTTATTGTTGTATTTACATAAAGGCCGCTATTATTTACAACTTAGAACTAGGTGATTATTTGGTCACAAGATTGCTCGATTAGTTTTCGTAATGGAAAACCAGCATGTGGCTATTGAACATGACCATGTGAGAGAGATGAGAGGAAGACTTGTCTTGTTTGTCGCTGACATTCTTTAAACCGACTCCGAAGGGGGACGGTATTGGAGATGATAACTCTGGTAAAAAATTGTGCTGCTCAGGTGAACCTGCTTCTCCATCTGAAATGGCAAGTTTTGGTTTCAGCCTGTTCAGAATTGGCTCAGCATTTTGTAAGCATTGGCTATAGAGATCGCAATAGGTCAAGCCACGAGTCGATGACGAAATTTCTTCGAGAAGTTGAGAGGCTTGAGTGACTTTTTGGCTTGAATAATGGAAATCCTGTTCATTTCCTCCATAAGGTCTACATTGCAGAATGGAGATGTGTTGTAGGCATGTCACTTCGTCCATTTCTTCTTCGTCGTCGTGTATGAAAATGTGAATAGGAATCCCTTCATCATAGTCATACATCGTTTCAATGATTAACTTGTTCATGCATTTGGAAATAGACCCTGGTTCAAGTTTCTGAGATCGTTCATAAATGAATAAGGTTTCAGATGTCACCAATACTCGTTGTTGCTTGCTGGTGGACGTGTCACATCCAACAGTAATGTCTTGATCATAATCACAGTCGTCTTGGCGAACAATAATGTTGTCATCTTCAATAGCTTGACGAATCACTTTGCCAATAAATCGAATTGGCATTCTACTATTGGCTGAGCGGTGTGAATTAAGGCCCAGAAAATTGTCATATGCCTTTAGGACATACTTTACATGTTCTGGATCCTCATTTCCAAACCAGAAGGGAATATCGATTGAAGGACTCACTTCTAATTCGTGTTCTTCATGGCTACTGACGGTATCTTCATCGAAAAACATGTGTTCCTCTTGGTCGTCATCCTCCTCTTCGTCCTCTTCGTCTTCATCGTGAAGAGAAGAGGCACGGAAATAATTTTTGTGAAGGTCACAATCGCTATCGTCTTCAAAGTCTTCCTCCTCTTCATCGTCTTCATAGTCGCAGTCACTGCTCTGGTCGTCTGACATTTCAAATGAGTCTGTTCTCATTAAGACATGCTCCTTTCCTTTGTCTGCTTCTGTGACAGAATACGAAGAAGAGGAGCAATAAATATTCATGGAGGAGCTCTCTTGGTTTTGGCCACACCACATAAAGGGTTGTTGATTCATATTATTATTCATCATGATTTCGTTAAAATTGATACTATTTAAATTACTACTACTTTCTTTTCTTGATGGCGCGGAAATGGAAGGCAAAGTCTTTGTATCCTGGTGAGTGATGTTCTTGCAAAGAATGGCAAACTTGTCGTTCATTGTCGTAATGGTTGTTCCAGCAAACATTGTTGATTGAGTGAAAATGAATGTTGATATTGTTGTGGATGAAAGGGAACATGGAAAATGTTGTGGTTGTTTGGAGGTGAGTGTGAGATGTAGTTGGTTTGTAGAGGATTGGTTAACTATTTTTCTTCAAACAAACTGCAAATTAATTTTCTCTCAATTTCTAGAATAGGTGATTCGGTAATGATTTAAAATTCTTGTTTTCGATTCAAAAACTTTAAACGCAATTATACTTGTATGGGGAGTTAAAATTTGGTCTCTGCTGCTATTATGAGGCTTCAGATGAAACTACAATCGATATAGAAGGATTCTAAATTTGGAATTGTGAGGTTACAACAATAAATTCAAATTTTCAAAAACTCACTCCTCAGAGATTGATTCGGAATGGGTGATGCTATTATTACTAGAGTAGTAGTGAAGAGGATGATGGTGGTGTTTGAGTCGGTTGTTGTTGTTACTAATAATACTACCGGTCAATAGAGCGGGCGGGAGAAGGTGATGATGATTCGTCGTTTCTTTTAATTTTGTCCTCGAAAAGCAAAAGAAAAAACGTCCGTAAATTTTGAAATTGCGTGAAATTATTTTTGGTTTCGAGTTCCCGACTGCAGATTGGGAACTTGCTGAAACGTGTGTGGTTTTGTTTTTTTGGGATTAAGGAATTGTATCAAAGGAAGTTGTTGTATGGAGCAAATGATGAAGTTGAACGAGCGAAAAGAGTGCCAGGCCACAATAGAGGTCAATAGTACATTTTGGGAATCGAATCTTCTTGTTTAAAAAAAGTGTCAAATTTCATAACTATTTCAATAATACACATGTGTATACAAGAGACCTCATTTGGTGAATTGCATTGAATGAACAAAAAAACAACAAGGGTGGCCTTAATGAATCACTTTGGAAGAGCTTTCGCCAATTCATAAAAGATTCATAACAAGCAACATCACACACTTCCTCTACTACAAACATTCACACTTCTTATTTTCAACTTCCTCATAAATCTCAGGGAATGGTTTGAAATATTGTGCATTCACTTGTTCTTGGGTGAGAACAAATGGAAAACCTTCTCCCTCAATCAATTCAGCACTCACTCGTTCAGCAGTACTGTCATTGGTTACATTGTTCTCATTATTGTTGGGTTGCAACACTAACTTGTATAAACCAAATTTTCCATTTCGATACTCATTGGAAAATCCATCATCCAAATATAACACATTTTGGCTGAGATCTTCATCATGACCACTCTGATTAGTAGTAGAATTGGCAACTAGTCTTCCAAACACGTGATATTCAATAGGGCTTGTCAGCGTATCATAAACACATTGTTTGCTTTCAGCTCTCATTGGAATGATGCTTCCGGCCTTAACAAGAACAATACTCTTATCCCAAGCGATTTCAGTAAATTCGACCACTTGTCCTCCTTCAAAGTGGCGAGATGGATTGAAAAAGTCATAAAATCCACCTGGATGAGATGGTAAATAGACTTTTCGAGAGGTTGCTCCTTTTTCTAAAATTGGAGCGACCAATAAGGATGGACCAACAAAGAGTTGTGTATTCTCAAATTCTGAATGATAACAATTTGAATCGTGTGGAAATTCCAACCAAAGTGGTCGAATGAGAGGGGCAAATTCCTTGTTGGGATTGGTTGCATATTGAATGTATGTATACAAATATGGTGTCAATCTGTGGTGAATGTGTATGATATCATGCATGAAAAAAATGTAAGGAATTCACATGTAGAGATCCAATTATCGATATATAGAGATGAATTTAAAGGTATTTGAAATATTTTTCAATTATCATTATTATTAAAGAATTCACTCATTCTCGGTGACAACTATTCCACAGTTCACACTTACCTATAACGTAATTTGATGAAAATTCGACACGCCTTTTCACACTCCTCTCCAAATGTCCAAGCATTTTGTTCGAGAGTATCCTTCGTCGAGTGAGATCTAAAGAACGGATAACACAAAGCTCCCAATGCAATCCATCGAGCATAGAGTTCTGGGTTGCAATCTCCAACAAATCCACCCACGTCAGCTCCAACCATCACTTGACCTGCCAATGACATGTTCAACAACATGGCAATGCTCATTTTCATATCGTCGAATGTCGAGTTGTTGTCACCACTCCAGGACCATGCATATTTCTGAACTCCAGAGTAACCACTGCGTGTGAGGAGGAAGGGTCTTTCATTGGGTTTCAATTGAACGAGACCTTCGTGTGAAGCGCGTGCCATGAGTTGACCGTAGGCATTATGAACGAAACGATGCAAAATATTAAGGCTAGTGCCGTTACGAAGAGAAAGATTATGATCCACTGCTAATGTGAATGTTTTGAATGTTCCATCATTAAAAACAGCTGGTTCATTCCTGTGTGATTGTGAAAAAGATGACGATCGTATCATATCATATAGAATGATGAGAAGAGAATGAAGGCATGAAGAATTGAAAATATCAGTTCGTTGCAAGTTTCACAAATTTTCACCAATATGAATTGTGAAAAAGATGATCGTGTCATATATCATGGTGAGAATAGTTATTAAAAACTTACATGTCGTTCCAAAATGCATGAATTCCTCGATCCATCAAATCTCGATAATATTTTCCCCACCACTTTCTCACTCTCTCATTGAAATAATCCGGGAATGTACATCTAAATGGCCACACTTGTTCCACGTAAGTTTCTCTCTTCAATTGACACCAAACATTTTCAAGTGTTCCTTCTGCATAAACTTTGTACTTTTCTGGTTCGACTTCACGCTTTGAAATACCAGGATCAATAATGGCTACAAATCTCTGTCTATTATCTAATAACAAATGATTAGCAAGAGAGACAGGTTTTGGAAAATGTTCTTTTGAAATTGTGAAACATTCAAAATTATTCATATAATCAATATCCAAGTAGAAGACATCACATGGAATATCGTGTTGAATAAATCCATCTGAAATTTCTCTCACCTTCGATTCTGGATAATAACTCCAACGGCACTGTTGGAAACCAAGAGCATACATGGGAGGAAGCCAAGTTCTTCCTGTGAAATTTTTGTGTGAAAATTGTTGAACGAGTGAGAGAGATGTTTCTCCCACAAATAAATAAATGGGCATGGTTCCATATCTTTCAATGGAATTTTTCACAATTTTCTGTTTCACTTCAGGTTTGAAATTAGTCAAATCCCATTCTTGTCTACTGACAGTATCTACAAAAATAGCAGAATTCAATGATGAACGAGTAGTAGAAGAAGAAGAATTGCCCGTTGTTGACCCACAGAACATGAGAAATGGAGTCGATTGATACAATGGATCCGAATGAAATGAATATCCAAAATGATCATAATTCCACATGAGCCATTTTCTTCCTTCTTTTGACAAGAGTCCACTCTTCTCTCCAAATCCATACGCCTTTTCTTTGTTTAATGGTGAGAAGGACATCAATGTTTCATACAGACTCTGATTTTCAAAGATATAGTCAACAGAATATTTGGAACTAGAGTCCTTGTTTTGAATGGGAATGGAATGAGTCACTAATTGGTGTGAAAATGTGAGAGATTTCAGTAGGATGGAGAATTCATGACTGCCACAACAACTTTGACTGCTCTTATTTTCAATCAAATCAAGAGAAAACAACACCGTTGTTCCTCCAGAACCCTCCCTCATGGTGGATTCACCATGATGATGATAAATTCGAATAAAAGTTTTACCACCACCACCACCACTCGTACTACTCGCTCTCACTTTTACATCCCAATACGATATCGTCGTTGTTGGGAAAGGAGTATATTGTGAATCAACATTCCCTTTCTGCTCCTCCTCCTCCTCCTCATCAACACCACACGAGGATGGAATCAATTCAAGAGGCAAAGCAGACGTAGAGATCAATTCTTGTTCCTTCTCAATGGCAAAGGAGTCCAAAGTGAGATGAGAGTCATCGGGATCATTCACTTCCAATCTCCACATGGAATCAGAGAGAGCCAATAAGGAGACTTTGACCGGTGGTGGTGGTTGTTCATGAGCGGCCATTCCAAGAGAATCCTGACTCAAAGAAGATGAGATGGTTACACGACAAGCATTGTGTGAAAGAGTCACAGAGAGAGGAGTGGAAGCCATTTTTTGAGTTTCGGTTGTTTGACCTTTGGATTACAAAAAAAGTACGAGTGACAAACTTCATCATGTCAGTCTGAGTTGAGATCAAATACAAATTCGCCATGTCTATTCTTTATGATGGCTTTTTGTCCTTTCGTTTTGTTCCAAATGAAATTTTACTTTCATGAAAGAATTAAAAAATATGCTGAAACATGAAAAGGAGGATGAATCATGATGAATGCACCACTACTACTACCACCGCTGCTTCTCATCACCACACGAGGAGAGAATCAAGAATGAAAAGAGTGATGGCACATTTATTTCCTTCTTTAAGAAATTCAAGCAACAACCCATCATGCGATCGTTATGTGGTGGATCACAATCATTCGATTTCCCGAAAATCTTTGGCACAGATATCATCATCAAATAATCATCATCATTTCAATCATTGTGATAAAACATCAAGAGAATCATCAAAAAGCACATGGTCCACTCTCTCTTCCGTTTTGAAATATTTATTAAATTCTCATCTATTATTCCGAGCTTGCGAAATTGATAGTGAGAAACATTTCAAGATTCAAGATGCCAATGACAAGAATACAAACACTCCCGAGGACACTATTTCTAAAATCCATCATCATGATTCCATTATTGGAAATACAAACAAACTATTTGTTCATCATTTTGCAGATGATGAGAAAAAAGGCTTAGTAACAGCAGCTGGAAGAACAAGCAGCAATTCACCAAAGCACGCGAATAATACTGCCACTACAACCACGGCAACTCCAGTTGCGACAACCAGTCGTTCCGATCCAACCTCTCATCCCGGAATTATCAACAAGTTTATTAGAAGTTTTCAAGGAAATCCACCACTCTCAACCGACTCCATTCAAGCATTTAACAACATTCTCTTTTTAGTCAACTCTATTCCTCCCTCTGTGAACAGCGTTAGTATTTTCGACATTATGTTAAGAAGCTCGAAATTGGATTCAGATTTACTTCCCTTTTTAGCTCAAGTGAAAATTCCAAAAAGTGCACTCGGTGGAACAGACTACAAAACATTTATTAGCACATTATCTCGAGTGCAAATGTATTTACCAAGTTGGTATTACAATTCATTAGTTCTGGCAAAGGCTTTGGGAGATTTTGACTCGATTCTCTTGTACTGTGCTCAAAGATTTGCGAGAGAAATCAAAGTTCAAAAGGCCATCACCGGTGCTCTCATTTATCCGGCAATTATGACCACCATAGGTCTGTTAGGAATTACCTTATTATTAACTCGAATTTTACCTCAGAATATTGCAATTTTTGAGAGTATGGGTCTCACAGTGCCTGCATTCTTACAATGGACCAACTACCTGGTGCGAAGTGTTCAATATCATTGGTTGGCACTTCTCTATATCATTCCCTCTACCATGTCATCCGAATACCTTCCTTTCAAATCTTTTCTCAAGTGGCAATACATCAAAATGCACACTCCTTTGGGTAATTTGAAATTTTTGCAAGATAAGGCCACTCTCTTACATACATTGTCTCTTCTTGATAAGGAGCAAATTACTTCCAAATTACTTATTGTTTGTTCCAACATTAGCTCAAATCCAATTCTGCAACACATGGTCGAGAGTATGGCAAGCTTGGCCAAGTATGGAGCAGGTGCTGATGATGTCTTGGCCTACATGTTAAAACAGAAACACATTTTCTCACCTTACGAGATTGCGTATTTGCAAGCTTGCTTTATGAGTGGCAAGCATAGCATTATACAAGATGGGTTGAAATATGCCTCTCAAATGATACTCAAACAATATACCCAGCAGCTGCAGACATTATTGAAAATTTTAAACCCAGCCACTGTGGCCATCATTGGAGTATTGGTGATTGTGATTGCTGTGCTTGGTATTTATCCAATGATTGCCTTAACAGGAGCGGTAACAGCAAACAAGTAGTCACTACAACATAACAACCCACAAGAATATCGTTGTAGTACGGTTGCATGTTTTGAATGCATTGATTTGAAAATATTTATATTTTACATGTTCATCATCATTTCTCATTGTAGTGACATTATTAATGTGGTTATTGAGAAAAAAAGATTAATATTCCGTCCAGCCCCATTACGATACAGGGGTGAGTGTATTTGGATGAAGATTGTTTTGAATAACGTCACAATCATGTTGAAATTTATTGAATTTTAAATTGACTCGATTTAAGGTGTTTCGAAATATTGTGAACAAAACAAGTATGCAAAACAGTGCATTGGCCACTGTGTGTGTGACGAAAAGTTGATCATTTAAGGCAAAACACTAAAGATCAAAGTCCAATAATGCACCATGACACGCCACATTTTATTTTGAAAATATTTTTCCAACCAAGTACTGCAGCTTATCGGATGTTGTGGGATTTAAGTGTCGAAGCATTTCAGCACATTCGTCTTTTCGGGCAGGCACACTTTGAAATAAATCCTTTCCAATTTCATAAGCTGTCTTTTTTTTCGAAAGGCTTCAAACGAGAATTGCTCGGTAATTTGTGACGAACTTTGAGTCCCTTATTGAGAGTTTTAACTTTGAGAAGCATCTGAATGGTCTCCATGGATCTGTTCAGGCACGCCCAATGCAAAGCAGTTCCGCCTTCACAGTAGTCATTGCATTTCAGCAAACCTTCAGCGATTAAATATTTGAGCACTTTGGGTTTTGAAGTTTTGATTGCCTCCTGTATGAATAAAGACTGAGAAAGAAAAGGAGGTTTGGCATCTGACACAGTTTGGGTCCAGGCCTCCACGCAAAAAACACTATCTATAAAAGTAAAATATCTCACAAGCATGTTCTTGAAAAAGGACTCCAATTGCTCAACACTTCCAAAGCGTCTGAAATCTAAATGTCCTTCATCAAGGTTGTTGTGAAGAAGTGACCCGTTCAAATGTTCTGCTAAAATTTCTTTTTCCTTCTCAACAAACTGAAGCAAAGAATGAATGATATAACCCATGACTCGTTTGTCCTCCAAGGATGCAATAAATTCGAGCTGATCAATGTCTTGCACGATATCTTGAAGAACGCGATATGGTTGTTTTCGACACAACTCGTTAATAATATAGTACTGCTTATGTTTCGCTGCATAGCCAAACATGCTCAGACCCATCACATCATTCACACTTAGAGAATCGCAAAATGCTTCATCTCTGACCAAAACAAAGGAATCTGGACATTCCATCAAGTAATTGAGACGATCCACAAAGTTCACAGGTAAACTGCATTGAGAAATTCCTGTGGACTCTACATCTTCTTGGTATGTGTTATTAATAATGTCGATCATATCCTTGATATTTCTTCGTTGCTTTCGTGTGAGAAGGATTTGATGTATTTTAGGAGGCACATAATGATATTCAGAGAAGGTTGAAAATGGTGGCCGTCTTGTCGTGTGAATACTAGATGAAGCTGTATCAGGCCTTGAAGATGACTTTTGAGAACTTTCTATGAATGATTTGCAAAAAACTCCACCTGGAATATGAATGATGTCTTCGTTGTCAACGCTCTCTTCATCATCTTCTCCTTCAGATTGGTCATGAAATTGGTGGTCGTGGTTAATCTCATCCTCACCATTCAATTGATCCAAATGTTTAAATTCATTTGGCTTAACAACTTTAAAATCCACAATTTGGTAAGTGTAATGCTTTTTCACGGGCTGAACTTTGGCGTGACCAGGAAGGCATGATTTACGGCGAGGTTTAGAGATGCTATCACACGAATCAGTGATATTGCGTGGGGTTGGCATTGAGTCACTTTGCTGATCTCTATTTGAATCAGTACATTTAGGAATGACATTCTCCTCTGAACAGTCATCCTCAATAGAGTTTGGCCGAATATTAGTTTTTGAATTGGGCGGAAGAATCATGTGTACATAAATTGTATCAAAATATTTAAATGAATGTGACAGATTGCTTCCAACAACAACGCTGGTACAGTGAGATTTTCGTCTGTGAGGCACCTGCTGATTCATACTCTTGTCCACAATAGGTGAAATATCATCGTTTTGGATATTCTCGTGACTGATTTCAAATCCCTTCACAAAAGAGTCAATCTTAATAGTCACTGAAACATATTGAGCGTAGTTATTGGTAATGTTAGGTATATAATTTTCAATTTGAGAAATGTGGAGATGTTTTCGAGTCGCAGAATCGCCTCCAACAATTTTTTCAAGTGATCTTTTCAATGGTTCGCTATTGCAACGATGTTTCATAAGAGCCACGGTGGGACTTCGCTTGTAAAATTGAGGAGTCGGAAATGAAGTGTGATGTTCATAATGAGGATGATGAGGAATATGGTTAGACTTTTCATTGTTACTCTTGTTTGAGTTGTGTTTTGTTGATGAGTGGTCTCCACAACTACACTCAGCACAACATGGTTCTGTGGAAGCAGGAGGAACCTTTTGGTCATGATGAGAGTTGTGTGAATTGTGGAAATTGTGAGGAGGCTTTTGATTGTTCTGATGAGGATTATGACGATGGTGAATGGGAGGTAAGGTTATTGATTCAAGATTGGAGCGGATATGCTCCTCATGATGATGCAGTACTGGATCCAATGAGGAAGGATGTTCCACAATGGCATCATGAGAGGAATCATGATGGAAATGCTCCACAGACGGCAGATGTTGATGCTGAGTGCTTGTGGTGGATGTTCTGATATGTCCTCCTGCAACACCACCCACAACCTCAATAATCTTTCCACAACAATGCTTAAATAAAGTATGACACGACGTCGAGGTGGAATTGGGAGAAACACTTCTCTCATGATGATAGCGCTGATGATGGGAGGAATCAAGAGTGATGGCCTTTGTGCTACTTGCTTCTGGGTGATGGATGTCTGATGCGTATTGAGAGGATCTGGTGGTGGTTGTGGTGGTAGTGGCAGTGATGGTGGTTTGAAGGGGAATGGGTTCAAGAGTGATACTTTCAAATCCTCTCATGGAAGAAGAGGCATCCGAAGTGTCGTTGAATACGTAGGAAAGGGAGGACGAAGATGCTGAATCTCGGATAGAAAAAGACTTTTTTCTCTTTCGACCCGAAGAAGCACTCTCGTGATTAAAAGTCAAACCTTCTTCAAGATTTGAAGGTGGATGTTGTTGTGAGGAGTTTGTTGTTGCTGTTGTTGAACCATGAGGTTGATGATGATGATGGGAAGAAGATTCATGTTCTGCACTCGAGTGCAGGTGTTCTTCATTCATACGATGATGATGAAACATGAGGAGATCGGGTTTGCGTGGTTGTTCGAGTCCTTTTCAAAGATAGAGAGGGATATCGTTGTTTCTGAAAACACACAGTATCTGTGTGGTGGTTATGTTGGGATGAGATGGTGATATTTCTTTTTATAAGTCGCATTGTTGAATGACCTTACTCCACGTTTCAGGCCTCTTTCGAGAGGTGCCAAACGAAACTTTATTTTTTACCATTTTTGGCGATCTCTCGTGAATTTTTCTTTTTTGTTCCTCAAACAAAGTCCATTTTATTCCTTCTAAGGTGCTTCCAGCAAAAGCGAATGGAGATAAAGCGCTTGGCAATAGGACCCCTTAATAAGATCATGACGGGTAGTGAGAATGGAGTAACATTCAACCTTATGAGGCTTCATGTCCTTAACTCTTCGCAAAACAGTTCGTTTCAGCATAACCTCTTTAGTGGGTTCAAAAACTTACAACGTGTATGCATACCCTTAGAGTCTAATCCCATTCATCCTCCTCCTCCTCATGGTTCAATTAATTGCTAATGATTGAAACTTTTTTTCAAGAACAATTTAAATTGAGGATGCAAGATCAAGAGGTACTTCCTCCTGACATGCTCTCTCTCTCTTCAGCCACCCATATTTGAAAGTCCATCATCCTTCACCTGTCAAACCTTCAACTGAAAAAAATGAGAAGCTTCTCCTTCAAATCCAACAACACACGAAAGATTTCAGTACAGCTGAATCCCACTCGCACCGAAGAATACACACTCTCTCTGGATCAACCCATTGATGATCTCCTAAAAGAAATTGCCACACGACACAATCTCGGATCATCCGTATCATCCTCATCCTCTCTCATCAAAGCACCCACCACACAAAATTGCGAACTTCACGTCACTAACTTTAAATCTCGTAAAGTTGTGTGGGGTACTTTGGTGAAGAATTTACTCAAAGAACAATATCAAGTCACTCTCGAACCTCCTTTCTATTTGAATAATTCATCGGAGACGCCATCCTCCTCACAAACGTCCTTGACTTCTCCAGGTCGTTCCGGAAGTGTGGCTGCTGTCAACAAAACATCACCTGGTAATTCCTATTCTTCCTCAAACTCGAGTAATAATGCTGGTGCTGTTCCCATCAATGCCAACTTGTCAAATATTCTTCTTGCCGCGAATGAGCAACAACAACAACAATCCACAAGTACTTCATCATCCACTGCTAAAAATGTTTCGGATTCAGTCGATCAATTGGTCGATGAAATTACACTCTCTCCAAAGAAGAAAGAAGGAACATCATCTTCCACCGTTTCAACAACAACAACAACAACAACAGAAAACAATTCATCACTAGTAGTACCTTCACCCATACAAACATCCACCACCGAAAAACCCAAAGTTGGACTTCACTTGTTGTTGAATAAATTGGCCAATAAGGAGACAACGAACACGGCACCAAGTACTCTCGATCCTGCCACTGCCAGAGGAATGAGTATCATGAGAATTTCAACAAGTTCTCCAATTTTATTTGGTGGTTTGTTGGAGAATCACTTCCCGAATGGAACTTCAATTTCTGTGAGTAGTATTCCACCTATTCTTGAGAAAATGCTCTCCTATTTGAAACAAGACAGAATTCAGAGAACTCCGGGAATTTTCAGATTGACTGGATCGGCTGTCGAAAAGGAAAGATTTATTCAAATGTTAAATGAGGCTCAATCAAAAGGCGGAGATTTGACACCTGTCGTTTTTCCAAACTCGATTGATCCAAATGTGGTGTGTAATTTATTGGTGGAATATTTTAACAAGTTGGATCGGGCATTGTTTGAACCTTTTCATCGATTTGTGGAAATTAATGAAATGACCAACGATGCCGAACGTGTGGCTGCATTGAAAAAGGTCATCGATGAAATGCATCCAATTTATAGAAATGTTATTAGAGATTTTTTCTATTTCCTTGTTCAAATTCTTCTTTACAAGGAAGAGAATCGTTTAAGTGTCAAATCATTATCTGTAGTTTTAGGTCCTGCTCTTCTTCGTGGTAAATTAAAGGATGATGACGAAGCTGCCAAGGCCGTTGATATTAATAATAGCAAGAAGAATGCACCAGTGAATGCAACCATCCTCATTTCCACACGTCAATTATCACAAAAGATGGTTGAATTTTATATTCACACTGTTGGACAAGTCATTGAAAGTTATAACTCTATATTTGACGAAGAGGAATTGACTGACTTGCACAAATTGCATCACAAGAAACCTAAAAAATCAGACTCTTCATCCAGTTCCAACACAAACAAGACATTGGATGCATTCATTCAAAAATTGCAAGAACACAAACAACGTGCAGGAAACTCGATGAGTGCTGTGAAACGTCACGGAGAGTCCACAACCTCAACAACTGATATACTCTCCAGCACACCGAGAGAACCAAAAAAACCAACCACAAAGAACGATGAAGAATGGGAAAATATTCAAAAATCTTGGATGCAATTTGTTGAGAGTTGGAAAAAGAAGTACAGTGACGAACAAAAAGCTCACGAAGAGACTGCAGAAAATATAAAAATTACAAAACAAGAGATTGAATTTGAGAGAAAGCAAATGAAGGAAGAACTGAACAAGATGAGAGATCAACTCGATGAAAAGAAACGTTTCATTCAACAAAAAAGATCCGAATGGGAACTTCAAAAAGAACAAATTCAACTCAATTGGGAAAATGAAAAGGTAGATCTCGAGAAGGAAAAAACACTTCGATCCAAAGAAATACAAGAAATCAGAGAGCAATTCAAGCAAACACTTGAATATTATAATATCAAAGATTTCCAAATTGATTCCATTATGGGTGATGAAGATGACGATGCAGTCACAAGAGCAGTCATCAATGCCCAAGCCGAAAACACCAGCGGTGACTCTTCCGCCACAGGTGAGACACTCACGACTAGTCCAGCAACCACCAATAGAAGTGCTTCTCGTTCAGTGATTGGACAGAAAATTTCTGTCGATTCTCGTTTCAAAAAGAAACTCTCTGACGCTTCCTCTTCTGATCAGAAAAAGAATCACAAACAACATGGTGACGACGAAGATTCTGAAGACTCTGAAGATAGTGAGGACGATACTGCCACAACCAACACCACAACAACAACAACTGCTGGTAAAAGATCAAGCAATGCTCTCTTCACCGATTTAGAAGACAAGACTCCACAATCCTCTTTCGGTGCTTCTCCCTCTAAAAACATCTTTCTTCCAAAAGATAAAACAAATGCAAGTTCTGAAGAGGACGACGATGATCCAGCTCACACCAAACGTTGTGCAGCTTGTAAAAAGAAAATTACTGGAGAATATATGGAAACATCAGATGGCTACTATCACAAACCATGTTTTACTTGCTGCAATTGCTCTAAAGAAATTGTAGGACCTTTTGCGACAGTGGCAGGAAAATTCTGGTGTGCCACTTGTATTCAAAATAAGAACAAACATGTCAAGTATCAAACAAAGGATGAAAATGCAGAAAAGAAATCCAAACCTGCTGCTGCCAGTAGTGGAGATTTGGAATGTTCTGCTTGTAAGGAAAAAATTGTCAATAAGGCAGATATGGTGAAGGCACTTGGAAAGTGTTTCCATAAACAATGCTTCTTGTGTCAGAGATGTGGCAATGAATTTGAGAATATGAAATTCTATGATTTGATGGGTGATCCAGTGTGTGCAAATTGTAAGCGAAAATCCATCAAATCAAAAGTTGTGAAATAAAGATATGTAGAGACTCTCTATGAATCTGTCTGAGACAATCCAACTTTCGCGTCCAAACACCACTTGGGAATAAAACGAACAAACCATGAATTCAATTCTCAATAATTCATAGTAAGAAGATGATCACATAAAAGCATATTGTGGTTCTCGAGTTATTATCAAATTCATAAAAAATTATCAAAACATGAAAGAAACACCCGAATATCAATTTGTCTATTTTGCTCAGATCGGAGATCTTGCACGGATGAAACAATGGTGGGAAGAAAAGAAAATTACGAATATTGATTGTTATGGATTGATGGGAGTACGTGTTGATTTAGTGTTGTTGTTGTTGTTCATTTAAATATTATTTTTGATCGAATATGAATATGATAATATCAATTTATTCATGTTTTCATGTATACAAAAATATTTTGTTAATACAATATGTGGATCCAACAACATTTCGGAATTGAATGACTTGATAGAAAGTAAGTGTGATGAATTTTTACATATCGTCATCATCCACATGATGTGACAACAGAATGCATTGCATTGGGCTTGTTCTCGAGGACATGTTGAAATTGTTAAATACCTCATACAAAACGGAGCAAATGTGAATAATTTAACAACACAGGTAAGGCGGTCGAATTTTCGACAGATTTGAGAATATTTCACATCATTACGGTTGTCTAATGCGTGTCGGTCTTTGCTATTATTCAATCACAAAATATTCACTAGTTTCGGGTAAATACACATATTCAAGTCAATGAATGAAAATTCCATTCATACAAATAGTTTTTGGAACATTTCAGCTTTCTGCTCTCAACACTGCTGCTTCTTGGGGAAATTTAAAAATTACAAAAATTCTTTTAAAGCATGGAGCAGATAAATGCATTCGACAAAGTGTTCTTGATAATGGAAAAAAATCATTATTATCCATACATGAAAGAGAGGAAGAGAGAACTCCAGAGGAAGTGGCACGATTGAAAGGATTCATTCAAGTTGCTGATTATATTGCGAATTTTAATTATGAAAATTATTTAGTGAGGAAACGATCAAAAAATGTAAGCTTACACATGTATTCATGATGATCGTGAAGTGACTTTCGAATTGGATGATTATGACATGCCTAGAGATTTAAGGAAAAACTTTTAAAAATTCTTTGGCTTTCAAATGAAAGTCATCTCGAAGAACATGCCAAATGCTGTACAGCTTTTTCTGATATTTGCATTCGATACGAACAATTACTTGTTGAATCAAGAGTATCACCCATTTCATCTTCCTTAATGAATACTACTTTTACAAATTTAAGCTCATCCTCGATTAGAAAGGACGAAACTTTACAGGTGGACGCATCCCCAATGGAACATCATGCGCCTTCGATGGAAGAATCGCCAAGTGTCGTCACACCAACCTCAGCAGCGATAGAACAAATACTCTTTCCCAAATCCATTCCAACAACAACAACAACCAGTATCGAAACAACGTCAACGACCTTACCGCATTCTCCATCGACCACTCCCTTCAAAAAACGAAAACTCATCCACTCAAGCTCCAATCCATCTTCCACTGTACGATGAATGATGGATCCATTCGTTCAGAAGGTGTACACCACGCTTCTTACTTTCACACAAGAGAGATTGAGTTCGAGCCGTCGTTGGAAGAATTTCCACACTTGAACCCGCCAACAAAAAATTAAAAATTAAAAAATATAACGACAATATAATTTCGAACCGAGTTACACAATTACACACACTTGTGCGCACACACATAGATGCCCCCAAAGAAGAAGGAAGAGGAAAAGGTTTGTTGTTGAAGAGGAGTAAATTTGTTATATATAAATTAAAAAACATTTGATGATGATGATCGCTGCTCATGTTCCAATTTCAATCTTTGATTTACAAATTTAACAAATTTAACAAATTTAAACAATGAATTCACTCTCTTCACTTCCTATCCATACATAGGGTACTTCAAAAATTACATCGTTTTTTACATTGAAGAGAAAAGGTAGTAATAATGGCACTACCAACAATAGCACTTCATCATCAGCATCTCCGAGTGCCAAAGTAAAGAATGCCTCTTCTTCTTCGGAAGAATCCAAGTGAGTATCTTTAATGGAATTTAAAAGGTTCAAAATTTTGAAAAATTCAAATGATGATTCATATGATGATCTTTCATATATTACGAACGATCATTGAATTTTCAGAAATAAGAGAAAGAGAGAGCATGCTTCACAAAAGTCTTTGAGTAAAAGTAGTGATGATGAAATTGATTTTGAATTATCTTCAGACTCTGAGGAGGATGTGAAACTTGTGAACAAGACCACACCCACTAAGAAACAACAGCAATCCACACCCACCAAGAAATCTCCAAAACACTCAACAACAGTTCATGAATTAAGTGAAGATAGTGATTTAGATTCAAAAAAGTCGTCATCGTCGATCAGGGAAAAATTGAATTCAACACCAACTCGACCAAATACTCGATCACAAAGTAAGGCGACACCTGAACAAAAGAAATCCACTTCATCTTCTGGTACTCCTGTCAAGAGTTCGACAACTTCAGAAGAAAAGAAAACCAAGTCACCAGCAAAAACAACGAAACAACAAGCTACAAAAAAATCAAAAGTCATTGCGGATGAAGAGGATGACAATGAAGAATTTAGTGAAGATATTGAGGAAACAATTCCATCCAACAAGAAACGAAAGATGACAGTACCAGAAACTCCAAAAGAATCTCCAAAAAAGAAGGTTGAGAAAAAAGAAGAATCAAAGAGTCACTCTGACGCTGTGTCCAAAAAATCTGCATCTGAAACACCAAAGAAGAAGAGCTTTTTTGACAAGAGTGCTCACGAAAACAAAACTCGAGCAAAAAATCCAGGCTGCAAAGAAATTCCAAAAGGAAAACCCATGTTTTTGGAAAAGAAAGCATTTGTCATTACAGGTCAAATGGAATCATTGGATCGAGACCAATTGGAGGATCTCATCAAACAATATGGAGGTCTTGTTCGTACAAATGTATCTGGAAAAACGGATTACATAATTGTGGGAGATGATCCTGGAGAAAGTAAAATGAAGAAAGCGAGAGAATGCAAAACGAAACAAATTTCAGAAGATGACTTTATTGAAATGATTCGAAAATCAAACCCCAATGGAAAATACGACGAAGATGGAGACGTTTCCATGCAAGATGTCAAGCCCACAACAAGTGTGAAATCTGAAAAAGCAACTAAAGGTGGAAAAGCAACTAAGACTTCAGAAGAGCCAAGTAATGTCGTGCAAGTTTCTAAAGAAGTAGTTAAAGCACGTAATGGTGATAATGATCAACTCTGGGTTGAAAAATATAAACCCGATACGTCACAACAAATTATTGGCCACAAACAAGAATTTACCACACTCCTCGATTGGCTCAAGAATTGGCATGCCAAGTACGAAGAAGAAAGTAATAAGGCAGCACAAACTAAAGGTAGAAAGAAAACAGCTTCATCCGATTGGAAGAGGGCTGCATTCATTTCAGGGCCTCCTGGAATTGGTAAATCCACAACAGCTGCGATTGCCGCGAGAGAGGCAGGGTTTACTCATATTATTGAAATGAACGCTAGTGACGCTCGTTCAAAGAAGGCCATGAAAGAAGAAGTTGTTGAAGTTTGTCTATCAAAAAGCATTAAGGACTTTTTCGGAAAACCTGCCAAGATAAATCAAGGAAGTAGCGACAAGAAGAAGCAAACCATTCTCATTATGGATGAAGTGGATGGAATGTCCAGTGGAGATCGAGGTGGTGTTGCAGAACTAGTTCAAATTATTAAGCAAACACGCGTACCAATTATTTGCATTGCCAATGATAGATCCAAACAAAATTTAAAGACACTCATTGCCAACTGTTTAGATGTGAAATTCAGTCGACCAAACAAAGCAACCATTACAAAACGAATTTTAGAAATTTGCAAACACGAGAAGTTAAGCATTGACTCGAATGCAGTAGAATATATGGTCGAATCTCTCAACAATGACATTAGAAGTGTGTTAAATAATCTCCAATTGATTAACAGATATAGCACAAAAGATCACATTGGATATCTGGATGCCAAAACCAATGACGTGACAAAAACAAGTACCACCGATGGAATTTTCGACGTCGTTCGAGATGTTTTTGCTCCAAGTAACAAGCCTTACAATGATCGTTTAGAAGATTATTATTTTGACACCATGTTAGTGCCACTTTTTGTAGAACAAAATTACATTAACATTCGACCCTCTGGAGTTCCAGACAATGAACGAATGGATCGAATTGCTCTTGCTTCAGATTCTATTTCAGAAGGAGATGTAGTTGGCTCGAAAATATATCGAAATATGGCGTTTGGAAACATGAATACTCATGCTTTTTACAGCACTTTATATCCAGCCTATTTTGTGAGAGGATCTTTCCAATCTCTACGTACCTATGACCGATATTTCCAATTCCCAATGGTTTTGGGTAAGGGAAGTACAACCACTAAAAATTATAATCTATTAAGGGCCATTCAAAAATCAGCTTCTCTGAAAGCAAGTGCAGACACAAATGAAATGTTGGACTATTTACCGCTTCTCTCCAAAACTTTGTTACAACCATTATTGGAAGGAGGAAAAGAAAATGTGGATGAAACTATTGAAGCCATGGATGAATATCAAATTTCAAGAGATGAATTAGAATTCATGTGTGAATTAACAACCTTTAAAGGTAAAAATGTTTCTGATACACACAAGGACTGGTTTTCACAAGTTGACACCAAAACCAAAACAGCACTCACCAAACAATATAACAAAGTTCACAAAGGATTCAATAAGGTCACTGCTGCCTTGGCGAATCAATCTGAAGGTGAAGACTTGTTGAATTCGGGCGATGAAGAAGAAGAAGATGATGTCAAACTTGACAAATTTGTGAGTAAGATGAAGAGTATTAACAAGTTAGAATCTTTTGAAAAGAAACGAGAAAGGGCAGAAAAAAAGAAGGAATCCTCATCTTCGAGAGGTAAAAAGACAACAAGCAAATCGAAAAAGTAATTTTAGTGCGAATGGACGAGTGATAAACGTTTGAGTCAATACTTGCATTTGAATCTTCTGTCATGCTTTTCACAAGTTATGCCTCTCATTCCACTCCACTACTAAACGACAAGTGAAATAGCCCATGATAGAGCATCTAGCAACATATCATTCTTTCACTTAATGCAATTCATGTTTGACAATCCAGCGAAACACACATCATCCTCTTTCTATAGTAGTTTAAATGTCATGAAATAGTCATGTCTCCGACAGTAGCTGGTGTTAGCAGCTGTCAATAGTCATCGCATGAGCGAATATTCAATTCTTTCCATCTCTCATTTGGTTATAACACACGCGCATCTTCATCATTCACACGCCTCAACAATTCCCACCACAAAAACACACACAAAAAACCCTCACTTTCAAATGTCATCCACCCACCACCACCACCGCTCATTCTTTGCCTTCTTATTGTGCATCTCTTTACTCGTTCTCGTTCTCCCCTCTCACCAACAACAACTCATTTCAGTCAACAAGGACTTTACCGCCGCTTTCGATGCTGCCATTCAAGAACTCGTTGCCGACCCCACTTGGGTTCAATTCTATTCAGAAAATATGTTTTTTGGAGTTCCACAATGCTCGACCAAGGTTACATGGCCAGAGAAGGATCCATTTGTTGGTCAATCCTCAATTGTGACTTGTTTTGAGATTGGAACACTTTCACCATGTAAGTCATTTGAATTCAATGTGTGTGTGAATGTGAAAAATTGAATATTTGTTTATATTCGAACGAACTCCTATACATTTGTTTGCGAACGAATGAATGGGTTTGTCATTAAAAAAATGTGATGGATGGGTATTTCTATGGATGCGGTATGTGAAAACGCGCTTGGACAATATACAAATTTGGAAACTCTTGGTTGCCACTTATTTGCAGGGCTTGAAACAAAAACAAAATTGTCCGAAAGTGTGGTGAAGATCATTAACAACCACTACAAGACCAATTACATCAATGTGGTGAAGAGATACAATACTACACAATTGGGTTTCTTTGAAACGATGAAGAACGCTGTCGGAACAGGAGATTGTGACATTGTGACAGCAAATACTCAACCCAATCCGGATCGAGCAAAAGTTGTTCATTTTCAATGTGGATTTGGTTTTGCTTCGAAGGGATGGATTAGATCTGGAAGAGATCCTCAAATTATCATGCAAGATGTTTATGATTTGAACAAGACTGGAATTCTTGTTGGAGGTGAGTTTTATAACATTTCCTCATTTGGAAATCAAATGCTTCCTTTCACACGATTCATTGTTCAATGTTATAATGATCACACAATGGTTCAATATACATTTCCAATAATGATAACAACAAATCCAGCCTATGATGGTACTGCATATGCAACCTTTGTCAGGAACACTCTCACAGCTGCCACTTATGTTCCATTCTTCGCTGTCAATCTTCAATACGGAGCTGTTTTGAATCAAACTGTTCATGCCTTGATTGGAGATGCCATTCAATTTTATTCATGGAAAAAACAAGTTGGAAATTGCAATTGTGAAGTGAAGGCCTATGACCCTGCTTATGGATTGTCCACTTTTACTTATGGAAATATTACTGAAACTAGTTTTGCAATGGGCACTTGGTTTGGAACTCAACACTATGTGATGCCAATGATGATGATTGTTGTGCTTTTGATTCAAACTTGGTTCATGTTTTAAGTGATTGAACACAAAGTTAGCTCCAACTTATTCAAGTAAAATCTGAATTTTATTATGTTACAAGTGAATGATTTGTTGAAAATTCTTAATGTTTCTGGTTAGGATTATGAACTTTGAGTTGTTGAAACCATGAATCCAGTGAAGGAAGTAATTCTGTATGAAATTGGAAACATTGATTGGTTTTTTCAACGATAATTTTTCCAGCTGGATTAATTCTGAAAACTATTTGTGTGATGAAATGGATATTGATCGATCGTTCAATATTAATAATATAATTGTTTCATATTGTCACACATCATACTTACTTCTTTCAAGTGCAATTCCTAATTGAGCCATTGAAATATCATCCGTAATACGATTGCCAAATCCTGAGAAGAATGGTGTTTTTGTTTTGAGTACTTCTTGTCGTTGTTCAGCATTCAACTCATTCAATTCAGGTACAAATGTTTTCAAAATAATGTCCAACATGTAAACTATTAGTGCGATTATGAAATACATCCAATCAAGTACATGGATGAGATTTTCACATGAGTTGAATTTAAATGATATCATTTCACATACCTTTAAAAGTATCAGGACGTTTTAAAATCACTTCTCTCAATAAAGCATTGGTTCCACTATTATAAGCAGTAAAGACAGGACCTTCAGGTAAATTCACAATTTTTCCATTACTTGTCACTTGTCTTAAACGTTCAATAAAATGCCGAGTGGTTGAACTCATTGTAATTGGACGTGCTGTTAAATATAACATTTTGTAACCTCTCTTTGAAATTTCAACATAGGTTTGACAAATATCTTTGTGGACATAATCTTTTCCAACTCGACATGCCACTTGTCCACCAACGTCACTCTTTGTAATGGTTCCATCAATGTCAGAGACAACAATCTTATCATGTTCATTCCATAAATAGAGTCTTCCAATTGCAATTTGTTGTTTCACAGGTTTATCTAAGATGATAAAGAGCAGTAATAAGAATGCCATACCACAATTCACATCATGATTGCAAAATTATTTCACATAAATTCTTTTCACAAAAAATCAATCACTTACTGGTCTTTGTCGCTCCAGCAACCTTTGCAATATTACTTCCCAAAAGTGACACTTGTGGAGCATTTTGTTCTGCTGGATTCGTCTTAAAAATTAATGTCAATTTTGTTTCTCCTCTGTCATAAAACTTTTTCAATTCCTTTTCAATAGTTTTAAGATGAGAAGATGAAGGAATAAACCATTCATGAGGATACAGCAATTCGTCATGAATACTTTGTAAAATTTTCGCTTTCCATTTTTCTCTTCGAGAGGGAGTATTTGTTGATTTTTCATTTTCAGAATTCACAAATGATTCTGAATTTGTCATTTGACTTGAGGATGAGGAACTATTCGAAAATTGTTGTTGCTGTTGTGGTTGAGAAGAAGCATTGGTGGCAACGGATGGAGTTTTTTTGAATTTTTGTTTCAAATTGGAAAACTTTTTTCTCAATCGACCACTTTTTCCTTCTTTTTCTTGATCAGAATCAGATTCAGGAGAGAGAGGTGTTCCTGGAGTGGTTGGTGAAGTTGGAGTGGAAGATGAGATACGGTTGAAAGAGAGTTTTGAGTGAGATCTGGAAATTCCCATAGATAAGGCAATGTCACCTGCCAATTGTTTTAACATTTCTCGTTTTCTCATCTTTTCTTCAATGTCCATCTTGTCGTCACGACGTTTCCTGGTCGATTCTTTTAGGAATTTCATCTTTTCTTTTGGTGTTTTGAGGGAATTGTAACGTTTGTAAAATTCTTCCATTTCACTTTCAGAAGCATAATTAAATAATTCAAATTCTTCAGAATTGACACTTGAATGAAGAGAAGTCATTGATGAAGAGGATGAAGATGTCAATGAATGACTCGACTGATTCAATCCATATTCTTCCTTAATATTTTCAATGACAGCTGACACATCAACTTTGGAAGCGTCGACATGTTCTTTATGTTCATTCAATTCATATTCTTCAACATGTTCTGCAATCTCATGTTCCAATAAAGAAATCGATTCTTGTTGTTTTGTAATGGAATCTTTAGTGTCACCACCCTCAGTCGTGCTGTCAGTTGTCACCTTGGATACGTCTCCATTCTCTTCTTCATCCATTCCCATCAACAAATCAGCAACTTTCTTTTGTGAAAACAACGAACGATCAAAAAATGGAATTTGAAAACCGGCTTCAAGAGCCATCGTAGCAATCAAAACTTCTTCATTCTGCAATTTAGGATTTTCCTGAGTGGATTTCCAATACATTTCTGCAGTCATGTCATGTTGTGGATTAAAAGATTTCACAAACACTTGAACCATTTGATTGATTTTTGGTTTTTTAGGAAATCTCACAAAGAAAGGAGTACATCGAACACTCGATTGTTGTTGTTGTTGTTGAGAAGGAGGATGATTCATCGGAATAGAATTCTGGTCAAACGTTTTTCTCACCGAAATGATATCAATGCAATTACCAAAGATCTTTTTTTGAGATGATTCTCCATCTTTCTGAAGATTGGATGGAAGGGAATCCGAGGAGGGAGTTTTTGATTTCATATTCTTGTTGTGATGATGATAATCTAATTCCTTCTTTTCAATAGAATGATGAGTGGTTGAATCTTTTTAAATGTCTATCGAGACAAGTAATTTTGCAATCGATGGATGATGATGAATATTAATAATCGATCGATCGATCGATTGGATGATTGGATGATGATGATGATGGCAAACTCTGTGAGGGTGGCGTACGTTCAAAGATCACTTAAATTTTTAATCTTTTGATTTAGCCGAAAATGAACCTGATTTTGACATGTTCAAAAGTTGCAACTCTCTCAAATTTTATGATAATTCACTGCTTGTGAAGGCATGTTGGGGTTATAAATAATGTCATGTTGATGAGAATGTTCAATAATATTGTAAGGTTGTGAAGGTTGTTGTGAGGTTGGATAAAAGTTTGCATTATTGTGGTAATAAACGACAGGATCATTTTGTGGTGGTGGTGGTGTCACTACGTGTGTGGTTGTGTGATATTGTGGTGGTGTGAAGACATGTGTTAAAATAGGAGTCTTGACATGGTAGGTAGTGACTGTTGTGTTACCACTTTTTGGTTGTGAAGATGAACCAGAAGAGGTGACAGCTGCACACACGCCACAACAAATCAAAATTGGTACCAAAATGATGATCAACACAACACATAATCCAAAAATTACAGATCCAATGATAACACCAATGACCCAATTGGGAATTCCTTGATTCAAACTAATGGATAAAGTATAAGATGAATAAGAGTAGAAGGAAGAGTCAGAAGCAACACCAATGTAAAAGGTTGTAGTTTGATTCAAACTTGTTGAAACGATTGTTTTCACAGAGTATTGAGTTAGTAAAATATAATCATAATCGAAACTGCTTGGAATTGATCCTTCTTTGACATAGACTGTAATACTATCAAAAGTAGTAAATGACAGAGTCATGACAGTTCTGCTTGGAAATGAAATTTTGTAATAATTCCATGAATTTTTGTCTGTGATGAGAAGAAGTTTGATTATGTCCATAATTTCAAATAATGATTCCAATAAATGATTCGTTTGAAAACATTTTGATTTCTTAAGCTCGAAAACAATCTCCTCGAAATAACATATATTTACATACTCACTGAACTAGAAACTGTTTGAGATGTTCCACTGAGGGTCGTAACATCATCATTTGGTGCATTCAATTTCTCTAAATTGTTCGTTATTATTGGACCATCCTCCTCATGATGATGATGATGATCGTTCCGACCACTTTCTGGAAAGAGAGGAGAAGCAAGAACAGGTGCAGGCATGGCCACCCGTTGATCGAAATGTTCATGATGATGATGATGATAATCAACATCTCCCAAGTGATGATGATCGTGGTTGTTGCTGTTATGGATAATATTCTTGTTGTTCTTCTCTTCTACTACTACTGCTCGGACCCGAGATCTCGACTCCTGAATCGTTTCGATGGAAAGGGCACACACAACAACCACCTTCAATAGTAGGATGAAGGAAAGAAGCAACAATAACAACCATAACACTCCTTGAGGAGCCTTTTGCTTCATTTTTGCTCTTAATAGATAATAATTGATGGAATCTCGATAGTTATATATGAAAGGAGTATACCAGAGTCGTCGTCTAGCAAGATATTATTACTCAATCACCACCCAGCTCGTCAATGAATGGGAAAGATCTGGAAATTACGTTATGGATTGCAAAATATGTGTATTGGTCACGCAAGGTGCTGCAACTGCTACCGTTCAATGTGAATTGGAAATCTCAAAAGTTGTAAATTTCATGTATACAGTAAAGAATGATGATTTGAACTGTGGACACTAAGATTAAACCAATATTCTAAATTTAATTTATTCCAACACGTATATGTTTATATTCTTTTAATTGTGGAACTTGGAAAATGCTGGTTAGTGTTGTTGCGCATGTTTGTTTCTTGATCTTTTTGATGGAACACAAAGCAGAAAAAAGGTTCAAATTTGTGATCAATTACAAAAGATTTACTTGTTTCATCATGTCGTTCTTGTTTTCCAACACAGACAGAAATTGTGTGTATTGTGGCGTCAAGACCAATCTCGAGAAGGTATCTCCTAAATTCAATAGAATTTCTTGAGTGAGATGATTCATGCATTGTTCAAATGATTGGATTTCCTGAGTTGGAGACTGTTGCGAATTCTTGATGTCCTTCAATTCTTGTGAAGTGGCATTCTTGAGCTCTTGAAAAACTCTCATAAACTCTTTTCTGCATTCGGATGGAATATTCACCTCAATTGGGGCTCCTGCATTAATGTAATTCGTATGAATGTTTCTCATGAAAGAATGAATGGCAGCGAGTGATTGTTGAGTTTTAAAATGCATTAGTTCCTTGTACAACAACATGTTCTCCAATGAGAATTCTTTTTTGCAAAATTCCTCAAGAAGTTCTCTTCCTTCCTTGCAATCCAAAAGGGCTTGAAGTTCAGTTTGATTTTGTTGTGGCTCCTCTTGACCAATCTTGTGATGTTTGGAAAGAGCTTTCAATTTGTTAACAAGGAAAACAAGCAATGCAAAGCCACCAAAGACCATGATATACATTGCGACATATAAAATTTCAAATACGAATGATATCACATCTAAGGCCATGACTTGTTGTGAGGAACTTTCCTTGTTCATTAAGGTATAAAGACCTGTCAGTTGGTTGCAAATTAGAAAGACGTAACACAACACAAATAAAATCATTTCTACTCGGAAATAGAGAGGAGCATCCAATGTTGCAAACCAATCTCGAAGAGGTTTCACTTGAAGCCATTGGGTCACCTTTTTCACTACCTCACCATTCTTATCTTTAGGCTTTTCATCCGTGTGTTGGGCCGCAATGGACATCACTTGTGTACCTTCTTGATCTGTTTGTTGCTTTCGTGACGAGAAAATAAATGAATATAGGAAATCACTCACGCAGACACCCGTAATAAATAGTCCACAACATAATATAAATGCTGTGTATGAAATTGACACAATAAAGGTGTATGTTATGGGTAACATTGTTTCTGTTCTTACTAAAATCACAAATAAAGTCCAAAAAGCCAAATTCAAACCCAAACAAATCACTAACAAGAGTGAAGAAAACTTTTTGGATATCATGAACTTGATCATCTTTGGTGTCATTGAAATACTAATTAGTTTTGGTACCTCCTTTGTCTCTCGCAAAGCGCTTTCATGATTGTTCATACTCATTTTGTAATAGAAATATTTCAATAATTGGAATCGAGTCACTTGAAGCAAATAAAACACAATGGCAGTAATGCTAAAAGTATTTGAAATAATCATGACGACATTACCAAGAATATTGGCGCTTTGTAATGGGCCCTCCCACTTTGCAACACTTGATTGAGTTGAAACGTTCTCTTGCACGGTTGACAATAGAACTCCTTTCTGAGTGATAGAAATTAAAATACTTTGAATCATCAAGCTGACCATTCCAACATAGGGAGTGAATAATCGACTCTTGACAGGTTGTTCCGATCGAAAGATGAATAGTGCAATCAGTATCACTAATGAAACAAGGAAATACACAGCTCCCACTGTTATTTGTCCAATAAATAATGTAGCCAAGAATTCTTGTCGAATAGGGTCTTCCATAATCGAGGAATTGTCATGATGCAAGAACACAGAGAACATGGTCGTGTGATTGCACGAGCAAAATACTTGACGAGTTTCATTCACCACCTTCACCAGCACGCATCCATTCGTCTTCCATGATTCGGTCGTTTCATTCCAATATCGACATGACAGTTGTGAAATATTGAGATCTAATGTTTGATTTTGAATGGTAAAGGATAACATTACTGGCTCTGACAAATCCCGTAAATCAAGATCTTTCATATTCCTTGAGAAGGAGAAATCTTTCACTTGTGAAATGAGTTGATTTTGGTCGTATTGGAGAGTTTTCACTCCCTCTTCAAAGGAGACCAACTTGATGCCAATTTCCTGGAAGAAACCATGATATTTTGAGAGAATATTTGGAAGATTGAACTCTACATCTTGCAGGAATGTATTCTTTGAATGATTTTGAAGAGAAACATCCGGTATGAAGCTCATCACTGAAATGTTCACAAGTTCAGAGAATAAATTCTTTGGTATGTTTGAAGAATCAGAACGGAGCAACGTTGGGTTCTCTCCAATTTGTGCAATGGTTGAAATTTGTTGACAAAGTTCTACAATTTCATCCTTGGAAAATCCTTGTTTCATTAAATTGGATACGAGTTCGAGAGAAGATTGTAAATCCGTATCTGCCTTGTTTTGAACAAAACCCAATTCCATCTTTTCATTCGTATAGACTTGTTTCATTTCACTTAGGAATTGATCAAGCTTATCAGTGATTACAGAAGCAATTCGATGCTCTATTAAGGTTTGTTCTGAATGAAGTGTTAGTGCTTGTAAGGATTCTGAATTGTCCTTATTAAGAGCGGAGAGGTTTAACTGTTGAAGAGCGTAAAGGGTGATTTCAAGAGAAGCATTGCTGGATGTTTGTGAGGAGAGAATTGAACGATCATAAGTGGCAGCCAATGCCAAAATCTTATTATTTTTCACTTTCTCAGCCAAATTGTTGACATTGGTGTTTGGGTAAATCTCCACTTGACCAATAATTTGAGGGTATTCATTGGAGAACGCATCTCGAATAAATACTACAATATCTAATAGTTCTTTAAGCTTTGATCTTTGATAGAAAGTAAATGGTAGAGCGAATGTGACATTTTCATACTGAAGTGAAAAAGGTGTCAATCTGACGACATTCTTTGATGTCTGTGCATCCTTCCAAACAAATCCGAAAGCAAATTCTAAGGGACTCAGTAGGGAAGGGATGTTTTTTAATTCATCCAAATCCGTCAGAGAAACAGAAAAAAGAGTGTCAAGGGCAATTCCATTCATGGGAGCGATCGTCACATTGTTTCTTAACGATGGTACGTTAAAACTTAGCAATGGCATGTCATAACTGAACTGTAGAGTATCTGCCGTGTCCATATCGTTGGTGAGCACAACCTTCAGAGAGAGTGGTGACAAGGATGCTCCTTTAGACACAAAGGTGCATTGCAATGCAATGACTGGAGAAAGCATCGAAGTTGTGTAACATCCTTCTTCAAGAAGAGTTCCAGAAGCAAATGTCTTTCCAGAGGTCAAGCATTGAGTTTCATTATTCGAAAAGTCTACAAGTTCTAAAGAGAATGAAACCAATTGTGAGGCATTATTCATTACCTTGTTCGTTCCAAGGAAATGGTTGGGAATTTCTTCACATCTTTGCGGAAATTTCACACCTGAAAGTATGACCTGAAAAGATTGTTCGACATTCGCGTTGACAAATGCTTGAGGTAAACCATACAGGACTAGTGTTGGATCTCCTATAAAGGTGACATAAAATTCGACCATTCTTGTCTTCCAGTATCTATAAGATGAATGGTTGTTGAAGAGAGTTGCATTCATGACAAATCTATACCTCCCAGCAGTTGAAATGTTAAACAAGGAGAGATTGAATATCTTTGTATCTTTGTTCGAGAGAGTCCTGACTAGAGTTGTACTTTCGTGTGTGCCATTACAATTCATGCACTGAATCATGAGAACAATAGTTTCATTTAGGACTTCTGTCGTGTTGTCATTGATGACATGACCATTCCATACAATTGTTTTGTTTCTACTCGAAATAAAGTATTCTGTTTTTTCAGCAATTAAGGAGATCGAGTTCGAATTCAGAGAGCAGTCGACTCCTTCATAGCCAGTGATACAACTGCAAATATTATAATCAATACAACGTCCCTTTCCATTACAAACAGAAGAAGAGTTCATATGAATACCAAAACATTGGAATTCTTGACATTTTTCTCCCCAATAATTTGGCAGACAACTACAATTGTTTGGCGATGGACAGGCTCCATGGCCACTACAAGCAGATGAATTCGAAAAGAGTGTTCCATAGCAATCAAATAATTGACAGGTGTCTCCATAATAGCCATTCAAACAAGTGCATTGATTGGGACCTGAACAAGTTCCTTTTCCACTACATGCAGATGAATTCGAAAAGAGTGTTCCATAGCAATCAAAGAATTGACAGGTGTTTCCATAATAGCCATTCAAACAAGTGCATTGATTGGGACCTGAACAAGTTCCTTTTCCACTACATGCAGATGAATTCGAAAAGAGTGTTCCATAGCAATCAAAGAATTGACAGGTGTCTCCATAATAGCCATTCAAACAAGTGCATTGATTGGGACCTGAACAAGTTCCTTTTCCACTACATACCGAGCTACTGTCCTTATGAATGTTAAAGCAATTGAATTGATCACATTGTGAACCAAAATAGTCAGAGGAGTCACAGGAACAATTGTTAAATGCAACACACTTGCCATGGCCAGAACATGGTTTTGGGTTGGTGGAATTGGACATGATTGAATAACACAATGTTATTTCACACTCTTCTCCAAAATACTGATCGGATGGAGTGCAATTGCATTGATTTGTTTTTTCGCAAGTACCATGTCCAGAACATACAGTCTCATTGATGTTGGAAACATTAAAACATTGAAAGTTTTCGCATTGGGAGCCAAAGAATCCCTCAGAACAGTCACACTGATTGGGAGAGGTGCAATTTCCATTCGATGAACAAGCGAGTGGGGAGTCCGAAGGAATTCCGTTGCAACTAATATATTGACACTTCTCTCCATAGTATCCAGGGAAACACGAGCAAGAGTTTGGTTCTGAGCAAATACCATGTCCTCCGCAAGCACTTGAGTTTCCTCCATTAATTCCATAGCAGATGGGTTCTGAACATTGAGGACCACCATATTTCACATTCAAACTTCTGGTGGAAGTGGGATCATAAACAAAAGCTGTCCAACATTTGTACATCAATGAATCATAGATGGTAATATAACGTGTATTTTCTAGAGTCAATCGATAGGGAGGTGTTCCTCCGACACATGGACCAGCAACAGTGAAGTTACTTGGTCCTTTCAGTTCAAACGATCCATCTGTATTGAGAATCATTTCGTCAAAACTTTGATCTACAAATGTTCTAATCGCCCATATTGGCATTTCTTCATATGGTTTCACATATATGACTAAATAGCCATCATTTTGCATGACGAGCATGAACGTCTCATCTGAAGAAACAAGCATTGAACGAGGAATACCTGTCAAAGAAAGAGAGTTCGAATATCCTGCAGTGTTTGGGTGTGAATAAAGTGTATTGTCGGGTGAAAAATCAAAGCAAGTGCAACTGTCATTGCTTCCACACAGACCCTTTCCTCCACACACTGAAATATCAGATGAAGAGACTCCAAAGCAAGTCCTGTCACCCAGTACAGCTGAGTATGGAATCCCACAAGCCACCAATAACACCAACAACACCAACATCACCATTACTACATGGCATGTGTGAGAAAGAACAAGGAGACCATTTGCTGCTTTTCGAGGAGGTTGCAACATTTTTTAAATTGTGTCTTCACAACGATGTCTCACTGTTTGTCTCCGACCAAATAAAAAAAACCAAAGCTTTTACCTTTATGGCATCCAGCGTTACATTGCTGAAGACAGAAATATTCGTTTCAACCTGAAAATGGACATTTAAGGAAGACACAAAAAATACTCATATTGCGAAACTGTGTAAAGGGTCATCACACAATAAATTAAGGAGGACAAAATGGTTTTTTTTCCGGTGGCAAATATTTGCCACACGGGTGTGCAAGAATCGAAGGGTAGAATTGAATCCAGAAAACCATTTTTTCAACGTCCCAGCCTGCTAATTTGTAGTGATAATGCAAGGACAAAACAAGATTTCGGAGAAGGATTCAAGACGATGGATCATGAAAAACTTTATTCCTCAGGACTGATGAGGATAATACAAGTTGAAAAATTGTGGTGTCAAATTGCCGAATGATACTCTCAAACGGCAAAAGAAAACCATTTCCTAGGACCGATTTGTCTCTCACACGATTTGGATTATCAATGTGATTGACACTTCAATTCTCCTTAGTACAATTCTATGGGTGAAAAAGTTCTTCTTCAAAATTGCTTCCCAAAACTCTTTAGTAATCATCATGTAAATCTATGCTAATAATTCAATATTCAATAATATTGAAAATTATTAAGACAACTGTTTGTCGTTGCGCATAGAGACAAGTGAGAATCTAAAAGTTGATTAATTCTCTGTCACAACAGTGCAGTCGGAAAGCTGTATGTGCCGTCTTGTTTTGCTCCACAATTTTCGTCTCATGGCATTTGCTCCTTTGTTATTTCTCTTCAAATGAACAATGACAAACATGTTATATGCGAGGATTTGTTCTACCTCATACCTATTAATAAAAGAATCTGGCATGAGAGTACTTGTAACATTAAAAGGTTTGCTCACATTAAAAGACATGTCCCTGCTTGAAATGGGTCGAATAATGTCATAATCATTGGATCCTACAGCATAAATTTCATTGCACTCGGTAACAAAAAACGTGATGCATTCTTGGGTGCAAAATACTTTCTTAATAGCATGCTTTAAGGGAACGAGAGTGGGAGTAGTAACTGCTTTTAACCCTCCCATCTTTGAGAGTTGGCAATGATGATTCTTTCCACACATGTACACTCGGCCGTGTTGTGACAAAAAACATGAGTAACTCGATCCACATGTGATTTTCACAATTTTGTCATTAGATTGAAGCGGAATGTCAATTTTGGTAAAGTTGAACACATTACCAAATTCGTCCTGGGCATTTTTGGCTGAAGATAACCCAAACTGTCCAACATTGTTTCTACCACAGCCATAGCAATCTCCATGTCTTGTCAACAAAAGAGTGAAATCTTCACCACAGGTTATTTGGGTGACATGGTCATCGTTCCTCTCGAATTGAACTTTGACTTTTTGGAAAAATACATGGAAGTCTTTGTTGCCACTTCCTGTTCCACACTGGCCTGCTTGATTCAATCCAATTGTGTAAACGTTTGCTTTTGAGGTCAGGACCACAGCATGATCATGACCTAAGGCAACATCGATGGGTCTTTCATTCTCATCCAAATCTTCCAACAACACATGGCAGGGAATGAAAGAATCAGATTTTTCAATGCCCTTTCCAAGTTGTCCCCAAGCATTGACCCCTTGACTATACAATGAACCATTGCGAGTCATAAAATAATTAAAGGTACCAGTAAAGATAGATCCAGATGTCCAGCATTTTCTTACAATCTGATCTTCTTGTTTCGACGATGAGTTAATAAATGGAATTCTCTCGAGTTGATCTATGGGTATGACATTCTTATTGTCACACTTTTTCCATTCATCCCAATCCATTTCAGTAGCAAGATGTCCATGTACTTTTCCTCCATGAACGCCATGTAGTAAGGAATTATTTTTTGCAGTCCATAGAGTACCATCCTTAAGCACAAAAAGTGTACAATCTCTATTAAGCTTCACATCAATAATATCAATGAAGGATTGTGCTGAAAATTCCGTCTCTTCTTCAATTTTTGCTCCTGGTTTCAAACCAACCATAGAAATAAATGCCTTGATGTTGTTTTGTGTGAGAGGATTATCCTTTCTAATGAACCAATTCACTTCGGATGCATGACTAAAGTATTCAGTGGCGCTATTTGCAATGATTTTTAGCTCTCTTCTTGACTTGGTTTCTGCAAAATCTAGATGAATATACTTGCATTTATCACCAAAAGTACAACCACATTTTGTAATTGCTGTTTGATTCTTAATAATTTCTGGATTTCGGTGTGGATTACTGTTGTTATGATGATTCAAGTAATCCGATTTATAATGTTTACAAATCGCTGAATGAGAATATGAACAACGAGATCCAAACTTGCATTGATTACTATGTTTCTTTCGGGAGCCAGTAGTACCGTGTTGTTGAGCCTTATTGTTGTTGCCATAATAATATTGGCAAGGAGCCTTCTCATAAAAAGAACGATACATTGGAAGAGATGAAATCACGAACACTTTGTGCTCCTCATTCAAGAAATTATCGTCATCATCACAATGATTATAAATAAAATCTGCATTTTTGGAGGAGGATGTCATTGGACGATATATTCGTATCGGAATGATGAATAATAATCGAAATTAATTTAAATAATTGATCAGACTAAATTAATTCAAGAAGGATGTATTTTTTTGAACACTAGCACTCGAATGTTTTAATAAAGAACTTTAACAAAAAGTTCGATTTAAAAATAAAGTTCATTTCGATTTTGACAAGAATTTGTCCAATTCGTTGAATATTAAGAAACAACGAGTGCGATTTACATCAACAAGTCAACCCTGTCACCTAAAGAAGAGGATCAATAAACTATTGACATATCTTGAACGACATAAATAGGAAATGCTTAAATGATGTTAGTAAAAGAAATGTCTCTTCTTTTTTAAAGAAATGAAATTAAATGAAAAACGTTGTTGGCTTATTCCAAAGACCTTACCCCCAAAGAGATCTTTATATTTACAACATCTTCCACTCTAATCTCCTGAATTTACATGATCGCCAGCAACATCAGCACTTTTATGTGATCGGTATCGTTTCACAACCATGTATATCACTGCTGCCATCAAACCCACAACCAACACCATTGCCAACAACACTCCAATCACAATTCCTACAATAGCTTCAATTGAAAGAGGAGGTGGAAATCAGTGGTATAGAAACACGAAGGGTTCGTTGGATCTACTTCCTCAAACATTTCTTTCGGATAGGTTATGAAGAGAGCAAAAGGTTGTCGATTTGCTTTCAAGATTGAAGTCACATAGAGGCCACACTCACATACATAGAACCCTCTTTCGAGGATGAACGTGGTAATTCTTCCACATTGTTCGTCGTGTCCACTTGGTTTCCATAATTTCCATCAATCACTGAGAGTTTTGAAACATTAGTGCCATAGGTATTGATGAATAGGTTCAAATCACTCAAAAGTTGAGGCATAACAGCAACACTTCCTGGATAATCGTACCATGCAAGAGTGGCCTTAAAGAAGGGAGAGGTTTGAATTGCATTATTGTCGTCTTTTCTCTTGAAACATAATTTGAGAGAATCTGAAATGCTTTTAAAGGATTGTTCCTTCACGAGAATCTTCAAGGGAGTACCATCTTGATTTTGTAACAAACTTCCCAAATAAACTCTTCCAAAACCTTCGTAAGAGTTTGGGCTTCCTAAATCTGAGAGTTTGATTTTCCCATTTTTGGAAAACTCCAAAATTCCAGTCATGGGAATGGAGCTATGAACAAGAGCAGCTTTCAAAAAGGGACCTGAAGGGTTCGAAATGTTCATTTTGGTTTGGATAAACTCTCTAAATAAAGCAGCTGCTCCAGCAACCAATGGAGTGGCCATGGAGGTATTATTATTTCAATAATGGTTGAATATATATATTGAATGAAGAATCCATAGTGAAAATAGTGTGATGAATAGTGATTTGAAATTGGAATATTTCACACCATGATAATTGCATACCATGAGAGGTTATTAAAGCAGCTGAATTTCCAATAGCTGGAGAAATGGTTCCACATTGATTGGTCGTTGAGTCTCCTTCGGAATGAGCACTCACTACATTGTAACCAATTCCTGTCACATCGGGTTTGATACGATTACCCACTGCTGGGCCTTTGGATGAGACTATGACAAAGATGAGACTCAAAGGGAATCCAAAGAATGAATACTTACAAAAGGCCAAACTCATTGTAGGAGGATGGATGGCTAGTGTACAGGTTTTTCAATGCACTTGGACAACAGACCGCTCGAACTGTGAATTTTCAACCCTGTATTGAATCATGTTGTTCAAAAAAAAAGAATAACCTCTTGATTTCTTCCAGTATAGACGCAACATTCATCAGGAGTTGAGAATGAAAAGTTAGCATATTGAATGATGCTTTTAAAATCTTCATAATACACTGATTCCTGGAATGCAGAATTTGAAGTCATACTTGCACCCACAGCAATTGAATTCTTTGCAGTTGCAGGAGATCCAACATTTCCTTTCGAAGACATTGTTCCTGAATTTCCCTTAAATAGATAAAAAGAAACATGAACATCAAATGGGTTTAGCCTATTTTCAAAACTTTCACACTTACCTGTGCAAAAAGAATGACGCTATCTTGATAATCCCACAATGTTTGATCCACATCTTGACATTCAGAAGTATGTTGATTATAAATAGAGCAACAATTCTCGCTTCCAAACAAAGCTCGACAAGTGTCGTCTGTCACACTTTGCACAGGACTAAAACCATTGAATGGAATAATCCACACACAATCTTTACAATCGTAACTAAAAACTTATTAGGACCGATGCCCCATGGATTTGAAAATATTCTTGCTCCATTATCAAAAGCAGGTTTAAAAATGTAATTTGTAAGGAGGTCGGAAATAAACTTCTTGGATTTCCATGGTATTCATTGGTTGGATTAGCAGTCGAATTGAAAGCCAAATTTTGAATACTTCCACAAATCGAACCTGCTACGTGAGTTCCATGCCCTTCCACTCCGTCTTGTCCATCGATGATTCATGTTGATACTGTTGGTTTTCACAATGGGATTGTTTGCATCTCTAAATAAACAATTGTCCCAATCAATTCCAGAATCTGCGAGTCCGACAATTTGTCCATTTCCTAAAATTCCCATGTCATAGAACGGAGTTGCAGACATTCCCACACTTGGAGATGGACCAAATCCTTGCATCATGACACTCGATTTCTTATTCATCCATTGATAGTCATGTTTTCTTTCAATATTTCACCCCCATGATGAGCCACGAGTGGAGAGAAACTCATTTCTAGTTTATCCTTTGAAGAGACTCGAATTCTAGAAATCATTGAAGGATTATTTTCCTTCTGGTTGTTGTTCCATGGTTGTGCTTGTTTGGAAAACCATTCTGTGAGTTTGGAATTCAATTCATTGGCAATGAGATGAGCTTCTTCGAGTTCTTGATTGACGAGAATGGCATCAAGAGATGGCTGAATGGTAATAATGACCTGAATCATGTTATTATTGCTGTCATTCTCATCCACATTCGAATTGGAAGTGTGAAATGTCTCACCATGTTCTTTTGAATCTTGGTTCATATTCAGCAATCCATTCAATGGCTTTGTTGGAAGATGACAAAGATGAAACATGTGAAATGATTTCTGACGTTTTGGCCACCACTGCAAAGACATTTGAAAATCCCAAAGGTTTTCCAGATTTCATGATCATGGATTGAATCCATTCTGAGTTAGTCAGAACTCATAGACCAATATGGATCGAAAAAAGAAAGTTTCGGAAGGATTATGATAGAGAAGAAATGTAAAATCGATCAAGAGTTCAAACATTACATTGCATTTAACATTGCATTTAAAAAATGCAATTTCATGAATAATCGAATCACAGCGTTGAACCTCAGTCTAATTCATGGAATATACATTTCATGATTGACACTTCAAAAGCTTCGATCATTCGCCTTACCGAGAATCTCACAGTGAAAAGAACAAAAGAGGACTCCCAACTTGAGTCCCAATTGTTTAAAGATCTTCTCCGAAATTAATACAACACACACTCCAAAAAAAATGTCCACTGCGACCACTGCCATCACCACTCCGTTCAACGTCCTCGTGCTCGGTGTTTTTGGCACCGATGGTAAGCTTTCAAGATCAGCACAAACCGTGATTGCTTCCAAATTCCAAAGCAATAAATTCGTTCAAGGAAATACATGGATCGGACAGACAAGATCATTGGATGTTTCTGTTTTCAATTCGGTTGATGATGTCTTTGAACAAGGCTTTGCTCTGAGAGATTCCATTCAAAGAGTTGTTTTTGTTGGATTGGCAAAGAAGGAACAAAAGCCAGAAGAGAACGCTGTTGCTATGGGAGTTACGACTCAATACAGTGCTCAGGTTGTAGGTGATGCTGAGTTTGTTCAAGTCGGAAAGAGTGTCCGAGCTGAAATCACTAAAATCGTGGAGGCCTTGAAGAAGGAAAAGAAGGAGGAGAATGTTGTTTTCCATTTTGATGACTTCCATGGACATGCTCAAGCCGTTGCAGAAGGCGCTGCTTTGGGTGCTTGGAAGTTTGATTTGAATTATGAAAAGTTCTTGCAACCAATCTTTGGAAAGGATGGTTTCCTCTTGAATTCGATCAAACTTGTTCCAGGTTTGGGAGAACAGAATGAAAAGGATTTCAAGACTGGTATTGTTACTGGTGCTTATCAATTGTTCTCACGATACTTGATTGAATTGCCTGCCAATTACTTGACACCAATCAAATATTGCGAATTAATCAAGTTGAAGGTTGAAAAGTACACATTATTTGCGTCACCTGAAGCTGTCTCTAGTAAGTTCAAGATTAATGTCTATGATGAAGATTGGGCCAAGGAAAAGGGTATGGGCTCATTCTTGAGTGTGACTGCCGGCACAGAAGCTCCTGCCAGAGTTCTGGAATTGATCTATGTCAATGACAAGTCCAAGAAGGAAGATGAGTTTGAAATTGCTCTCCTTGGTAAAGGCATTACTTTTGATTCTGGAGGTATCTCATTGAAGCCAGGTGAAGGAATGAAGGAAATGAAAGGTGATATGGGAGGCTCCTCATGTGCCATCTGCTCCACTTTGGCAGCTTTGGAATTAGATCTCCCGCTCAACATGATCACTGTCGCAATGCTCTGTGAGAACATGCCAAGTGGATGTGCAACCAAGCCAGGAGATGTTGTCACTGCCATGAATGGCAAGACCATTGAGGTTGACAATACTGATGCTGAAGGTCGTTTGATTTTGGCTGATGGTTTGTGTTATTTGAGCGAGAAGAAACCACAAACTCTTATTGATATGGCAACATTGACTGGTGCCGTAATTATTGCACTCAGCCATGTCACTGCTGCTGTGTTTAGCAATTCCTCACCTTTGGTAGAGGAATTGGAAAAGGCAAGCTTCCAAACCAGTGATTATTTGTGGAGATTACCAATCTTTAGAGAAGATTACTTGGAACAAATGAAATCAGATGTCTCTGATTACAACAATATTGGTGGTAGACCAGGAGGTTCTTGCACAGCTGCTACATTCCTTAGCGAATTTGTTGATTTCTCTAAGGTGAAACAATGGGCTCACCTTGATATTGCTGCTGTTACCAAAACAAAGGTTGGTTACACTGGACGACCAACACGTGCTGTTGTTGAATTCTTGCAACAACGTGCAAGAAAGTAAACGAGCAGGACAAAAAGTGTAGCACTTTCATCAACTTGTCTTGAAATTAAACTTAATTTATTATAGTATTGGATGCCAAACGAAACAAAAAATTGGTGCAAACTGTCATAGTATGTTGTTGAGTCCTTTTTTTTGATGGATTTTTTTGGAAAGTGACGATTGTAATGGATTCCACAGCACAAGTTCAACAGATGACTCGAATAACAACATACCCTCACTTGGGCTCTGTTCAACAGTACAAGCAGTACATTAGATCAATCTTGGTTATGTGGACGGAGTTTAGACAGTAGGGTAATGGTACTAGAGACCGATTGCCATCGATTTATTTAAATCAACACTTTGAACAAAACGAACCAAGCATGGATCTTGCACACATGGAGGGGAAAGGACCCAATAGATCTACCATTATTGCAGATGCTCAAATGAAAAGTGGTGATTTTGTAATGAGGCGTTTTTTTTTGATGATATGTTTACTCACATGACTTGATGTTTAACTGTTTTCCGTAAATAAATTAATAATTCGTTAATTATTGAAAAACACAGCAACTGCCACAAGAAAAGTCGAAATTAGAAAATCAGTTCGAGAGACCACGCATGAGCATTTTTAATTATTTTTCTTTCCGATTGAAGCTGATTGTTGTTGCATTCGTCGTCTGCTTTAAAAAATGTCAATAACAGAAACCAACTCTCACCAAACCAATAAATTGAATTTATGGAAGAGATGAAAAAACTATTGCAAACCATTAAAAAACCAAGTTTAAGCCGAAACAAATGGCGGATCTCATGTGCATGGATTGGTGAGAGTTGGTTTTCACATGGGTACAAAGGATAAATTTATTGGTTTTTGTGGATGGTACAAACAGAGCATTGACACTATTTTTGTTGATGAGGTTTTGTGTAGTTTCGATGAATATAAAAGAGAGTGTGATAAACCATCCAAAACGATGATCATCGGCGGATTGATAAAAAAGTATGAAGACAGCGAACTCAAAGAAAAGAACGCGAACGAAGATGTTGCTTCCTGTAGTAAGTCTGTAGACCAGCCTACGGAGTATATCAACATTTCAGAAGAAGATATTAAAAGTGCAGAGAAGCACCAAGAACACAACGGTTTTATTTAAATCACAGCTTCTCGAATTTGGACAATTTACTTATCGAAAAGCGTGTTTGGTTAATTTCTTTCATCCTATCCACCGCAATATTAAACAAGTCTATGATGTACTCGTTTACACTTTGTTCCGAGCGGTAATGATGATCATCACACTTGTCGGAAAGACGCTGGCAAACTTCTTACTTGACCCTTCCGGTTATTATTTTGAGAATTTTCATTTCAAAAACTTTAATTTTAAAGGGTGCTTTTCATTTGAGCACTGCTCATTTGAAAATTGCTCGAACAACAACATAAATTAATAATTCTTTAATTATTGAAAAAATAACAACTCCCACAAGAACAGTCGAAATTAGAAAATCAGTTCAAGCAAGAAAAATTAACACTAAAAATTCAGATGGAACAGCAACAGAGTGAAAAAATTGCAACATTAGAAAAGAAAATCATAAATCTACAAAGACAATTCACAGAAGAGAAGACCCGATTGGAAATGGAATTTTTGTCTTAAAAAGAACAATGGATTCTCTCAAGAAAAGAATTAGAAACGCAAAACGAAGATCTCAATAACCAGATTCTTAAATTAAGAATTGCTACCAATCATGCACTCGTCATCTGTGAAAGTCAAATCTGATCTTGAGTTGTTTGTGACAGAGTTTGACATCTCAGAAGAGGATGAGCTTCAGTTAGAAATTACTCTTTCCACAAGTGTTTTTAAAGAGCTGCTTCCTATGATAAGAAATTATGTAAACGGTGAACTGGAGGATGATAAAATTGGTCAAATCATAAAGTCAGATGAAAGAATCAGAAAGCAACTAATCGAAAACACACAACAAGGGTTAACTGCTCAAATACAATTGGAACTGCGGCGCTCCGTTTTAGAAGAGAAGATACTCATCAAATTACAAGAATTGAGTGAGAGGGTGGTCACATTTTTGACAGACATGATGGTTTGTGACAAACATCTTGAACTTGTTTGGTGTGATAGAAATGACGAATATAATCCAAGGGAGCATACTTCTATCAACTTAATAGACAAGGTGATCGTAGATAAAGCTTTGTATCCTTGTTTAATGATGCCTTCATCAAGAAGTGTTTTTGAAAAAGCTAAAGTGATCACCAAAGAGAACAGAGAAAAGAAAAATAAACATATATGTCAAAGAAGATTATTAAAAAAAATGTCCTTTTTAGGTTGGTTGTGGGGTGAAAAAAGAGAAAAATCTCTCCTGTGGTCGATACTATCATTGAAACAACATCACCAGCAAATATCATTGAAACAAATCGTTCCACCCCGATTCATTGCAACAACAGGAATATACTCTTTATTGATGACATCATTTTTGAAATCATCAAATTCTTTGATTCGTTGTTCATCATATTCGAATTTGTATGAAAATTTCAAAACAGTGGAGGGAAATATCATTTCAAATTCCTCTCTCGTTATCCTTTCCATTCGACCCATTTCGTTCTATTAAGCTCCTTGAGCGGTTCTACCATTTTGCTAATTGTGAATGTTTAAAGAACATTACCCATTTGGCTCTCGGTAGTCCAGTGGATGTTTGGGATGGTCCTATAAACAACGATTGTATTAAGTATATTGTAGAGAGTGAATACATGAAGAATTTGACTTCTTTACAGATCTCTAGAAGTAGGGTTCTCATTAACGGTGCCCGATATATCGCCAAAAGTGTATTTTTGAAAAATTTAACTTCTTTGAACTTGGCCTACAATGGTATAAGAGACAAAGGAGTGTAGTATTTGGCGAATAGTGAATACATAAAGAATTTGACTTACCTGAACCTGGGTGTCGAACATATTGCTACAAGTGATTTTTTGAATAATTTGACTGCATTAGATTTGAGTGGATCCCCGTACGCAAAAAAGATTGACAACGAAGGACTGAAATGTTTAGCTTCTAGTGAAAATGTAAAGAATTTGACATACTTGGGGTTGGGTGGATGTAGAATCAATGGAGAAGGAGTGAAATATATTGTAAACAGTGAATGGTTGAAAATTTTGGCCTCTTTGAAACTGGAAGACAATCGAATTGGCAATACTGGAGTGAAATATCTTGCCACTAGTATTAATATGAAGAATTTGACTTCTTTGGAGCTGAAGAATACAGATATTGATGGCGAAGGTGTAAAGTATATTGTCAATGGAGAACACTGGAAAGTAACTGATTTGGATGTAAGGCGCAACAAAATTGGCATCGTAGGAGTCAAATATATGTTCGACCACTTGTATTGGGCCAATTTGACTAGTTTGAATCTGTGTGGTAATGATGTTGGTGATGAAGGGGTGAAATATATTGTCAATAGCGAATGTACTAAGATGGTGACTTCTTTGAAACTGTTTGACAATAATATTGGTGATGAAGGAATGAAGTACATTGCCAACAGTGAACATATGAAGAGATTGACTTATTTGAATGTCAAGCACACTGTTTCAAAACCAAAAGTAGCTTGTTCCAAGTTCATTCCATGATGGAGTATTTATTCAAAGTACTCTCAAAAACCAAGTTCTTAAAAAAAATTCTCAACCAATTTAAAATTCACATTCACTTATTACCAACAAAACAACAACAACAACCAACTCCTTAAGATCTAAACGTCATGTACATTCCACCTCTTTCTCTTGTCTGTAAGCTTGAATATGATCAAGTCAAATTCTCGGACCCCTGTGCAAGTATGATTGGAATGGCCAGCATCACCGCTCCAGCCTTTGAAAGTCAAGAATTTCAATCTCGGGCTCCTATTGATCTCTGTTGTGTGATTGATAAGAGTGGATCCATGGAAGGATCTAAATTAGAACTCTTGAAAACTTCTCTCTTATTTATGGTGGATCAGATGAAGCCTCATGATCGGATTTGTATTGTAGAGTTTGATAGCGACGTGAATACTTGTTTGCCACTGACTCAGATGGACAAGATTGGAAAAACAAAGGCTCATCATGCCATTGGATCCATCAAGGCTGGATCATGTACTAATATTTCGGGAGCCTTGTTGGAAGCATTTGATATCATGTCTCAACGAACACAAATTGCAACCATTTCTTCTATTTTGCTATTTACGGATGGTTTACCAACGAAAGGAATAATGTCACAAGAAAAGTTGGTTCAAATGATTGAAAAGTGCATCCAGAAAAGCTCATGTTCGCTGTTTACATTTGGATTTGGTGAAGAACATTCATCGAATTGTTTGGTTGCTTTGAGTCAATCTGGTGGAGGCTTGTATTATTATATTAAGAAAGAGGACGAAATTCCTCAAGCATTTTCGGATTGCCTAGGAGGATTGTTAACTGTTTTTGCACAAAATATAACATTGAAAATTCGTTGCACAGGAGATAATGGTGTCATTTTGAAAGGAGTAATCCTTAATCAAGGAGGATACAAGCAGCAAGTTATTGACCCTAACAAGGAAATTCATGTTAAACTTGGTGATATTTATGCAGAAGAACAACGTGACATTTTATTTGAAATGCAACTTCCAATGTTGAGATCACCTATTGAAAAACAAGAATTAGTTACTGTCACTCTTGAATATTTCAATGTTGAGAAAGCAGACAAGGAATTCCTTGTTTGCGAGACATTTGTCTCAAGAAGTGAACAAACCAAGAATAGTACAATTGAAAACAATTCTTCTCTCACATTAATTGACATGCAACGAAATAGAATTGCTGCAGCTAATGCCTTGCAGCAAGCTCGTAATTATGCAGACAATAATGGATTGGAAAATGCAAGAAATTTGTTAGGGAATGTTATTGGTCAAATTCAAACAAGTCCTTCAAACCGAGAAACGTTTTGTCAGGCACTGATTCGCGACTTGAGGGAATGTCTCGAGGAAATGACAAGCAATGATCGATATCAACAAGTGGGCAGTAAGGTCGTGAATGCCATGTGGTGTGCGAACGTTCAACAGCGAAGCAATATCAGTTCTCGAACTTTTGAAACGAAAAGTAAGAAGATTGCCAAAGCAAAAGTTGTATCATTTAAATAGTGTCGTGGACATGAAATAAATTGTGTGTATTAACATCAATTCACATCATCAACAAGACCACAATTAAATATTGCGTGATCGGATGAAACGATCAATCAAAACATGATCAACAAACAAATTAATAAATCTTGGTAAAGACATCACCATTGCTCAATGGCAAAGAAGCCAAATTGTTAGTAACAACCTTCAACAAGTGATCTTGTCCATTGTTGTGGAAGTTAATGAAAACAGTGTACATTCCAGAGGATGGATCTCTTGAGAAGTAACCATCAGCATTTCTACCATCTTGTTGATTGTGCAAAACGAAAGAAGTTGGGCTTGATGCAGTCACTTGCCAAACCTTTCCACTCTTTTCTTGGTATCCACCGAATGGAGCTTCAGCAACCAATGGGAAGACTCTGGTGAAAGTATCACTTGGTCCGTGCAATTGATTGTGATCAGGAGATGGCTTCAACAACCAGTGAACAGTGTTGTCAAAAGTCAAAACAACAGCAAATTCAGAGGAGTTAACCTTTGGAACAGCAATACCAGTGGCAACTCTTCCAGTACCTTCTTGAGTCCATGTGAAGTGATGTCCATTTTGAGTGCAGTGCCAGACTCTACCACCATTTTCTCTCCATTGACCAGTGAGGTTGAGATTGACGACGTGTGGGACAGTGATCATTTTGTGTGTGTTTGATTGGTGTGTGTTGTGTGTGAAATGATTTTTTTCTTGTTGTTGTGTGAGAGCAATAGAGAAGCAAACACGGAATTTAACTCGCTTTCGATTCCAACTTGTCATCCGGATGTTGATGATCAAGTCCTTGTTGTTGTTGTATTGGATGAACTTACGCACAACAGGCGATTGGTGCTGCTCCTTTCACGTTAATTGTAATCGGATGATGAGAGACTTTTACAATGAGGTCGTGGGTGAGAGAGATCAACAACGGTAGTCGAGGTGTTGATGCATCTTCGGAAGATATGCGAAAATTCCCTGTTTTGAGCCCGAGGTTTGATTTGGTAGTGGCCATGCCAGTCACTTGGAACCGGATCATCATGTGATTGTGACAATGAGCACTTGCTATTGTCTTTTACGCAACAACAGCTTTCAACCTGAGTCTCTTGTAATTATCCTAAAATCCAAAAAATCCGTAGTTGTGTAATTTACGGATAAAGCTTTACAATCATGATGCAGATCTTGTAATTGTATATTGGAATCTGGATTTTAATGCTTTTGCATTCCTTTCTTGATCTTCTCCCAAACATACATGACACTCTTTGTGAAACCTGCAGAAAGAATACCCTTGAGAGTTTGAGAAGTGCTGGATCGAGAGACTATTTGAGAGATTGCATTCTCGAATTGTGCATTAGTGATCATTGTTGAGGATGTTGAAGGAGTTTGTTTGGATTGAATGAATTTGGTCATGGCAGAAGGTAGGGGTCTTTTTTCAATGACGTTCTTGATTTGCTCGTTAGAAATTTCAATGAAGTCATAATAACTTGGAGTTGTCGACATGGTATTGATGCTTGACTTATGTGCTTCCTTCTTGATTTCCATGCCATTCTTGTCCAAAATGGGTTTGTACAGTTTGATGAACAGATCGTAATTGGTGGTGACAATGTTAAATACCTTATTTACATTTTCTGCTCCCTTAATTTTCATTCGAACATCTCCCTGATATGAGATTGAAGCAATTCTCACAAATAAATCGAATAAATTAATTTTGATGTATTGTACATCACCACTCTCTGGTGAAATGGCATTGGTTATCTTTAAATCATTGATCATCATTCTCAAAGAGACAAATAATGCATGTTCTAAATTGATTTCTTGTGCTTTTAAAATTTCACCATGCCAATCAATTGGCTTTTGTAGAGTGTATGGAGGTGTTTGTGTCAATGTAGAGTTAGTTGAAGTTCCAGGTGGAGGTGTTTGTTGCGAGGTTTTTTGGGTCCTGGTCAACGGATTGGTCACATCAATTTCAAAGGTAGGTTTTTGCAACCTTCCAGAAACATAAAGAGTCTCCCAATGATTTAAATCATCAATCAGATCTTGAGCCTTAATAACACCATACTTAAATAAATATGGAGATGTTACACTATGGCTCTCTTTCAATTCAACCATTGTGTTATAGTAAATTTTTGCACCGAATCGTTCTTGTAATAGTGAAATCACTTTAGGCCCCATCACTCTCATGAACCACGAATAATGTTCAGGATTCAGCAATAAATTTTGTTTATGCCATTCATAAGAATCTGAAACTACAAACACCATATCGACCATTAACTTTTTCCGATCATGCATCTTCAATACTGATGGTGGTGGTGTTTCCATCACAACTTCGGAAGTTCCTTCTTCTTTTAACGTTGTTGAATGACTCATCAAAATCTTATCAAAATCATCATGTAATTTTTCATTTCCTTTTTGCTTGAACACCGCTGAACCATACGCAAAGGCATACTTGAGTGGAGGAAAATTGAAACGAATCAGATGAGGAAGTTGAGAGGCTAATCGGTGATTCATATTTTTTTATGTATTATTTGTTTGGATTCATTATTTGTTAAGTATTAGAAGTAGTATTGAAGGCTTAAATTGGAAGTCTCCAAATGACATAACCTCTGCGTTTGTCTCTTCAACATGTAACACTTTCAAGAGCAAAGCATGCTCAAGTCCATGAAAAGTTGAAAATATTCCGAATGATGGTGAAAATAATCTTTTTTCTTGAGGCACAACATAGAGTCCATCATTACATGAAACAAGTGACCAAATATCAATAGAGAGATGGATCATCCATATCGTTCAACATCTCAAGAAAATTATTTAAAATTTCATATTCCTTTCCATTCGTGAGGAAGCAGTGTAGAGTCCACGTCGAATTTGGTTTGAGAGCACGATTTGATTGATGTCTCTCTGAGCATGCTGTCGTTCAATGTGCTTGGCTAACATTTCATGTGTGTTCTCTGCTTTGAAGTGTAATGCCCAAAACATTGCATTTCTTCCCATCATGTCTTTTTGGTGAATATTGGCCTTCCAATCGATGCATAGCTTGAGCTCTTCGACCATGTTTCTTGCTGCAAAATGCATGACCAGAGTGAATCCAAACGCGTCCTGAATGTGCAGCAGAGTTTTGATAGCTTCTTCACACCCCACTTGCTGTGAGTGTCTCTCAAATCGTTCATACATTAACATGCAACTGTTATTCCTGGTGTTGCATTGATTCAGGTCACTCTCAAATAAAAACTCGTTTCCATCAAATTCAAACAACACAAGGTCATTCACAGTTGGGTTTTCTTGGTGCACACGGTTGCTACTCGCTTGTGTGCTAGTATTTGAAGAATAGTGTTGGCATCCTTCCGATGTCTTGTTTGGATTTTGAATAATTTGAGCACTCTTCATTCTTTTATCCTCTCCATAAAAATAAAAGTTCAAATAACTCTGGTCGCTTCGTGTGAAAAACATTTCATTGTCGATAGTGAGCTTGACAAACGTGTTAATGTTGTCATAATTGCTGATGAGAGGCGTCTTGCCATAAATTATAAAGTCTTTGGTCATGATCGTGTTATTTGCCATATTTTCATATGAAAAAACAGGCTGTACATTAATGACTCCGGCTTGAAACGCTACATTCTCATGCAGTGCCACAAAATCAATGGAGAAATGTTTGACCAAAGGGTGAAATAAGTGATAGGGCTGGCTTTCAGCAATTTGAATAGAAAGTTGGAATAAGGTTGGTTTTTTGGAAGGAGCATCTTCTGGATCAACAGAAATCAAGTTCACATGGCCAAATTGTGATTCAAGTTTGGTCTTTTTTCCATACTCTTCTTGATGCATGTACATTTGCTGATGGTTTGTTGACATCAACAGAGACGACAACGAAGACATTATCCATAGGATTAGCAGCCATGACTTGCATCGACGAGTACTTGGTCGATTCTTCGTCAAGATTACTGCTGCTTCGTGAACTCATACGATCCTCGCTCGTTGAGCATGCTGCATCCCCGTCATCACTCTCGTTCATGGAATCCAACTTTCTTTTCAAGGGCGAGCAATTTAACAAGGTTGAGCCCGCTATTTGATCCAACAGAACTTGTTCATAAATCCACAATATCCTCGAATCATTGGATTTTCTCTTAAATGCAACAACATTGACAAAATCAATAGCTGTCGTTTTAGAGGCATCCATATTATTGAAATTTGTATATCCCAAATGTTCCACTGTAATCTTATCAAAATGAGAAATACTCTTCTCCGATTTATATTCTCGCAAACTGACATGAATGGTCTGTCCCACAGAAAATTTAAAAGGTAATATTTGATCTTTTCTTTCCAATACCTTTGGATGATCGGAAGAATAGATGGTCTTGTTTCTTTGTTTTTTACCTTCCGAGTTGTAAATAACGGATTGATTCATGAATACCATTTCCACTTGTTTTCTTTTTTTCTTGTGTTGAGAAGTGTTGTGAGGCTCATCGTCATGGTGTTTCATTGAATTCACTGATTGATCATGATGTATCGTTTCGGTGTGATTCATTGATGCTGCTGAATTGTTTGTTGTTTTAGAAATTGTGGATGGAGTTTCCTCCTCTTCGGCACTCCTCGGAACATCCCGATGATGATCATTGAATTCATTGAAAAGGAAAGGAGTGGCTGCTTGGTCGTGCATTTTTTAATAAAATTCTCACACTGTCTTCTTTCAAGATTATTTGACAACTAAACGAAATGGATGACCGATCCCACTTGGGGTCAATCAAACTTTCAATAAAATTTTTTAATAAAATTAATATTGAAACTTGGAAGATGGAAATAATAATGTCTTTACACATCCTGTGAATAATGAGAGAACTGGCAAGTAAAGTAAAATATATTGTTTTACAACATGCAGATTCACAAAGATACATTATTTTACAGCTTTAGGGATCCTATTTGAATATCTTGTTGAATATCGAGAACGTCTGATCGTTTTGTGCTTGGAATGAATAAGGATCGACTGGAAACTGGATCTCCAAAGGCACAATTGAAATCATTTCCTGTGACAAGTGGCTGACAAATTTCCAAGTCTCTCTTGATTCGAACATATTCTTCTTGTTCTTCTTTGGTGAGAGCAAGTGGATCTCTAAATCCTAATTTCGAACGAACAGTCTCTCGTTGTTTCTTTCGTTGTTGAATTCGTTGCATGATAGATACAGAATGAGAATATCTCAACCAAAATCCTCTGTCGAATGCATTTAAAAGGCCATACTCTTGTGTGTCCTTAAAATTTTCATCGACCTCTTTCAAACAATGTACAAAACCATCCAACTCTCGATGTGACGTAAAAATGATATACTTCTTGTTGGGTCCAAAATAATACGATTGGAAATGTTCCCAACGCTTGATTTCAGCCATCTTCTGTTTTTTAGCTTCAAACTGATGTTGCTGTTTTTGCACAAATGTTTGCAGTACATCTATTGTATCGGATGAATGGTTGGAGTCTGTCTCCGTGCTGTTGTTATTATTGCTTGATGGATATGTGATGATGGGCATATGATTTAGCAACAATTCAGAAGAAGTAACAACATTTTGAATCTTCACTTGCTCAATTTTTGCATCAATGAGCTTGAAATATTTCTCGCGAAATGCCTCATTAATTGAGAATTTCGTGATTGGATTTCCTCTCTGCAAGAGGTCTCTCAAAAAATTATGTATACTACTGTTTCCAACAAACGTTAAATCGGCAACGCCAATGGCTTTCATCATTTCTACAGTGAAAGTTTGACAACTTCCAGTTTCTTTTTCAACACTTCCTTTAAGATTTGTGTAGGTAAAATTTCGATTCCATCTCGAAATTTCAATAGAGAGCAATTTTAAAATACCCTCAAGTTCTCTGAGGCTCCAAATTTCTCGACATGTGATGGCGAGAAGAGAAGTGGCAGATTTTACAGTGGTGACAGAACAATAGCCGCTATTGGTCCAATCAAATCGAAGATTTCCAATTGAAAAACTGGTATGAAACCATCCAAATTGATCGAATACTTTAAGTCGACTCATGAGTGGTGAAGCGGCTGTTCGAATTCTACCTGGACTCTTTCCCACTTCAGTTATAATTAATTTCACCTTAATTGCTTTTTCGAATTTCATATCTTGATCTACATTAATATATTCATCGAATGATGAGAGTAATCGTACTGCTTCAGGTTTCTTTGTCTCCACCTCATCGGTATCATTGAATAATCGATTCAATAATTCTGTTCGAGGTAATACTGGGGATGACGATAGTGTCTTGTATTCTACAATTCGTTGTTGTTGTGGTGAGTTTTTAGAGGCAATAGGAATGGTGGTTGTGTTAGTGGTGGTTGCAGTTGTTGGCAATTTGTTACTCGTGACAGAGTCCGCTGAGGTTTTCTTATCCTCTTGAGAATGATCTACTGAAGAAGCTCCCGGTGACATGTTTGACCGATTGGCATATCTTTCCATTCGCATGTTCTTTCTATTCTTTTTCTTTTTCAAGACATATTCCTCATGTAACAAAGCAAAAACTGTGGGCTCTAACCGAGCAAACATGTATTCATAGAAAAAGTTTGAAAATCCCAAGTCACATGCCATTTGTCTCATTTGTTGATCCGTGATGTCAATATCGTTCTTAAATCTATTTTTCAATTTTAAATAAACTCTGTTAATTCCTGCATGATAGGATTTGGGAATTGCCTTCCACAGTTCAGAAATTTCTTCATCATTTTCACTCCACAATCGTTCTTCTTTTGGATCCATTTCTTCCTCAACAAATGTCATTTCATGAACGAGAGATGTAGAAATTAATTCCGATGCATGATGTGGAGGTGAAATTGAAGCGGTTGCCACACGATCAGAACTTGCAACATTTAGTGAACCTGTCGAGGAGCATGTTGTCGTCTCCACGGTACTCTTCATTTTTGATTGATAATGATTTCCATGAGAGGAAACATTTGCTGTTCCAATTGCAGAATAATCAATGGAGGAAGATCTTCTGTGATGCTGATATTGACCTGAGTGCACTTGCGTTCTGTTACTATTATTATTGACATTATTTGAGCCACTCGATGGTTGTTGTTGAGATATCACTGCTGATGTTGTCAATGTTCCATTATAACTGTCAAAATCATCATCTGATGGTAAATAGGTAAGCGAAGAGTCCTTACGTTTGTCTCCACAATAATTATTTTTTGTCGTCGTTGTTGAGGAACTATTCGTGGATGTTGTTGTGAAAACACTATTATTTCTCAAATCCATATTTGTTGTTGCATGGTTGTTCCTCATTGCATTATTTTCCTCACGATTCATGCCATCATTATTAGGGTTATTCGCACCATCATTATTTTCATCCTCATCTTCATCCATGTCCTCTTCCGTCATGATCATCATTTCCAAACGATACTCCTCATGATTTTCAAAAGTTTCCTCCTCTCCAACATTTCCATCATGTTCTTCAATTTTCTGTTTTAATCTCATATGAATGGCATTTCCAATCCCGATGGAATAATGTTTTGCAGGATGATGACTTGCACGTGATTTATTTTGTTGTTGTTGTTGATTGCAAGTCGCACCATAAGCATTCGTAGCACTTGTTTCATTATTTTTCTTTTCGTCCAAAACTACGGCTTGTGTTTTTCGCGGGGAGGAGAATTCTCTTTTTATATTGTTGTTATTGTTGTTAGAAATGTTCTTATTGTTGGAGCTGGTGTTCTTCTTCTTGGAGAAGATTTGTTGTTGTCGACAAGTAGTTTTATCTTTGGTATCTACGTAATGATTCGGAGAGGAAGGTTGAGAGGTCATACTCTGAAACATGCCTTTCGAGAAGAGAGGATGACCCAAAGAAGAAGGTAATGAAGCATAAGATGGAATGGAACAAGTGTCATCATGGTCGTTGTGGTGGTAATGATGGTTGTTGCTGTCTCCTTCTTCTTCGTCATCGGAAGAATGGTGTGGCGTGTCGACAATTGTTTGACGTCGTGAATGAGGATCCTCTTCCAACGTTTCTTCATCATCATCATTGACACTGCTGTTGTTAGCAAGATATCCTTGTCGTTTGCGAGAATGATGATGATGGCTAAGACTGCTGCTTGGTTGTCCCATTTTTTCACCTCTGTCAAGACACTCTGTGACTCAATGCATTTGACAACTGACCGAAAAAGTATTGAACTTGATCTATTTTGTGTTGTTACATTCTTGTGCTATCAAACAGTTAAAAAACACTTGAATTCAGAAATCGTGCGTATTAAACACTGCAAAACCTTGAATTAATTACCTACCTCAATTTATTTTCAAGAAATTGGACCTTCAAACAAAAACGAAATAGGTTCAGGGAGTCAAGAATTAATTCTTGCTGTTAAAAGCTGACGATAACGGTTGTGGTGAGGTTAAAAACAAAGAACCATTTTGGTTGTTGTTTTGCTTACTAGCACCTAGTGATTCCCAATCAATTTCCTTCACAGGTATCATTTCTTCCTGTTTCTTTTCAATAAACACCATGTAAAACCTTTCACCATTAAACATACGTGGTCCACATTTCATGGTCGAGAGATCGACATCGTTTTCAATAGTTTCAACAATGGTAAACTTCTCTAAGGGACGTTCTGAGACTTCCACAATATTCTTACCCATTAATTCTTCTCCAATTTCCTGAAGATTTGAAATGGTCACTCGACTCTCACAGGTCACCTCAATCATGAACATCTTTTTCTTCTTGTTGAGGACACCAGTTTTGAATTTGAAATGTGAGGGATAACGATATACATAAATTCGACCAGTTGAGCTTTCGAATTTCCAAGGGATGAAAAAACTTTCTTGATTGAACACGTTAAGGTTGGAATGGTGGTGTTTGGCTGGAGTTGTGGGAAGGTCGTCGTTGTTGACAGAGACAGGATGAACAGGTTTAGTAGGAGTAGTAGTGATAGAGCTCGTTGAACAAGATTTCTCATCATCCGTATCGACGTCATCACTCAAGACGACATTCGACAACAACTCTTTCTTCTGTTTTTTCTTTTGTGGAGAAGAGGCAATTTCGTTTCCCGATGACTGCATCGATTGATTCGGAAGTCTTATATACTTGTAGAAATTTCCTTTCACTTGGTTCGGTGTGAATCCGTATTCTTTCGCAAACGCTTCAAAACATTTAGTAAGCAACAGTGGTTTTTCTTGCTTGTCGTTGAACTCAAAAAATTGTTTCAACTTTTCGAGGTCTTGTTTTGTGAATTTCTTCTTCTTCTCCGACTCGGAGCCGTTGTTGTTTGACTTCTGTTGGAGCGTTGGTGTTGGTGTTGGTGGTGTATTGCAGGTCGTCGAAGAAGATGATTCCATTTTTTCAACATGTTGCCTTCAGTGTGTGAGTTCGGAACGAGCGAGTTGTGAAATTAGTGTTGTTGTTGTTGTTCTGTTTTGTTGTTGAGATTGCAAACTTTTGTTGGATGGGTTTCAGTGGTTAGAAATTCAAGAGTTGCGCTTTCAATCTGAAACACAGAATTCTCCTCATTTCGAAAAACAAAAGAATTCCACAAGAGTGGAACCCACTTGCTCCTCTTCTTCTTCTTCAATAATATTGTGTGCAATTAAAAAACCTATCATACAAGAAAATCTTGCAATGTCTCTATTTTTGCTCGGAGAGTTTACTAATCTGTACAACACATACACAATGTGAGGATGAAATTCAACACAAAAAAATCAACTCAAACAAAACGACACTGTTTTTAAACACGACCAAAGTTGCTCTCGTTTAAAGTGAGTGAGTGTGCACGGACCTCGAAATCATCATTCTCATACAGGACTCATTATATTCTTCTGTGAGGAAGATTGGTTTATTACTCTAAGAACAACTAGTTGTTAGTGAATTGAACAGCAGTATTATTTATTGAACTCGATTTCCTAATGCAAGGAATTCATCATCATGTTTCTTCTTCTCGCTCGGTACGGCTGAGAATGACCTTCCGATATCTTGATCGTTCTCGCACATGTCTGTCATCTTTTCTTCTTCTTCTTCTCATATTCCTAATTAGTAGTAGCACTTCATTACAAGCCTCATCATTCTCACCTCTTCATCGATTTATTGGTTGTTCCTATGAACAGATCATTGGTGGTAATAATAATGGAAACAATGGAAGCTCGTTCATCACACAACGAATCAACATTACTGATGACTTTTCAGACTTTACCGATGTTCCTTTCGGGTTTGGATGTGATGAAATACTCTTTCCGACGGACATATCTTCCTATCCCTTCTCAACCTCAAATATGGAACAAGGCTTGCATGATATTTACTCGCCCGTACAAGCCTCATCACGAATGATGAATTTATGTTCCATGTTTCCAGAGAATACGAGTTGTATTGAAACGTTTTGTGGTCCAGGCAATTCTAATCAAGGGCTTCAGGACCAAGATTTGTATCGATTGGTGAATTTTTGTCAATATTGTAAGAAGGCGAAGGATTTTGTTCAATTCCACAAATTGGTGGCAGGATTTGAAAATTATGATAATTCTTCATTGACAGCATGTCCAGCATTTAAGAAATTTCCGTCTGCTTTTTTGTGTCGAAATGTTCAAATTGGATTACCCATCTTTTTCATGGATAGATATTTCAAAAGATTGAGAACGCCATTCATGTGTTATTGCCACAAGTATGACCAATATTCTACAACGTGTGATAATAGTCTTCTATTTACCTTGTCATTTGATAATGCAAAACTTGGAATATTGCTGGCTTTATCAGCCCCATTATTTATTGCCATCATTTCCTTAATTGTTTTACCCGAATGTTTCAGTTTTAGATATCAAAAGCCAACACCTTTATCAATTCAGTCGATCATATTCATGACAGCGAGTGCAGTGTGTATTGTAGTAGCAAGTGGACTCTCCTATGTGCCATCATTTAACGATTCCAATAATTTAATGTACTTGCTGGAAAATTTGTCGTTGAGCTTGAACGTATTTTTCACCTATTATACCATCATACCCGTCTTGCTCATGTTTGATCGGGTTTACATGTACTTAAAGACTGGTGAGAAAAACAATTGGCCAGTTTTTAAATTGCTGTCCTACATTTCTGTAACTGTGAACACCTTGTGCATGATCTATATTGTTTCAGCACTGAGTTACCAAATTTCAACACATACCATGAATGTGGATCAAAGTATGAGGATTATATTGGGATTGGGTTACGTGGCATATGCTCTCCCATGGTTCTGTAATCTTATTCTCTTCTTGCTCGTGGCCTTTAAGCTTGGATGCGCTTTAAAGGAGATGACAAATGTTTTATTTTTCAAAACCAAGGTATGTCGAACGGTCGAATGCTTTCAACTTGTTCACATTTATTTCCACAAACTCATTCAATATGCTCTCTACTTGACTCGCCACAAAATTTCTTCAGTACTTTTATCAATTCATGCTGCTGAATGCATTGACATTATTGGCCTTGTTATCATGTTTATTGGGTTTTTTATACACTCAATTTGGTATCTCGTCTACAGATTTTATAATATCTTATTATACTGAATTTGCAGCACACTGCTTTAGTATTTCATCATTATTGGCCATTGTGATGATTTTATTTGATAAGGAAAAATTTTTGGATTGTTATCCGTGCCTCAAACGGGTTTCGATCTGTAGGAGCAGAGGTGACGATGAAGAGATGTCCTCCAGTTTGATAGCAAACACAAGTGGTAGTGGAAATAGTAAAATGCAGCCTTCAGAGGGCTCGGCAGGTATGAGTGATTTGACCACTCCCTACAATTCTGTGGTTACTGATTACAAATCCTTAAATTCTGGAGAGTCTACGAATGTGAGCATGTAGAACAACATACAGCAGAAGAAGGTGAAGATTGCTTTTTCGTCCGTATGGTTCATTTTTAAAATGTGAAAACCACAATAAACAACCCCCAACATTGGACAATACCTTTGCGGTCGGGGATTGCTGCTTGAACTTTTCATTACCTGTTCTTCCTAACCAGTGACAAGAATATTTATACTTTCTTGAATCCGTCCACGGCGGAAGAAAGATAGAACGGGACAGATCTGTAGTTGCAATTAAACCACCACTACCCTTAATTGCTGTGTCATCTTCCCAACCATCTTCTAAGAAAACCACCTTTTTTGAACCAAGACAAGCTAAAAATTTAATGATACATCTCACAGTGTGTTCTTTTGCTTTGAATTGTATGAAATATTGGAAATCAACGATTTAGACCTTCCTTTCTTCAAAGGCAAGGCAGTTGATTGCTTGGTACTCTCACCATCTTTCGATTCTTTGAAAATAGATTCATTTTCCGACAGGTGTTCTGCTGCCGTTGTTGCTGCCAAACTTCCCAATGTTTCTTTCATTCGCTTAATATTTTGTTCAATCTTTTGTTTCACTTCTGAGAAATTTTTCATATCCTTGCATTCGCTTTCCAAGTAATTGAGGCGATACTTCCATTCACAGAGCATATTCACAGTTTTTTCTCCCAGAGTTGTGACGTACCATTTTACATCCTTGTTACTTGCTTTTGAGAGAATGTTGGGATCCAATTCATCAGGAAAATCTCGTTGATCACTGATAAATTCCAGAATTTCCTGTTCACTTAAAATACATCGTGTGTTGTAGGCTCGAACATGTGTTGAAAACTCTTTCATGTGTTGTTGAAATAGAGGATCTTTCTTGAGCTCTTTCTTTTGATCTTGTATTTCAGAGAACGATTCAATAAGTCTATCCAATGAAGGTTTCTTTGGTTTGGCCGAAGAGGGTGATTGATTGTTCGTGGCTACTTGAGAATTTCTCGGAGATGAAATGCTGGTCACAACAGAATTTCTTGAAGAATTAAGACGTGGTGACCCTTGTTGAGGTGAAAATTGTTCCATATCTTTCATGGCTTGTTCGTTCTCGCAAAAAATGCTAGAGAAATCTTTCTCTTCCTTAATGCGTAGGGAGTGATGATGAACAAGTATGGGGAGCCTCTCTGAATGGTCTTTCGAATGGGTGGTGGGAGAAGGCAGGTCACTGACCGAATGCGCAATCTCAGAATCGCTCTTTGATACATGTAATTGCTGTGAATGAGGATGCAGAAGTGTCGCTGAATTTCTTGGTGATACATTATTGTGACTAGTACCTCCGTTCGTAACAGACACAGAAGATGACGAAGGTGTTGTTGATGAACTAGGAGGCGATTGAGATCCAGGAGAGGGCACCACTCCATTCATTGCAAATGAGTTTCTGCGATGCAACAACCTTGAAAGTGGGAGTTTCTTGTCTGGTGTTTGCATTGGTGATGTCAAAGAAGTGTTTTCCAAATCAATCCTCATTCTGGTCCTTCCATGCAATTCATGTTGCTGAAGATGAGGCGAAATAGGAGAACCTCTCGATGACAATTGTTCCATCACCAAACCAAAGGAACCCGAGGATCGTCTTCGATTCACAAAGGTTAGCTCTTGACTCGAAACTGACAAGGAGGAGCTGTTCGTGCTTGAGATTGAGGACGGGGAGGAGGGTGACCCTTCATTCTCTTCACCGCTCGCTCCACTACTATTCAAAGTCTCCAATAAAGAGTTTGAGAATGAATTCGCAGTTAATGGATTCAGTTGGAGTGGAGGAAGAGACGAACTTCGAGGTGGTGGGACCAAAGGTGGAAGTGAGCAAGAGTCGTTTGAGACAGAAGATGTGGAAGCCGTCGTAGCTTTTGTCTGAGGTAAGGAAAAACTCACAGAGTTTCCTCTTGGTGAAGATGTAGGCAACGGTGTGGAGTTTTGGTTGTTTCCGTTCTTGAACGAAAAGGAAACTGTTGTTCCATTCGTTGCAGAACTATTATTAGTATTAGTATTCTTAATAATACTATAATTGATATTGTTACAATGGTTATGAGTTGGAGAGGTGGGAGAGGTCGTTGGCGATTGAGGTGAAGAAGAACAGGACGGTGTGCTTGTTGTACATGCTACTTGAGTTGAATTAATAATAAGACTTGATCCCGTACTATGATGCTTATTCTTTCGGATCATCATCAGGTTTGCTTCGCTACCGACTCGTTCCATTGGGGCATGTTGATTGAGTAAAGAAAGCCTTCGTGTGAGGAGTGGAGGTCTGCCTGTGGTATTTGGCTGTGGTTGTTGAGGGGGTGTTGGTTGTAGGATCAGTGTTGGACTGCTCTCCTGCATTACATTTCCCTGTGCGGCGGCGGCGGAGGACTCCATCATGATCATCTTTTGAGGATGAAAATGAAGAGGGAAAGAGAGCGTTGTGGGATCAGCAGCCTTAGTGTTTGCGCTTTTTTTTAGTTATTGGGATGCGCGCATCGGATGCTCGAGTAAGCACCCCTCAATTTTCCACACCCGCCACGCAAGCGCACCACACCACACACCAATCAACACCAGTCGTGATGGAACATCAATGAAGCTCTTAATAAAATAGGAACGACCCATCATCTTTATAAGCACAATAAAACATGTCAAGAGTAGTGGCCGCATTCCTTATTGAAGCTTGCCATTCTCCCAATGAGTATCAATCAATCCCTTAACAATAGCCCATCCTCTATGACCAATAAGTGGGTTCTCCATTTCACTGAATTCGTCAGCCAATCGATGAGCAGCGAGTCCAGTTGGAATGTTTGATTCTTTTGAATTCTTCAAAATACGAGTGGCAATCACAAAGACCGAGTTGTCCCATTCTCGTCCAAAGTGTTTCAAAATGGCCTCATCATTGTGCACGTGTCCAAAGCATTCGTTGGCACAGTTGACAATACCCTGCAATGTTGAATTAAGAGATGTTGGTAAGCGCGTTATTGAAAAGAATCATTGTGCACGAACATTCGGAATGTGGGCACAGAAATGTACGCACATTGCCATATTGGCGGAAGGTAATTACAATTATAAAATTCGCAGAAAAATGTCACGCCGTTTCACGTTTGAGGAAGTGAAAAAGAATTGTTTGAATAAATAAGGCCTTTGAATATTTGAAAATCCGATAAACAACCAATACTTACCATACGGTTGTTCAAATAATCGGGAACATAGATAATACCGCGATCCTTAATCATGTAATCATGTTCAACTGGATCCAACAGTTGATTATTGGCAGCACCACAGACAATCTTGCAATTAAGCAATGGGATGGTTGTAGAGTTGATAATTCCACCAAGAGCAGATGGAGCGAAAATATCACAAGGCTCAGAGAAGACGCTCAAGTCGTTTGGAGCAACCACTCGCCATTCAATATTTTTGGCATGCTTGAATTGTTCCTTTCTCTTTTCAATCAGGTTCTTATCGATATCAGTGGCAACGATTTTTCCGACATTTCTCTTGAGCAACTCCTCAATGATGAAGCTAGCAACGTTGCCTGCTCCTTGAACCACAACCTTCTTGCCAGTCAAATCTCCCATGCCAAGGAATGCTTTGGATTTCATTATGCGACGTATATAAATAAGGATTGACAAGATTCAATTTCACAATGAGATCATTTCAACATGTCAATTAAATTACAAATGTACCATCACTCTTACTTACCAATTGCTGCTTCCATACCGCAAACAGTACCAATTGCAGTTGAGTGCGATGGGTTGCCTGAACCACCAATTTCAGGAGACAAGCAGCTCACGAAACGAGTTTTCTATTGAAATAGATTTGCAATTTCACAGTTGAGAACAAATGCACATAATTGTTGCAACACGTTCGATGAAGACAACATACAGATAGTGGCTCATATTGAGCAATCAATAATCCATGAAACCACAATACTTACGGTATGCATTCTGTCACAATCGGCAGTTGTTAAACCAACATCTTCAGCACCATAGTAGGCACCCTTCAAAGAAGACAAAAATTGTCCATACTCGGAAAAGACAATATCTCTGAAAGAATCGGAGCTGTAATTGATGGAAGGATCGTCAGTCTTTTGAACTAATCCCTTACCACCGCCTATTTAGAGTCATGTTGTAATGTTCGGGTTGGCATGAAATATTTTTTGAATTTGTTATGGATTTTCAAAGGAGAAGCGGAAATCAATGAATAGTAAATTGTCATCACAAGATATCATGCAAGCATAGTCGAGGAGGATGAAGTGAGACGAGTCATCATGGTCATCATGATGACAATTATAAAATTCGTGATGGCATCATCATGATGAACAAATATTCCAGTAAAATTATTGATAGCACCGATTGTAAATTTCACAAAGATGACAATGAAAATGGTGATTTTTCTCCTTGACATCTCGATACTTACCCCACCACAAACCAGCCAAAGCATTCTTTCTAGTCATACCCAAACTCAATCTCAAACCATCTCTCACATAGTCCTCCATGGAATTATATTTCCACAAACGAACACCACCATGAGGAATTCCTCTATTACTCTTATGCAAGAATGCACCAAACAACAAATTGGAGCGAGGTCCAATTTGAAAGAAACAAGCCTCATGTTTCAAAAAATCTCTCTTATCATTGGTAATGAACTCACCCAACTCAGCAAACAATGGATGAGAAGTAATGGTCTTGTTTTCCTTGGCATCATAAACCACATATCCTCTTTGAATTCCGGCCTTTTGCATTTCCTCTTGGAATTTCTCTGGACTCATAGCACTCACTCGATTAGGTGCTTCCATGACCGATACTTTGGTTGAGAAACATCTCTTAGATGAGAGGGCTAGAATGGCAGCCGAAGAAGAAGAAGGCTTGCGGCATGATGCTGCTGAAGAAAGAACCACTTTGAGGGACTTCATATTTTTTCAAAACGGTTTTTGAAGAGTGCTTTAAGCGGAGTGGAGTGTGAGCGAACATTTTAACCGAAAAAAAAATTGATTGAAATCACTCGCAGAAGTCTGGAAGCAGAAAGGACAACAAGAAACAGTTCTGAAAGCAATGAAAAAAAGACAGTTACTGTAGGTCTTTCTTTAAATGAACTCTCAAAGTAAGGAACGTGTTGCATTTCAGAGGTGCACACTTTCGGAGTTTTAAAATTTCGATTCAAAAAAAATGAATGAATGGAATTTGTCTCATTCTCATCATCGTGTGGAGGAAACACACATGAGTTCCGATCATGATATTTCTCAACCTCGTAGGGCAATGACGAAAAGTTTGGAATTTTCTCACAACTCTTCGACAAATAACAATGAGAATAATTACATGTCTGATAATAATAATAACAACCCAAATGATGGTGGCAATATAGATGAAGATGAAACTGGCCGAGTCATTGAGAGGAGTAGCACATATTATTCAAAAATCTTTTCTTGGATTTATATCTATTTTGGAAAATTTAGCAAGTCGCCTCCTGATTTGAAAGCTTGGATTTTGAGAGCTGCCAAGCTGTTTGCTGTATTTTTGTTTTCTCAATTAATATCAGCCTTATTGACAAGTACAGGAATTTTTAGCACATTTTTAACAGATCGAGTTCATGTGAATTTACCAACTTTACAAAATGCCCTATCTTATTTGACATTATTAATTTTTTACATGCCTCTTTTATTGGTGCACAAAGTATGTTATCCCAGTGTGACAAGAAAGGAAAAGAAATATCGAAAAATGAGAAGGAAATCTTTTCTTCATACAAGCCGTGAAAATTCTAAAGAACTAATGACATCGAATGGCCATGTGACACTCCATGAATCTTCGCCGAATGCAAATATTTTGAATGAAAATATCCCACATAATTCGCCTTCTGAAATGTCACAAAAGAAGCTCACCGAGCAAAGTCGATTACTCTCTCCCGCATCATCCTTCTCACAATTAGATTCCATGAATTCTTCAATCCAACAAAACCATGTACCTTCTTCTTCAAGTGCCTACCTCGAAATGGAACACTCAGAATTGCAACCATCATTTTCACAAATTATTCCATCCGATTTGAATCCAACGAGTACCACTACGACTTCTCATGGATCCATCACTCGACAGCAAGTCCATAACATCTCTCACAAAGCTTCTCCACCTTTAAAAGTCTCTCTTCTCGAAGAACACCCAATTCAATGCAAAGACAATGAAGAAGATGAATTTCATCAATGTCTTTTCAAATATGTCAAAAGATGTCTCACTTTCAGACGATGGAATATGAAACCATGGAAATACTTTTTCTTTGCTTTGGCCGATGTGGAAGCCAATTTTTTCGTAGTCAAAGCATATCAATACACAACCATCACTTCAGTCATGTTATTGGATTGTTTCACAATTCCATGTGTCATGATATTGAGTGCTCTATTTTTGAATCGAAGTTATCGATGGACTCACATTGTGGGAGTACTGATTTGTTTGGGAGGATTGGCGTTACTTGTGTTGAGTGATTATTTGAATCATGTTCAACAAGGTGAGAAGAATGATCGACCTTGGTATTACGTACTAATTGGAGATGCCTTTTGTATTATTGGCTCAGCTTGTTACGCGATTAGTAATGTGGCGCAGGAATATGCTGTGAAAACTGAGGAACATTTTACTGAGCTTGTGCAGAAAGAGGATGAGGAGGAACATTTGGAGGAAACAAGTTCATCGTCATTGACACAACAGCCACTTATGGAATCAACAATTTCAACAGTCATTCATCAGCATGAAAATTCAACAATGAATGATGCTGAACCACAGCAGGAGCTGCAACAACGACATCATGTGAACAAAATGACAATCATTCCATCTCATGATCAAGAGAATGTGAACCAAAATCAAACTTCCAAGAAACCATCAAATGTGAAAAAAATCAAACTCACTGAAAATGATTGTGTGATTGAATATTTAGCCATGATGGGCCTTTTTGGAACCTTAATTGCAACCATTCAGTTATTGGTATTTGAATTGCAAGACATTCGGAATACAGAGTGGAATTCAAGATCAATATTCTTTATGGGAGGTTTTGCTGCCTCCATGTTTTTGATTTACACACTTGTTCCACACTTGTTGAGATGGAGCAGTGCTACATTTATGAATTTGTCGTTCCTAACAAGTGATATATTTGCAGTTATTTCAAGCATTTTCCTATTTGGACAGTCCATTAACTTCCTTTACTATATTGCCTATGTCATTATTGCTCTAGGTTTAGTCTTTTACAATATCTTACAGGAAGGTGAACGAAAAACGAAAAGTCTTACAAGTAGATTGAAAGCTCTATTTTTGAAATTTCTAGCAAAGATGAGACGATGAAATGTTGTGGACAATTCAGACTCCTGATTCTGTCAGACCCTCGATACCCACCAGAGGCAACATTTGTGTCATTCTCTCCTCAAGAATATGAAAAGTTTTCCATTCGGATCGAATCAAATCTTCTATACTCCTTTTAAATTCAAACAGTGATGACCACTTTTTGGAACAAAACATTTTCATTACAAAAAAATGCAGCGAGATGATGATGATGAAAGGAATGTTTCCAACAACAACAATAACCAACACAATAATAATCGGAAATATTTAGCAATCATGGTAATCATTCAACTCTTCTTGTACATGTACTTTCAAATAAGACAACAACAAGAACAACATAAACATCTAATTTCTTCTTCCTCTTCTTCGGAATCTAAATCAACGAATGGTGTTTCTCCAACGTCATTATTTGGACAAATCGGAACGAATCATTATTTCTACAGTTCTAGAATGAATAAATGGGTAGCAAATGTAGCAAAAGATCCTAGAGAACGAACTTTGCTTAAAATTGCGGCTCATATTTACTTTCTTCCACTCAAACGATATGTTTATAATTTAATTGGAGATGAAGATGATCCGTTTGAAAAGACTACACAATATATTAGATTTTCTCAGTTTTTATATCCTGATTTGGAACACTTGATGGGTGTTGGAAATGAAAAATTTGACTCGCAAAGTCATGATGAATTTGATTTTTTCAGATCGCCTCCAAGTGATGATATTATTTATGAAAAACCAGTGACAAGATGTGATATTGAAATATTTATTTCAAAATCATGCCTTCGAACAAAGATACCTCAAGAAAAAACCGAGAATAAGGATGAACTACAAGCAAACATGAATGAAAAGCTCAAAAATCTTAGGGATGCTTATTTGAAAGAAACTTTGCAAGGTATGTGCGATTGTAAACTATTGCAATAGACAAGTCCTTTTAATGCATTTTGATTATTGCAATGGTGTGATCTACAAATCTTTTAAAAAGATACAAAAAAGTTGCAATTTTTAAAGCAATTAAATAGTATGAACATGCAGAAACAATATTCTCAAAAGGCACATGTGGAGGATAGTATTCAACAAATTGACACTCTACGAGAAGAATCAATCACTATTTCGCATTCACATTCAAAGACAACGAAAGATCAATCAAAAATGCACGTGACTGATATTTTAAATGTCATTCCTCAATCAAATGCCAGTATGTATCTGCTAACTGAATCATCATTCACTTTTGTGACATGAAAATGACCATCCAAAAACAATGAATTTTCATTGTTTTTACTGAACTTTTTTTTTGAAAACTTGATACAGAAAACAACAACCTGGAAATCATTCAAGAACATTTTAACCAAATATCAATGAAATATGCCAATAATAGTAATAGCAATAGTGACAATCATTCATCTCCAAGTCGAGTTGAATTCATGATATCACTAAAACAAAAAGCCATTGCCCTCATGCTGCAAACTCTTGAAGATCTCAAAGATATTCCTGCAAAGAATGGTAATCTGCAACTCAATCCAAAAACTGGAGACCTCTCACCCAATCAACTCATTCCATCGATTTATTTAGTGATAGCGTCGAATCCACAATTTATCAAATCATGGTTCTCGTTCAAAGCTGAAGTTGATTTTAATTCGGTCAGTCAACGGAGATTAGTGAAACAGTTGAATACTCTCATTCAAGGTCGAGATTTGATGGTACAATTTGAATTATCCACATTGAATTGCAATGCTCGCTGTAGACGTGCATTCATTCAAGCATATCATATTCTATCCAAGTGTGATAAGTTCCAGAAAGTAACGTTTAACATTGTGAATAATGACAAGTATCGAGGGAAATCAAACACACGAGTAATGGACTTGTCCATTTCCATCTTCACCTCAGAGGGCAATATTTATGAAAATATTAATGGTTTGAAATGCACAGCAAAGAAGAATCACTATAATTGTGCAAAAGAGGTTATTCACTCTCTCCAAGGTGCTGTAAGAGATGAGAACAACAACAAGAAAAAGGAACTTCTGAACACCTAACCTGCTCTAAACCTTTAATAATATTAAATTGAGAAACAATCCTATTGAGATATTGAAATTTCCTAAACCTTGTTGAATGTCAACAGGTTTGAAATAACCAAACAAATCAAGGTATGGCAAATCACACGACACATGGTTTTTTTAATTAAATAACCTTGTAATTATCATCTTCAAAGTTCATAATAAAAATCGCTGAAGATTCTAAACTGCTCAAAAAGAAGCCTTGTTCTCCAACTAAATAATCCCCAAAAGCAAACTCCTTAATAAATCCAATTTGTGTGAACATGTCTCGGATAGCAGCTGTACAAATCACACAAATAAACATGGGTACGAAATCATCGGCAGACACATGCTGATCAATTTCTGACCTGATCTTTGTTTTTGAAAAGTAAATCTTATTCATCACTTCTCGAGCTGCTTGTGTGATGATCGACAACTTGGCAGAGGGATTGTAGGGTTTAGTGTCCGAAACTTTGTCATGGTAATCCTCTGAGAGAGATTTGATTAATTCGATGGGAACTCGATAGTCTTCTTTAAATTTTACAATTTCTTCCTCAATGACAAACTGTCTAAACTCAGATTCATTGAGATCCTTATCATCAATTTTCTTACTTTCGAGTAGTAATTGTCCAACCAGCTTGTGTGAAACTTCTTGACATTTGGTGTAGAAATTTTCATCCATCATTCTCATTTCATTTTTCACTTGAACGAGACAACAGTCGTACATAATCATTCCTCGAGTTTGGGAGGTATATTCAAAAATCATGGATTCCAACACTTCATAAATTTGATACCAATTGAGTGTAATTTTCATCAATGAAATCACCTTATCCGTCAAATTTTTCAACAAATCCTGAAGTTTTGGTAAGCCCATTGTGGAATTAACTGGACTATTGAGGAACTTTTGTACATATTGATGAATTTGAGTGCAGAAATAATTAGAATTTGGACCTGACGTAAGGCTTGATCGGAGACGTTGTTGCATTTGTTTGATCATTTGAGAGGCATGCTTTTTTCTCTCCTCGGATGATGCAAGTTGTTGTGACTTGATCTCTGCAAGAATTTCTTCTTTTTGTTGTTTGAGTTGGAGAAGATAGTCATCTCCTCTCTCTATTCTACTCTTAAATTTTTCAATAATATGTCTACTTGATAATTTTAAAAAGCAAATATCAATAGCGTCGCTCTTGCTTGGCAAATCAATGAGATTTCGAATGTCACGCTCTGTTTCAAAGTTTTCATCGAGTACAAATAATCTTTGTGGAACACTATTCGTGACAAGTTGGCCATATCTCAAACAAGTGACAGATGCTTTCTGGGCATTGACCACTTTGATGAGTAAATTTTCAATGAGACCAAGTTGATACATGTTCAAACTGATTTGATTATTCGTTTGTTTCAACTTGATCGAAGCATCTGCTAAACTTGCATATAACTCTTGTTTGGTTTGTCGCATACTATTCAACGCAGAAGATGTGTTGGAATCAAGCCTTAATTGACTTCCATCATTGGTCACGCCAAATGCTTGTGTATACATGTTATATCGACTATACATTTCGTTATAGGTGCTACTTAGCGACTTTTTCGCCGTGTTATATTCAAAGCTCTGTGAGTAAAGAGTATCGAGTTGTTTTAAATTTTCAGAGCTCCACCTGGCAAGTTCTTTGCTAATTTCATTTAGTGAGAGCACTAAATGTCTCCATTCAAAGTACAGCAATAATCGAACAAACTGAATGGATTTTTGGAAATATAGGGGTGATTTCTCTCGAATGTATTCTTCAATAATTAATAAATAGTGAAAGAGGGGTTTTGTGGAGGGTTTGTTTGTGTAGGGGAGAGTGTAGGTACAGGAAATGTTGTCTTTCCAGTTCGTTTCTGTCAATACTCGTAGTTTTTCTTCCAATAAATCGAGTCTTGTCTGATTAATTTCTTCACACAGAGATTCAATATGGAAAATTCGGTCTGCATTCAGACTTTTAAAGTTTGTGGTAGCAGTGTTGGTTTCAATTTTTTGTTGTGACTGTGTAGAAAAGGATGAAAGTCCTTTGATGGATTCTTTCAACAGCAGTGATTGTTGTTGTTGAATATAATTTCGTTCTTCTCGTTCCTTTTTCTTTCTTTCATTTTGTCGAATTTTTTCTGATAATTTTGCAATATAAAGAGCAACCTCATTCTTCAATGATTCAATATTGAATGCATTTCCAATGGAGAGAGTGCTGAGAGGGGAAGGAGTGGTAGTATTTGTGGTGGCAGTAGAAGGTTGAATTTCATGCACAGTAAGCGAAGGATCTACTGGAATGAGTACATTACCTCCCAAACTTTGGAATCGAACCGTATTTCTCTCTGAAAATCCAAGATGAAGAATGTGTTTCAAGACACAAATCCACTCACTTCTCTTTTGCTCTGAATTTGTCGCAAGCAGCAAGATCTCTTGTTGATCGTCACTCTTGCAACAGAGCATGTAACGTTTCTGGAGCAGCATGGGCGAAGAATTATTCACCATCATTCCCTCAGCAGCTTCATTGATCAATTCCTCATCACATGGAATGGATTGAGGTTCATTTTCGTTTCCACAGCTCGATGAACGAGCTCTATTGGAAGCAGCACTCGTCATTGTGGTAGTACGGAGTTGCTGTTCAGAATCCTGAACGGACAAAGACAATGCCGACGAGTCTTCTCCAAACTCTTCCGACGAAGAGTCCACTAACGGCGATCGATACGTTGGCGATTGTTGTGAATATATTTCCATAATATTTTCATTAAAACTTCTCTGCGAATAAGTGACATGATTAACCGGAAGGATATGGTGATATTGTAATAAATTAGTTTTCATTTCATAGGCAGTGGGAGGATTGGATCCAACCATGGTGGTTGATACTCCTTCATTACTATTGTTGCTGTTGTTATTATTATTACTCTTGTTGCTGAGGTTAAGGTTCTGAGAAGGACTATGGAATGATGAAGAGGCTCTTCTTGTTCGGTATTGATACAAGTGATAATCATTTCTAATTTCAAACCATTTCCTTTTTCCGAATTGTAAATTGGAGCGAGAGGGTGAATCTACTTCATTGAGAATATCTGATACGGAATCATTTATGATGGAAGATGATGAATTGTTAATGATGATGGACGATGAAGATGGGCTTGTGGAGGGATTTGAAGAAAAGAGAATATCTTCTTCATGATGATGATTTCCCAATGACGGAAAGGCTTGAACTGGATATAAATATCCACTAAACAGTACTACTGATGATGATGATGTTGCCATCATCGATGATGATCACAGAACGGCCGAGAATAATGAATTTCCAAATAAATCTTCAACAGTAAAAAATCTTGCGATCGGAAAAGGAGGATGACAAGCGCTGAAGAAGTTTAAATTCAATTCACTGAAATTCAATTTTGATTGCAATGTTTTGATTCAATGATACTTTCTCACGTGAGGTTCGCCGCCGGGTTTGTTGTTGTGGTGGTGATGATGATGAGGTGGTGATGAAAACGTGCTGCGCCCTTTTTCTCGGAGTATCAGGAGTGTGGTGTTGTTGGTCGTTGGTGGTGGTAGTGATGGAATGTTTGCAATTTTGTTTTCGGAAACACCAAGAGAGCGCACTCTGTTTTTGGTAGCTTCAAATAACGAAGGAACGACCGATGAAGGATGATCCAAAAGACACGCGATGACTGATTTCGTGAATGTACTCGTAGTATTCAGAACCCAATGTCTGACTTCTGAATGGATGAAGGATTCACTTCAATCTTTTGTTTTTCAATCTCATATCATGACCCAATTCAGTCACTTTGTGGTGTTTGTCGCGACTCTAAAGTCTGTAACGACATACAATGAAAGGGTTTCAAAAATGAATTGGCTCGATCCAAAAACAGTTATACAACCACCAACAAAGGAAAAGAAACATCTGTGTAATTGTTGCGAATTGTTGACAAGAAGAGCAGGTATAGACTGAACACCATTTCAATACAATGACACATCAAAACTGACCCCCTGCTCTGGAGAGGGGGGGTATCTCCGCACCGTCATTTTATCGCTGAAGAATCTTTTGAACGAATATTTTATGCAGGCAACTGACGGCGGAGTGCTATTTATTGCAAAGTATTGTGGTGTCCTTGTATTGATGCACACAACTTTGAAATTATTTTGTCGAGTCATTTAATGAATTTCTGACAGGTCCTTCACTTCTCTGAGATTCTTAGCTTTCCTTTGTTCCTTTCATTATTGTGTTGCTCTATTGTTGAGAAGTGGATTGAGTTGATCCTTCTGTTCGATTCTTCGAAGAGGATTGAGCATTGTTAGTGCTACGATTGTTTTGTCGTTGTTGTCTCTGAAGTTGTCTTCGTTTCACCTTAATCACCATTTGTGCGGAAGTAATAATCATGTTCATCTGTTCGTTTTCAATAAGAGGAAAAACACAATCCATTATAATTGTCATGTATGTGACAGCAATACAAAATTATTATTATTTTGCATATCAATAAATGATGAAAAATTGTCGCAATAAAATTCGCTCGTTCTTGTGAAATCTATTATAACTCAAAAAGCCACTTACAACAATGATAAAAAGTAAAAACAATAATGGAAATGCGTAAACCACAGCCACAAAGAATCCACGTCCGTCAAAATAATTCATTGTTGAAAATAGTTGCCAATTTGAATTGCACCATCGATTCAATGTTTCTGACAAGTACGTCATGACACCTTTCAATTCAAACGATTAAATCAATTCAAACATTTGGTCAATCCAAAAAACATTTGATCATTATTTCACAATATTCATCCATTCGATCATTATAAAGTCCACGTGATTCATAGTTAGCATTGATTCCACATCACGATGACGCGTGGGCAACTTTTGATCACACACTTACAAATCAAAGCAAATAACAAGGCTTGCATATTCATGTTTTTCCGCCAAATAATAATACACGTGAGCAAGACAATATGCATCGCAATCACACCTTGTAACCAATATTCTTCTCTCCAATAGACAGAATTAATAAAAGTTTGAGCATCGGATTTAAATTGAGAAAATCCATCCACAATATATTGAATCATGACATCGGAATGAAATGTTCCATTCGCAAACACCTCTTTGAATACTTTGGAGAGAGGTGTTTGAGAAAAGTCATGTTGTTGTTGAGGTGTAGTGGTAGAGGTGGTAGAAGCCCGATCGTCACTTGTGGTTTCATTTGCCATCCCGAACGAAAGCAAAAACAAATTAAAAAGTTTCGCTTGATTTTCAAGCACTCGATTCAGAAAATTCATTTTTTTGCTCGCGGAATTGAGTCTCTCTCATCATATTATATGATGGCGATGGTATACACTTTATTAGTCAATATCTATTTGAAAATCTGAGGAGGAGGCAGCAGCAACTTGTTCAGATTTCACAACATTGGATGAAGTAGGACTGTCATCAGAAACTGTGGTGTAGGAGGTTTTGCTCACCGCAGAGGATGTGGTGCTGGTTGCTATTGGAGGTGAGGACGAAGCAACGACATCTCTTGAAATTTCAGTGTCACCTTGATGTGTAAGGGTGATTTCAGTAACTCCTTGCGAATCAGCAATGAATTCATTCTCTTCTGCTTCTTCCTCGGCAACAAAATCAGCATCACTATTATACATTGGATGAATTTGAATGTCTCTTGCATATTCCATTTCTACATTGTGAATTTCAGAAGAGATGGAGCGAGCTAAACGCTCAGGATCATCTGGGAATGAAATGGTGTAGGTTTCACGATTCTGTGCGAGTAAGTCTCTGTTCATTTTCTCAATTTCCATATTTGAGGTCTTTAAGAGTCTTCTCATATTGGCAATGTCTTCAGCTGGAGCGTTTTGATCAATTAAATTATGTAAATCCTTTCTAATGTTGTGATTTCTAAATATTGGATGTTGTTGCAAATATTTCCAGTACTCAATAATTTCATCCACATGCTGAGCACAACTGTACTGAATTCTTACATGATTTTCATTGATATAGACTGGAAAATAATTTAAAATCTTATCATAGACAAAATCGTTGGTTGGAAGTGTGCTATTCCAGACAAGAGGCAAGTGTTCTACAGCATAACGAATCCAATTCATAGCCTCCATGAAATCTTTTGTGATGGTTTTCAATCCTCGTGAAAATATTTGCTGCAGACAAACTGCAGTGTATGTAATGATATCTTTCTTTCTGCTCAACTTCTTGTCTCCATGCATTTTGGTGAGAATATTGTCATAAATTATGGCTGTTTGGAATGCATTGATGGAACGATCAAATGTCTTTCTGTACAAGTAATGTAATCCGTGATGGTACAGAGTAGCCACAAAACAAAATAGAGAATACAAATCCGTGAGAGATGACATAGTTTTGGGGTCGGGAATGTCATTAATAGTCAAGTTAACTAGGCTCATATATTCATGGAATTTCATTTGGTCTCCCTTATCAAGACTCATGAATAGATCTAACAGCTTTCGATGAAACATGCTGTAGAAGATTTGATCAGCGATGGTAAATTTCATAGGTCCAATTTGATCTATAGCACATAGGAATACCTGGAAGCTTGCAATCCTGGCATCGTTTTGAAGAGACATCGAATAGGTATATGTGCTATTGACCTGGCCTTGACAAAATTGGAAACATCTGTTAATAGCATCGTTGTATTGATGCTGGAAGTGCTTGCGTTCACGTTCTCGTTTTTCCTTTTGTTGTTCAATCCAAATATGAATTTCTTCAATGAACTTTTTGTTTTGGAACAACACTTCCTCTTGAATGTCATGTGGAATTAATGTTTTCCACTTTTCTTGCAGAATTTCTGTTTTCACATCACGAGCTGTGGCAGGATAACCAGCTAGAATTTCTTCTAGAGAGCTATACTCGTGAAGATCCTCGAGTTTGGAATCATGATTCGGCTTTTGTTCACCGTGATTGTGATTGTGTCCACAACATGAGTCGTGAGAATGTTCAAGTTTGTGCAAAGACTCTTTGAGTGATGCAATGTTTTCTTCAATTTTTTGTTGAAGAGTTGTGTCCTTGCAAATAAAGTCTTTGTCCTCAACATTCACTCTGTTACTATCAATGTATACCAAGCAATAGGCGCTAGAACTAATCTCCTTATCGTTGTTGCCTTTGGAGGTTTTCATCACCTCTTCCTCAGTGACCTCTGTTACTTTCATGTCGTTAAATTTCCACCATGTATTGAGATACTGGTCATGGTGGTAAATGAAATAATGACCACTCGATGCCAGGCTTCCTTCGTGTACCAATATGGCACAAAGGTCATAAGCGCAGTCGTGCATGTCGTCAAACATGGTTCTCACACTTTCTTTCAATGCTGCAATTTCATGTTTCAGTGATTCTACTTTCTTCACTACTTGATTACGTATATTTTCGAATACTTTCACGGAGCTTTCAATGGAGCTTGCTGTTACTTTTGTGTCATTGGAGTTTAAGGATAGTTCGAGTTGCTTTTGATTGACATATTCCAGTACTCCATTAAATAAGAATTCTAGTGACAAACCAGAGGTTCCTTTAAAATTCACATAGCTATTGAGCTCATTCTCCAAGTCCGCGATTTTTTGCTTAATTTGCTTGATTTTCTCTCGTTTAGATGTTGTCTCTTTGTGAAAAATAAAAAATTATCTACAGGAACCTATTCTGAAAAAACCTACTTTGTTTGTTAGATTCTAAGTATCTGTCTAGATAAATTACTTGTTGAAAGTCGAACGGAAGATTAATTTTGTGAGCAACTTTTTTGGTGATGTCAAAGGATGTTCGCTGCATGCCATAAAAATTGGTCATGTCACTAATGTCAAAATGAAAAAACCTACTTGTAACTGAACTAATAATACAGGAGGAGGTGTTTTGAACCAAGTGGTCTTTACAACATTAGATTTGTAGTTTGCTTCTATCGAATAATCAGCAATCTCTGTTGTGGAATAAGCATCAAGGGATGCATAAAAATTATTCAATTCTTCGCTAACATTCAAAATTAAATTACAAAGTTCGGATAATTTGCTAACAGTGACCGTTTCCTTTTCTCTATTTTCATATTCTAATTCTTCTGTACAGATACCGTAAAATATTTGTTTAAGTGGGTTTTCGAGACTAATACTGTTTGTTTTGTTTTCAATTTTGTCTTCCCATTCTTGTGAAAACATCCTTTCAAGTAAAATTAAAATTCTATTGTAAAATTCTGTTAAATTCGTATTCAGCAGTTCATACGAAATATTTTAGAGAGATTATTTATCATCAGTACGTACCGCTAATATCTTCTTGGTAACCTATATTTACATCTACTCCTTCCTTTAATAGCGCGTCCACCAGTGCCGATGGATCTATAAATGTTCTATTTGTGAGAATCATTTTGGAAAACAGTCTTTGAACTTCTTTTACAAAATTCACTGTAAAATGATTGTGACCAATTATAACTGTACAGGACAAATCAAAAACTTACAATCTTTTTCAGCCTGTCTTTCCAACAAGATGCGGTTAGATACTTGTTGTTGTACCTGTGAAGGCTGCTTATCATTTTCTTTTTGTTGATTTGCTAATTTTTCAATTTTAGCTTGAACTCTGGCTTTAAATTCTTCTTCGGAAAAAGTAAACACTAATTGCTTCAGTTTTGGAATCATGAAGAATGCTTGAAAAAGAGAATTAACATAGCATGTGTTTCCAATATTTTTCAATCCTATTGGAATGTGTGACTGCTTTCTGTACTTTTCGATGGGTGTTTTAGGCTCTGAATCTCGTTTTTGATCTTGCAAGGAAGCTTGGATGGCCATATTGAGAGCATCTTCAAAACTATTATTGTGAGATGAATGACTTGAATGTCTATGAGCGTTGTGATGATCATAGTATGGAGATCGTTCATATCGTCTGTTATCATTGAATTCAAAAGCAGCAGTATCGAAGAAAAACTCATCTGTTGGTTCGCTTGTGTGTTGTTGCGAACGATGATGGACACGAGCACCACTCTGTTGTGGTTCGTCTTCAAGATCAGGAATATTATCGGTACTATCTGAACGACGATGGTGTTGCTGATGATGAGAAGCCGATGCTGCTTGCTGTTGATCGGGAGCAATATTGGTAGCTCTGGCTTGATGAGCTTCTTCTTGATCATCACCCAGCACATCTCCATCACTCGTACTAAATGTTGTTGAAGAACTATCCGAATCATTGTAGTATCTATTCATATCACTAATTGTTGGACCACCTGGAGCTCCCGAAATATCATCATTGTGATGATGAACGACTGCTACTGCCGTGGTTGATGTATTATCATCGGCCAAATCATACTCCGCTCCATTACTATCATTGAGAGGTATATCTGACAAGAGAAAATCAAAGGCTCTTGTAACATTGTTGTTAGCCTTGTTGAGTGCAGCAATCGCTTGTTCTCTCGTGAACCCTGCTTCCGTAATTTGATCAACAAGATCCTCTCGCACGTGAGGCATTTTTTTGTAAAGAAATGGCAATTTCGGGAATGAACTTTGAAGTGTGTTAATTGTTGGGTGAGCTTTGGGAAAGATCAAAACACAAAGAGACTTCATCATCATCAGAAGAATTCTCATGGTTGTGTTGATGATGAAGAAGAGAATGTGGTTCAAAGAAATCAACCGAGAAATGCTAAAACACATCTTCTCCATAATTGACACTCGTCTTTTTCCTCAAGGTTGTATGGTAGTAAGGCGTCAGACTTTATTCTTCCATTTTACTCGTTGGATCGCTAAACTTGTTTTTTTACTTTTTTACACTTCATGTAAAGCTTCAAGTCTTAAAAGTCTAATACATCTTCTTCATGGTCGTCTTCAAGGTCCATGGTTCCATTTTTGGGTTTTGAAAGAACCGACAAGTTGGAAGGTCTTGATGAAGGTTGTTCTGATGCAGAAACAGAGCGAGGTCGTGCGAGAATGTTATCAACATCTGAATCTGAGGTAGTGTCATCCCCCCCAAGAATGTTCTTATTCAACTGTTGTGTTCAATAATAATAATTCACAATAATTCAAGATTACACAACTCTCCTTAATCATGAAGAGGAATCATCATAATACTTACCTTCGCAAAGGTTGTTGGATTGAAAGCACTCACACTCGTGATTAAGCGAGAAGTTTTCTTGACTCGATTCACTACGCTGGAATTTGGGCGCTGAGCGACTTGAGAGAGTGTACCTGGAAGATCCTCTGATTCAGTCTCTTCTTCGTTGTTTGGTGGTGTGGTGACTGTCTCTTGAGTTTGTGGTGGCGTTGTGGTGTGTGCAGGGACAGTGCTGGCACTGACACTCTCTATTTTAGCTCTCGCAGATTGAATACTAGTAGGGTAAAATGATTGTTAAGAGTCACATGATATCATGTTTTTCAGTACTTACTTTCGTTCAACAACATCATTTCTAGATTTGGTAATGAGCGTCTTGAGAATATACTTGGTCTTGTTCTTGGTCTCTGATGTGCAAAGTGTGGATGGAACGATGGACCGACAGAGAGCTTCAGAAAACAACTTTAAGAGTGGCTCTTTCCATTTTGGTTCCACCTTGCTTAATGCATTGATATGATTAATAATGAGCTGCCACATACTCGACACTTGTTCTCCCACAATACTTTCAAGCTCTTGCATGTTAAACTGTTCTGATTCGCTTGCCTCCAAAACATTGGATGATATTAAGGGCACTGGACTACACTGAACAATATCCAACACTGCCAAGCACTTATGTTCAGTCGATAAATTGGCTTTGATTGATTCCACAGCTTGTATTCTTTGCTTGGCATTAGTTTTGGGGCAATTCAAATAACATAATGTCTCCATGGCGTCCTTATTTTCCAGCTTGTAATTGAGTGACATTTTGTTAAATTTTTCTTTTTGATCCTTGAGAGTTTCTTCAATCTCTTTCAAATATTGTTGTAATGGAGGAATTAGTTTGTTCATGTTCATTTTCTTTAGTTTCTGAGAGACTGAATGATTATCATCCTTATCTTGCATGTTTTGTTCAGTCTCTGATGACGATTCTGCAGGTGTCGCCTCCTCTTGCTTTTTCTTAGTGAGCTTGAAAACGGAAAGAATGCTCTTTAGTTTTTGTTTTGGATTTAAAGATTTTTGTGGAACTTCGTCCTCAGCATTTTGTTGAGCGTGTTTTGAAGACTGATTACTTCCTGCTTGATTGTTGGTTGTTGCGGAGGTTGGAAGAGGCTGAGCTTGTTGAGTTTCAGGAGAAGGCGAAGCGAGTTTTGGAGGTACTGAAGAGGTTGGAGTGATCGTTATTGATGGAGTGGGGGTGGATGGTTGCTGTGACTTTAGAGTAGATGAAGTAGTAGTGGTGATAATTTTGGGTAGAACCTCGTCTTGGGATTCACTCTCTTCTGAAACCTTTTCAATGCGCAACTCTGAGAAGGGATGACGTGTTGGAGATGAGGCAATACGTTTGGGAGATTGCAGACGAACAAAATTTTGCCCTGTTTGAATCTCGGTCTTGGTAGGTGTGGACGCTCTTGCATGTGGAGATGCTTCTGAATTGTTTAAAGAAAAATCTTCTTTCTTGTTCGTTTGACTGTGGAATTTAGGAGAGGGTGAAGGTATCATATTAAAGGTTGAATTAGAGGAGCTCGTTTTTTGGTTGTTGTTGTGGTGTTCTCTCTCATCAATATCTTCTTCCAAACGTTGAGTGAGATTGTGTGTTTCTTCTAAATCGAATGAGGATCTTGCATGCTTTGTCTGTTGATGTGACGCATTGTCTTCCAAGTCCTTCATCTTGCTGTTCTTTTCGAGCACTTGTTTTTTTTGCCATTCCTTAAATTTTGCAAAACTATTTACAGTTTGTTTTCTTCCATGCTGCTGTATCCATCATTGTAATATAAATCATCCGACCTATTCGGAATGATAGCTGCTGTGACGAATTTTTCTCTTGCGTTCGCAATTTTTCCTTCATAAACGTCATCAATCACATCTTTAAGGGTGATCATGTAAAACAAGTAAATTTCTCCATCGATCGACTTGGAATGACTTCAAAACTTACTCTTAATTTCCTTTCCATCCGTTGCTTCCATCTTTTTCTTTTTTTCTTGTTTTTCCATAAAACGTTTGGAAGCTTCCAGCGATGCTTGTTCTGACATTTTCTGAATATTCCTTTCTGTTCAGCAATAATGGTAACGAGGAAAGTTCATAATCACAATATCAATAAGTTACTAACCTCCATATAGGATTGATTTTCGTTCCGCTTCTCTTTCAATAGCATCTTTTTTGGCTTGTTCCTTTGTTATAATTAATTCTTTCACCTTTTCTTGAAGATCATTGTTGAGTTTCTTTTCTCTCTCCCATTCAAGTTGAGAGGTTCTTGATTTTTGTTTTTGTAATTCAATTTCCTCTTCAGCTTTTCGAATTTGTCGTAACTTTTCTTGTCGTGACAGTGCTTCGAACTCATGAAGCCTTAATTGAAAATTTTGTAAAAATTGTTTCTGAAAAGTTAAAAGAGTAAAATTAATTAATCATGATTTGGTCAATCGTCGTACATGATCCAACTATTGGTGCATGAATTCGAAATCCTACCTTCGCAACCTCCAATTTCACTTTTGAGCTCACAAGATGTGTTGACTGTGCCATATTGGCGTCATTCAGTGCTTGCTCCGCTCTTGCCAGCAATTTTCGATTCCGAATTTTACTCTTTTCAAAATTCTCCTCGACTTTTTTGAGTAATCGTTTCATGTAGTCCGATTTGTGATGCTCTAGACCTGCCTCGGAATGATACCTCAAATCGATTCGATGTTCAATTAATTCTCGCTGTCGACGTCTATTTAGATTGCAAATTTTCGGATCAAGGACTTGTTTATTACTGACATTAACTACCTACATTTCCAACCGTTCCTTTTCCAACACCTGCCATCGTTCCGAAGCAATACTAAATTCTTCTGTCGTTTGGGTCATCTCTCAAGGGTTCATGAGAAGCAATTTGTTCAATTTTTTTGTTTGACTTACATTTTTCGAAATTTGGCGGCAATTTCAAAGCACAACAACTATATCTTTCTCTTGTCTCGAGCTGGGTCCAATCATCATGTACGTACTGCATCGATTTATTGCTAAGTGTGTTGCGTAACATTTAAGTGAGATCAACTTCCTTGATCTTGTCCTTGATCTTCAAGAAAAGATTTGTCTTCCATGTGTCTAACTTTTGAATCTTGTCGAAATCTCTCAAAGTAATGGTGAATGTTTTGACATTCTTTTCTTCACAGGCATCCAAAAGTTTTTCAATTAATTTACATTCCAAAGAATCTCCAAAATGAACGTCCATCTCCTTGTATTCATTGAGCTTGTTTCGGACTTCTGTGATATCCTCTGGTTCAGTATCTTCCATCTTTGCCATGTAACACATGAGTGCCTTGAATTCATATTCCTTGGCTCCCCACTTCAACATTCTATCATCAACGGCTGCTGATGCTGCCTTTTCAAAGTTTTCAATGGCTTCGGCATACTTTTCATTTGCAGCTTGCAAATGAGCCAATTTAACAATACATTGGTTGGCACTGCTTTTTTGATCTTCGGAAAGGAAATAGTCTGCTGCCGACGAATAGTGACTACAGGCTTTTTCATAATCTCCCTCGTTTTCATAGACTTCGGCCATTTCCTTCTCATATTTTGCTACAGTTGCGAATTTGCCAGTCTCCATAAAAAGTTGAATGGCTTCATTCATCGTATCTGCTGTTTCTTTTGGTAAATTTGCTTGTTTATAACAATTTGCTGCGTCAATTAAAACCGTTGCGGCTTCATATTTGCTTCCGGCCTTGACCAAGAGAGGGACAACCTTTTTGTAGGTATCACCAGCTTCTTTCCATGCTTTTCCAATCTTGAATTTATTGGCAGCAGTTTTATAGGCATCCGTAGCATCTTCCACGCGATCACCGAAATAAATGAATTTGGTCATGATGGTATCGGCCTTCTTGACAAGTTCCATGGCTTGCGAGATGTTCGCTTCCTTCAACGAGCTGCTCATTTTTTTAATTGTTGTTCTTGTTGTTTGTGTTATCCGTTGATGTTGTTGTGGTGGTGGTTTTTGGTATATATACCAGCAACATCAACCTATGAAATATGAACATGATTGTCACACCTAAGAATTGCATCACTTGGTAAGAGTATTACGTGGAATGAGAGACGTTACATCTTTTTTTTAACACCTTTCTCTCTGGCACCTCTCATCTATTGAATCGTTACTAACACCCGCCAATCTAAAAAAATTAAGGTTTCATCATCGATCATACCTCAACACACAACAGAAATGAATAAAGAAGAGGATCATCTCTCGACCATGATGGATGTTTCCGGATTGTGGACGAACGAAGATCTCAATCTATTTGGAATCAATATTCAAACTCCAATTCATAAAAAGAAGGGAGATTTGCTATTTCCAGCAAGCAACGCATCGTGGGGAGAGCTTGCGATTGGACTCTCTCCTCTGTTACCACTCGGAAAGGATGGTTTAAGGGTTTGGGTCGAGAAAAAAGACTCGACTTTGTCTGAATCACAACAATGTAAAGTTTCCTCTACCTCTCCACCCATGAGCGCCTCTAACCTTCTCAAGAATCAACCAAGTAAGGAATGTATGAACATGGAAAAACGGCCAACAAAAGTCGTCGATACAGTACCGTATCAATCAACAACAACTCGCAATTCAGCAACACAATCATCGCAAACACGAACATCCTTCTCACAAAACAACATTCTCCAAAGACATGCATTGGACAGGCCTCTCAAAAAAGTTGACAATATTCAACAGCAAAAGAAAGAGCTTATCAGTGATGAAAACTTGTCACCAAATATTATTCTTTCTCAGCCACAGAAAATGGATGAAAAAATTGTCACAAAAAAACAAATAATTTCTCCAATTCCAAAACTAAACCAAAAAGAAAAACAACCTTCTGGAAAGCAAGTCCTGACACACCCGGAATCAACATTTCATTCTTCAAAACAGCAATGCACTGCAAAGAAAATTGAGTCAGAAAACCCTCCTCCACTTCCTTCTTTACCTCCACAACAATTAATTCTTAAATTGTTTGAAGAAAAACAAAAGAGATTGCTCGCAAAGTTTCAACATGATTCCAATGAATTACTTGAATATATATCCTCAGTGATGATCGAATAAAGTCAGTAAATGTAATAAGATCAATAAGAGTAATTAGAATTTTGTCTTTTTTCTTGGTTGAAGAATGTGAATTTCTGCATTGACATCTGATGATGGATTCTCGTCCATTTGTTGTTGTTGTTGTTGTTGTTGCTGTTGTTGTAATAATTGTGCAGCTTCTTTCCTTCGTGTTACTTCCATTAATGCTTGTTCCAAAGTTGGTACATTGCTATAGTTCAAATGTTCATCATCATCGTCACTACCACTCTCCTCCAAATCTTCCTCATCATCTAACAACAGCATGTCCACCTCACCATCCAAATCAGGATGCAAAAATAGAATGTTCTTGTCGAAGAATGTCTGAGGAGGGGTCTGATCCCACAAGGTCAGAATGGTTTCATCCTCAGTGATCACTTGATGGATCATGTTGTATTTAGTTAGATACTTGATCTTCTCCTCCAAAGTATGTGTTGAACGAGAGGAAAATTCCCAAAATACAGTGCTATTACTCAGTGTTTCGTGTTCGTATTCATCATCAATCATGGCATCGTCAAGTTCCTTAGTGAAGAAATCAATGTAATGAGATTCACAAATGTCTCTAAGGAAAATTTCCAACTCGTGTTGCTTTTGGAAGAGTTTTAACATGACCTGTCTCAGCTTTCCATCTTGAGTCGAGTTTGGGTTCATGAATCTTTTTTGACGATCGCAAAGAGAAAAGCAAGAGTCACACAGTAATTTCATGCTCTCAATGAGAGGAATGTAATCTGAACGTCTCAATTCAAATTCGATTTCATCTCTCTTTTCTGATAAGTACTTTAAGCTCTCCGTAATCTTTTCGTGTAACTTTGGTAAAATACTGAGGAGAGAATGGGCAAGAAGCTCTCCACTGAAAAGTATTTGTAAGGGAGATGCACGATCGAGTATTTCATCACCACACACTTACCTATTATTTCTCATTTTCTTTAACTCTTTACATTCAAGCACCAAGTTGAAAATCATGATAATTTTCCGCATGAAGGCCAAAGGCTCCTCAATTCTAATGAAAAATTTGCCATTACTCGAATGGACAGGAGAAACTGGAGCATTGGTGAGAGCCAATTCAGCCACTTTTGTGACAATTTGGAAAAATAAATGGAACGAATGTTCATCCAATACTTTGACTACTCCGTGTTGAATTCGTTCTGTTTCGAAATTTTCTTGTGACTTTCCTTCTCCGTTAATAATACCCAACACAAAATTATTCAGAGCCATCAAAAAGTAATCGATCAAAAATCTTCCTTCATCAGCTGGTAAATATGCCAATGGAATTAATAACCTTGCTTGCATGAGGTACTTGTTATGGGATGTTTGTTGTTTCGATTCTCTATGAAATAGTAAATGATAAAATGGAAGCTCTTTAAAAATAAATGTATCAAATATAAGCTTTTCAATCTCTGCAGATATGGACAGAGAGGAATACACAGTTTGCATCATGGATAATCCAACATATCCAATGCATGTCTGTAAATTCTTTCCTTCACTTAATGCAAGAAATAGCAAGCACAGTTGAGTAATGTGTACAAAAAATGGTGATTTTTCAATTTGGTTCAAAAACAATCTTGGAAGATATTGCAGAGAGCATGCTAGATCAGTATTGTTTCTTTTCAACAAAATAAGTAACTTCTCAAATGTCTCCTCATTCATTCGTTTTGTAGCATGGAGCACATTCGTTAAAGTGCTGTAGATATAGGAAATACACAGAGCATAATGGTCTATTAGCTTCCTTGAAAATTCTGTGTCTATCTCCTTTGTGATTTGTGACCTGATAGTTGTCATTCTATTACTAAAAGAAAATGTCATTTTCACGAGTTTTGCAAGAGTTTTCGTCTTGGACTCAATAAAATCAGAAATGGATACTGGCTGTCGGCGAGAGTTTTCCAAAAGAGCACCAAAGTTAAATCTTTTAACTGGAGAAATACATTTGAACTCTGGAGAGAAGGCCTGCTTGCCCTTAGTCGCCCCTGATGAATTATTCAGGGTATCATGCGTATCTGAAATAGGATCTGTTGCTTTGGAGATCAATAAATATTTCAATGTTGCATTTGTATCTGAAAACAGGCATCTGAAAGCTTCTCTCTCTTTGTACATTGCTTTTTCATCATCCTCACCATATTCTGTTGAGGCATTCAATGTTCTTACATGGTTGCAAACAATATCCAAGTCCATTGGAAAGAGTTCATACAAATCATCGAGATTCATTTTAAATATTCCTATAGACTTGGCAATTGGAATGTCATATCGTAGAGTTAATAAATAGTTCATGCTATCATTAAGAGCGTCTTCAGTTTTTTCGTCAAATAATGTTCCACAATTTTCAATACAGAGTTCACACATGGTTGTGAAAACTACATAGGCACAAACCAATTCTTCTTTTGAAGACCCTACAACACCATATTGCATGATAGCAAGTGCTAAATTTTCTTGAGGCTATGTCAAGGAATACTGCTGTGTTAGTGACTTGCAATTTTCGCAATACTTACGTGCTCTTTCTCATAGGTCATGACAAGACATTTAAAAAGTAGTGACAGAGTTTTGAGCCTAGTCTTGTTCAGTTCACTTCCTGAAGCAAATTTGCGAAAATTAAAGCTCTTCTTATTTTCAAAGCTTAAAATGTCTTTCACTATCTCATAATTGTTGATGAGAGAGGCAATCATATGTTTCATACGTGCATTGAATCCCTGTCAGATGAGAAAGTAGTATTGAAAGATGTTGAGCAATTCGCAAACGTACTTACCATCATGTACAACTTTTCAATATTGTAAATCAATAGATCAAGAACGAAAATGGTATTCTCGTCACAGAGTTTTTGATTGAACAATGTGAAAACAAATCGTTCAACATCCATTGAAGACATTAGTTGAGTTTCGTGGATGATATGCGCGGAGATAATAAGACCTAATTGTGACTTTTTATCTTGTCCACTGAAGAGCTGTTTTCTAATAAAGATCATTAAAAATTCAAATAACCTAGGTTCATATGTACAACATTTAGCAAGGACGTAACATAAACTATGCTGACATTTGACTATTATTTGTTACTGATGACATGATAACCAAAAAAATGAAAGCCTTCACTTACTTGAATATGTGACTCCATGAGAAAGGGCTTCCTTGAGAATGGACAAGTAATCTGTGGCCATTTCTTTACACAGTGACGAAGTTTGGTCTTCTTCATTATCACCTGTATCATTCGTGTCATCACACAAGCCCACCAATATATCGCTAGCAATGCTTGACCTTGAATCATTGGAGTATTGAAACATGGCCATTAAAGAAGACAAAAACTTGGAACGCAAGAGTGGATGGGCTTTAAAAGCAGAAATGAAAATACTGTAAGCCCATGATACACCTGTTTCATATGTAAATAATTCGCTATTGGATAGTAAGTAGAGAATAAATACATAGATGGAGTTGGAAAACTTCTCATTCACTATTGAGCTGGCCTCTTTAAGAGCATCTAAAATTGTAGTTAATGAAATGAGTCTCTTTGGTTTGTTCTGAAACGCATTTTTGAAAATGGAAAATGTTGCACTTCTCTCTCTACTTCGAGTGGAAAGTAGAACAATTAAGATGAGAATGTCTAATTTGGAAAACTCTTTTTCTTCTGATTTTAGGGATTTCAAAAAGTAAGCAGCAGATGATGGATTTGTTGAGAATGTTTCAGAAAGAATTTCAGAACATATTCGAGCAGCTGCAAAGTCATCATACGAAAGCTTATTCCTGATATAATGTACAACGTGATGTGCATTTCTTTTCGTCATATTTTTCAACATGATTTTCACGATATCATCCAAATGCTCTTCTTCAGCAGATTCGAGTGCGCTTTGACAGATCAGTAAAATTCTATTTTGTTGTTTTTCTGTTAAATTATCTAATTTGTACAATGTATTAATCACGATCCGTGCCAAATCATTACATCTATCATAAACTCTCTCTAGAGTGGTAATAATTTTGTCATTTTCAACTTCGGAATTTCCACACAACTTGACAATAAATTCAATTGCAATTGATTTTAAATGACTCTTTTCCAATGCTTCAACAAACTGTAAATATTTCATTGTCATGAGAGGATATGGTTCGGATCGAAGTAATTTCGTTAATTCCATTTTCAATCGTTTTTTTTGCTCTTCCATTGAACATGAGGAATCGTTCATCATCGGAATGCTATATTGATCCATCAGAGAATTAATTAGAGCAATCTCCACAGTGCTCATAGCATTGGGAGAACTTGATTGGTCATCATGATGATCCTGGACGTGAGATTGTTCTGCATCATCATGTCCTTGTTGTTGAAGCATTTTTTTCAAGAAGACCAACTTATTCGCTGGGAAAAGGTGTAACAAAACATCGAAGAGGAGACACACCTTATTCTTTTTCATGAGACCACCACCTCCATCCCACTCTACTCCATGAAGAAGAATCCATTCAAACCTCATCTGTCAAGATTCTGTCAAGAATTGATCTTCCAAAAAAAAATTTTGTTCCCGCCCATCTTGTAAAACGACATGTATTTATAGCTTTGAAAAAAAAACTCATGAAAAAGACACGCACCTCAGCCCCCATTGACCAAAAACAAGCAATGGCGGTGGTGAATCAGCAGTTTGAGTCCATGTTTCCGACTCAATCCTCAACAATTACGACAACAACAGCAGAAAAAACAACAACCACGACTACGGGAGCTAATGGATCGGCTAATGCTAAAAACAAAGAGAATACAACCGATCTGAATGCCCCATCGAACAAGTCTTCCTCTAAAAAACCATCAACGCGAGAGTTGTCGAGTCCCGAGAAGAAGAGACTTCAACTTCACTATCCCAAATATAAGAGGGCAACCTTTACTCATAACGAATTACGAAATGCAGAGGAACATTCACGTTCGGAAAACCCAACGCCCGTCAATCCTGTTCCAATCAAAACTGAGAAAGATGTTGTCGAAGAGGAACTGAGTGATGACGATGATGGCGAACAAAAACAAGAAAACATGCCGATTGGACAAGATCTTCCTGAATCCATGTTAATTTCGAAAAAGGAGGTTGAAGAAGCATTTCGTTTTCTTGACGTTCGGCAAAAAAGAAAATTAACTCCCAAAGATCTCAAAGCTCGACTGAAAATGTTTTATCCAAATATGACAAATAAGGAATACAAATTTTTAATATACGAGCCAGAATTTACCATTCAAACCCTTCAAAATATCCTGAATATTGATACAAAGAGCTCGATTTATGGATCAAATTTTTATAAAAGTTACGATCCTGTAAAAGAAGCCTTCAAAGTGTTTGATCCAAAAGACACGGGATTCGTGGATGAAAAGCATTTGAAAGAGATGATGGAACAACTTGGTTTGGGTCCAATCACAACAGAAGATTTGAAAGTTCTCATCGAGACTGCTGACAAAGACGGTGATGGGAAAATATCGCTTGAAGATTTTAGAAGCATGACTAAGATATCTGATGAATAATAAAAACATCAAAATAATAATGTAAATTTGAGTTTCAGCTTCTCATTAAGAGAGAGGTTCATTGGTTTAATTGTGACGCGATTTCATGGTACTGAGCTCGTCCATTAGCTGTTGTTTTGCAAATCCAAGTAAATATCTTGAATACAGGTGATGAAATGGCGTCAATACTTTCACCAAGAAATTTTGTTTCAAAACAGCACTTCCGAAATGTAATGTTTTGCCATTCGGACTGTGACCATTATTCGAAAATCCAAGCCAAGTCAAAGTTCCCACCTCTGTCTCGAACAAAATTTCATTTTCATTTCGATCCACAACTCGAAATACTCCAACTTGGTCTCCAATTTGAAAGTTGAGCCTCTTAATTTCCTCAATGTTTAAATTTTGTCTATTCTGTTCATTACTACTGAAAGAGGTTGCAAGTTTTAAGACATATCGTTCTGGTGTAAATGCTTTTGAAGTGAAAAAAGCTCGAGCATACTCCTCAACATTGGGATGCGTTTCTGTTATTGCTGAATGCTCGAATAAAGAATAATAATGATCAAATTGTACATTCATGCCTCGTTGAGAGGATTGCTTGTTAGGAAGTTGAAATGATACATTGTTCTGAGAGGGTGGTAATTCCTTCTCCGAACTCGACTCTTTTTCATGACCTTTCGCCATATCATCATTGAAATTCCGAACCATAAATTTCTGATGAATAAAATAACAATCGATGGAATACAGTGTAAAGATGCTGCTTCCCAAAAGCAATGGCAGTCCCCATCCTTTGAGTGACATTTTTTTTAATGTTTTTCGAAATGGAAATCGTGTTGTGTGTCGATATTCATGTCCAATCATTTTTCTAAGCGCTGTAGCAGTTTTACCAAATTTGAATGGTTCATTTCTCCTAAGGTCCGTCATTTGCTAATCTCTTCATAATATTATTGAGGATTGAATCATTTCTTTGAGTTTTCACTTTTCAAAGTTTATGGTTTGTGAAAAAGATATTATTTACATGATGAGACGAACTCGATCTGCATTACATAATGATCACTGAAGGTTTTTGAGAAGCAATGGAAGAACTATCTTCATCCTCTGTTCCACCTTCTCCCACAGAATTGGAAATATTTTTAGTACTAAAGAGAATGTGCGGAGGTAAATTGAGCTGAATTTGCTCGAATTGGTAATCCATATCCTGTGCGACACGATTAAATCCAGGAAAAACAGATGAAATTAATGGACTTCTTGAATTAATGGCTGTAGTGATCTTTCGCCGTTTGAGAGTATCACTCGGCAATTTGAATCCACAGTTTTTCAACTTGAAAGTATCCTCAGCAGTGAGAAATCTAGAGTTTTTCTTTTCATGATCCGTTATTCGAAAGTATTTGGTCCTAAAAAGTCTTTCAATTTCATTTTCAATAATTGGCTGGAGTTTTGGATTGGGAAATTCAACCGTTGCAACAAATGATGTGACCATGTACAGTGCTTCAAAAAACATGGTTTCTTTCACGGTGTCTCGAAATCGTAAATTGTGGGGACTTCGAAAAGTATATTCCTGCAAAATTTGCGAGTATGCCAAAGAAAGCTCTGATAAATTATCAATGCATTCCTTTTTTGCTTCCAATTCTTGTTTTTTATATTCTTCGGTGAGTCTTTGGTAATTTCATATCAAGCACTGTTCAGCGATGGGTCGTACTAAGAAGCCACAACTTACTTTAATTCATATTTTACCTTAGCTCGTTCATAATTTAACAAATTGGTTATATACAAAATACATAAACTGAATAATCGATCCGCCATATCTGAATTTAAAAAGTCCACAAACATTTCACAGAACTTTTGATTTTTCGTATAATTCTTTTTAGTTTCTAGAACTGAGGCCCATGCCTCATGTTTCGTTTTTTCAAGGTTGAATAATTTTGTTGTTTTGGGTTGTGTAAATTTTGTCATCTTCCCTGAGAGAACCGAGTGAGCAAAAGATGTTTGAGATTGATTATCATCATCTTTTTGTCTTCTCTCAGATGTGGCCAATTGATCACTATTTGGTTCTGAAGCATTTTCAGGCAAGTTCGCCATTCTCATCAAATTCGATTTGTGTTTGGCTGTGAGTTGAGCTGAGAGAGCTGTCAATGATTCTGATGTATTTTTTGGTTGCTGTTGTTGGAGTAAATCTCCACTACTGGGCGTCCTCGAAGGAAGGAATCCCGAATACAAGTTTTGTGATTTACTCCTTCCCTTCGTGAAAGGGACTGCAGGTTTAAGGGGTGAATAATTCATGCTGTTCGTTCCGTTCATTTCATTTGATAAAGATTCATTTGAGAGGAGAAGATCAAATAAGAGTAATACTACGAGAGATGTTTAAATTCAATTGTTTACAGAATCCAATGAGAGTGATGATCTAGACTAGGGCTGTTCAATTTTTTTTAATTTTGAAATTTACAGTTTAACTGAAACTTTGGGCGCGGTTTTTTCAATAAAAAATAATTCCAAACGGAACACTCAAAGTTCATTCAAGAAACTCAAAGAATTCTCAAAAAGCTGAACCCAATCTCTGCTTCAACAATTCTACAATTCTAGAATACTAATAAATAAAATTCATTTATTAACAAGTAAGAACCAATCACCAACTTGCAATCGTCTGAGAAAGAGTTTCTCGTTCACTCTTAAATAAATCCTACTCAACACATCGAGGTTCATTCTTCTACAACACAGACAACCAAGGTTCAATCAATTCACTGTCCCATTTGGATGGTCTTGTCTTATTCACACTTTCTCTCTTTGAAACACGTTGATAATAATTTTGCAAATGATCAAAACCCTTCAGATCAAATCCGAACCGAATTAAAATCGCTAACAAGGGATAGAAGGCACAATCGGCCAAACTCAATCTCTTTCCATTGATGAGAGGCCATAAATATTCCTTTTGTCCCAAATATTCATTCCAATGTTTCAATTCATCTCTCATCTTTTTCTTCCAATATTGAACACGAACTTTGAATTCTTTTGATTTTATCGTTGCGGAATCATCTTTGATGAGAGCATCGAGAATATCTTTGGAGAAATTGTAAGCATTCAAGGCTTCATGATAGAGAGACATGACTTCGGCATACTTGTTACGATCATTCTCAAAATCTGGTAATAAAGTACTTGATGAATCCGAATAATTGCTTTCCAGATATTGCATAATTGCTCCTTCTTCAATAATGATGGCTCCTCCATCTTCCAAAACAGGTAATTCTTTTTTAGGATTAATTGTGGGTTCCATAATGTGTTGATTGAAGTGATCACTATTGACAAATGTGTTTCGTGAAGAGGCTTCATCAATGATGAGAACATTTTCATAGCCGAGATCTTTTTCTTCGAGTTGTAATCGACATCTCCATCCGACTGCATTGAGAGAGGGATTTGTTTTTGCAGAGACAATATATCTATAGACTTGAATGACCATCTTTGTGTACAATGGGAATTAATGTTATTGTTGATGATGATATTGATGATGATCAAAAAAAGGAATTTTTCGTGTGTGAAGGAGTGGTTAAGAAATTATTGGTAATAGTGGAGTCTTGTTTAGATAATAATAATATTTGAAAAATTGATGATGAGAATGTTGATGATCAATCTTGGATGTTGCGAGGATGAATATTATCTCTTCTGTGGCAGCCTGATCACACACCCAGCAACAAATTTTTTTTGAAAGGTGACAGCCACCATCGAACCAAACATCAGAAACAATCCAAATTTTTCAACAAATTATCTACCACTCTGCATTATTTACATCCAATATTATTATTTATTCATCATCATGACCATCTTCAATACAACAATCATGATCATGACAATCATCCAGTACATGGGTTTCACATGAGTCGCATGTTGAGCTCTGGCAGTACTTGTTTTTGGACTTGCTTTTGGACTTGTATTTGTACCTGGATTTGGATTTGGTTGAGGAGGAGGATTCACGAAATTTGTGGTGATTGGTTGGATCAAGTAAATGCCACCTGTCACGACCATACTGAAAGCTTGTTTGCCCTTATTGGTGGATTTGGCAGAAACAGTAATATTCACAAAGCTTCCAATTGGAATAGACGTGATAGTAACACTCTCAACAGTATTCACTGAATCGTAACCAGAGTTATTGGTCAACTCTCCATTACCATAAAAAGTATTCACCATATTCGAAGTTGAATTTTGGACAGTGACCATAAGATCCAAATCATTAATCAATTTTTTCACGGAATCCTTCTCAGTTGGGCTTGATGGTAAATCATACCAAGCAATGGTTACTTTGACAGTTGTTGTCGTACTTGCTGTTTGAAATTGGAAATTCACAGAATCTAAAACATCCAAATACATTCGATTCACAATTCTCAAATTTCCAATTCGACTCACAGAAAATGGATCTTCATCAATCTTTAACACATTTTGCAAATTCACTCTTCCAAATCCAAAGAAATTATTTGGAATTGGCAATTGACTGAGAGGTTTTCCTAAATTGGCAGCACTTCCAATCATTTGTTCTCCCGAGTGAATAATCATGGCCTTCACAAGAGTTCCCGACAAGGTCGATCCACTTTGTGTTTTGTTTCCAATTTCAAGTTCTTTCAACTTTTGTTGGTTATTCTTATTGAAATAGTGTCGAATCAAACCGGCAGATCCAGCAGCAGCAGGACACGACATGGAAGTTCCGGACATGGTAATCAGTGAACATCCACTGTTGGCTTTTGAAGATGGAATTCCCTCTCCGGGAGTGACAATGTCTGGCTTAATTCTTCCATCGACCGTGGGGCCTATCATCATTCAAAGAGGTTTGTGTGAAAAGCACAAGTGTTCAGTCAACATCACATAACAATGTATCCAACAAGGATCAATAAGAAAATACACCTACTCACCTCTACTTGAAAATGAAGACATGCTCTCCTTATTGTACATACTTCCCACAGCAATGCCATTCTTTGAAGGTGCTAGACCACCAATAGTTCCTAATAAGGCAATACTTGCTGCATTTCCAGCACTACTAAATAAGGTCACTTGATCATTCTGTGTTGCCAAATAACTATCCAAAGCGTATCCATAATATCCATACGTATTACAGTATTCACAACATCTTCTGCCGTCGTTTGCCAAGCATTCACTGTCGGAAATTGGAACTTTGGCACCATTCGCTAGTGTTTGTTGACAGATACAGTCAAAGGTACATGAGTATTTGGGGATGCAACCCCATGAATTGGAGGAGATGCACGAGTTGGCACGTTGGAATGCATTTTGAAGATAGGTCGAAACACTGTTAAAGGAAATTCCTCCTCCCGATTTGTTTCCATCGACCACATAGAGTTTGGCTCCAATGGCAACACCCATTTCAGTGTTGACAGATGGATTTGAAGTGAGATTGAAAGGAATACCTGCCAAAGTACCAGCGACCTTTTTTGTATCATATATATATTCAAGAACATTCACAAATGATTCATTTAAAGTCATTGGAAAGGAGAATGAACCAATCCATTCATCCATTAAACAACCATTTCGACTAAATACTTCTGTTGCTACTATTAATATTACTTACATGAGTTCCATGTCCCTGATTATCCTCATAATCACCCAAACCATTCTGAGTGTCAATATAGACAATTTTTCGATTGTTTAAATTCACTTTGGTGTACGATTCATTAAATCCAGAAAAGAAACAATGAGTAGGATCTATACCTGTATCGGTGTAGGAAAGCACTTCACCTTCTCCTGTAATTCCATAATTCCAGAAATAGGCATGATTATTTCCACCTCCATTTTGAACCATTTTGTTGATTTCTAAATTGTCCAAACCAATTCGAATACTTCTTGTAATGTAATTAACGGAAGGATCATCAAGTAAATGATCCAACAATTGAGAACCCATTTGATTCGAAATGGAATTCCACAATCCAGATAATTCTGGAATGGACTGAAAGAAGTTTTGTAAATCCTCTCGTCTCGCCAATTGAAGAACACTTGGATGTGAGAATTGTTCTCGTTCGAGACGATCCCATACCTGCTCATCAAAATTCAACAATGAAATGTGTAAATGTCCATCTGGATTCAATTCAAACTTTAAATCAAAGAATTCCGTCAATTTGATTTCAAGCCATGATTTGAATTCATGAATATTTGGATTCGAGTGATCCTCTTGAGAGTGTTGACTCAACAATGTCCACCACTCGTTTGGAATTTCGTTTCTGAAACGAAAAGTCTCTGCAAGATTAAGACTTTTCATTCTCGAAAAGATGGATTCCACATGAGGAGGAGACAAGGCAAGTAATTCACGAGAGAGGATTTGTTGCATGCCTTGATGAAACCATTCTCTCAAATTAGCCACTCGATTCACCTTTTCTAACAAATGATTTACCTTGTTCTCGTCGTTATTGTTCTCGTCGTCAAACAAAATCTTTAACTCTCCATGCAATTTCAAAGATTCCAATGTCAATTGTGGAAAACTGACTTTATACTCTTTTGGAACTTGTTTAATCCATTCGACATGTTGTTGAATGAAGGGATGATTCGAGAGATGAGTACGAATGAATTGTGGAGAGAGACGAGTGGTGAAGAGTTGACTCTCTGTGGAGGAGAATTGAAAATGTTGTTTGTAAGATTTGACTTTCATCAATGATGCAAGAGTTTCAAGAACTGAGCTTGTCAACAAGACATGATCCTTCAGTTTCACATGAACCATGAGTCGACGTTGGTTGTCAGCAGTGGTGTCGGTACCTGAAGCGAGAAGAAGGTTGTCATGGACACTGTCACTTGTCAATTGAGAAGCGAACAATCGTTGATGATCTGTTAAGAGGATTAACAAAGTGATGACTAAAAGAAAGATGAATGCACGAAGTGCTGAATGTGAAGGAAACGCCGCTGTCATTTTTTTCGAACTGGATCTTGTTCTTCTTCGTTGACAAGTGATGTAAATGCGGTTTTGTTCAAAGTTACATGACTTTCAGTTTTTATTTGTTTGACTACTTTTGGAGAAGTTTACTTTTTTTCAACCGAGATGCAACCATGGGATTCACATGATGACGGGCGTGTTGATTTCTAGTTCAAAGGGTTAATAATGAGACTTTCCATCAAGATCAATATCCTCTTGGAGAAATGGAATTGTCTTCCTGTTGTCAAATATAATCAATAAATTAGGAAGAAATATTTTCGTTCATGTCGAGCCTTTCTAGCTCAGTCGGTAGAGCGTTGGACTTTTAATCCAACGGTCGTGGGTTCGAGCCCCACGAAGGGCGAAAAATTTTTTAAGAAATGTTACGTTCCGTTACAAAGTTTTAAACGGAGAAGAAACAAGGACATTTCGCTTTCCAAGCGTCAAGACTGACGTAGTAGAGAAAGAAAAAAAGGTCAGAATGTGAATTAAAAATATTGAATTTATTCCATCTTCTAAAAACTCAAAGTGGACAATACTCCTCCAATTAATAAATATCAACATTATTAAAAGTTTGCAATTTGAAAGTCTGTTGTGAAGAACTAATGATAATCTTGTGGAATGGTCCATGCAATTCACCATCCATGAGAACTGAAAATTGTTGGAAGGTTGAACTTTCAATGGTGACCGAACCAACATGATAATTTGTGCCAACGTCACAATCTCTCATCTTCTTCTTCTTCTTGCTACCAGTCTCTTCAATAAATACTTCTAACCAAGGTTGACTTGGAGCGACAAGAGAACCTCTGTCACCAAATAAGCTACAGGATTGAATTGAAATCGAATTGTACGTCTTGGCAGGCTCTTGAATTTCAGCTGCACGATTTTCCTCACCAGTGGGGTCCATTGGAACATAACTGACAGTGAGTGGAGTACCTGTAAATTTGAATTGTTTGTTATCTAAAATCTCCTCAATGCTTGAAGCTTCAATCTTGTTCTCACGTTGGAATAAGTGAGCTTCAGCCAAAATACCAATATCCAATCGTTGACAGAAAGACAATGAAATAAATTCCTTGGTCTTGGTAGATTTTGATTTTTGGGCATCTTGTGTTCCGGATGGAATGATAATGACCTCGTTGGTCAAGCATTGTGTATTGTAAATGTGAACTGGATAAGATACAGTACCATCAATAAAGTAGTCATTCAAGAGACTTCTTGTGAACTTGTGTGGAGTCTTGACCTTCTTGTTGGGTTTGTATTCAGTAGCTTTCACAAGTTCTCTCTTGCTCAATTTCATATGAGGAACAAAGAGAGTAGATTTTCTCGTAGAGGCATAAGATCTGCCCGATCTCTTATCAAAGAAGTCATCTGCTGTGGTTCTATTGAATGAGAACAAGTGTGGTAATACAGGAATCTTACAAAGAAGTGGATAGAATACATGTCTCGAATACCATCCATCGTATTTTTCAAGCCAGCTTGAGAGGTAATTATTAATACCAAGAGGCAACAAGAAAACTCTCAAATCCACAGTTGGCTTTGTCTTGAAAATATTGTTCTTGTGTGCCAAGAAGAGAGAGTGAACGAAACGATGTAAAGTTCCGCTACCTCCTGCAACAGCGACATCAATTTGAACAGATTCTGCATCTTGAGGGGCTTCCTTACGAGCATTCTCAATCAGCATTTCAAGTTTGTCATAATAGCATGAACGAGGGAAAATCTTCTTTTCCATCTTGAGTTTGGTCAACTCATCCTCTTCAGGCATGACAATGAGCTCTACCTCAACATCTGGTAATTTAGGAGCTTGAACTCTTACCAACTTGTAACTCTCACCTGTTGGCTTGAATGACTGCATTTGCTTGGCAATGTTTAAGAGCTTATTCTCATCAGCACAGGCAGCGCATACTTCATCATAGTATTCAGAAATGGCGTTTGCCGAGAGCTTTTCCAATTCCTTTGACATTTTCTTGACTTCAGAGTTTGCAGATTCATCGAAAATGTTCAACACCAAATTAGCTCTACATTGAATAATATCGTCATCAGCAAAATTATTGCTCATGTCAACTCGTTCCGTCAAGTGGTCAGCATAGTGAGAAAATCCATTGAAAAGAATGTGAACCTTTCTTCTCTTCATGATACTCTTTCCCTTCACGACAACTCGTTGTACACTCTTCTCGAATCGTTCTCTCATAAGAATACCAGGATTCGATTGTTCCTTAAGACACATACTCAAAACATTGTGACACAGGCCTCCAATTGGGAGAGGTTCAAGGAAAAATCTTTGTAAAAGTGACATGAGTTCTGGTAATTTTTTGCTCTTTCTAGAAATCACAAGTTGAGGTAAAAATATTTTCATAAAATTGAAAACATTCTTGAGAGCAACAGAATCATAACTCTCAGAAATGAGAGATTTGTTTGAGCATGTTGAAATGACCAATGTCATCAGATCGTTCAATACATTTTCGGTATACTTGGGCAAGTGAGAGACAACAGTCTTGAGTCTCTCATAAATAATTGCTCCAATGCAAGTAAGTGGGTCGTGGAAGCTCAGAGATGGTCTTAATGCAATATCAGATTCTTTCACAACATCGTAATCCACACAAACGTGCATATATTTGTACAGAGTATCAACAGGTGGACATAATGCTTCACAAATTTCTTCTCCTATTGAATCATTGTGACATTGGAAGCGAAGATTTTTCCAGAGTTGGAGAACAGACATGAGTGAAGCATTTTGGAAGTCAAACTTGTAAAACGATGATACAAAAATGAGAGAAAGCATGATCGCTGATCTCTCGTGCAATTGGGCCTTTGAAAAGTAGTCTCCATCTGAAAAGAAGCTAGTATTGAAAGAGAAGCACTTGTTGTCTTGAAGGGAAGAAATGACATCGGAGAGTTCCAAATCGTCATTGGTGAGTACGTCTGAAGTGACTGAAGCTGAGCCAGAGGTGCTTGTCGTGGACTCTCCAGGTTTTGAGAGGTCATAGTATGTATTCACAAACTCTGAAATGCGCTCATCAACTTGAACGACCAAGTGTCTAATATGATGATTGTGAACGTTTTGTGAGGATTTTGTGAGAATTTTGTTGAAAATTTTCGTGTGATGGGATGAACGGCAAGTTGTGAGAAGGATTTTAAAATTGACGACGGGTAATGATGATTTGATAGAGTACGCATTCATTGTCACCGAGTATTCAATCATCATCATAGTATTTGAATAACAACAAAGATTGGGTGTGAATATGTTAAAGAACGTCATAATACGTACCTATTTTTCACTTCCTTTCTCTTGGCAAGAAGTGGATTGTGAGCGTCATACTTTTGAGAACCTAGCTGAAGACTTTCAATGACTTCCTGTAATGTAATTTCCTTGTCATCAACATATTGATCATTTTCAGAGTTTTCTGTCAACTCTTGCTTCAATTTCAATGCCTTTTCCTCGAGAATCAGAAGTTTTCCTAATAATACAGTCAAGTACACAGTTGCCAAGCTAGGATTGGTTAATTGGTTCCACAACTTTTCATAAGCTTTTTCGTCAACACCGCTTGTTTTAGTTTGTTTTCTCTTGAGTGTTTCATTGAGTTCGGCAACAAACTTTTTCACAATTTCGTGATCATACTGAATTTGATGTGAATCTGTTTCGCTCATTTCTTCTTGTTGTTGCGATAAAGATTTCTCGATTGTTGTTGTTGTTTGTGATGATGATAAATTTTCGTGAAGCTTTGTGTAGAATTCTTCCTCGTCCTCGGGTGATAATAAAGGGAATTGTTGTTCAAGTTCTAAAATCACAAAATCAACTAAATAGGATAGGGTCTTTACAGTCGAAAGACACTGGAGTGAGTTTGTAAAATTAAAAGGAAGAAAATAAACTTTGTTACGATCAGATGAAGCAGCAGGTGATGATGATTCTGCGACACCTCCTTCGATGGTTGTTGTTGCGGTGGCAGCAAGGAGTGGTGATAGTGATGTGTAGAAAGGTGCTGTTTGCGAGAGAGGATAATCGAGAGGGTTCAGCAACAGCAGTGGCCCTTTGCTCTTTTTTTGTTGCTTGTTTGACATGTTATGGGAAAGGTTGATGGTTGACGTTTGGGTGCGACCGTGATGGGAAACAAGGGCAAAATAAAATAAATTTTGGATGATAAAGGAGCTTGAGGAGATATCAAATCTTGCTTGGAAAGAGTAATTAACGCTTCAATAAAATTGCATTAATTAAAAAGCAGAGCAGACGAGCAGATTTATACGGAACTGCTTTGATGAAAATTTTAACCACAAAGAATGAAGGAACGGGAAGAATTTGCAAGTTTTGATGATGAGAATGAAGAAGAAAATATAGCCAACCCGAATAAGGGAAATTCAACTACAAAAATCAATACTACCGATTGATACAATTAAAGAAGAAGCTGCGATTTGAACAATGTTAAAAGATAAAAGGCTTTGTGTTTAAGGGAGGATTTCGTTCAAGAGATTTTTTTTGCTCTCGCTTTGCCTTATTGTTAAAATTCAGCAGCAACCACTCTGATTCCTTTGCCTTATTTCTTCCATTCTTCCTCCAACACAAATCCCGGTTCATGTGCATTTGCTTGCATTCACATTTGATAAGTTGTAGATGACTATCGGAATACAGAGAGTTTATTTAAGCACCATAGTTGAATCTGAAGATGTGATTGGTCACATAGAAACCACCGTTTTCGTTGGTCAAGTGGAAGTATTCACAGAATGGGTGTGGGTGTTCATTGTCAATCTATATAACATACAGGATAAATTCACAGATGGGTGTGTTCATTCCATTTCAAATTGAATTGAACCATGGAAACGTAACAGATACACACGTGATGATAAAATTATTTTCATTGCAGAGGTCAAGAAAATAATTCATATAAATTCATGAAGAATAAAATCACAATCATCAATCATATCACTGTGTGGTATGTTTGATACTTACAACAACGCTTCCAGTACACAAAATATTGATGCCTCCGGACATACTTGGTTGGCAATCGCAAACGTTAATATCGTGTCTTACGGTGGTAAAAGGTAATTCAGTCAACTTTTTCAAAATCTCGACTCTTCCTTGAATCTTGTCCTTTTCCCAAGTGAGTAAACTGTTGTCAGTATATAGAGGAGCAATATTTTGACGATTTTGATCAAAAGTACTATAGTAGTGCTTGACGAAAGCTTCTCCAATTTGTACGTAGTCCATGATGATGATGATGATGAAAACAGCAGCAGCTAACACACCAAACACAAAGGCTTAAAATATTTTTTTGTTTCAGATGTGGAAGGCCTTCCATGATGATGGTCGGAATTTTTGAACCACACCCAAATTCCTTGAGAGGGAATTCATGGGGTTTGTGTGGAGAGAAATCAATGCCAATGATTCTAACAATAAGGTTTGATGATGAAGGAGATATGAGAACTATGGAATGGTCATCTTTTCTTCATCATCATCATTGAAGTAAAAGATGTGTTTGTATTGTTTCCGCAATCGATTGATTTTAAATCATACAAAAAAATTCATTAATTCGCAACAACGACAATCATCATAGAGTCCTCTTTTTCTTGAATAATTTTCATACAACACAATCTCCATTATCATTACCAGCCACAATGGTAAGTAGAGAGATGATTTGTTTTTGTATCACTCAACACCATCATTGTGTTCAATTTGTATTGCAATACAAACCTGTTTAATAATAGTCTGTAAAAATCAATCAGGAAGTGAAAGATATCACCCGAGTAGAACGAGTGGGTGCTCACTCTCATATTCGTAACCTCGGTGTTGATGATTCCTTAACTGCCCGTGCAAGCTCGGGAGGTATGGTCGGACAACTAAAGGCAAGAAAGGCAGCTGCAATCATTCTTCAAATGATAAAGGAAGGTAAAATTGCAGGTAGAGCAATCCTTATCGGAGGTATGTTTTCATAATAGAATTGTTTCATGAAGAGTTGCTAAATTATCTCTGCTCACTTGTGAACAAACACATTTCCTACATTGTACACACATTTGATGATCATGTTCGGATTTGTTATGAATACAACATTGATGAATAATAATTTCAAAATTCACTTCAACATTATTTGGTGAAATTAATGAAATTTGAATCCATCAAATCGGACTGTATTTGTTTCTGACATTGAATTACTTGGACTTTGATGAAAAACAGGACCTCCAGGATCAGGTAAAACAGCCATCGCGATGGCCATGGCTCAATCTCTTGGCCCCGAAACTCCATTCACAATGATTGCTGGCTCCGAAATTTTCTCTCTTGAAATGAGCAAAACTGAAGCTTTAACACAAGCATTTAGAAGAAGTATTGGAGTTCGTATAACAGAGGAATCCGAAGTCATTGAGGGTGAGGTTGTAGAAATTCAAATTGATCGACCTCTCGATTCTAGCAGCGCATCCCAAGGAAAAACAGGTAAAATCACATTGAAAACAACAGATATGGAGACAATTTATGATTTAGGAGCCAAGATGATTGAAGGTTTGCAAAAAGAAAAGGTTCAAAGTAAGGACGTTATTTCCATTGATAAGGCAACAGGAAAAATTACAAAGCTAGGTCGATCAATTTCATCCACTGGCGACTATGATGCGATGGGACCAAATACAAAATTTGTACAAACACCAATTGGTGAATTACAAAAGAGAAAAGAATCTCAACACATGGTAACATTACATGAAATTGATGTCATCAACAGCAGAAGCCAAGGTTTTATTGCTCTCTTTGCTGGAGATACTGGAGAAATTAAGTCAGAAGTCAGAGAACAGATTGATCAAAAAGTAGCTGAATGGAGAGAGGAAGGTAAAGCAGAAATCGTTCCTGGAGTTTTATTTATTGACGAAGTTCACATGTTAGACATTGAATGCTTTTCATTCCTGAATAGAGCCATCGAAAGTGACATGGCACCCATCTTGATCATGGCTACAAATCGTGGTAATAGCACCGTAAGAGGAACTGATATTAAGAGCCCCCATGGTATTCCAATTGACTTGCTAGATCGTACACTAATTATTTCTACCTCACCATATAGCCAAGAAGAATTGAAACAAATTATTCAAATTAGATGTGAGGAAGAGGATGTAAAACTGAACGAAAAGGCCCTCAATCTATTGGTAAAAATTTCACAGGAAACATCACTACGTTATGCCCTTCAATTGATAACCACAGCCTCTCTCGTTGCACAGAAACGAAAGAGTAGTGAGGTTGGTGTAGAGGATGTGAAAAGAGTTTTCGGCTTATTTGTGGATGTCAAGCGATCCGAATCATTTTTACAAGGTTTCCAGAGTCAGTACATTCTCTCAACATCAGGAACCACCTCAACAACACAAGATAAAATGGATACTATGGAATAAATGTAAGTGTGCACTCAATGCACTTAATGAACACAAGCATTATGTATCGATTTTGTTTCGGTAAACTTTAATGTACAAATTAATACATATTAATACTTCCACAACTAAACATAATATACCCTGACTCTGTTGGAGGCGACCAGTTTGTCACCATCATAAAAAGCAGTATCAATGGTTACATTTCCAGACAAAATTTCAGGTCCAATAGTGCCTTCCTTTGCAGCTTCGATGACTGATTCCCAAGAGTTGACACTATTTGGAATGACAAAACCGAAATCAAAATCCCATCTCTCAATATCTTGTCCATTCAGCTTTACCAATTGAACAAGGGAAAGATTTTTAAGTGGTTGCACGCATGAAAACACAATTTCCCTCTGGACTTGTTTGCATTGTAATATTTCTTTGGGTATTTCTATATTTTCGAAATGATTTGGTAGAACGTAAACATGGAATCCGACATGTTGTTGTTGTTGTTGGATCGATCGAATCTAACAAGATCACTTACTAATGGCAATTTCTCCCTTATTAATCTCGGAAAACGTATGGTTAGACCAATCCGATTCCCATAATATTTTACTTTTTGAAGCCATTTTCATCTTTTCACTTGTTGTATTATTTAAACGAGGATCAACATCAATTCCGATCGTCGACGCATTGTATCATCATTAGCAAGACACTCATCTCTCCTACAACTCAACCCTCACTTACATTTTCAAAACATCTTGAGAGCTCATTTTTTTTAAGGATTTGCGCTTGCAAGATCATCGAAACGGATTCGCAAGTCATACAACTTGTCAGACAAGATCACACTACTGAACATATAAATGTTCATACATCAAACCTTATAATTATACAAAATAAATAATATTATTGATAATGATCAATATGACTCAATTCTCTCAGTTCAATATCGAGAGGAGCCGTGTCTCTGATTCAACTCGTAAATGGAACACCACTCTCATGGTCTAGTGGCATACATTTCCTCAATTTCTGTCTTGTATCGTTTCACAATGTTGGAACGTTTCAATTTCATAGCAGCGGTCAACAATTCATTTTCAGGAGTCCACTCATCAAGCAATAATTTGAAATGTTTGATTTCCTCCATTCTTTGAAGGTTGTTTTTCTTAGCTTCTTCTTTTAGCGAGGCTGCCACTGCTTTGATTAGTCTTGGTTCCTTAATAATTTGATTCAAATCTCCTTGAATACCTTGTTCATGAGCCCATTGTTTTGTGTATCCTGGTTGGACCAAAATGAGAGCCACAGGATAGTCTCTATCTGAATCACCATACACCATAATTCCATTTGGAGAAACAAATGGACAATTACCATAAACACTTTCTAATTTTTCAAGAGCAATGTATTCACCATTGACGAGTTTGGTCAAATTCTTTTTACGATCCACAATGCTGAAAGTACCATCCTTATGTAGAACACCAATGTCACCTGTAAGGAAATATCCATCTGATGTGTAGGCCTCTTTGGTAAGTTGATCTTGCTTGTAATAACCGAGAGAAACATTGTTACCCTTAATGGCAATTTCACCACGAGGTTCTTCATCATGGATGGTATATCCCATTTCAGGAACAGAGATTAATTTGATTTCTGTAGATTCATACCGTAGTTGTGTATTGAATGAAGTAGTCATTGAAATTTGTAATTGAACATTAAATGGATTGTAACTAGATACTATTGAAAAATTATTACTTACGGCATGTAATAATTGGAGACCCAAGGTTCTTTGGAGTGAATGGTTGATAACCATATTGGATACAACCACCAGCGGATGTTTCCTGTATAAAGATGAGTTAGGATGACATTAGTTTGTTCAAAATTCAAGATATGGGTGCAGCATGACACATTCATGGAGTTATAGTTTGAGTCACGCGCACACACAACAAGAATTCAACTTACAGTCAAACCATATCCTTGAATTACTGAACAGGACATGCATACACGTAAAAATTCATGAGTCTCCTTTGAGAGAGCAGCACCTCCTGAAAGAATTAAAGCTAATTTACCTCCTACGAGCTTTTTAAACTTGTTGAAAACCAAAAAGTTCCATATTGGAGATTCTCTTCCGTGTCTAATTGCATCCAATTTGTAATTGTAAGCATTGTGGAAAAGCCATTGTACAAATGGAGGAGATGATTTAATCTTCTCAAAAGCGCCCTTCTTGATGGTGTCAAAAACTCTTGGAACACCTGCCAAAACTGTTGGTGCAACAACTTCAATGTCACCCTTTGGTTTGGCACCTCTGTCACTTAAAGTCTTTGGATTACCGTAACCAATCATTCAGCCACGTTTCAAAACGACATGCTGTAAAATGTCAAGATGTTTATGGTTTTAACATGTATTCTTAGTATGATAACATACCTCAGCAGCCATTTCCAAAATGTGAGCTATTCACGAAGAAAAGCATTAGGACGTGGATTGGTTATTATGATGGCGCGTGTTACATTGGAAAATGAAAATTTTCAAAATATTGACTTACCGAGTGGTAAATAAGCAAGATATTTGTACTCAATATTTGGATCGTCTCCAATTTTTTGATCAGCTCCAGCAATAATTGAAAGAATGTTCTTGTGTGTGACTGTGTGTGGTCATGAATCATGAAAGCATGAGGTAGAGATTTTCAAGAAGTAGTTCAATTTGTAAGATCATGATAATTGAAAGAAAATATCAACTTACTCATCACTCCCTTTGGTTGAGCAGTTGTTCCACTTTAAAAAATCATTGCATTTCTTGTCAGTACTTGTGTCGTAACAATATCACATACCTTGTATACATGATTAGAGCAAGAGAATTAACAGTTGCTTCTTCCTTGACTGGAATTACACTATTACTCTTGTAGTCAGATTCACCAATTTGTTCAACTTCCTCAAAAGGCAAAACCTTTAATCCCTTCTTCTCGAGAGCTTCTACTGCATCCTTTGTCTTCTTTTTTTCATTCTCATCGGACACAATCGCCTTGGTATAGATGATATTCTTCAAAGTTGGACATTTCGGAACAATAACATTGGCCATTTTAGCGAGATTCTTCTCATTGACAAGCATGGCAGTCAACTCAGTTTCATTGATGGCAGCACACAAGGATTCATCACCTAAACTAGCATAACAAGTCATAACCACCATATTGTATTGATAACAACCATGAAGACACATTAACCATTCCTTTCGGGTGTCTTCATAAATTCCGAACAAATGATGTGAATTCAAACCAGTGACTCGAGCAAGACCGGCACCAAAGTTCTTGATGCGAGAGTAAATCTTGTCGTAACTTTCATAGGTCAAATCAGAGAATTCAATAATTTCCCAATCATGGCCTTCTTTCTTTTCAACGATTTTGCGGATGGCTGGTCGATAGCCCAAACAAGGCTTGTCCTTGTTATCGGCAACGACTTTGGCCAATAATTGCTTCATCGTATTCACTCCTTCAATGGGAGTGTAAGCCAAACCTTCAGCACTTTCTAATGCTCTTCTTGGTTTGGTTTCGGTTTTTGGATCATACGAACCATCATCCACTTCAACACTATAGGATTTTACGTTTTTAAATACTTCCCGAAGATCATGAGTGGCCCAATTCAAACCAATCGTGAATTTTAAAAGATAATACACGAGAATATCCAAAACATTGATGCCGAAGGCTACCACCGATCCAACAAAGCTCAAAGCAAGTTCCAATAATTTGATCATGGTTGATGAATGTCAACTTTTCCACAAAGAACAACTCGAAATAATGTGTGAGAACAAGAGGAATGTTGTTTCTATTTTTTCTCTAGAGAGTGATTGTTTCAGCTTAAAGAATCTTTGATGTGTTGTTGTGGTGTTGTACACGTGGGGCACAAATTTTGCCTGCAATTCTCCTGTGATCGACAACTGCGACCTCTTCTAACTCTGTGCCTATGGACGCAAGAGGAAAAAAGAGATGAGCGGATAGTTTGCGGAAGGTTCTCATGTTCGAATACTGAATGAGGAACTCATCGTTCAGAAAAGGCAGCTTGTAATTTATTGCATTGGGATATTTTCCTTCTCCTTATTGGCGTTTGATGTGTTCAATGATGTTGAAGATAATTGCTGCTTGTATTTCTGTCTAATTGATTCCAAATCAATAGAAGATGCAGAATTAACCTTCACTTGTGCCAATCGTTCTTTAATGCTTTGAACGTTGGCTAAAGAACTGGAAAGTGACAATGTTGAGGATGTTGCCAATGAGGCTGACGAAGAGAGAGAAGCGTGTGCAGACGAGCTTCTCAACTTGAGCTCCTTTCGATAGTCATCAATAGAGAACTTCATCTTGCTCATGCTTTCTGAGGTAAGAGAGTGGTGAGGCTTGGAAGAAACATTGTTGTTGTTGGAATTAGTGCTCACACTGTTCTCAACAATGGAGGCGATAGCAGAGGCTGAGCTTATTGAGTTGATGACCGAAAGTGAAGGTGTCAAATCCTTGAGGGCAGGTCGTGTGGATTCAGGAGGTGTTAAGGATGATGAAGAGAGTGTTGAGGTGGACACGCTGCTCGACGATGGATACTCGCTTCCAGTTGCTGTCTTCTGTTGACTCTTTGCTTGTTCATGACCTGCAATTTTTGCAATGGATTTAACAATGTAATCCTGGAAGATTTTTCCAAATTGTGTAGTAGCTAAAAACTCACTCAACTTGAATTCAGGATGTTGCACTTGGAAATGATACAGTTTGTACAAGCCTGACTTGTTGGTCTCCTTGTTTCCAATCATGGTACAAATTTCCTTAAGCAATTCGCTATCAGATTGTTGTTGAGTAGAACGAACAGGAGAGCCAATCACTCTCGAAGAAGTGCTGGTTATGGAAGAGTTGGAAATGGAAATAACATTCAGCTCATGCTCAATGTGTGCAATCATGACCTTATTGAGTCCATTCATGTGCGCTCTCAGTGTAGCTCCCTTCAATCTCACCAATGTTTGAATTATTGTTTTAATGGTGATGAATGGACTGTCGTCCTTTCCTTCGAAAAATGTTTGTGGATTGTTCGTCATAAAATGTTGAACATCTAAAAGAACGGTATTAATATCAATGATTCCAATCGTCTTCTCCAAGGTTTTGGTAAGCTTGTTAAGACATTTGATCAGTACTCGAGTGAGAGTGGATGGTTCCTGTTCGTGATCGAGACATGATTTCTCCAGCATGGAAATAAGGCAGCCGTAGGCAGTTGTTCGTGAAGAGTTTTCTAGAATCTTGAGAATGAGACTATTGAGAGCAGACATCATCTTATCTCCATACTCAATGTATGGCAACTTTTCATTGAGCAACAATCGGAGAAGAGTATCCAACAAGTGATACAATGACTTCTTTGTGACTGCAACTGAAAAGGGTCTTGCCTCAAACAGTCCCATGAGAGTATTGATAATGATTTTACAAATTCTTGGACCTGACAAGCCAATAATGACAGAGTCGAAAACAACCTCAAAGAAGTTAGTCAGGGCATACAGTAATGCTTCCCGATTCATAGCAATTCCCATATCTTGTGCCTCCACAAGCTTATCGAGTGCTTTCATAGCATTCATAGCATTCTCAAAGTTGCTAATTTTTGTGTTGGAGAGTAGGGAAATAACTTGTTCAACAGATAGCTTGAGTTCCTTTCGTTCAGGTATGATGGTTTGTACTCTTCTTGGAGTGAGAAGATTGGTTGGAGACAGAAGGAGCAATTGATCGGTTGGAGCCTGAGTGAACTTCATCTTCTTTGGTGTTGTGAACACACTGTCTTTCACTTGATTGAAATTTCTCTTTCCAGGAGTTGATGGTGCATTATCTTGTAGAGAGGAAGACCTTGTTGGACTCTCCTGGCCAGAGAAGGATCTTAATGGGTTATTAGATGGAGCCGAAGGGAACAATGATGCTTGTGTGAGAGTTCTTCTGGATGCTGAAGAGTTCTTTTCCTCTTCTTGACTGCAAGAAGAAGGTTCTTTCAATTGTCCAATGGTTTGTCTGACCTGAGTTTGTTGAGTTTGTTGCGTTTGTTGTCTCTTAATATCTCCAATGGTCATTGCAGTCTGCTGAGAAGTTGATTTAGAAGTAGCTTGTACAGTTGTGGACGATTTGGTTGCCTCGACTTGACCATTCACGCTTTCCATATTCAGAGGTGTTTCTTGGAAAGAGTTCAATGAAGAGGTGGATGGTACAATATTTTCATATTTCGATATAACTGAGAGAATGGTGGACTTAAATGCTGGTTTAAGATCCTTGCAGTTCTCCTTCACAAAATCGGCTCCAGTGGATTGAATCATCTTTTCCAGAATACTTTCTGCTAACTTCCTTGAACATGCCTTTGGATCTTGCAAACTATTGATAATTGATTTCACAATTGGTTGGAAGGTATCTCTTGTTTTGATCTTCATATCAGACATGTAAGTATCAATAAATTGCAGAGCATCCTTTCTTCCATCGGGATGACCCTTCTCATTCGTCAACACTTTATCCATCGATTTAAGGATACTTTCCATTGGTATATACTTGATCAAGGCTTCAAGAGTCTTGTAGGTGTCTGTTCGAACGCCCTTATTGTTGTGACCTAGCTTTGTGATCATGTATGGAATAATGGCATTCGTAAACTTATCCATAGCACTTCCAACAGCCTCTCCAATTAATACCAATAATTCAAGAGTAGTACTCAAAATCTTTACATTGGCATCTTCGAGTCTCTTTTTCAAAGCCTGAATAAGATTGTTAATATTTGGTGTAATTCTCTTGTTGGCTTCAATGATGATGCTCTTCACTTCTTCCAGTGCGTCGAGTCTCGCTTTCCATGCCTTATCTTCCATGTCCTTAAATAGTTTTGCTGTGAGCTTTCCAGAAATGTCTGTTCTTGGAAGAAGGTCTTCGAACGACGTGGTGCCACTACTACTTGCAGCACCACTATGCTCTTCAGAATCAACTGCCATTCCAATATTGCTACTCTTATTTGAGCCTCTGACAAACCTTGTTGCTGCTGGTGTGTCATGCTGAACTTTTTCAAAGTCCTTCTTGATCGTGTCCAAAGTCGCAGGTTTAACGTCTGACAAAAAATTGAGCAAACCTTCTCCCATGAATCGTTTCATTGTGCATAGACACATGGTTGCTCCCTTCTTAACTTCAGGTTTGCTATGGCCCAGACATACTTTAGCAAATTCAATATGTGCCTTAACATCAATGGTTTGCAAGGCAAATTCCTCCATTGTCTTGGACATCCATGAGAGCCATTCTGAAACGACTTTTGGATTCTTGTGATCTTTTAGAAGTGAATACAATTGGCCAAAAACAAATTGGGGAGAAAAGTATTCACAAAATTTAGAAAGACATTCTAAACATGTGTCTTTGAGTTTGGCTTGTGTCACCTTCTCAATCATTCCATCAATAAATTTAGCAGCAGCTCCTGTCGAAAGAGAGAACAATTGTCCATAATGTACATGGCAACTTCTGTGAGTTTGTTCAGTACTTGTGCATTGGCGTCTTTCCATCCAGGTTTTTGGTAAAGAGTCAATATTATTACGTTAGCATTGTGGTTGAGTGTATCTTTGTCCATTTCAGATATAAAGGTAAGAAGATTTTCCATGGCTTCAAAACGAATTTTCCATTGTGAAGTCCCCATATTCTCCAAGAAAGATGGTGGAAGTACTTCTTCAGCTCTCATCAATGCCTCTTCACAAGAAATTGGGCATGAAATACCCAAGTCAACACTTGCCATCGATGGTTTTGCACTTGTGGTCTTCTTCTTGCTTGGAGGACCGTTGGTAGCAGTGTTCGTTTCTTCTTGCTTTCGCTTGACAGCAGGATTCTTTTGAGGAGGGGCTTTTTTGACTGGGGGTTCTGCTTGCTTCTTTGTTTCTGATTTTTGGGAGGAGCATGATGATGAAGGTTTAGATTGTGGTGGCTGATGAGCGGCGGGAGAAGCACCAAAAGTACTCTTAAATTCCTTCACCTTCTCAATTCGAATGTTGTCCAATTTGGAAAAGTAAGGATCAAAGTTTCTCTCTCCAACAAGCCACAAAATTCTTCCAAGGCATTTGAATGATGCCTCTCTTACCTCCTTGTTGCTATCCTCTGAGGCTTGTACAACTGCATCTGTTAGAGTGTTAAATAATGATTCAATAGCATCAAAACCTGGTTTTCGAGAGAGGCACTTTTCGACACAATTAACGGCTCCAATTTTCTCAAAGGGAGACTTGCTATTGATGGAGGAAATGAGAAGAGGAGCTAATTCGGAGAAAGAAAGAGAGGATTCTTCTACGGACGAGACTGCATTAGCCACCAATTCACTAAGCTTTTTATCCTTCATCTTGGGCAATAATTTCTCAGTAAGCTCTCTTGCATATGTACTGAAATTTGTCTTCAATCCTTTTGAAAGCAGTTCAACACACTCAACGACGAGCTTGGTTACGGCAAGGTTTTTCTCCTCCTCAATGACGGCCAGAATTCGAGCAACAATGGGTGAGTAGTCTCCATCTTCCAAGCAAGGATAATCAATCAATTGTTTCAATTCGGAGAGAGCATCTCTCTTACTGCTCCACTTTTCTTCTTGAATGGTGGTGAACCATGATTCGGAAATTTTACCTAAAACGTTCACAGGTGTTGTATCTTGAAGAGATTGAGACAAAGTCAAAGTGTATGAAGGGAGAGGTTTATGAAGAGGTTGTGGGAGTGATTTATCTTCAATTTGAGTTGTGTTAGTATTACTAGTTGTTGTTGTTGTTGTTGTTGTGGTTTGTACACTCTCGGAACAGTCTTCCACATTTGTGGACTCTAGTTCCTTCTTTTTTGCAAACGTTCGTGCTTTGTGTTTACGTGGTGCGAGAGGTTTCCTATTTGATGAAGCAAATGTGGTTGAAGATGATGAAGCAAAACCGGAATCAAGAGACTGACCCTCTTCCATCAGTTTCTTTTCAAGCATTTTCATGAAGAGATCTGTGGAGTCCTTTTCCTCTTCTGTGTTATTGTTGTCGATGGCATCCTCGTGGAAGGATGATTTGACTGGTATTTCATCTGCAGACATTTTTTTGTGGATATATTTTGCTTGGATGTTAACGTTCAAAATTTTGATGAGTTGGCGCGAAAAGATTTGGCGGGATTAAAACATGACGAATAAACTTCTTGCAGGAAAAAATCGATGTTCTAAAGTCAAGATTCTATTGAGAGTACTCAATCCTGTAAACATTGCAAAGTGAAGCGAATCGATCCAACTCTCATTTCGAGTGACACATCATTCATCCTCAAAGAAATAGGCTCCAAGGCCAAATTAGGTTCGACATTAGAAGAACAAGGAGAATTATGTCAGATCATGAACGTTTTTGAAAACCTTCCAACATGGTGAGACAAAGACCCAATACTTCAAGACGTTTGATGTTGTCCAATGACAATAGCTCCTTATTTATAAACATTGAAAACTCCATTAATTCAAATGCCAGTGAGCAAAGAATAGGTTTTCCTCAAAAAAACCATCCCTCTTCATAAAGCATTAACTATGAAAACAGTGATTACTGGTATTCTGCTCCTCGCATTGGCTCTTTGTTTTGTTCTCGCCACTCAGGGAGGTGTCCTTGCTGAGACTCCAACCATGACTGCTGATTCATTGAATCACAGGAAACTTGTAAAGAAGGTGAATAAAAAATATGGAAGAAAACTAGTTAAGAAGTATCTATGCAAGAAGGTGAGAAAGCTTATCAGAAGATTAAAGAAGTGTGTCAAGAAGATTAAACTTTCCAAGAAATTGAAGGCTCTCCTAAAGGCCAGATTGGCTAAACTTGCAAAATTGAGATCTCAAATCAAGAAGATTAAAGTATGCAAGCATGGTAAAGGCGTCATTAAGATCTCCTTGAAGAGAATTCTCAAGCTCAAGAAGCTATTGAGAAAGTTGTTGAAAGGAAAATGTTATCCACCCAAGAAGATTTAATTCACCTCACCTCAGGTGCCCGCAGACATCATGCTTTTGAATACTGACGCGAATGTCGAAAATAAAACACAACATGATGCACAATAATATCTCTATCTGTGAGCTTGTTCCAACAACAAGGGTTCAAAACAGGTCTCTACTCCTCGTCATGCCTCTTTCTTGATCTTTGCAAAAATTGAACCCATCTTCTTTAAGACTTTGCGAAGGGGGACTCAAAGAATTCTTTCAAAAAAAAATATGGAAAGAGTCCCCGACAATATTGTGTTGGATCGTTTTGCCCATTTTGTGGCCACCGATCAGTGGAACGTTGAATCCAATGAGAATATTATAAAACATATTTATCCTGATCGGAGAGAGCTCTCTAGTTTGTTCGTTTACAAGGTGGAGAATGATGGATTGATCGTATCTGGAGAGGGATACAAACAACTCTTTAAAAGACCTCTATTTGGAGATGTCATTCCGAAGGTATTTCAAAAGGAAAAGAAGGAAGCAAAGGTCGGAGATAGTTTTGGTCCGAGCTGGGCGACATTTTGGTTTGAATTGAATTTACAAGTGCCACCTGAGTGGAAAGGATTGGATGTACATTTGTTGTGGAATAGCGATAGTGAAGCATTGTTATTTGACAAGAATGGCAAGGTTTTGCAAGGATTAAACGGTGGTGATGGATGGGTAAGTTCTATTGAAAAATTAATTGTCAAGTCATGACACGATCGGCTTAAATGTGGCCATGTTCGAAAACAAACCCAATAACCTAATGATGGAATATTTCCCTTCTTTTAATGAATGATCTTTGACACAGGATAAACGCGAGGAGTTCTTTATTGATGCTGACTTGTTAGATGAAGAGGGAAAAGCTACTTTTTATATTGAGATGGCTTGCAATGCAATGTTCGGAAATGGATGGAATGGCCAAATTAATCCTCCAGATCCAAACAGATATTTCACTTTGAAAAAGGCTGAAATTGCATTGTTCGATCGATTGTGAGTATCTTTTACAATCATTTTGTTATTGGTTAACTTTTTTTAAAAACCATGACCACTTTGCACTACACTCATTATACTACTCTCAGAGCTTTTGATCTCATGTATGATTTCAAGATTGTTATGGAATGTGCCAAAGAATTCGATAGCAAAAGACAAAGGGCTAGAGAAGCAATTATTACTGGAAACGACATGCTTAAATGTTTCGATCCCAATGACAGAGACAGTTGGCAAAGAGCAAGAGACATTGCAGCTAACTTTTTAGGTAAAAAGAATGGAGACACTTGTCACAATATTGTTTCTGTTGGGCACTGTCATATTGACATTGCTTGGTTGTGGCCATATGCAGAGACAAGAAGAAAAGCTGGAAGAAGTTGGGCCAATCAATTGAGATTTATAGATATGTATCCACAGTACAAATTTGTACAATCACAAGCACAGCTCTACGAATGGGTAAAGGAAGATTATCCTGAAGTGTTTGAAAGAATTAAGCAAAAGGCAAAGGAAGGACGATTTGTTCGTAAGTACTTCTTGTCATTATGTATGAAAGGGCTTATTTTTCATACACTTATTCAGCGATTGGAGGTTCTTATGTGGAGTGTGATGGTGTTTTACCAAGTGGCGAGTCTTTCTGCCGACAATTTTTATATGGACAAAGATTCTTCAGAGAAGAATTTGGTGAATATTGCACAGAATTTTCACTCCCTGATAGCTTTGGATATTCTGCTGCATTGCCTCAAATTATGAGATTGAGTAAGATCGACTCGTTCATTACACAAAAGCTCTCTTGGAATCTTTTTAACAAATTCCCTAACTCAAGCTTTGTGTGGGAAGGCATTGATGGATCCAGTGTATTTGCTCATTTTCCTCCAGCAGATACATACAATGCAAGCCTTTCAGTGAAAGAGATCCTTTTCAATGAGGAGAACTTTAAAGATAAGGAAGTATCTCAACATTCTTTGTGTTTATTTGGTACGTGATCGCAATATGAGGTTGACACTGACTCTATTTTTCAAAACAAAATTTTTCATTATTCCACTTTGACGTTATTGTGATAATTTTAAGGCCACGGTGATGGAGGAGGCGGCCCAGTTCTCGATCACATGGAACGTGCCAAGAGACTCTACGATGTTCAAGGTTTACCAAGGATCATTCAAGAAAAGCCCAAATTCTTCTTTGATCGATTGAAAGAGGAACATAGAGAGCACAAATTGAAAGCATGGCGAGGAGAACTTTATCTGGAACTGCATAGAGGCACCTTCACAAGTCAGGCAGCTGTAAAAAAGGGCAATCGAAAATGTGAGCTCTTGCTTAGAGAAGCAGAATTATATAGTGCCTTAGCAAATCGACTCAATGGTTTTGAATATCCTCGAAAGGAGCTAACAAAACTTTGGAAAACTGTGTTGTTGAACCAATTCGTAAGTATTTTGAGAAATATTTGAACAAACAACAGATCCATCAATGTACCAAACGCCAATTTCATATTTTCACAGCATGATGTTCTTCCTGGAAGCTCGTAAGTAGAAAACTGACTTTGACTTTATTACAACATTCATGAAAATAGTATTGAATTAGCATATGTAGATGCAAGACAATTGCATGCTCAAGTATTAGAAGAAGCAAGCAAAATTCGTGAATCAGCACTCGCCTCACTCAACCGACAACAATTAGACATTGACACGAATAGCGAAGAAAAGGAGAAGGTTGTCACTGTATGGAGCTCCTTGCCATGGGAAAGAAAAGAAATTATTGAATTAGATGTTTCAGATAATTTGGCTGATGACAAGGTCTACACACAAAAGACATCGAATGGTAAATGCCTTGCTGTTGTTCAAGTTCCTTCCACAGGATACAAAACTGTCACAGTCCAAGAAGTTGTGGTTGCTTCTGCCACCTCGACTGAATCTATTGTATCTCTTCATCAGAAGGGCAGTTCATATGTTTTAAGCAATCAATTTATTGAGGCAACTGTCAATGAGTATACTGCAACTGTGGACATTGTAGACTTACAAACCAAACGAAAAGTCGTTCAAGATGGAAATCGTTTCATTATGTACAATGATAAATGCCTCTTTTGGGATGCTTGGGATATTGAGGTTATGCATAACGAACGTGAACTTGCAATTAAGGGCTATAATGAAGGAAGTGTATCTGTGACTGTACTCGAGAGTGGACCATTGAGATGCTCCTTGAAGGTTACATTTCCTATTAGTGAGACAAGCAGCTTGTCTCAAGTTATTTCTCTTTCATGTGTTTCACCTCGATTGGAATTTAACACTCAAGTCGATTGGCATGAAAAACACAAATGTCTCAAAGTGAAAGTTCCTACGAGAATATTCTCAGATTATGTTACCTATGACCATCAATTTGGATTTATTAGAAGATCAAATTTGAAAAACACAAGCTGGGACGTTGCTCGCTTTGAAGTGAGCTGTCAGAAATACATGTGCATCTCAGAGTATGGAAGTGGAGTAGCAGTGATCAATGATTGCAAATATGGCTGCTCAGCGACACAAAACGGTGATCTCTTCTTGACATTGTTGCGCGCTCCAAAGGCTCCTGATGCCAATTGTGACATGGGACACCATCAATTCACGTTCGCCATTCATCCCTATGTTGGATCATCATTCCAAGATGGAAGAATAATTCAGAGTGCTTACGAGCTCAACCAACCTTGTAATGTATGCGTCTATGACAGATCTCTTCCAAAATCATCCTTGGAGAAAGTTGCGATCGAGAGTGAAGAATCTCTAATTTCAATTTCTTGTGAGCAAATACTTTGTGAAACCTTGAAGGTTTCTGAAGATTCAGAACAACATTTGGTGTTGCGTATTCATGAATGCTATGGTGCTCATGCTCCTCAGAGTGTGTTGACCATCAAATCTCCTCAAGCACCAAGGGAAGTTGTCACAACCAACATTCTTGAAGATGCCGATGAGGAACGATTCCAGTTAAGATTTACGCATTCAGATAACAGAATCCGTATTGAAGTTCCTCCGCTCAAACCTTTCCAGATTCAAACTATCAAGATCAAGTATTGAGAAATACCCAGAAGAGAATGTTCGTTACCATAAAAACATAATGGTGGTAATTGCAAAATGATATTACTGGTTCTAATGTTGCCGTGAATGATATTAGCAGCAATCGTTGTATCTTTTTTTAGTCAACCTTTAAATGTAATTACGATTCGTTAATAATTTGCATGCTTTTATTGAAGTCTAATCTTTTTTTGTTGCTGTTAAAGTATTTTCTGGGCGACGGTCAAATTTCTCGCACAAAATTCTGTTGGTGATGGAATTGGGCTTGAAGGGATAGCTCTTATAAAATTGAATCGCCTTTTCCTGCAATCCACTTCTAATAAGGCACAACAACATGGCATTGTACATTCTTAACAAGTAAGAAACATTGCTGGTTTGGCTCTTGTACTTGTGGAAGAGTTTCTCGGCCACATCTGGTCGTTTCACGAGTGCCAACGCATAGATTAAGCTATGAACATTGAAATATTGAATTTCTCCCTCTTCTTCCAAGCGTGTAATATATTGGAGGAGATGTTCTGTATCATCGAGGGCTGCATAACTCTGTGAAATGTACCTCACTAATGAATAGGAGCGTTTGAACCAGCCCAATCTAGAAAATGTATACACATCAATCACCTTTTTAAATTCTTTTCGCATGAAAAAGTATTGCATCAACTTGGAAGTAATGTAAATATTTGGCCTAATCTTGTAGAACCTCATAATAGTGATAAGATTTTCGAAATTCTTCTCGTCCTTCATGCCTTCAAAAGTACACAACATGAGTAAGATGGTTCTTTCGTTGGGTCGAACACCAAGAGGGCCTGAGCCACGAGAGAGAGTCTTTTTTTCCTTCATATCCTGAAGAAATTGTTCAATTCTCTCTCCCAACACGTACTTGTTAAAACAGTTTAAAGCTTTCTGGTATTGCGCTGAATGTACCAAGCAAGTTAAATATGTGTTCACAAGTTGAACATCAATGTAACTAGGTTCAAGTTCGCCTGTTGCACATTTCTTTACAATATCTTCGAATAACGAGTCGACCTTGTCAAAATTTTCCACTTTGAAATAGGCGTCTAAAATAATGGAATAAGTAATTCCATTGGGATAAGCTTTAGATTTCATTTGTTGAAGCAATCCTTCAAATTTTCCAATATTCCTCTGCCTTGCATAAACTGTCAACATGCTATTGTAGACGAATATATCTGGATGTGAAATTTGTTTGAATATTTCTTCAGCCTTTTGCTCATTTCCTTCGAGGGAGTAAGCGTTCAATAATTGTGTGTAAACAAAAAGATCAGGATTTTTGATCCTTTTCATGACTGCTTCGACCATTGCAAAGTTGTGTCTAGTCGAGTAAAAGCGCATAATTAACGTGTTAATGGTATTATCATAGCGTTCTGCTGGAAATAATGTCAAGTATTCCTCAAATTTCTTTTCCGATATATTGGATTTGATTAAAGTTTTAAGAAGATTGGTAAATTGATTACGAGTGAAAGTGGTACTTGTTGTTGGAGGATTTTTAGAAAAGGGTTTGTGTTTCTTTGGAGGAATGACTTCGGTTGTGGATAGAGGAAGCATCATTTCGAGAGGTTCTTGTTCTTCATCCATGATTATTTCTAGATCCGTCATTTCCTGTTGTGCATCTGAAGGGAAGGTTGAGAAGAATCTATGAGAAGGATGATGATTAGAAATTTGCAAATTGTAAAAGTGTTGATTGGGGGAATTTAAAGAATGATGAGGATGGGATGAATTGCCATCTCGATGATGAGAGAATAAAAAGGGGAAGAACTTTGGGGAATTTGAATGATGAAGATTTCTAGCAAGATTTCTAGCAAAAGGAATTGTAATGGGTGTGGTGGTGATGGTTGAGAAAAGAGAACAACACCCAGTGCTGTTGGCAAGGATTGAATCGCGAAGAAGATTACCTCTTGCGTTGGTGAGTTTTGTGGTGGTGATGGTAGTGCTCGGAAGGAAGAACGATGATGATTTCATTTGTTTTTTGTTGAAATTTCCAGAAACAAGAAATCCTTTAAAGGCAAATAACGAGATGGTCATCGTTCACTTGCTAATTCAAAAGGTATCGTTATCATCATTGCCAAATTGGTCACCTGTCCTCTCCTCATTGTAAAAGGATGGCAGAACTCGAACTTGTATTGATACAATTATTGCCAAACATTATCAATTAAGTGATATTGATGATCAACCGGGAAGGTGGTGTAATGGTAACATCGCAGCCTCCAAAGCTGTGGCCGGGGGTTCGATTCCCCCTCTTCCCCTTGAATTTTGATTGTTTGGCCCTCTCTTGATTTTCAATCTTTTCTTTTATTGAGTTTTTTGTTGTTGTGATCCGCACTCATAATCCAGATCAGTCGCCAACGAGAGTTTTCCCGTGACTTTGATAAAGTATACAACATTGACAAGGGTACCCATCTTTTGATGAGGGAAAATACTTTCAACACAAAAGTCTGGAACTTTGACACCAGTTTGTTGATTTAAATTTAAAGCCTTCTTTTCTTTTGCCTTCAATTCTCCAATCACAATCTTTTTGATCACATAAACGTCACTTTTGAGGGGAACCTTTTGACCAGGCTTTAAACAGTCAACTCTCTGAATGAAACTTATTGTACAGTCCGATACAGTTTTTTGAGCGAATGATTGATGGAATTGAGGTTCACTGGGATCTTTTTCACATTGGTTGGATTCTCGTTTTGAAAGACAAGTGGAGGTTGAAATTTCTTCGACATGAAACATATTGAATACATAATATATATATTCTACATATTATAATTGGGGGAGTTGATAATAAACAAAAATTTCAAGAGTGACGAGAGGTCAAATCTCTTTAAGAGATTTATTGACTGGGAAAAAAGCGATTTTTCGCCACGCACGTAGATGTATAACTGAAAGCCTCTAAGTTATGAGTCTTACTGTGATGCTGAGTACGGCTCGCTTCTAACGAGTGAAAATAACAATTAACTCATTTTGGTGGTAATCAAAAAGAAGTGGTCAATCAAAACCAATTTGATGGAATGAATTGATCGAGAAGGATCGATGCTCCAGCGACTATTTTTATTACTTTCCATCAGTCAATCCAATCCCAAAATCCGATAAATTTAAATTTCCTCATTTGGGAGTTGATCGCTGTCATTTAAAATTCGTTTACTTCACCTTCCACGTTTTGGTTAGCCTATTTGGCTCCCTGCCAAAGCATTGTAAAATCTTTATATTCCAGTATTTTTCGGAATGGCGCCCAGGACCACCGTTACACTTTATTTCAGAAAAATTAAAAGATGCAGACACAGTCCCTTTCAATCTCCAAAATCAATCCAAAACAAAAAATCTTCAATGACTCCATCAACAACAACATCATCTCGACGCAACCAACCACGCGTCCTCCACTCTGATGATGAGGACGTAACCTCCTCCACATCCACTCGCCATCGAATCGTGTACAATCCTCACAAGATCGATCGTTCCAAACGTGTCGCTCCCGGTTGCGAAATTAATCTCACCAACATCCTCTCGGCTTCTAAAACTCGAAGCAGAAACAATGTCAACTATAAGGCATTGGACAATGGAGTGGTGGTCAAGACGAATCGCAAATCCAAGAATAATATTTACATTAGAAGCAAGACCTCTGAGAAGATTCAAAAGACTTCCAAAAGAAGTCTTCCTCGAAGAAGAGTCAAAAGAAACAAGAAGAACGAGAGGAGGACAAGGAAAATGTGGTCAATCAAAGTTCTCTACCACAAGAGAAGAAGGATCACGATGAAGAATCGGTCCATGAAGAAGAAGAAGAACAGGAGGCTGTCACTACCACTTCTTCAGTTCCTGCTCAAAGTGTTGAATTGATTCCTTCCTTCTCTGATGCCAATGACGAAATGGATGATTCATCTGTTTATCTTGTTGGTCTCTCCTCTCACATCAAAACGCTCTTGTCGGAAAAGCTTGGAGCAGTCATGCCTCAAACCAATCTCAAAAAACATCGTCGAACCTTTGGAAATCAACGTTTACCATTGGCCATTGTCGAATGGGGTCGAATTTGGTCAACCACTGCCAAGAGTACCAACTCGATCAAACTTTTCAAATGTAACACTACCGAGTTGATATTCGATTCTCTTGAATTCACTGAAATGGATTTAGAAGAAGAAGAAAAGAACACCTTTGCCTTCTTGAAGGGAACCAACGATCGAGTAATCATTGGCTCAGGTACCGATACTCTTCTGGTCGTTAAATTGGAGGACGGTAAGAATTGTGAGGACTTGCCTGTCTATGCTTTGAAGGACTCGTCTCCCTCTGAGGCATTTGGTCCATTCAAACTCTCATGGATTCTTAAGAATTGTGAGAGTGATGGTGAAGATGTTGATTCTCAACAACAAGATTGAGGCATATCAAGTTTTGATCCTACATTGTAAAATTGAAACAATATCTCATCCTCTCCCTACAGTCTAATTGAATCTAGATTTGTTATTGGTGCTGGCTTAATCGCCATCATTGCAATAAACCACCACAATCCATGAGATCCATTCATTATATTAATAATAATTCCTTGTCTTTTTTTGCAACCACAACATTTTGTCTTTTTTTTCACGCAATAAGGGAAATCAAAAAAATGTTAAAGTTAGCTCGAGAGGATTTTCTTCCGAGTGAGGAGCAACAACAACAAACATCACCATGGCTTGCAACTTCATCCACCAACCATCAGTTCTTGTTATCTCAATGTAAATATTTAAAATTGAAGGAAGATCGTATCACTATTTATTCCGATCAAACACTCTCTCATGTGGTGGATCGTTGTGTGGTTCGTAAGAGGCTTGGACGAGGAGCTGGTGGGAGTGTATTCATGTGTGAGCAATTACCGAATGAGGAGGAACAAAAGAATGGAATGACTCTTCATCAATGCAATAAGATGGTTGCCCTTAAAAGTATTCAAGTCGAGGATGTGTCAAGTTTGGAGAATGCAGTTGGAGAATATTCCCTTCTCGTAAAGATGAATCAAAATGGAAGAGGAAATGATTTTCGAATAACTCCCGTTTATGATATATTCATTGATATTCAACAGGAATTTAATGTTTATGTCATGTATTTTTCAATGCCTGTTTATAAGAACGATCTAGAAAAATTCGTCAAATCTCCGGCATATAGAAAAGCCCAATATGATCATCGGGAATTGCCCTCATTAGATTCGAGTTTAGAAGCGTCATCTCACCAAACACTGCCAACAAAATTTCAGGTTGCTCTTTCTGTTGCAACAAATATTGCAAAGGCTCTCTCCTATATTCACAAGAACAATATTGTTCATAGGTAAGTGATTCATTTGATACTACTTTCCACGATGTTTAGTTGAGACATTGTTCATTCAGAGATATTAAGCTAGCAAATATTTTGATAGAGGATATTCACAGTGACGGATTGTCTGTTGTTTTGGCAGATTTTGGGCTCAGTAAAGAAATTGAGAACTCATCTAGACATTCAAAAGTTGGTACTCTTAGCTACCTCTCACCTGAAGTTCTCTCTGGCCAAGAGTATGGATTTCGAGTTGACTGTTTTGCATTAGGAGTTGTACTTTATCAAATATTGACAGGAGATTTCACAAAGAGAATAGCCTGGGATTTACTACAACATCCAGAGCAAAAAGTCAGGGATGATTTAAAAAGCAAAATGATCATGTCTCTCTCCAATACTGAAGTGGATTTTATTGACCTTGTTTTAGAAATGTTGGTTAAGGACCCTCATAGACGTATACATTCCACTGCAATCTATCATTTCTGTCTTATGAAGAAAACCAAGTCAAGGAAAATGCAACAAGTTTCAATATTTGAAAAGAATTCAGTTCAACCAATTCCTCCTCCAAGAGATCGTCTCTCTGAGGCTCAACAAAAACTTCTTAAAGCAATGAGACAACAATCAAGTCAAACAGAAGAGTCCCTCAAACAAGTGCATCCCGAAAGTGAGGAGATTTTAAGTAGACATCAGAGCTTTGTCGAAGGATGCTCGTCAAAGGCTGAAAATTCTGATATGAAATCAAAAGAAATCAGAAGATCAAAATCCTTCCACCTTGCTCTAAGACGCACTGAGCTGACCATCCATGTGTATCCAAACACTTTTGCATCCTCTTTCAAGAGATTATTTTCCAAGAGCGAAGAAAAGCAATTTAACTCAATTGAAGCGGCGTTGATTTATGCAAAGAAACAGCCATCTTCAGTCTTTGTGACTATTTATTTACATCCAGGAGTTCATAAACACCGCCACTCCAATTTGAACATTGAACGTGGAAATTTAATCATTGAAGGTGTTGAAGAAAGTGACGAAGAAGCTGTAGTACAAGCAGAACGAATAACTATTTTACAGAATGTCGAAATTAGGAAAATGAATTTTGTGGGAAGAAAGTTAGCAAAAGGAAGCCTTTTGACGTAGGTTGTTTTGAAACAAATTTTTCATGTGAAAGATAGATTTGCTTCACATAGGAAACCAATAACAATAGAAATTGATCAATGTCAACCAACAATAACTAATTGTAAAATTAAGGGACGTATTCAAGCCAATGGAAGATCGAATCGAATGGTGCCCATTTTAGAAGAGAATGAAATATATGGTAATAGCCAAACTGTAAGCAATGATGTGGCTGCAAGTGCTCTCTATTTTGAAGGGTGTTGTCCTCATCTCATAGGTAACAAGATTCATGACAATGGTAGGTTGATAACATTGAATGCAATAACCACTCAACTTTCAGAAACCAATGGAATTGTATTGCTAAATTGCTATGGTGCAACTATTTCTGAGAACCATTTGTACAACAATTGGAGTAGTAATTATTCATGGGCGCTTAAAATGATCAATTGTGAGAATGTTTCAGTGCAAGGTAACACCTTTTTTGACAACGGTGCTTGTATTCTCTTGTCAAACAGCACTGGAAGTGTTCAAGGAAATGAGTTCAAAAATTGCAAGAAAGGTGTTATGATGAAGGATTCCAAAATTGAGTTTCATGAGAATGAAATGATAAGCATGAAAGAATTGGGTGTAGTTGCCAAAAAGTCATCTCTTCAGGTATGCTTTTTCAGTTGCTATTAACTCTTCATGTAACATTCATGTTAAATAGCTCTGTATGAACAAGTTTTTCAATAGCTCGAAGGGAATTATATTGGAAGACATGGAGGGAGCGATTAAAATTATTGGAAATGCAATCACAGGAACAAGTGCCTTCTTGGCATCAATATCTGCACAACTTTCAAGTAACACATCTGCATTAATTGTGCAAGATAATATGTAAGTCAAGTTTGAAAATTTGCTTTCTCTTGCAATAATGCTTTGCAGATTTTCACGAAACCTAGGAGGAGGCATCCACATCATTAGGAAAGATGTTGTCGAAACAGAAAACACCAATGACGTTCACATAACAAATAATCGATTCTTTAAGAACAGTGTGTGCTGCATCAAGGCATTGCATACCCAACAGCTCCATATCAAAAAGAACTCCTTTTCAGGGAGCATGGAACATTCCATTATTTTAGACCAATGTGCAGGTGAAGTGGTGGACAATGTTTTTTCAGATCACTTGTTCGCGTCAGCTTTAAGTAAGTTGATGAAAGTACATATTCCCTTACAAGAGAATAATATTTCTTTCAGAAATTACTGTTCCTGCATTGCTCGTCCTATCAATTTGTGATAATAAGTTTTCTCACAATGCATGTTTTGATATTGCTCTCATTGTCGAGGCAATGTCTTGCAATGAAAAGATTGAAGTTAAAAGCAATCATTTCTCTGGTAGTGCAGAAAAATCAATAATCTTCAACAATCAGGATCTTCAAAAAAACGTTTTACTTCAACTCCAGCAAGAGAATACTTTTAATGAAGAAAATTGAATATCTTTTGTGGGGAAGAATTCTTAGAATTTTGAAAATACTTAACAGTTTATTAGTAACTTGGATAATTCACTGCGTTCATGTCATTGTTGACATTTTGCTGCGAATTAGTTTGCTGCTGATGTTCACGATCCAATTGTCGTCTTGCTTCTGTTTCGTAAGCAGTGAGTGGTATTGGTGGTAAGTGATATCTTTCAATGGTTGGATATAAACTCATATTTTGTTGATCATCTTGATATTCGAAATACTCTGTTGCTTCTTGTTCAGGTGGTGCTGAACCATCCAGTGGCGTTTGAGGATATTCTTCCGCAGATTGCTTCATTTGATCATTGAAGGACTGAGATCTATGCATTGCTTGCTGCTGTTCAGGTACAAAAGGTTGATATTGTTGGATTGCAATTTGTGGTTGTTCATGGCTCACCACACCACCATACTGAGATGGTTGTTGGTAGTAAGGAGAAACAAATTGGTTGGTTTGAGGTACATTTACAGAGTGTTGAGAGGGTGAAGCGGCAGTCATGAATGGTTGAGTTATTGTTTGAACTTGTTGGAAATAAGCCATATGTCTCATTCTATTTGCAACATAAATCATGCACTCATAATCCAGATCAGTCGCCAACGAGAGTTTTCCCGTGACTTTGATAAAGTATACAACATTGACAAGGGTACCCATCTTTTGATGAGGGAAAATACTTTCAACACAAAAGTCTGGAACTTTGACACCAGTTTGTTGATTTAAATTTAAAGCCTTCTTTTCTTTTGCCTTCAATTCTCCAATCACAATCTTTTTGATCACATAAACGTCACTTTTGAGGGGAACCTTTTGACCAGGCTTTAAACAGTCAACTCTCTGAATGAAACTTATTGTACAGTCCGATACAGTTTTTTGAGAAGTATTTTCGAGTGTTAATTGGCCCTGCAAATAATCACCTGTAAGGAATACCCGTGATGGCATTTGAAGTGTGGTGTTAATTTGGCCATTGGCAAACAAGAACGTCTTCACTTTTGTGTCAGTGAAAGGAATGGAATTAGAACCCATCAAAGAGGGAGTCATCAAAGAGCCCCCTACAGGAATTGCAGCAGAGGATATCAAATCTCCAACGCTCTTATCTGAATTCATGCAAGTGCATCTTAATTCATAGTCAATGGCTGGCATTCCATAATTGCTCTTGCTTCCAGTGAGAGCAGATTGATTGGTATGATAGGTGGGTGGAATAAAGTCTGGTAATTGAATTTCGAAATCGTACTTGTAAACACCAGCAGGGAGAATAGTGTTGACTTGCTTTTTGAACAAGCCAAAGAATTCTCGTGCCTCTTTCTTGGTGCTTCCTATTTCGTTGCATCATGCATGTCAAACACATACAACAAGTGATGAACAAGATGCATTCATTCCGAAAATTATTCAAGATCATTTATGCAGTAGTGTGTGAGGAACAAATAATTACTTTTAGTATTCTACTCACCTCTACCTTCAAGTTTTGTCGAATGTTCATAAAATATACGAGTAATTCGAGTATTCGTGTTTGTTTTTAGTGCTTGTTGTAAATTGGTCGTGTAATACTCTCGACCAAACACATCTATTTTAATTCCGTAAATGCCCATCTGTGATGGAAGCCTTAACTCGACATATCCGACCACTTTCTCTCCCGAGAAGTACAATTTGGTTGGAAAATAGATTAATAATTCAGCCCTTATCATGTTCTTTTGAGATTGTATCTGATTGTTTAGAGAATATTTTTTTGAGAATGAAATAATTCGTGATGTTGTTTTGCTTCGGAGGTTTGTTTGGGTAGATATGCTCCGACGCAACGAGTTCTTCCACTCAGCAAAAAGGAATTAGAACCGAACACGAAATTGAAATGGAATAGGTGAACCTGACAACCATCAAGAGAGAACCTGCATGATTCAGAAACAATTCAGCTTCCTTTGTTGTAGAGAAATAAAACAATTAAAAACAAGGAAGACGAATCATTAAAAAAGATTTGCATTAGCCGGGAGTCGAACCCGGGTCACCAGCTTGGAAGGCTGGTATGATACCGTTACACTACTAATGCTCTTCGGAAAGAGTTTATCATTCCAACTTTATGTCATAGAATATGAACAGTCCGTATTACCACAATCCAAAGCAGGAGAATTACTTTTCTCCCCTAGAAAAAAATAATGCCATCCTTCAAGACCCAATACAGCGGATACTCGGTCGAGTTTTCTCCGTTCGAAGATGATAAATTGGGAGTGGCCACAAGTCAACATTTTGGAATTGCCGGACAAGGAAGACAATACATTTTACAAAATGATCGTGATTCGCAAACGATGAGAAAATTATACACATTCGATACCGATGATGGTCTCTATGATTGTACATGGAATGAAGAAAATGAAAATCAAATAATCAGCTGCTCCGGTGATGGCAGCATAAAAGTTTTGATACCACCAATGCATCGGGAGGAGAGGGAGCTCCGGTGATGAATTTTGCGGAACATTCAAAGGAAGTCTATTCTGTTGATTATAATACAGTAAATAAGGATTGTTTTGTGAGCGGATCCTGGGACAATACCATTAAATTATGGAATTTACAAGCTGCAGGAGCAGGACAAACCAATGCAAGTTCTGTTGAGACTTTTGATGAACATCGTTATTGTGTATATTCAACAATTTTTTCACCAATCAATGGAGATTTATTTATGAGCTGCAGTGGAGATATGACCATGAAGATTTGGGATGTACATGACATTTCAAGCATACAAACAGCACGAGTTCACAATTATGAAGTGTTGGCATGTGACTGGAACAAGTTCAATGAGCATATTGTCTGTACAGGTGCTGTCGATAAAACCATTAAGGTCTGGGATTTGAGAAATTTGAATCAACATGGTGCTGGAGTTGTGGGAGGAACATCATCCACTGCATCAGATTCTTCTATTTGCACCCTCTCTGGACATGGATTTGCTGTGAGACGTGTGAAATTCTCTCCTCATGATGAAAATATTATTGGAAGTGTCAGCTATGACATGTCCTTGTGTATTTGGGATACTGAGCAAGGAAGCGACAATGCTCTCCTCGAAAAATATGAGCATCACTCTGAGTTTGTTATTGGATTAGATTTTAATTTGGAAATGGAGGATGAGCTGGCAAGTTGCAGTTGGGACGAGACAGTGTATGTGTGGATGCGAGGAGAGGAGCCAGTTCCAACTCACGAAGAGAATGAAAACGAAAATGACGAAGAAGATAATGAAATTGTTGCTCAATTTAGACAAGTCTTAGGTTTAGCAAGAGGTGGAGGAGGAGTTGAAGATGAGGATGAATATGAAGAGGATGAGGAAGAAGAAGAGGACGAGGAGGATGAAGAATAATTGAATGAAGATACTATATTAAAATTGCATGTTGCTTTGAACAAAAGTGGTGTTTGACTAAAGTTCAGGGTGACCAAAATTTTTGAATTTTTTGTAACCAAAAGTTGTACCGTCAACCCCAAGTGTTTAAAAATTCCTTCTTCTCTCCCCTCAATTTCGCTGTGTTTCACATGATGAAAATTTAAAATATGAAAATACCAACACTTACACATGTTTATACCCCAAAAAACTAAACGCAATGATAGGCCTGACGAGGAAAAGCAAAGAGAATCAAGACAGCTTCGAGAAGAAAATGATCTTTGCAGTTTTATGAATTTTATCAAAGAAGGATCAACAAATCCAACGTGAATGGACGATGTTCGTGGAGTTTCTTGAATTCGTTTCACACAATCTTGGGTTGATACATCTCCTTTCCTGTTTATTATTCATGGTCAGCAGAATTCTCCATGAAAATACTTCTGGCTTCACCTGCGACAGTGATCAACAGAATGGTGTTACTCTTCACAGAGCATTTCATTTTGGCATATTGTCTCTTCAATCTTTTTGCCACATCCATCGAAGGGACCCAACAATGCAAGAATTGCTTCTCCCAAACATCTTCATCGTATACATTTCCCGACGATGCAATTATACCTGACAGCTTCTTATAGAGAAGGAGTTGCAACATCTTGTCCGTTAATACACCATTTCCTCCAGTGAAATTGTTAAAATTGAAAGCTCGAGTTACAGAAACACCATACTTCTTTTGACCAATTCGAACTAAATAGTCAGTCTTCTTACTTCCAGGATAATACTCAATCTCCATTTCAGTCTTCAAAAGCTCTGCAGAGAACATTCTTTTCACAACTTCGAAACTCAAAGCTTCACTGAATATGGAATTTCCTCCTGCATTCTCTTCTTGAGAAATTCTTTGAGCTCCCTCAGAAGTTCCTCTCATCAATAAATCAAATTCCAATTGATTTCGAGTCTTTTTCAATAATGATGAAGAAACTGAGGTGGACAAGTCTTGCTGATTAAGAGTATTCAATTCCTTTCGAGCCTTTTCCTTCAGGATCATTTCCTGAATGACAATGGTTGGCTTTTGACTCACTTCCATACTTTGGTACAACTTTAACTCTTCAGAGAGTTCAGTCTTCAAATAAAACGAACTCTTCTCATGTCCAACATTGAGCGAGAAGAATTTGTTCTTCTTCTTTTGTGCCAACTTACTCTGCTGAGAGGACGAGTGGGGAGGCAACGACGACGACATTATTGACAACCCTTGTGAATCTATTTGCTTCCTGAATAAGGCAGGACCTTGGCCCGATAACAATTTGGGAGGAGAGGAAGCCATTGGAATCATCTCTTTCTCGCATCGGGCCATACATGGTTGTGGTGCCAAACCATGAGGAGGATGACTTTGCTCCCTTCGTAAAGTGCTCTTCATCATCTCCATCATCGAAATGTTTCTGGGCCGGATAGTCTTTCTCTCCTGCTTTTGCTTCATCTGACTTGGGTTCAAAACATGGATACCACAGTTGCTGCACCTTTGAATAGGAACAGTGGTGCTTAAAGCACGGATGATCAAAGCACTGATTGCTGGAGAGTTGATCCAAGTGGAGGCTGCTGCTGCTGCATTCTGGGGATGAGTGAACCAACCAACTGGAGTGGGACTGGAGGAGATTGTCGCTAAAAAGACTCAACTCCTGAAAGCTGTTGTGGTTGTTGCTGGAGCGAGCTAAGGGACATGGCAATATAGGGCTGGAGCTACTACTATTGCTTGAGAGAGAAGAGTGGTTGGAACTGTTGTTGCTTGAGAAGGACATGATGATGCGTGTGGTTGTTGTTTTGGTGAGAGGACGGTGATAACGAGAGAATTAAAAGCTTTTGAAAAAGTGTTACAAAGGATTGGTCAATGAAGTAATAAAAGTTGCGGAGTTTCTTGTTGGATGAGATGTGAGGTCCAAGCTGAGCTAAGGATGTTTTGCGTGATGATATTCGAATAATACAAATGATGATTCGGGAGAGGCTACTGTTGTTATAACGTTAGTAAAAAAGGCAACACTATTGACACAGAAGAAAAGTGAAAGTTTTTTCTTGTTCTTTCAGAGACGCAAAGAACTTGAGGTGCACCCATGAAATTGAGTCCAATAATCTAAAAATAAAGAAGAAATGGAGTTTACAATCACTTTGGATAACGAGAAGAGTCGATAGGGAAAATGTCGATCGAAGCTGAAGCGTTTTCGCGAGATCTGGCTATTATAAAAAAGACTATCCCAATCCATCATTCGAAGAGTGAATTTGAAGGGGAAGACCAAGAGTAGTCAGGAGAAAATTTGGCATGAATTCAATAGGCTCATCAATGTTGTGTGCTTCATCCTTGGAGTTCTCCTGAATGAAGATGGTGACGCGTAAAGACATTAATGATAACGATGAAGGGGGAAGCGTTCAATAGTTCCGACCAATCCCTCCTTCATTCAACCATGCATTATCGTGTCTTCACATGGAATGCTTCCAAGAGTCCAGTCATTTGATGTTGAACTGAACTCACAACTGTTTGGATGATGTCTTTTGAAGATACATTCGAAAAAAAGAAATTTACAATCATGAAAAAATGTCTCTATTGAAATCCCAAACCATCATTACTCGTCATCTTTGTGGAATGAAAGGAATAAGAAAACTGTTCCAACAACACCACTTAACAACAACAGCAATAACAACCTCTTGCTTCAATCATCAAATGATGAATATTGGTGGAAAAGGCTTCAATACATCACCTTCTTGTTTCGGAACATTTCATTCAAAAAGAAATTATTCAACGAGTGGTGTGATGCATCAAAAATATGACCACAGTGGTGACAACCCCTCCCATCATCATCATCAACAGAACAACAACTCCTCGTCCCTTCAAAAAAAGAATTTACCTCTCTCACATTTGAGAGTTTTGGATTTATCTCGAGTATTGGCTGGCCCCTATTGCACACAACTTTTGGCAGATTTGGGAGCTACTGTCATTAAAATTGAGCCACCAAAAGTTGGAGATGACACACGTTCATGGGGACCTCCGTTCATGAAGGTAGAGGGTGAGGGAAATTTACACGAGAATCAAAGTGGATATTTTCAATGTGCCAATCGAGGAAAGAAGTCGGTCACTGTGAATTTGAAATCGAAAAACGGTCAACAAATTTTACACAAATTGGTGGAGAATTGTGACATTTTAATCGAAAACTTTAAGGTTGGATCTTTGGAGAAGTTTGGATTGGATTACAAATCTGCAAAAGCGATTAATCCAAATATTATTTATTGTTCAATTACTGGATTTGGACAAGATAGTTCAAAATCACATTTACCAGGATATGACTTTGTCATGCAGGCAATGAGTGGGGTAAGTGTGAAATGGAGTCAGTGAGATTTCTATTTGACCTTTAATTATTTATTTTGTTGAAATGAATACGATCATGTCCGACATTATAGGTCATGTCCATTACGGGAGACCAAAACACACCTCCTTTTAAGGTTGGAGTGGCCATAACTGATGTTATCACTGGAATGGTAGGTTCTGAAATTGTTCAACCTAAAATGCGATCATTACAAATGGTGACGTGTGACCATTGAATGACTTTTATCAACTTAAAGTATGCTGCAGTGGGAATTCTTTCCAAAGTGATTGAAAAACAAAGAAACCACTCAAATCCAGAGAATGTGGAAAACTCTTCCAACAACAGCAATGACTGGGTTGATTTGTCTCTTCTTGATTGCAACATTGCCTACTTGGTCAATCAAGCCACCAACTATCTCCAAACTAACAACTCACCAAAACGAATCGGTAATCGTCATCCCAATATTGCTCCGTATGACTTGATCAAATGCAGCAATGGTAACATTGTCGTGGCTGTTGGTAATGATGCTCAATTTCAAAGATTCATTTCAGTCCTTTCGAGTAAATTAAATTCCACACCATTCAAAGACCTCGACAAATTCGCCACCAATGCACAACGAGTGGCCAATCGAAAACAATTACTGGAACAAATTGAAGCAATCACGACCCAATTCTTTACTAAGGAAGACCTTATTAACGAATTGAACAAGCAAGAGGTTCCCTGTGGATCTGTAAATACAGTAGGAGAAGCACTCGCTGATGCACAAATTACGGAGCGCAACATGATTTGGACATTTGAGAAGAGTGGCGATGAGGAAATTCAACAACAGTCAGCAGTGAGGACAATTGGAAATCCCCTCAGATTCATCAACGAACAGCACGAAGTATTGAATTTGAAACAATTTTCCTCTCGACCACCCATCTTGTCAGAGCATACGGAAGAGATTTTGAAAGAGATGATTGGAGCTAAGGATGAAGAAATTCAAGCATGGAGAAAGGAAGGAACAATTTAGAGTGTGATCACCTTTATAGATGAACTCTTCGCGTGTTCAGTTCACTCTACAAAACTATTATTCGAATACATTCTCATTGTTGTAAACACTATTACAATCAACAGGTTGTAACAACACTCACCAAACTTTACAATACATTGAATGATCGATACGCCACATTTATTGTTCATCCTCTTCTTCTTACAATGATGTTCTTTTGCTTTCCCGAATGCGTGCGCTTTATTTGAACACACAACAAAAACAACATCTCACCACTCTTGGATACTCCAAAACTCGAAAGCACGCAGCTGACCATCGTTCTGCTCACCTCCGATCGATTCATTGACTCAACATTGGTCGAACAACCACTTCTGCGAACATTACATTGTGATTCACGACAGACATTAGTGATTGATCATCATTAAAAGTAAAGGAACCGATTCATTCATCATCATGCGGAGACTGTTTCAAGTCTATCTTTCTCAGTACTTGAGAGCGTTGGAAACAGAAGAGAATGATGATAATAATCAGGACCAATATGATGATGATGAATACATACTTGAAGAGGACGAAGAAGAACTCTTCAACAGCGTCTATCAACAACAAAGTGGGGAAGACACCGAAGAGGACGATGAAATGTACACAACAACAACAACAACTAACCGAGGACGACAATCATCATCAGGTTTGGCCCGAACAGGTCGCGATCGGCAAACACGACAACAGGCACAAAAGCTCAGAGAAGAGGAAAAGGAAAGACTTTTTCAAGAACAAGTACGAGAGAGGTTAAAGGCTTTGAATGAGCATGAATTGGGTCAAATCATTAGAGCTCATATTGGAAGATTTTGTCAACAGCCACATACATCTCAATTTCAACACCAAAATGCTTCATGCTCGAATGGCATGGGTAGTTGTAATAGTAATATTCTGGCTGCATCTTCTTGTGTAGACGATGCAGACATCATGATTGACGATGGTCAAGATGTACAAAATAACTCTGGGTGCATGCATGATCGATACAAAAAACGACATTACTTTAGTGGAGTGAATTACAATAACGATAAGAGTTTAATTCACATGCTCCATAAAAGGAAAATTGGAGGATGTGGGGCTGGAGCTTTACATCGAAATTGTGGCTCACGAATGTCACAAGGCCAATTAGCAAGCATTTCCTCACGATTCATTCCATGCACAAACAAAGGACCAATTGGTCAATTTGACTCCTATTTATTTTGTGGACAATTCTCTTTGGATGGCAATTTCTTCATGAGTGCGTGTCAAGATCAATTAATTCGAATATATGATGTAAATACAATTTTGCTTAAAAAGTCTGCCATCTCAGAAAACACTGAACAAACTTGTTCAAATGAGCATGACGATATTACTAGCGAACATCATCATGAGGATAGCAACTCTATGGATGATTCAGAGGAGGAATACTACACGAGACCTATTCGTAGCAGATATGGCATGATGCACAATCAAAATTTAAGCAAAACTCCTACAATGAAACATATCAGAGAAATTCAAGCAAGAGATGTTGGATGGAGCATTATTGATTGCAATCCATCTCCAGATAACAAATTTTTGGTGTATAGTAGTTGGAGCGCTTACATTCATTTAGCAACCTTTGTTCCTCATGATTACGATCCAAACGAAGATATTGACAAACGTGTCAAGTACATTGAAAAGCATGAAAGATTGTACCTTAATCCTGGGAATATCCGATTTTGTGCCTTCTCTGTTCGATTCAGTCCAAATGGAAAGGAAATTCTTGCTGGTTCGAACGATGACCACTTATACATTTATGATCTCGACAAAAACATAAGAGTTGAAAGAATTCATGCACATCGCTCAGACATTAACAGTGTATGCTATGCAGGTAGTAGCCACCCTGAAATTTTCTTTTCTGGTAGCGACGATGGTTTGTGTAAAGTGTGGGATCGAAGAGTGTGCTCTTCCTCCTCTAGTAGTGCCGTTGGTGTTCTTGTTGGTCACTCAGATGGTATTACATGTGTTTCATCTAAGGGTGATGGAAGATACTTTATCAGCAATGGAAAGGATCAGACCTGTAAATTGTGGGACATTCGTAAGATGGCTGATCCAAACTCTAACATTTCACAGATTCCAAAAACTAACAATTTATGGGACTACAGATACGAAGTGGCACCCGCAAGACACTCTCGTGTCATTCATCACAATGACCAATCACTCATGACCTATACAGGACATCAGGTTCTTCAAACATTAATTCGATGCTATTTCAGTCCTGCTCAGTCCACAGGACAACAATACATCTATACTGGAAGTCATGATGGAAAGATCTATGTGTACGATATTTTAACTGGAGAAATTGTCAAACGACTGGAAGGTCACGCTCACATTGTGAGAGATGTGCATTGGCATCCTTTCCTTCCTCTCATGTTTTCGTCTTCATGGGACGGAAGCTGCTTAATGTGGGAAAGATAAATCATGATGCGTTCATTCGGCAAAAAACAGCCATGGCTGTTGATGGTGACAATATTCATGAGGTTCATTGTCCAGACCCGCTTAAAAGACACAACGGAAGTAAACAAAGTTGAGTGGTCATTGTTCAGTTTACAACCTTTCTACATGGAACCCCAAGTGGTGTTGACAATATGACAACTCCCATCAAGCACATCAAGTGGAATTGAATTTTGGTCCAGCAGCTGTATCTCCATGGTAGGACCAATTCGAATCCGAAAAATGAATTCTCTCTCTTCAACTCTCAGAGATATGTTCTGAAATAATTCAAGTACTCAAAAGTCTTCGTTTTCAATTTTACTAATTCATGCAATTAATATTCCATAAACGGCATATCTCTTTCAGCGCCCTTAATTAACAAAACTGGAAAACAACAAGAGGAACCAACACTAAAAAAAATTCAGAGTTATTAACAGTTTTAGTAGGTTTGCTTCGATTTCTCTTACGAGGTGAGTATAGTTTGTTGGAGAAATATATCTTGAACTCAATATATTCATCATCGTTCTGTTCATGTATTCTCGGAATGATGATACAACGTTGATCTCCTATTGATACACCAAAGATAGCAGCCTATTTCAATAACCGCCACTGATTATTACAGATTCCGAGAGATTCCTCGCTGGACGAACAGACAGACACACCCTCAAAAAACTGCTCCGTACACCATGGTGTTCCAACTGAATTGGAGAAAGAAGGACGCAGCAAAAGAGGACGCCACAGGCCAACATGACACGCACAGTGTTGCTTCCTCATCATCGGCAGCAGGCCGATCTCGCAGCCTTAGTGCTCCCACTTCCTATGAATCGATAGATTCGAAAGAACACAGACTCCGAATAATATTCAACATGTTTGATAGTAATGAAGACGGAAAACTCACTGCTGAGGAAGTTAAGGACTTTCTCTCCTCCGTCTATGATAAAAAGTATATTGAAACGATTTCTAGGAATTGGAACCTGGGAAAAGGCCTCACATTTCAAGAATTCCTCGAAATCTGCGGACAAAATGAATCAAGCGAGAAAGATACTGAACAAATTGAAACAAACAATACATTTTGGAAGTTCAAACCATTCAATTTATTGAGAAGGAGACGAAAAGGCCTTAGTCAAGAATATGACGAAAATGAGCTCAAAAGGGCATTTGAGGAAGTGTTTGACACGAACCGAGATGGTGTCCTTACAAAGAATGAATTTAAGAAGGTGTTGAAAAATCTGAGAATTGGAGAAGCTTTCTCAGATGAAGAAATTGAGCACCTTTTTGAGTCGGTAGTTTCCAAGTCAGCAGGTGTTCTTAAATTTGAAAACTTTTTAGAGCTTCTCAAAGATAAAATATAAGCTTATTTTGTAAATCTTAAGAGTTTGAAATGTACAAATAAATTAAAACTAGAGAATGGAAAATGTCTAGATCTAGGAGTATTTGAATTGGTGAATTGACTCTATGGTTTAACATCAATGTTCTTCATGCTTTTTCTTGTTATCAAATACAATCTTGCTTAGTAGGTAGTCTACCAATTTTTGCAAATGTTTTTCATTAGTTCGAAGAGATTGAAGTGCGGCAACGTAGAGCGTACCAGAGTTCATATCTTTTACAAACACCTGAAATGAATTGTGTTTCTTTTTAACACTTGCAATGTTGAAATCCATGTGTGCAAGATCTTGCTCAGATACGGTCTGTATGTTTTTGGATTTCGAAGAGCGACTTGATGTATTTGGTGAAGAAGGCGTAGATGGTGAGGGATTTTTCTGTTTTTTAGAAGGTGGCTCTGGAATTTCAGGGTCGCTATCCACCTGTGTTTCACTGTCACTACTTTGGTCCTTAGAGGCTGATGCAATACTCTTTCCGCCAATGATCTTTTGGAAACGAATTCCATTTTCTGACTTGTATTTTGTGATTAGACTTCGTCTTACAGAGGTGTCTGGTTCCCATGTCTGCACAGGATAATTTTTCCATTGAACAAGATATTCCGTTTTGTTTTTAACTTTTCGAGAATCTGTAATTTTCTCTGGAAGAAACTCTGATTGTCCTTGTTTGTACTTTTTATCAAGAGTTGGAGCCACACGTTTCTCAAACTGTTCAATCATGTTTGAAATGTTTGAGAGATTCTCAGTTGGCTCCCATGTACTGTCCTTAACTGGCCATCCCTTCCATTTCACAAGATAATAGACCTTGTTTTGTTTTTTCTTTGAAAGAAGTATTGTTTCTACTTCATATTCTTGTTCATCTCCATCATCATCTTCGTAATCTTTTTTTTCCTCTTCTTTTTTCTTTTTTGTCTTATCAATCATTCTTCTGGTTGGTTTTTTCTTTTGAGAATTTGTTGTTGATGATCCTGCACTGTTTCTGGATGCTCCTCCTTCTTTTCGTGAAGCTTCCTCCTTGTCTCCCGAATCATCGTTATCATCACTCAATTCAGACATATTTGATTTTTTACGTTTTTTGCCGTTCCTCGTTTTCTTTGTAGTTCTTCCTTCATCATCTGTATGATCGGAGACTTTTTCGATATCACTGTTCATGTTCCTATCCTGACGATGGCTATCGGACAAAGAATCCTCCTCATCCAAGCTTGGAGATTGTGTTTTCATTTTTTTTTTTTTTT